CAAATGTCCACTAGCTTCTTGGCCCCTTTATTGATGCAATTTCCAAAGATGCCATCTCCTTGACTAATAATTGCTCGATTTGGGAATTTCTAACGAGTTTAAGTGATAGTGGAGGCCTGGTTTAATGTCTTGGCACATTATTCGTCACGAAACACTCAGAAGAGCATCACGGGACAATACAAAAGATCCAGACCGTCTTGTCAACACAAACGAAAGGAATGGGGTGTATCGATAGACCCGACAAATTGGATTCTCAAATTATTGGTCGAAAGTGAGGTGATCTTCTCACCCCCCCTCGCGGAACCGGGGACGAACACCGCTTTCGAGGTCCCGCTCTGTCAATGTCTCATTCGATGATCTTCATGTCTCAATCTTCTAGACCTCGAGGACCTCATCGTAATCGTCAGGAACGGGACACCAACGGGCGGGCACCAACTTTGGGTATTCAGATCCAAACCCAGCGCAGCGGAGCGGGGCTCATTAGCTAAATCCATTCCGCTTTTTATCGTAAATTGAGACGCTATTCGCTTAGGGCAAGCCATACTATCGATGTCGAAACTCAATATGACAAACTGTGACTGCTTGTGAATGAATCCAATACCAATACCAAGCATATGGATCTGCAGGGTCAGGTGCGAGAAAACCCATTTTTAGGAGAGGGGAGAGGAGCCTAGCAATCAAAGAACCTGGTATACCGGTAACGATAATGGTAGCCCCGCGGTAGCTCGTTGACAATTCGCAAACTGGAACTATCTCAAGCGAATCCCCCAAATTGTCAAAGTCTCGTCTGCTCTAAACGATTCAGCCACGTGCATGGCCACAAATATGGGAGGGTATCGCGAAATGAGATTGAAGATGGCCGCTGACGTAGGCGATGCATTGTTGTAATCAATCTCATCTGCAGGACGCATATATCCAAATCCAAACAAGTCTAATTAAAAATCAACTTCAGCAGAAATTGGAATGGTATGTAACCAAGCACTCAAAGCCAAGCGGCAACAATGGCTCGCCTCTAGCCGTGGTGGCCTGGCCTCGCCCCCTTTGTGCGACATCATCATCACCGTTGCATCCAATTGTGTGATCAGTCTTCCCCACGAAATTGTATGAGTTTGCTTCCCACGCATGCGAAACCCCCCACCACGATATACAAAACGAGCAATCAAATACTCCCATTTGGCGAGGGCATCTACTCATTACGGCTTCATCAAAGAGGCGTCCTCCCCCAATTGGGGCCTTTGAAATATGTGGGGGGGCTGTTTGTACCCCTCGCACATGACCAGTCTCCCCCCATGTATAAACCATTCCTTTTTGCAGGTTTTAAAACTCCATTTTTAGGTCGCCGAATGAGGGTTCGCGTCCCCTCCAAATAGGTAGCAGGTTCTGACGCCAAACATGAGAAACAAATCAGTAACCCTTTTTCTATTTCTTGGTCTTTGGAAATTTGAAAACGGGGTGAGCAAGAAATCCTACCGGTATGCCTCGCACGGAGGGCTTCGTTATCAAAAATAGCGTCGACCTTCCCGTTGATAGGCGTTAAGCGAAACGTGGGAATTGGTTATTTCTTCAAAAGTTAGAAACTCCGGGGGGGTTTAAACTTCATGATCAAAAGTGTAAACCCGAACGACCTGGGACCCCCAATTTGTCAAACTTGGCCCTGAAGGCTTCCCAACCAACCAATTTCAAATATCAAGCACACCATCGATATAAAGCAAAAATGTAGCCGGCCGGTTGATTTTGGGTTTTCTTCAACGCCCGTTGTTTATGTCTTTTTTACCATGTGGGCATTGTTCGTGATTTGAAACGTGACCCCATGGGATTCATTGTCGGAGAGAATAGACAATCTTAGGAGCTTCCTATTTACTAATTGATTCATGACGATCCTAGGGGAGAAGTATGTACAGGCGTCTTTCGACAGTATACCCCGGGGCATATTCTCGCATAACCAAGCACAAAAAACCTTAAAGTCTATCTTAGGATAAAAGAGGCATGCTCATTGGGTGTAAAGCATAGACCCTTAAAGCACCCAAGCCTCCCGAAAGAAAGAAAAAAAACTATAACATATATGTCTATGCTTTAAGCAATTCGACACTACTGCACTTACGGAGACATATTCCACAAACCAGCTTACCCGCTTTAACCCAGGTAATCGTATCCCCATTTTCGTCCAATGTTAAACTAATCTAATGCAAAAAATACTTTTTTCGAACGACTCAAAGAAAATAAGATCTTCATGGTGCACGTGGACCATACACATACATGGTTTCGCATATCTGGTCCCGATATCTCGAAACCATTACGAAAATAACAGATCATCTGGCAAAAAGCCTCAATTCCAGGCGCCCCGCATCTCGTGCGGTATGTACGTATGTATGTAGACCAAGAGGAAGAGGCAAACCCTAATACATAGAAAATACAATTTGTCAATGCAGCCGGAAAATCCTTCTCCCTTTCCTTGGCCAGAAGGGGACTTCGAACGCCCCGCCTTCGATCCCGACGCCGTCTACTACATACTACACTATCGGATGAAAAAGAAAGAAGCTATTCCCGTAATAAGTCACTTGCCCCGTGAATTGGTCTTGAAAAAAATTCGGAACAAGGCAAGACAAACCCCAATTACGATATTTGGCGGGTCCTCGTGATGAGGAGCATTTTTTTTTTTTTCCTTTTCGAATGTGCTTTTTGCGGCTCCAGCTGCGTACCGCCTTTTTTATATGATAGAAAAATTTTCATCCCATTCTCTTAGTACTAGTGCGGTGTAGGTCTCAGCTGTAAAGCTTGTATACTTTGCTATACTACAACACTACATACTAGCGACGGCGATATGTTCGGGGACAGTTCGGCAATTTCCAAGGTATCGGGTATACTAGGTCAAGCATGCCTGATTTTTTACTCTGTCTTTCTTTCTTTCTTTCCTTGTAATGAAGCAAAGTACTTTGACCAGGTCTACACGCAGTACGCAGCACGCGCACGGAGTATGGTATTTATGTAAGTACGTACAGGCACGAGGCCTGGTACATAGACACCTTCTCTTTTCAGAAATCATACGATGTCACCAGCATCAAGCATCCAAACCACAATGTCTTCCTAAAAAACAAAAATCCCTTTTTGAGAAAGAAACATGACCAAGCGCCCCCTCGGCTCCCCGGGAAGGGACCATATATATAAAACTCTTCATTTAGTCCTACTACTAGCTTTCTCGATCCACTCGGCGGCCCCCCAAGTTCTGCCCACATGCTCGTTTTTCTTTCTTTCTTCCCCACGAAATTATAGATATGTAGATGCCTGATGTAGCAAACTTCTAGACGAGTCTCACATCCCATTCATCCACATGTTTAACGAGCTACTTTCCATACACGAGAGGGAAAGGAAAAATAAGCGGATTAACTAGGCAGCCAGAAACGTGCTTTGCTCGGTAGACCGTTTGGCCACAGCCACGAGTAAAAGAATCAAAGAAAGACAGAAAGAAAGAAAGGATATGATAATCCTAGACAAGCTTCTGATCCCAAGCGCCAGGGACCAGGTTCGATCGAATGAAAAACATTAAACAAGGTCTACCAGGGACTTTAACATCTTTGGACCCAGATTCTAGGTACGTACCTGATTGAACATACATACCCCCCCGCTTTAGATCCACGCGCCCAAATTAAAGATTTTGATAAGCATTCCAAAGAGATGCAAGGTTGCAACTGCGACCTGGGGGTCCAGAGAGCTGGAGGGAAATGGTTTGTATTGGGAGAGGAGGTTATACCGTCTGGTATATACCATATAATGTATAATGTACGTGCATATGATATAGCTACCTACTTACTTACATATACAGACGAAGCTGCTATGGTGTCCATTATCGTGGTTGATATGATATCTATCCTACTAAGTACCCCCGACCTAGTCCATAGCTTATATTATACTTACCAGACCAGCTTATACTCTGAAATACGAGGTCGAGCAAAAGATCTGATCCTAAACTACCTATATACCGGCATATGTATGTATGTATACCTGCATCTCTATGCTATCTAGAAATAAGAAATAGTAGACCCGTGAGCAGATATCGATATCTATGCTATGTTGTACATACAACCAAATGGGGTTTCTTCCCCCAAAAACCTCCTCGTAATCGAAATTCAACGGGTATCGAGTTTTCTTAGCCTGATATGCTTATCTTCAACTTCGTGACCCACGCAATCTCCACACTCTCCCACACACACACTCCCACGCACTACTACACCCTCCATCATGTACTTATGTAGGTAACATATGCAAAGAGCCATCCGGCCGAATAGCCGCGCCCCGCTCTTCTCGCTATATTATAGATCGATATCCCACCCGCCGCCTTCTAGCTCCTCTTGAAAAGATTTCTTTCGTAACCGAAAGAAAAAAAAAAGGTTAGAGACGACATCCCGCCCCTCCACTACAAGAAAGAAAGAAAAATAAATAAAGTTGTTGTAGTATACTAGTAGCGAAAGCGGTCTCCGTGATCATATGCTGCTCGCCGTCCTACAGGGTCCTACGATCAAAATCTGTGGCAAGTTCCGGTTCCGGACTTGAATTCTACGACTAGAAAAAAAAGAATAACAAGACTCTTCCGATATTTACCGTCCGAGAATCATGATCAGTTTGGTAATCCACGAGAATTAGAGTATACAATTTTGCTTTTTCTTCTTTTCTCCCCCATCGACTTTTTTTTTCCTTCTCTCTTCTCCTATCGACCATTTAGGATTCTAATAAATAAGAAGATTACATCTATGAACGCCCCGAAGCTGGTGGTATGATGATCATGATAATGCTGAATTTTCGAATGGGTAAAGGAAAAATCCGCATCCGCAGCTGATCGAGCTTAGAGGATGGCGAAAAAAATAAACAGGAGAACAGTGCACTGCATGCGCCCGGAAAAACCCACCCTGGCGCAAAAAAGCGACAGGCCGGCGGCCTATCCGCACGTGAAACAGTCGTATCTGCATGCACTTCTATCACCAACAAACCCCCGCACTCGAGGTTTTTTAGAAATCGTCTTCGCCACTGCCTGACACGATGACATTGTTTATCTAATCGAGAATAGAGCACGTGTTAGCATCGTTCTCGTATCAAACGTCGAATGGTTATACTGGGATGAAACACTCTTTCTTGAGCTCATCTGCAGGGCCGCGTATTTTTCCCGTCCAATATAAACTTTTCAAACGGTGGAGCGAAACCGTTAGGCAAATATGATTGTGATGGTGTATAGCATACCTTCAAGACCATACGGCAGAGCTGGGTGGCGAGCATGAGCTGCTCCCGCTTGCCTATCAAAGGATCAATAACAAAGTGTTCCCTCATATCTGTGTACAGCCCGAAGCAAGAAAAAAAAAGTCAGCAGAGTTCCCTGTTACTATTTGTAAAATTCGTAATTTGAAGATGGTGTGATGAATTTGCAACATAAGATCGGTTGACAAAAAGTTGCTGGGCACCTGTGGAATTGAGCTAGCATCATGAAGCAAGCTGTAATAAGATGTCGAACAGTATGGACAGCGGCTCGGATAAATTGGCGACCACGGTGGAAAAACCAACAGGCGAACAGCGAACGATGCATACCAACAGGGGACCCAGCAAGTTTGGAAATCAGGCACAAGGGGAAATAGAAGGAGATTGAAGCTCCAAGCTTTTGGGCTTACCGTTACTGCCTGTTTGCATGCAATCAACACCGAGTCGGAAGCTCTTCTCCCGAACTTGTCGAGATTTGATCTGGGCTAGGGTCTCGATGGGTGATAGGCCAGAGTTCTCAGCAAGGGCCATCGGAATCGCATCAAGTGCATTGGCGAATGCTCGCATGGCATATTGTTCCAAACCGGGTCGCTAGAAAGATGAGAGGTCATTTGATCAGCCATTCCAGATCTTTGGTATTCCCAGCATCAGAAACTGCAAGGTAGGGATGGTGTAGGTGGCAATTCGTAATTCCTCTTTCAAATGCGCTCTGTTAATATCTTACCTTGTCAGCTTCTTCAGCTACTTTCAGTGAGCATGCAATCTCAGCCGCTCCTCCACCATAGACGATGCGGTTATCCTTGACGAGATTCCGTACCACACATAATGCGTCATGTAATGCTCGTTTAGCTTCGTCGATGATCTGTGTATCCAAGTGGGAAATTAGCCAGTAACTTCAACCGGTTTTTCGCTTCCAAGTGCTTCAGGATAGTGTAACGATGGAGTTAGGTTGCACTAATATTGTCAAGTGACAGCTTTTTGTGCAAGGTACTAAGTTGAAAATGCCACAAAGCATGGATACTCTCGCTACAGAAGGCATATTTTTCTGTACCTGACTCTAGCTTCGTTATGCTATGCCCTGCAGGATGGGACCGTGCTTACCATCTTGTTACTTCCTCGCACGAAAACAGTGACGGCCCGGGTATTGGCACAGTCCTCGATGACTAGCATTCGATCTCTGGTGGTTCCAAATGAAAGTTCCCTTACGATACCAGCTCTCCCTAGCTTCTCAGCCGATAGGTCTTCGAATCTGGGTACGATCCTTCCGTTCGTGGCGATGGCGATGAGCTCGATCTCAGGTCCTCCTACCCACCTGACCGCGGGAAGTTCGTTCTGTAACAGAAGATGGTTGGCTTCGTCGTCAAACCCCCACTGGCAAATGACCAAGTTGGCACCAGTGTCCTTGATTTGTTTAACCATTTCCTCGAATTTGCCTTTCTCGTAAGCTTGGAGCTTCTTAAACTCATCCACGCTAGTGATATCTAGCTTATGCTTTGTCTTTGGCTTTGGGGGCTCGAATGCGCATGTCAAGATGGCAAGCTTTGCGTCCTTCACTACTCGGGGCATCTGAGGATGCGACATGTCTTTGTCTATGATGACGCCCTTGACTAACACGGAATCTTCCAGGGCACCTCCAACCTTGCCGTCGACCTTGATGAGCTCGAAGTCAACATCCTTTCGCTCCAAGTCTGCTACCGCCAACACTGCATCAACGGCAATCTTGGTGAACTTGTCGTGGGCTATCGATACGCTATAATGCCAATTTATGTTAGCTAATCGTCTGTAAAAGGTCACCTGCCGGCTAGGCAACTATCTCAAGCTCAACCTCCGGGCCTCGAAACAGATGTTACAGGCCCTTAAGTTACAGCCATTTTGTCGCACGGGATACTAAGACACATACATCTTACTTCCCAAGCTGGTCTTGGCCGATCTTAGCAAGTTTTCCGTGTTCTCGCGTGTGAAATCTACCACGTCTGAGATATTATCTAGATGTGCAACGGCAATTTCGCAGGCTTCGTCGTAACCGTCCGCGATACGTATCGGATGAATGCCTTTATCTATCAGATCCGCAGCTTGTTCCAACAATGCCCCGGCTAGTACGACAACGCCTGTGGTACCATCACCGATCTCGTCATCTTGAGATTTTGATAGCTCGACGAGGAGTTTTGCAATATGATTTGTGATTTCCATCTGCAGGATGGGATGGTGATGTTAGAATGACATTTTAGCTGCAAATTGTAGCACTGGACCACAACTAGAAAAACTTAAGGGGTTTCATGCTCGAACCTGACTCAAGATGGTAGCTCCATCGTTTGTGACAGTAATATCACCGTCTGGGGATATTAAAATCTTATCCAACCCTCTTGGTCCCTAATTCGCGTCCAAAATTCAACCAGTCAACCTTCCGTTCATCCCCGGTATATGCATGGTATTACGTGATATCGTGGTATTTGTACTGACTAAGGAGGTCTTGACGATATTGGCAACAGTCCGGGCAGCTAGGATATGGGATTTGACAGCTTCGGTGCCATGCTGTCTCTGCTTCCTTCCCTGGCTGTATATTGTATATTTGAATTAATACTTGTTCGACATCCGCAAAAGCTGGCAGAAGTATACATAGAGCTGATAGGACAAGGAATAAAACATACTCTCTAACGACGATGAAGGGTCTCCCCATTTCGTCCTGCACCAGGGCAGCATTCGATAGATCGAGCTGATTCATCGTGGGCAGCTTCTCCAACGGCCTTCGCGACGTGCTATTAACGAAAAACGGTTTATAGTGGTATCAACGGAGCTGGATGCTGTAGTAGCTTCTGAACTGTGAGGATGTTACGCGGAAAGGGGTATTTTCAAAGCGTCGTGTATTCGTTTCTGCCTGCTATGAGCTTTCGTAGTGGGGCCTAGTGCGAGGTTTCGAATGTGCAACGACAAATTTATCGTTGGATAACCAATCAGTGGCGGTGCAGCTTTTATCGATATGGAATCATGCGCCACACGCAATGCGGGCAGGTTGTAGGTGTGGCTGGGCATGGGCGCCACACTGCGTTGTTGGGTGAACGGGTGCCGCCAATATTTTGCGTGCGCTTTGTTGTGCTCCGGATTGTGCGACAAACTCCCCATCACCAACCTAGCTACCCCCATCGCATATCGTCAGTCCTTAGCTTCATCTCCTTCATATCCATCGCCAACATCACACGACCTCCTACTGAGCCTCATTGCGGGTCGCACTATTCTAGCTTAGTGTAATTAGCAGCTAGCTGCCATAAGATTGACAGCTCTATCAACTTTAAACGCGTTTTCCAACACTGCAAGCTCTAAACGAACATCGCGATAGCAAATATGCCGTTAATGGCAAGTGGCCGACGTTCCGCTTCCGATCAGGGCGGTTCCTCTGATGAAGAGATGAAACAAATCGAAGAAAAGCCCGGTGAAGAGGAAGAAGAAGAAGAGGGAGAAGGCGAAGAGGGAGAAGAAGAAGAGTATGTGGTCGAAAAGATTTTGGATCACAAGTATGAAGATGGGGTATGAGGGCAATTGACTCTATTCTATATGAAAGGGCTAATTGCTAATTGGCTTCTTTGCTGCAGATCCTGAAGTACAAGGTTAAATGGAAGGGCTACGAAAAGAAATCTGATCAGACCTGGGAGCCTGAAGACACTTTGGAGTGAGTGTATTGAAGTCGCTCCATTTATCACTGATTTTGCTGACAATTTCGAACAGAGAACTTGTTGCACTAGAGGAGTATCTTTTGGTGATCGGCGGCAGGCCTTCACAGACACCTGGTAAAAGAGGTCGCAAATCCACAGGCGGTGCCTCTACGCCGGCGCCGAAGAAAACCCGTGTCAAGCAGGAGACTGCCGGGGAGGACGAGTGGGATCCCCCAGCTGGTAGTTGGGAAGACGACGTTAGAATGATTGAGACTTTGGAACGCAATGGTGGAGATCACGTTTGCTATATCCAATGGGTCAACGGCCGACGAAGTCAGCATCCTCTGCACGTTGTTTACCAGCGTTGCCCGCAAAAGATGCTCAAGTTCTACGAATCTCACTTGTAAGTTTCGAAACCCTTCCAGCAATTTTAAATTTAAATGTGAAGCTAACGGTTTCTTATTTAGGGTTTTCCGTGATTCTGCTGGGACTATGTAAGATGAACCTTGCGATTGTATATTAGACCATAATGCATTTACGCGATGCTAATCATGGTGATAGCAAAACGGCGCCGCAGTAGCTTGACACCACACGATTAAGCCTGCTATCTCGCTCGCGTTGCTCGTCTCTGTAAACCGAAGTGTCCTTGAAAACAGATTCTGAGACTGTCTTAAAAGGTTCTCACGGCATACATCCCTATCGATATTTCCATGTCTTCAACTCCGGACTGGAAAAGCAAGTTCAGTCTCGTTCATGACATTGCAGTGCGTTGGTTTCCCGAAAGCTACGCCAATTATTGATCAGTCCTAATTACTCCTTTAGTAACCCTAAACTCTTCCTCCTTATCCTTCCTAAAGGCACTCGTCTGCCAATCTTTTCTTCCCGTCTGTCTATTTCTCCTCGCAGTTTGGCATTTGCTATTTCCTGACCTCTTCCTCTGGTGTTCCTCCTTTTTTTACAGCGAGCTTGTTTCCTATATTATTCTTCAATTGAGACATACTTTAATTACCCGCGCGAGCGTGTTTAGAAGGCGACACATTAAAGAATGCAATGATATATTGATGTCTGAGGGGCATCGCATTATGAATATATTATATTTTCAAGGAGGGATGCTATTCATGAGAAACCAGAGAAGCGAATATTCGTAAATCTCGTATATTAAAAATGATGTCAGCGTATAACGACTCTATTCTAGGCTCTAGAGTACGATGCATCGATACCGCGTATGCATTATAAGATCCCGGAACCAAGTAAACGCAAAAGGAACCCTAGGAAAAACCCCCAATCAAGCAGTTGCTTGCTGCTGTTGTAGCTGCAGATAGTAATATCCACCAGCTGCGAGAGCGGCAGCAAGGACAGCGTAAACGATACCGGGGCTAAAAGAAGTTAGCGTTTTTGGACACAAGGATTCCGGAACACCGATAGCAGGCAAGTTGCGAAACACAACTTTACTACACTCTGTGTTCCGTGTATTTGTTTTGGAGGAGAAGAAAAGAGGGAACGGAACAGAGAGTATTTGACGTACAGGCCACCTGATGATTCGCCAGACGATGAAGCAGCAGATTGGGATATCTTGATTGGTTTCGGGTCGTTCTCCTATATATAAAAGATGTTAGACAAAGCCACCATTACAACATTTCTATAGACCTGTAATGTGACCACATACGTTTCTTTTTAGGTTTCCAATAAGATATTTGCTAAGGATCTCTCGAGCTTCGTCCGAATGTCCAACATCCTACGGTTGAAAAAAATTTTTAAAAAAAAATGTCAGCAACTCCACTCTACTAATTCGTCCAAAACAGCGGCAAGAGCGAACTGTCTAAACGGTGGCGTGACAATCGTGTACCTCGAAAGCCTCTGTTCCATCCTGACCAGCAACGTCCAGCATAACCTCTTCACCTCCCCTGTCATGTGATTCGAACACACATTAGCTCAAGTATCCAGTAATATAGCTCGGAAAGGGGCTTACGAGCTGTCAAACAGATAGTACATACGGATGCTCATCAACGAACGGCGACACGTCGTAGACTTTATCGTCAATGACGACGTACATGCTCTCCTTGGTGTCATGCGCCGCTACATCAGCGTAGGTGTATTCCTTTGTTTCGGTCGCCATTGTATCTTCGAATTTAATTCAATCGGGTATTCTGTAATTCTAAAATGGATGTATATTGAAGAATCGGAAAGGTAATAGATGGATCCGTGTCTAGGTAGTGGATATTTGTCCTTTTGGGCGCAAGAAGCGAGTGAAGAGGTTGAAGGAGGAAGAAGCTAGGTATGTTTCTTTTAGTGACTTGGTTTTTGGGATGTGGTTGGAAAAGAACAGCAAATAATTCGTTGAGAAGGTTTCACAGGGCGCCAAGCAATCAAGCTGCCGGCCTTATTTAATCTCGTATCAACCTTTCGTGTTCGGGAAACTGACAACCGATTCGCCGGGGGGGAAGCTTAGTCGCACGTGCAGGAGGAGCTGCTAATCTTATATTCTTACCTAAGTCGAGTACCTTCTGTCTGCTTCTGATAGCGGATCTGTACCAGCTGTATACGGCCTATTAAAACGGGAAATACTCACTCCCACGGCTGAAATTGTTCTCAAGGGAGGTGCTCGATCTACGATCGATACGATTGGTTGTACAGGGAATAGATGTCGGTATGTACAGTACATGCAAGGTACGATGGACCGGAATCGGGCTCAATCAGAGCTTCTCTATGATCAAGACTGGTCGACGAAAGGAATCGTGTATAGAAGTAATATATATCCAGAAACAGCAGCTATGGTTTAAAACCCAGGTATCAAAACTAAGTAAGTTGTAAAGAAACAAAAAAAAAAAAAAAAAGCCGAATTGGCGGATAGCAGGGTCTACTAAACAGCATGCTCGCAAAAAATACAAGACAAGAAAGGATAAAGGTTTTAAACTAGTACCGACCGGGGAATGTCGGAGTTGCAGAATACCATGCGGCACCTATAAAAAAAATTGAAAGGGATCGGGCTTCTAGAATGACATCGGGAGAGAAAGGGAAGAAGGAGGAGGAGCACAGGGATTTAATTAAAGGGAGCCCAGGGAAGATAGGAACTGGTGTGGATCGAGGGTATAAAATGTAGGTGTTCGTAGCCAGAAATCGAAGTACTTGTATATCCTCTTGTTTTCCGAGGAGTCAACTGAAGAGTATGGTGAACTGTGGGCCGGCGATATTAGACGGTATGGGAAGACCAATAACAATTGCCAGGCCTAAGGTCAGAGGTCTTCTGGCGGTTCAAAATCTTTCAATTCCTTCTTGAGATAATCAACCAGTGTTTGTGCTGTCACTTTGAGAACCCCCATTGCCCCTCCACTACTGAGGCCTCCACTGCCAGCCGCCGACGTTGGTCCTCCGGGTCCGGGTCCCGGCCGAAGTGACGGTCCGACGCCTCTGGAAGATCCAGCCCCGGGGTCGTGATCCGAACCCTCGTTCGAGTGTTGACTTGAACTCGACGACGGATGCCCGGTCCCTTGCTTTCCAATCATCCCAAGAAGCATTCTCGGCGAGACAAGCTGTATGTGAAGGTTATACTCCGTTAATTCCACAGTGAGAGTCTTGACATGGTCCTGGCTTCCAGAAGATCCCGACTTAGAGTTAGAGCTCGAGCTCGAGCTAGCCGCCACGTTTGTTGGTACTCGTCCGGACGATGTCGAAGGAGTCGGTACGGCATCTTGTGGTACGGAAGGTATCGCCTTTTTTAGAAGACCATCAGTGGCTACGCGTTCGTACGTGGACCAGATATTCGCAGCCAGAGCAGCGTGTACTCTCGCCTTCTTGGCATCTGTAGAATTCGGTGGGGCGGACGATGCTAATAGGTTGCCTGACGGTGTGAACAAGCTAGGTTATATGGACAAATCTGTTAGTAATAGAAACCGGACAGGCCGACGGAACCACGCAGCTAGGTTGTAGAAGGTGGGAGGGGAGGGGAGGTGAGGGGAGTGGAAGTAGAAGTGGAAGTTGAAGATCGAGGAAAGAAAAAGGATGGTGGAGTGGTGTTTGTGCAGATTGTCCCTGCCCACATCTTGTTTCTTATTTTTTTATTTTATTTTATTTATTTTTATTTGATTGTTCTCGCAACTTACATTACCGAAGACACGTGCTCTGATAGCGACTGTGAGAGCAGCGCATTTAGCGGCTTTGTCTTGAGCATTTGGAGAAGACCGATGAGAAGGAGGTTATTGAACAGAAGTCGCTCTTGGTAATGTAATGTAACGGGTGCAGTTTAGTTGCATGTAAAGCCTTGGATTTCTCGAGTAAACGTAATGTCGTAAGAATTTAAGGAAGAATTAGAATTATTCAACCGAAAAGGTTTTTGGGCAGGCCGGTCTGGTCTGGTCTGGTTCGGTCTGGTCTGGTCTGGTCTGGGGGTTGGTGACAACTTCAACTTTATTAAGTAAGTAACGTTCCGCACAAAACAGCTGATAACTGAAATCAAAATGTAATCGATGGGCGAGGTTTTATCGATTAGAAATTAATATTTCAATACGTAAGTACTTCTTCTTCTTCTTCCTCTTCTTCCTGATAAATTGGCAAGTAAAGGCTAGAGGGGAGGGCAAGACAGGCAAGAAGGAAAAAAAAAAAAAAAAAAGAATCGTATCGATCCCTGTTTAGCCGCAATGAAGCCTTGCAAGAGATGTTGGATTTCGACGCCTGCTAACTGTCGACTCGTCCCAGAGACTCGTTCGCAACTTATATTAGCATGAGCTATGCATACAAGCGGATACTTTTGTGGCCCTCGCCTCTGGTGATGCACTGGGTCCAAGTCCGTCGACCCTGAGTCCATGCAATCTTGCTACCTAGCCCCCCAGAAAGCGAACTAGCTGGTCGTACACCCTTGAAAGATCGGATTTCCAACCAGAAAATGCAAAGAAGTGGGGACCTCGTGGGAAAAAAGAAAGAAGAAAGAAGCAATGGCTGCTCAGGCAGGTGGTGCTACAGAAAACTCACAAGAGTGCTTTCCTAAGCAGTATATAATATCAGGTAATGAATTGGTGAAATTGAAGTCGTTTGAAGTTATGGGACCCCACGATACTTGGTCATATGCACAAATGCCCACGCTGGTGAGTCTCACGATTCTTTTTATAGACTATCTGCTAACGTCGTGCGATCTTTTTCTAGTCGACTCCTTCTACGGTACCTCCGGGGATCTCCCCTTCCTGAGAAGGGATTCCTCGACAAGCCGGCAAGATGCAGAGCAGATGCACTGCGCTGCAGTACTGTCCACTGGGCTCCGGTGCACTTAACGGGAGAGCTCGAATCAAATACATATATAGTTCGCTCGTTAAAAGGCCGCGAAGCCTGCACCCTCTTCCGCTGTTCTAAGATGGAAATCTTGAATTTTCACGAAAAGGGCAGCGTGGGAGTACAACAAAAGAACAACGGAAAAAGAAATATCCGGCTGCCTTGATCTTGAAATATTAATATTCGGTTCTGATCAAACTGCATCATAATCATCAGATCGAGCGCTTTAGGGTGGATATAAGCAGAGCCTATAGCCCTATTTTCCCCTAATATCGCAGAACTTCATTCGTTGGGGTACTTCTCCGATTGGAAAACAGACCCACGCCATTGGGTCTGGACCCATAAGCTTTCCCGCTAGCTTAAGGCGGTTTAGATGAGTTGACGGAGTATCAGAAACGGAGAGCAGGCTTCTTCCTTGTTGAGCCTCAAATTGACTGGGCTTGGTTGGAATCGACCCGAATTGATTCTCTCGAGCTTCAAGGTCTGCAGGAAGAAATGGCCCAGTGATATGACGCTGTGTTTTCGTCACTCGCTGATTGGAAAAGGTATTTTGACACCGAGCGACCAGACCCTTGGGATGTTAAGCTGAGCGATTTTTTTTTTGCTTTTAGTTAATATCGCGAAACATCGGTGAACTGGCATCGAAACCCGAGTTCGAGAGATTTCCAATATTTTCGCCGATGGATGTGAAATTTGGACCCCCTAACCGAACCTACGTGCGTCTGAAGAACTTTTTTACATGTTTCAGAACTCGCCAGCCCATTGAAAGGGTTACTTTCGGGTTATGTGTCGGGCCTAGCGAATAAAGATCTTGTGTACCAATTGGCAGTATATTGTCTCCATACGCCCCAGTGGGACGCTGCACCGTGAGGATTTTGTGATTACCAACGTTTCGCCCGGATCAAGGAAACGTGTTTGCTGGTTTCTGGTGATATTGTTATTGGAAAGAAAGGAAATTCGGTCTAAAATTTCCGGTGTGAATGAACTTGCAGTTTTTTTTTTAATTTAGAATATGGGGCATGTGCCTTAATATATCGGTGTCTCATATCTCAGGTTTACCATAGTTATTGGTAGCCTAACGGTATCTTCAACAATTTAGCTCAGAACTCCAGCATCGACTTTCTGATCTGGGATTTTGCTCCCGAATTATTGGCATGGCTGGATTTACAAACGGGAAAATCCGTTTTTACCATACTCCTAGCTGTCAAATATTCTCGGCATGGTGGAATACTATTTGTAGATTCGTTCAACTAGTTGACAGTGTGTTTAACGTACTTCTATGCATTGCCTGTGGCCAAACTGGTCGATCCCGGCACTGAAAGATCCAGAATAATCAGCAAATCAAAGACATAGCTCGCCAACTTGTCGCCTAATTTTAAGTAGCTAGGCGAAAATCGAAAAAAAATCTTGTCCGGAACCCTTCCCTCGTATAGCTAGCTGCCGGGTCGAATCCGGTACCCTAGCTTATCGAGCTCCGAACAGGAGAATTGAAAAGAAAGAAAAAATTTTGCATAGGCGCATATGCATGCCGCAGACTTCTTAGATGTTCTGGAAGCCTTTTGAAAGCTTTTTCTTTCTTAGATGAGGAGTATCCTTGCCCTATAGGATGAGAGCTATATAATTGAAGCTTCTAGGTCGGAACCGAATGGCATGGATTTTATATAGTTTAAACCGTTTGAAAATTCGAAAATTCCGTCTGATGTTTAGGTACCTAGTCGTATAATTCTAGAATTGGGAAAAATTAGGACTGAATTAGAGGTATTAACTTTGAGAAGTCAATATCAGAGATTTTCACGAGGGCGTACGCCTGGTGAGGCGAGGTCCGATTCCGGGGAAATTTCATTGATTGTTTCTCGCAATTAGGCCGAGTTGACCTATTGACGATGCTCATATATATCTGTTCGGATACATGAGCTAATAATGAATTAGAGTGAAGAAAATTATACTAAGTGAAAATTAGTACCCTAGTTAATTCTAACAATGCATGCCATGTTGTTAACTTCGGATGAAATTGAAGTAGCATTTTTGAACTCGAGGACATTTATGACTAGGTCTAGTTTGAAGTTTATGAAAAGTTGACAGCGATCTTTCAAAATCCAACATCATATATAACTTAATAAGCCTCTAGATATTATAGCCAAAGGGATACTATTATCCATTAGTATACACCCAGTCAAAGCCGTTGGCTGTGAATTGTGACTCCCTTAGGATTATACGGAAGAAGTTGGTTTCTTTTTCTTGACTTTAACATCATTTGACGCAGGGACCTTCGAGGCAGAGCTCCTAGTAACTCGGCCCGCTTTATCGGTACCATCGGTAAGTTTATTTTCTGCGGATCCGACCCTTTTTATGTGCGTTTTTGTGCTCGGTTCTTTCGAGGGGTCTTTTAGGGCTATATCTTTGGCTTGCTTTTCAACTGTCTTCTCTTCCTCCTTTTTGGATATAACTGGTCTGGTGCCATGTTTGGAGTTAATTCTCGACAGCCTTGCCCGAGCTCTGCCATCGTTGGCGTAGTTAGCCGCTTTCGCGACGGCGGTGTAGTCTATTTCACCCTATATTAAACATTTAGTGTTAGTAGTCAGGTATGTATATATGGTACAACTAATGTATGTCTCTATAGTATAGCAAAGTTTCTGTATACCAACTTACATCTGAAATAGAATCGATACAACATAGTAAAAACTCTAAATCGCTGAGTATTTGTTTGGGAGAAGATCCGGAGCTCGACATGCTAGGGCTCTCTAGGAAATTTGCTTAGATAAGGATTTCAGAACTAGACTTAAGAAATTGTGTCTAGGGCTATAGGGTATCTAGTACTTTGGTAAATGCTAGACTCGCCGTGTTTCTGGAATAGGTACTGGGTGAACTTAAGATGATAGGATCTACGCAGCTACGGGCTATTTATACCCCGGCTTTTGGGGGGTTGGAATTCCGGGATGTAGTATAGATGTAATGTCTGGCTCATTCCATGACCGGCATGTGTGTGAATCTATGCAATATATATTTTAGAACTGTTAAGTGGAAAACATGGTTTAAATTTCGGTCAGCATGAATTAATGGCGAAAAACTTATATGCGGGTTCAATACCTAGGTAATTATAGAATTTCAACGTTCTTATGGCATTTAATTTCATATAATACCTGTCACTTTAATAAAATCAAGGATACATCGGAACCTTTCACTCTCCCAATTACAACTACCATATATCTGAGGATTGAAGATTGAGGTAATCGATTATTCGAAGACAGAAAGAAGGAAAGAAATAATTCAAAGCAAAAAGATAAAAGATCCAGAGAAACGTGCCATCTTTTCATGAGCTTCAACCCCCTCATCTGCTAACTACTTCTTGAAGTTGTTCTATATTCATAGCCACCCGACGGATACTGATGATTATTCTCCATCCTCAGCCTTCTTGTCTTCGTTTTCATATTTCGAAGTGGTTTCTTCGATTTTTCTTTTCTTTCCACGCTTAGCCTTTGGCTTCTCGTCCGTTTCTTTGACTTTCTTGACTTGGGAGCTAGTATTATCGGCCTTGGCCTCTTTTTCATCCTTTTTTTCTTGAAGTTTTTTTCGTAAGTTACGCATGCGGTTTGCTGCGACAGCGGCGGAGGCGTAGCCAAGGTCTTTTGCGACTTTGTCAAAGTTGATCTTAAGCTGTTAGTAGAATAGTGGAAATTAGTTTTAAGAAGTCCTTTATATCACTATCCAGAAGTGTATATATCATGATATCAGATAAGGGACTTACATCGCCGTGGACATGTTCGATACAGCGGAGAAGGAACTCCTGATCACTGACGGAATTGGAATTGGAAACCATTCTGAAATAGCTATGGTATCTTAAAGAATTTGAGAAAGAGTCCGAAGATGTTTTATCTTAGGCTGCACAGCTGTATTTGTAGTGTGCCTGTCGATATATCAACAATATCGATATTGTGGCTAGAGATGTTGCAAGTTGGATTTATGATGGAACTTGAGGTCTGTTGTAAAGATCTTGATGAACAAGAAATATTCTTACTTTTTGGAACTAGTCACAATAGGCTTTTATCTATAGTGGAAGCATATGGTAGATTTCCTTCGGATAGATGTAGAATGTTCAAGATTCAGGCATCTAACTGCGAACGGTCCTCGTCTATAGTCTATGGGTTTCTATGACATGCATCGTCCAGTCAAGCGGCACCTGACATTAATTGCATTATCTATTGTACTAGTGCCCGCGATCCTTGTAGAAAGCCCTAACCGAAGTTTGAAAATATCTTGATATCACTCGAAGCAACTTGATATAAAATTCGTCTATCTTCCAATATAATTTAATATGCCAGGCCTTCCAGAAAGTCATCTTCGAGCACTCCAAAATACAACCTCCAACAACACGCATCTTTCAACCTCAAAACCAAGTCATATTCATTAAATTTCCCAGTTTGGCGTGAATTATTCAGCCAAGTTCTTGGTATTTATTTTGTCCATTTACTACGGTCGTATAGCTGCTTAGCTAAGAGTAAGAAAGCTTAACAAAAAAATGTCACGCGCTCACCCAGCCCCTGGCTCTGATACTATGAGAGAGCTGATCTTAATGCAGGCAATAATTAACGCATACAACGTAAGTCTACATACCTCTCTCTCTCCCCGCGGTATTCCACTTCAGGCAACTTGCATATTTACATCCATCTATGTCATGTTTATATAATTATTTGTGATCGAAAATATGTAAGATCGTGCATATACGCAGATATACGGCTCGGCCCCACATTCCGCTATTCTGATCATGTGTAGTCGACATGCATGAAGCAAGGGGTTGCATAAATTGACTGACTGATTTGAATAGGCACCTCCAAAATTTGATATCGCCGCAAAGGCTCTGGGGATTACTGTACATGCAGTTTCGGGGCGCTACAATCGTCTCAAAAAGAAAGTTGAAGCTGCCGGTCTCTCTCACCCGCTTTATGACATTGGAGAAGATGGGCAACCCATCAAGCGGGGGAGGGGGAGGCCTCCCAAGAGGCTCAAGACTCTCGCTTCAGACAAAGCTGTGCCCGCGGTATTTGCACAGGACCATGATGATGACGAAGATGACCCAGAGGCTCCGGGAGCAACGGTAGTTAACTCAACGACTGGGAATTCTAAGGTTGCCAAAAGTGGGGATAGGATCGTAAAACTGGAATATCCATCCTCAGACGGCGAAGGTTCTTTGGATACTTAAATCGTAATCCCCCCTAAACCTACTAATATCGGGACTCTATGTAGAGGGGAATGCAAATTACTCGGCCTTTATGGAGTTAGAAAAAAAGGATTTCCGTTTCTTTCGTTATTTTTTTCCCCCTTTCCAGTCGACTTGCAACTTGGCTCCAAATGGTATTTGGGAAGGGAGGACTAGTTAAGCTATGAATGACGCTCATTTGATCTGGTTTTAAAATTTGGTTACGCATATGGAGGGAGTAGGGGTAGAATATATCATTTATCAGCATGAAGACACTATCGATATGTCGACCTTAGTTTCAAGTCACGGATGGGAGATCGGGAACTGGGTATTTATTTTATTCGTCAGTAGGTGGTCGTACCGTGCTCAAAAAATTTCACTATGACTTAAATGGTGAATCTGCATGCAAGCATGGCATGGAATAATGATAACTTCAATTATTGCTCCCAACTGTAAAGTTCAATTCGAATTCAACTGAAGATCCATGGATCCAATCTCGTGCTTAAGCGCTTAAGCTAGATCGAGCTTGAGGGTATTGATATCGATATATAGTGGAGCTTGGATGTGTTGAGCTGTTGTGGATGGATTTGGTGATCTACAAACAGGGTTGCTGCTGTTCGGCAAGACCACCTCTCCCAAACTCCGTCATACCTTAAGCACCCTCACTGAATAAGCCTCACCCACGAGCTGTCGACAGCTTCATCGATCAACCTAGCGTTCCAATTTCTCGAACTCTGAATCAGTTAAGCCGGGCAGATTAAGCCATCGCTATATCTCGGAGTACTGCTCTCGTAGGCCCTGGTCTACTACCGCTATTGCCACCGGGCATCCCTTACGCTGCACACCGTACACATACACAAGATGTCTGCTCGTCGCGCAACCCCGTCAGCAGACAAAGCCGCGAAAAACCAAGCCGTCATAAAGGAACTGCTCAAGTTACCTAAGAACAAGCATTGCGCCGATTGCAAGAGAAATGCGCATCCGAGATGGGCTAGCTGGAACCTGGGGGTCTTCGTCTGTATAAGGTCAGCTCAGGGGACTTCATATGCCCCTAAACAGGATATTCACTGACGACCTGGGGTCCTATAGATGTTCTGGTATACACAGGGGAATGGGAACTCATATCAGCAGAGGTATGGGAATCTAGGTTCGGGTCGTTTGCAGAGCTTATTCACTGACGGTCGCAGTAAAATCGGTGGATCTCGACTCATGGACGGATGAACAGCTCCAAAGCGTTTTAAGATGGGGAAACTCGAGGGCTAACAAGTATGGGAAACTCCAATTTTTGATATTAACTACTGGTTGCTGATATTTTGTAGATACTGGGAAGCCAAGCTTGCACCTGGGCACGTGCCATCCGAATCGTAAGCTCCAAGTCGGCCCCTAAGAGCTATCCCAGCATATTGACGAGCAAATAGAAAAATAGAGAATTTTATTCGGACGAAGTATGAATCTAAGAGATGGGTTATGGAAGGTGGAATGCCAGATCCATCCTCGTTGGATGACTCGGATGCTGAGGATACTGTAAGTGTCAAGGTCTGACAGATTTCTAGATCCTGAGCTGATTAGACAGCCGCTGGGTGTTGTAAAGAAGAAGCAGGAAGCCCACGCTGCGTCCTCGCCGCCACCAGCGAGGAGGCCACCGCCAAATTTATTCGATGCAGACCCGATTGCGCCACCTACAAAAACGGCAAAATCTCCACCACCTGCTGCGCCTGTGGTACCGGCCCAGCAAGCTCAGAAGCCTGCACCCAAACCCGCGGATTCTCTCCTCGGCCTTGACTTTTTTGGACCAGCGCCAACTGGATCTCCCCGTTCAGCATCTGCGGGATCGAACCCTGCTAGTGCATCTGGCGGATCCACTAGACCAGATTTGAATCGATCAATCCTCTCACTTTACTCGTCGGCACCTAAACAAACTCAACGAGCGCATCAGCACACTAACTCTGGAAGCTTTGGAGGACTCGGGTCGCCGACAATGCAATCACCAACAAACAATACTGGTGTAAATGATTTGTCCGGTGCCTTTGGTGATCTGACTTTCGCGGCAGCCCCTGCTCCCCAACCAGCTGCGGCCCCTGCCCCCCTTAAGCCTTCGCCCTTTGCCAATCTCACAGCTGGTATGATGAAGTCGACACCAACGACTTCATACAATGGAGGCAGCAATGCCTTCTCAAATTTTGGTTCGGCAACTGTGACAAAACCTGCAGCTACTTCGTCATCTATGGGAGATTTGTTTGACCTCGGTTCTACTCCATCCTATCAACAAAAACCGGCCCAGCCTCAACCTTCGAGTAACCTTGGACTAGGGAATGCATGGGCCTCGTCCCCATCTTCCAATAATAATAGCGGAGGATCCGCTGGTTTCAATTGGAGTACTCCTTCAACGACAACAGCCTCTAGGCCACCACCAAAACCCGCTGTTGCCGACGATGACGACTTTGGAGCCTTTTCATCTGGTGGATTTTCTAGCAACCCCCCGGCTAACAAACCAGCGGTAAAGTATGACGACGATATTTTCAAGAACGTCTGGGGCTAGGTCTTTGGGGTTCGTATGGAAGTTTGGTATTCGAGACTGTGCAGTGTAGCTAGTGTTCATAGGCGAATGTGTATTGCATCGATTCTCTATTTCTCCTGTATCTTTTTGCTCGGGAATCTTAGATATTAATCCGTATCGTACATTGATACTTCAATTCATTCCAAAAAAGATTGGGTACGTATTTCTAGGTGGTTCGGGTCCTTTGATCATCTGTCGACGTCCGTTGTAGAAGGTATTCATATTTCGTATACTAAAAATACAACAAGGGTAACAACACAGACATTTCTTGTTCTAATTACAGAAATGGTAATAGTGAGTTATAGGGGTCCACTATCTATATCTAGATCCCATTTGGATTCGGTGGCGGATGTGCAGGATTGATATAATATGGCGGTGACAGCCCGTTCGCCGCAGGGTTATACTGTGTTTCCCATCCTGGGTGAGCGGTCTCGCCGTTCGTTAACCTCCAAGCTGTTGCATGATTTCCCCATTGGAAAGCCCACGAGCCATCTGTATCAACAATACCTGGACGGTAGCTGAATACTCCACGTCTCGCTAATCCCGCCGTGATCTGTGTAAGATCGTAATCAAATTGTGTATCTGAGACAATATCAGTGGCGAGCCAAGATTCATTGTCGGGACATGCGAATATTTGGGCGCGGGCGTATCTTTCTTGTTCTGTTTCTGGGCGGCTGCGAGCTCCGAAAGTGTTCGGCCCGCCGTGGGTTTCTAGGGTGTTAGTGTGGAAGACATGTACGTAGTCTAGGTAAGCGTCGGCGCCGAAAACGGCTTGGCTGCCGCCTACGAAGCCACGGATATGGTAATGAAATACGGCATATCGGTCTGTGAGATGTTCTTGAAGCTCAGAGATCATATGGTTTGGTTCTCGTCCGAGGAGGTAGACAACTGTGTCATGTATTGTATTAGTAACCTGTCACCCCTTCTACTTTAGGATTGTTTTAAGGAATACCTTCAACTATAGTCCCTGTACCCTGGCGATATCCAAAGAAACGGAATAACTCTTGTCTAAGCCGGCCTTCGACAATGAGCCGCAAAAGTCTTCCAACGGTTGGAGCATCACCCCAATTAGCTATAACCCGATTTTCGTCGAAATATGTGGCATCGAGTTCGCCGATGAATGTTCTTTTCTTCATGGGCATCGGGGCGAGGGAAAGCCCGGAAAGAATAATACCCCCTTCCATACCGGAGACATCTCTGCGTAGTTTCCTCGGTCCGCCGTGAACATGGCATAGCTGAGTAGCAGTTCCTAATACACGGTTGATGTACGAAAATGGGCTTGTCAGGCAGAACAGTCTCATGAGTTCTTGTACACGGTCACGGCCAGGGTAGGCTCTTAACCACCGTCCAAGAACATCAGTTGTGAGGCCAGTTCTGAAAACTGCAAGGTCGTTCCATTGATCCCGGATTTGACGTTGTAAGGCGTCGAGTGCTCCAGATGTAGCCACAAGTGCCAAAAGGTATAGATATTCTTCGTTCTTACCACCCGAGAACTGTCGTTTGGATAGGGAGAGCGAGCTAGAGTTACCAGGTGAACGAGTTTTCTTCAAGGATGCGAATTCAGGTACGTGGACAATCTCTCGAGGATTTAGGATAATATGTGGTGCAGGGCATTGGTTGAGCCGTGAGTTCAAGAAGTCGTCCGCCCAGTCGCCGAATGCTATTGCCCGACGATCGATTTGGCTTACACTTCTTCCCGGTGGATCACAGCAGAATGCCTTGCAGCCACTGGTTCCGAAGCAATCCTTTTCCATGTAACTGGCTGTAACGAGATACTTCCCCAGTTCGCATGGTTGGTTACATTCAGGCTGCCATGCACAATTGGTAAAGGGTGGAGGCTGGTCACAGCAGAAGCTCTTTTGTCCGGATTGGCAGATCTGTTCTCCGCCGTCCCCATCTCTAGAGGAAACAAGTTCCGTTCTGCCAGAGGACCCACAGCCTCTCTTACAGAATGGAGAGGTACTATCCCAATGGCATTTACCGATAGCTTCGACACTCTTTCTGGGTTCGCAACATAGTGCGCGGTGGCCCATACTACAACCTGAACTGTATATCAGAGGATATTATTCGCAAATATAAGAACCAGGTTATGAACCAACCTTCTGTACTTGTCCCGACTTCAACCCAACCTTTGCTACACCCACCACCGCAGAGTCCGGTGTTCTCTGCACCCCAGTTCCAACTACCCCAGTTCCATTCGCAGCGGGGAACATCATTACTAGGGCAGCAGAACAATCTAGTCTGACCAGGACACCTTCTGTCTCCATCTACTTGATTCCCCTTTGAGTTTTGTGCAGGCGACATTCCATCAGGGCAGCTACATCACCCATGTGAATTAGTTTCTAGATCATATTCAGGCACTAAAGAATCGGGAAAACCGAGGGTAAAATACCTCGCACCACATGCAGCCCATCTACATGTACTAAGAGAATCAGTAACAGTAACAGATAGAGCAACGTTATTGTTAATCTCTATTCGTCCTGAACCGTTTGGCCCGGACAAAGCCTGTGCAGCTTGGCCATCTTTTGTATCAAGAGATGTACTCCAAACCATAGTACCACCTAGACAGTTGCTATTTGCATAGTCAACCTTAAGTTTGATAGTTTGCGCATCATCCCATGATACCCATTGCTTCGCTCCGTTTTGATTCCATGTCACCCATTTTACACCAGCTACCGGATCATAAGTAACAGGATTTCCGGCAGCTACTAGGCGAGTAATTTCGCTGTAGGAAAGGTATCCTGCAGCGGCTGTACAAGCTCCAGGAGGTGATGCGGCAGAAAAACGACAGCCTGGGGTTGTGCAAGCTGGATTCTCGAGCTGGAAGGCTCGACCGTAAAATCCAATACCCAAGACAATATTGTCCGGATTGATGTTATTCCGCCATAGAAGTTTCAGCATTTGGTCAATCTCTGTAAGATTGGTGTGTGCACCAATATATGGACCGGTCCAAACTAATCTACGTTAGATCTCGAGACAAAACTTAAAAGTTTCTCCAGGGGGGAATATTTACCGTTTTCTTTGTCCCATTCACCTCTAAGATCATAGCTCATAACATTAATCCAATCCACAACCTTCTCGATGTTTACGATATCAAAGTGCTGTAAATACCAGAAAGATGCAGGAATTGTTATAGTAATACCATAATTCCTACCCGCACGCTGGAATGCGGTTCTCATGTTCCGAAGCATTGTCACAAAGTTTGCCTTGTCAGCAGGCGTACCGCTTCTTTCTGGAGCTACCGGATATTCCCAATCAATATCCACACCATCAAATCCGTAAGTCGCCATGAACGAAATCAAAGAGTTAAAGAACTTATTTTGATTCGTAGTAGACCCCGCGACATCAGAGAAAGTAGTAGCAGTAGGTTGATCTGGGTCATTCATAGACCATCCTCCGATCGCAATATAGACCTTAAGTGCGGGATTGGCTTTTTTAAGACTAGTAAGTCTTTTGTAAAGACTTGGGTCATGTCCCATGGGCGATACTGCGAATGTGACGGGGTCAATGAATGCAAATGCGAAGTTTAGATGTGTATAAGCCTTCGCATTAATATCTTCTGGCCAGATGGCATCGCACCCCCTTCCTACACCCCAACTCTCCCAGTAACCAACTGTGCGCTTGGCAGAGGTCCTTTTAGAGATGGGACATGAAGGGCTTGCAATCACATTGCTGCCGCAAAATTCAGGAGTAGTACCTATGTTGATAAGTTAATATTCCACTTCGCTGTATATGTCTCTCTTGAGGTATCTTTGGATACTTACCGCAAAACCCAAATGGACTGCAGCAGACATTCAAAGGACAGTTTTGACTAGCAGACCATTGCATTCCCCAGCCAGGATTGCAAGCCGATTTACGATCGCAATCGCTAATGCAATTCTCAGCTGAACAAGAGGTAGGACCATAGCCGCACCAACCATCTTTGCTACAGCATCCTTCTTTACACCTTTTCGTAGGTGAGCAAGTGAAGTCTTGGGCAATTGTCGTTGTAATCAAGAATAAAAAAGTAAAGGTAATAATATTAAGAAATGAAAGAGGCCGCCAATTGTGGGGATTACCCGTTGTAGAAGCCATCTTGGAAATAGCCAACTTCAGGCCACTGGCTTGTTGATGCTGGAACTTGGTGAAGTAACTTGGCTATCATCAAGGGGGGCATGGTGTTTATACACTTAGGTACCTATCATAACAAAATGATAATTGACAAACGGTTAGACAGAACTGCGATGTCGGCATCAATTGATGATTTGCTATCGTAAGCCAACTGACTTCATGATGTTTGTAAATCCGAAGAAATCATTTTTCATTTCCGTTCCACTGAGCTCGTCGTGAGCGGAGTGCATGATCCCATGCTCTCAAAATATTGAACTTATGAAGCCAAGATTCGAAAAAATGATGACAATGCATTTTTTAGATGAAGAGTCTATCGCTTTGACACCGAGATCTTTTGACGCCGACGGGAATTGCGAACGTCTAGTGGTCAGAAAAACAAATACTAGATCCCGCATCTCACACGGGCCCACTTAATTCTTGACCGAAGATCTCCGGATAGGTCGGTATTCACGGTCTGGTTGGAAATAATATTTGCATATATGATGTACTTAAGTACTTGTATAGCCTCAACATCATCTGATCCTTGGACGACATGAAGGCTGACAAACTCATGTACATGGGGCCAAAACCCTCGGTAAGAACCTCGAGCTGTATATCCATGGTTTATTGTCTTTTTGAGGGGTATTCTGCATGAATCCTGTATAGAAAATCATGTTTAAGCCTCGATTCGAATTTCATTGCAGGGTGGTACAATGACTGACAAGGGTCTTGACGATATCGACGGCAAAATAGATCGATCAACATGCAATAGCGTGAAGGATTCGTCCATTCAGAGCTTGTAAATCTCTCAGAAAACCTCATTTAAAAGTACCAAGGTACACAAGGCAATATACATGGCGCTGATACCAAGACCGATTTGCGATGCAGGACGTTGCTTACTTTCTTGGCCTAAGTGCTTGTCATAACATGGTGTAAACGATAAAAGCTCGAGCGTCGACGAAATACGATAAGCTTGGAATCGGAACATGGGATATTGCTCGCTTACACGGTTCAACCGGAGTGCCGTGAATAGGGGGCGGGAGATGGGCGCCTTCCAGATCAATGTACGGGCCTGGCGGGTGGTTTGTACCATGGCCCACACTGCCATATGGCTCGTGCATATTTTAAAGATCACTAATCTGGCAGGGAAAACTTTTAACGAAGAAGTCAATCGATTAACCAATTCGTCCAATAGGATTTTGTATACGATGCCGGTGCAGATGAATCAGAATTCACAGAGCTCTCTTAATTCTAGGGCTTCGCGCGGTTCGGATGGAAACCAGAAAGTCGATGTTGGAAGAGTGCGAGTGGCGCTCTTGTCGGAATATCTGCAAGTAAGATGCCAAGGTAGGTTTGCGACAGGGTACCTTCGAATCTGCAGGTACCTGCAAGCTTGCGCTCCAACTCGAGCGCCGACGAAAATACAACAAGGGCACCTGATATATTTCTGTCTCACGTAAATTAGATTATCGATATGCAGCATGGAGCTATCCGGGGAGCTCTAGATCGTGGAATGGCCGATTATCATGGAGCTTCCTGGCCCAACCTGGGGGGCCGATTTCGCAGGCCGAAGACGTATCGATTGTAATACCAGTGGATTACAATTTGAAAATTGGGGCGTTATGGACTTATCACATTACGACCTATGGGTCCAAAAGCCATGCAAACTAGAAGTGAACGATTGTATGATGATGATGGCCATGTTAAAAGGATATATCGTCGAAGTATCCCATCTTCTACTCCTGAATGTTCGGCCAGGGCTCACAATTACAAGCGTTTTTCGTTTTGACCTTTTGTATTGCCTGTAATGGCTCCCTACAAACATAATATCTCTTCAATGGCCCCTTTATTACTATCTATATGGCTCTATGCTATCTCTGTCTCTGCATCTTTCAAGTTTTTTGATGGGCCAACCGGCTTCGGCAGAACTCTCCATACACCTTCTTCGTCGTGTGCAGCCGCATTGAATACCACGATAAACTGTGAAGAGTTCTTGGTCTTGAAGGCTCACAAGAACGACTACAACTGGGGCAATGAAACACTCCAAGACCAGCTTTGTAATCCTAATTGTGGAACTTCTCTGGCCTCCTATTCTACTGGTGTAGCTTCCCAATGTGGGACGACAAATCTCACTTGGGAAGGACTCCCAAATACCTATTACGGGGATCGTCTAAAGGCATATTATGATTTGATCTGCCTGAAAGATGGTGATGGTGACTATTGTGTTCGTAAGTCGAAGTTTATTCTATATCGCTAAAATAATGGAGGCCAAATTTACTAACTTATTTTAATTCTTAGAGCTTCTGAACGACGCTATTACAGGTTTGATGAGCGATGATGCGAACCTCGGGAAGAAACTTGTGGACTTGCCTAACAGTTTCCTCTGCTCGGAATGTCATATAAAATATTTCCGCCAAATTCAGTCATCTATGTATTCAAACTACGATGAGAGGCTGGCAGCTAGCTGGAGGGCTATTCAGACAAGTGAGTGCTATCGTCTTGAACGTGGGTTATCAAAATTCCAAGCCTTAGGGCGGCTAATCTGGAATTTTATGTATAGAATGTAGCGTGACTTATCCGAGTGATGTCCAAGAATGGACTCTCGATCCTCCAATTCCACCAGACCAGCAACTCCCTCCTGGGTCTACCGCAAACCAAACCTGCGTATCGGGAAATTTTCATACCGTTATTTCCTCAGATACCTGTGTTTCGATTTCTAGCCAATATGATGTCAACACTTATGCCCTCCAAATTCTCAATGGTCTCTTCCTTGACTGCAGTAACCTAAAAGTTGGAGATTCCCTTTGCCTCCCGGAGCCATGTGGGGTTCCCTATCAAGTCCAAGAGGATGACTACTGTGCCGACATTGAAGTATCTCATGGTCTATCCCTCGGGGACCTGGTCAACTATAACCCCGGGCTTAATGTTGACTGTACCAACCTCTGGGAAGATTTTACAATCTGCCTTAACCCCAACGGTGGAGATTTCACCCCAACTACCATTGGCGGAACCGTCCCAACTCGGGTAGGAGAGTATGCCACGGAGACTATTTCTCCTCCCGGCCCTACTCCAGACGGTAGTACTCCTTATTGCGGAAAGTGGTATACTGTTAAGGAGGGTGACTTCTGCGAACTTATCAGTATAGCCGAAGGAGTCACATTAGATTTGTTCTACAGAATGAACCCTTTCCTCAACAACCAAACCTGCGAAAATCTTTGGGTTGACACAAGTTATTGTGTTTGGCCAATTGAAGGCTGGGATATTGTGGATAATGTAGAGCCACTACCCGAAGTAACATATACAGAAACAACTATTACAGCTCCAGCTCCAACTATCTCTGGAACTACAACTCAATGTTATAAATGGCATGAGCGAGAGGAAAATCAGACCTGTGACGAGCTACAGGCAACATGGGGTGTTACCCTTGAGGAATTGCGTCTTTGGAACCCCAGTATTAACTCAGGATGCTCGAATCTGCAAACCGGAAAGGCATACTGCGTTAGAGGGCCACTAGATGATCCTATCCCCTCAATCACTGGTACCAGCGGACCAACCGGAACTCGTTCTACAACTACAGCAAGAACATCATCTCATACTTCAACAACTACTTCCAGAACCACAACTACCACAGCGGCTGCGACAAGTAGTGGATTCCCAGCACCTCCAGCGCCTACTGGACCGGGCACAACAAACCAGTGTAAACTTTGGCACGAAACAGAAGCCGGAGATTCCTGCTGGTCCATTTACACTGAATATGACATTTCTTTTGCAAATCTAAGAACTTGGAACCCAGTCCTTGATTCGGATTGTACGAACTTAGAACTTGGGATGGCGTACTGTGTTGATGGACCTGGCGGGAGATGCACAGAGAAATATACCATTGGACCTGGAGACTTTTGTTGGAAGATATGGGACGACCATAGCATTACGGAAGTACAGTTCAGGGCTTGGAATCCTTCTATTAATGAAAACTGTGACGTTTGGGAGGGCTTGGTAGTGTGTGTGGCACATTCATAGGTTTGATAGAGTGATGTTTGAGGACCGAGCATAGCTTATCTATTAGTTTCTAATTGGATATATGCAAGAAAGAAACATCCTGAATTGAAGCTTGACTTTTGTAAGCTTGCCTCCGAGATTGGTTCCGTGGGATACAGCAATTTAATACAAACCAAATCCAATCCTAGGCTGTCTAGCTACGAGACTTCGTAGGCCAACACTATCAAATCGTATTCGTGCTTCGTGTTGGGGGACAAAAATGCAACAACGTTCCCAAAATGGTAAAGTAAGTGACTTAGCAACTTCAATTTTTGATACACATGTTCACCCAAGCTCAAGGCAACAGATCAGCTTCAATATAATAGTAATGTTAAACCTTTATTCGGAGATAGTCTTGTGCTATGCGAAGATTTTGTTGTATAATCAATTTTTTTATTTTGCAGTTGAGGTGCTAGTATGGGGCTCCAGTTAGGTGCTCTTCCGGTCTCGCCTTCGAAATTTTTGCATTTGACATTTTCAATTGCTGCTGTATATGCTAGCTGTTACCTTATTGCCAAACGATACACTTCCGTGAGGACTTTATCATAGAACGCTACTCGGCCAATACAGGACTAAAAGTGAATATCCCTTTACAGTCAGGCGTATAGCGTAAATCGTAGCGGTAAGGTAAGTGGAGACAAGCCTTGAGGAGCATACGCATCGATCCCAAAATGCAATTAATCCTTAGCTTCTAACCTCGAGTTTGAAACCCCGGCGTAAACCACGGTACGTATTATACCGATGTATAACAGTAGAAATATCTAAACGCAATAGTACGGTATAAACACCCCAAACTAACCATAAAATCCGAACATATCGTCGCAATGATGAACGTTAGTTGGCGTTTTCTCCGCTTACACCACGAATGCATACAAAAATGCTTGCAATGGTGAATATTATGTAGAAGCTCATATAAAATAAAATGAGAGGAAAACGTAGAAACGCCCGCTATATCTTTTGCAATACCCAAATTCAACCAAAAAACTCGGGAGTACTGGAGAGTTCTTGCTTCATATATGCGTATCTCCATTAATTAACTCCTTTTTTCTTCGTACCTTCTTTGTTGGGTTTGAATCCGAATTCACAGACTCCGGGGTTGGTACCCGTTTTCTTGGATGGGTGGTTGCTGGGCCTGGTACTAGGGCATCTGCGTCTTTTGGAATAGTCGTTTTTGATAGGAGTAGCTTCGCATAGGCAGCCGCTGTTGCAGCAGCATACTCTTGCCAAGTATCGTTCTTGCTAGCATCACAGTAATCGGAAATGCCTCTTATGACTAGAAAGTCACCCGTATTCATTGCTCCAGCCGCCTCCATCTCAAAACATAAAAAGCCACGGTTTGCGGCCAGCTCATCCCTTTTCTCCGCGTTTTTCAAAAGTATGTTTCCAGAACCAATTGGACCGTAATGAATTCTCGGGTTCCCAGGACGTGGATGGCTTTGGATTACAGGGCAGCCACACTGTATACCCGTCCTGGAATCTCGGTCATGCGAACAAGTGGGTGTGAGGAGCGGGTCTTCGTGGTTCGGGTATCCATACTCTGGGTGCTTCTTCGCAATGTCTTGAAGATACGTCTCAAGAGGTCGGCAAGGTAGCTCAGGATCCGATGCTAAATTACTTATTGCGATCATTATGAACTGTGGAGGACGTTGCAAATATCCAGTTATTTCGAATACACCATCGTGGAGAAATTTACCAAGGTCGTACTGAGTGACCGCTGGAAAACCTTTCGCCTGTTGGCTAACCACAACGTCACCAAGTCGGAGACCGCTCGAAGGAACACCGCCTCCAATCCCAACTAGAAGGCAGATCTTCAACTTTGGAAAACTTCTTCGCATATGCGAACATATAATAGCAGCAGCATTTGTTCCGTACTCTCCCGACGGTAGACAAGCAGCGACAACGTTGTGCGGGTAAATTTGACCTAGTGCATACTGATTGATATCTCCTTCCAAAGATGACAAGAGTTCCCGACTATGTGTCTGATCAAACAGTGCACGCACTGCCAGCAATTCTTTTGGCAATGCACACACTATTCCAACTCTATAATCCCTGCAGGTGAGGCTCAAAGTGTAGGTGAAGATCGTGTTTAAGCTCGACCCCAATCCGCTATCGCGAGACGGACTGCTGGGAGGTTCTTCGGAAGATGTAGACCTAATAAAATCCAAATCTGGCAGGCTTTCCTCGTCTGTTCGCGGGAGTAGAATCTCCCAGACCCTGTTCAGTTTTTTACTATTTCCGAAGATCACGGCACTACCACCTTTCTGTAATTGCACCGGATCTTTATTAGGTAGCATATTGCAAAGTTTTGCAGGTATAGCGGCCTGGACAAAATCGGAATGTTTCCCCTTGAGCTTATATTTCTTCTTCTGGCATTTGCATTTCTCGAAGCTGGCCCTAGGTGTATGCCAGATAATTTCGTCAGCCAGTCTCATAGGATTTGCATATTGATCACCCTCCTTTTTCATAATTTCTTGAAGGTCGTCGACCGCCGCCGCAAGATAATACTCCTCTTTCGGCAGTGTAGCCCATTGGCTGCAAAGTGTGTTTTCCGGCAAGATAATTTCGCCAAATCCGCGCCCAAATAGAGTTACCGCACGTATTGTCCTGGCGAAATCGATCCAACCCCCACTTGGTTTTTTAAATATAGACACACGAGGATATAGTGGGTCCTCGCACGTCGCTAACTCATTAAAATCCCATCCTTCGAGGTATTCTTTGTCGTTTGAGCCGACCCGTTCAGTAATATGAATTTGGTGTTCTATTATTTTCTCTAGGACGTCGTATAAATCGTCAAGCCGATCTTCGACACGGAAATTTCCGTCTTTCGTACGGTATATTTCTTGCTGCAGATTGTTGTCATTCAAAAGGAACTGTACAGCGGAGTCTATTTTGTGTGTCAAAGATGCTTCTTCCATGCGTCCCTTCTCGAAATGGAACTTGAAGTGGAATTTGTTGGTACTATCGCCGTTGCTCTCTAAGGATGTGCGTAAGAGATGTAAGAGAGTACCGCACCCGTTGACAAGCCAGCCCCGTTTATCTTCCTCGTCCCACAGAATGAAAAACTTCCTGTCGATCCACTCGAGCCGCTTCACAGGATTTTCTCGCGAAATATGAAATGCGATATCCTTTTTGCCGAGTGCGAACGGCCGCGGGGAGCCACCTTTAATTATTTGTCTCCCCTGTATGTAGACCTTTTCGAGAGCGTAGTGGATCCCTCGAGGTTTTGGAAGCCTGGACCCTTTTATATCGTACCTGGCTTCTTTTGCTCCTAAAAAGTGTTCCCATTATGTTAGTAGAATAAATGGATGAATTCAATTGATCAAAGAAACACTGTTGGAATTCCTGTCAACATTGACAATTCGAGGACGCGCACTGGAATACCTAATAGCGAATCACATTCTCATGCAAGGTTTTAAAAGTGGGAAGGATGCAGACTGATTCAAAGGTACACTGGTAGCTAATCGCTGCCGTTTTCAGTCGGTTTGGTGACAGATCTTAGACAAGTCCACAGGTGGTTGATCTATTGTGTTTAACTATAGACCTTTACTGCTTGCCTGCTTCGATCAGTGCCGCGACTGACTCAGGCCTGTCACTGTCCCAAGTTAAGAAACACGTGGCTCTTAAGTATGTGCAAAGGTCTCGACAAGACTCCGTGCCGGAAACATAGTTTTCGCCACGCAGCCTCCTAATGGGCCCAAGCTAGCCAAGCTAAAGATAGTAAATTTTCTTACCAGCGTAGTATTCAGCTTTCGAACACCAACCAAGTATATGTCGAGCTGTTGCTATTTCGGAAATATTAAGCCCTTCAGCAATGGGTATGTCATTCTCAAGATAGGGTATGCGATCACCATCTTGATTGTATATCATATGCCAGATTAGAATGCCCTCAGGCTCTTCCTTTTTTGTCGGGATTAGAAGTGTTGAAAATCCTTTTATGAAGAATCCCCCGTTGAAAGGTTGTATGTATTTTGTTTTAGCAAGCCCAGCGATCATATTAAGCGGTAGTTCAAGCCCAGTACCGATAGTCGGCCTTCGTGGTATCGGATATCCTGCGACAACGACCGGATTCCTGAACATGCTGTGCCAACATTGGCCATTCGACAGAGGGATAGTTTCCTCTTCGACTGTAAAACCAAGTCTGTACGAGATACTACCCTGAGGAACAAGGGTGCGGATATTGGAAATCGAGGGTATGCAAGCAACAACTCCGATATCACAAGAAGAGGAGCGAAGAGCGGTACCTAGCCAAGCTAGCTGTTGGCCTATTTCCGCTATAGAATGAGCCGTCCCAAATGCCTCAGCCGCAAGCTCTGACGATCTCTGAAGGGATATCGTGAGCTCAGCGTTGTCCAGGAAGGTACCTAGAAAAATTCGAGTTAGAATTGAGTCCCAAAACCGATGTGAATCAATGAGCTTAGTCCATATTGCCATACATGTATGTTTAGTTTCAGGCTCACCACGGATCACATCTTTAACTAGTTCTAGAATGCGTTTACCGGTTGCTGGCCATGTTTGAGATAGATATTCTGCACAGGTGAGTGCTTGGGCGTCTTTTTTAGTCCCTGTTATTGTGATGGCTCTCTCGATAGCCTCGCCTGGTTCGTCTTGGTATTCTTGTTCTTCAACAAATATTAATGGTTTCCAATCCATCGTAAAAGTAACTTTGAAGGCTTCTGCAGATCTTCCTTTGCTAATTTTGCGGGACGATGGTAGAGACCCAATGATATGCCGCGCAATAGCTTCCATAGAGTTTGGCTCAGTTGGAATAAGAAACCTATCTCTTCGTAAACTCCCTACAAGCCAATCAAATGCAGGGGACTTGAAGATAAATTCCCGATAAGCAAGGGTAGAATGGTCATTCAAGTCATCGTTCTCAAATTCGACTTCATCTTCATCTTCTTCTTGTATATCGAAGAGATCCTGGTTGGGTATGGGAACATATTCGGATTCCGAGCTCCTAAACCAAATATTCATCTTTTCATTCAATGCCATGTTATCATCATTCGGCGTTTCAACTGGGATTTGATTCTCCGTTACTTCATAAGACCACCTTTGTCTGAAATTCTCGACCACGTCGCTGAATAATATTTAATATTAGTTAGGCCCTGCTCGCAAACGAAAAATTTAAAAGAAGGGTTATTGATTAGCTCTGGAATTGGAAAATGTCGAACCTACCCCCGATTTTTATGGACGAAAAACATCACATCACGGTGCATCTGACTAGGTGCGTTGCATCCAATTTTGAGAGCAAAGGCTTTGAGCAGATCCGGAAGGTCTCTCGAAATTCTTTCCAGGGCCTCATTACAAGGCTGATCTGGGCAGGCTTCGCGGAACAATGCATCGGCTAACTCGGATATATAGAGCTGCTTCGTTGAGGTGGCGACACTTGACGTGTCAGAGTAAACCGTTTCGGTATCATCGAAGTCTAGGGCATCCTCAATTGATAGTGAGACTATCGACGTAGACAGACATTCATATACATTCGGTTCGGTTGTTTCTGGTTCTCCACAATCGTAGTGTGTCATCGATGCATATCCAGAATCTGTAGCCTGTGGGGGTTCCGTGTGTAAAACCTCACCTTCATTTCGTGGAGGCCCGTTCATAGCAGACCCATGCTCAACCTTGGGAGCGTCCACCAGAGACGATATGCCTTCGTCCTTGATATCAGAGAAGCCCCATTTGCCCGCAAGTTCCTCCGTTGCAGTGACCTCTTCTACTTGAGGCCGTGCTTCGCCTACCACTACCCTAGGGCGATGGACCTTCGACAATATAAATGACTTGAAATCCCCTTGCAGATCAGGGTCAGTAGCGAATAATTGGTCAAGTTCTTTCTGCAAATCTTGTACATTCTCGATTGACCCGTTGTCCTTCTGATAAAGTTGTAAAATCTCAAGAAACTTATCATAGATATTTGGTTGGGAAGAGAGCCGGTCCTAGGATCCTGTTTATCAGAGAGAACGAACACAAGTTGGTTTATGAAGGTAGAGTACTAATTTAGTGATCTCTGCCCGCGACGTGGAGGGCAAAGCACCTATAGCCTCGGCGGTACTTATCCACTTACCTTGGCATAGGCGAGAGTATCAGTAAATTTTAAAATGCGGTATTCCCCTAACACCTCCGTTTGTTTCGCTGGAGCCGAAGCCCGGTAGTCTGCATTGTGAATTGGGTTCGTTGTTTTATCAACATCGTCAAGGTTCATGAGTGTGTCATTGTCGAAAATGGTATCCGATACTTGTCCTCCGTCGACAAACTGAGGATCAGGGAGCGAGGACGGTGGTTCGACCCTGATCGATTTTGGTCTTCGCGGCGCTTCAATCTCCTCAAAATTCTTATTCATAAACAAGTGCTGGAGATTTATTTCCCAATCAATCGTCCTTTCGCTGAGTGGAACATCGTCAAGAAAGAAGCGACTAGGCTGTCCCTCCCGGTGTCGCTTCGTTCTTACATATCGTACATACTCGCACTCGTGCAGAGTAAGACGCCTCTGATCTCGACCGCCCGCGCCCCAGGAACTCAATAGGTGTTTAAGTTGTGCGACACTTAGTAACGTTGCAGAAAGACCCTAGCTTAGTTTCTTGAAAACATAAATAGCGGATACGACCGTGCAGTCTCGAGATCTCGCGTGTAGCTAGCTCCCAAGCTAAGCATTGACATCAGAATTTATACTAACGGAATGTTAAGTGCCAACTCATCCTCTTTCAAAATGGAAACTATTTCTTCCATCGTTTTTCCGTCTAGATGGTATAAGTCGAGAATTTCTTCCTTGATGCGATCGTAGTCTTCCACAGTTAGCGGTTGGGATGGGGGTCTCCCCCGCCCTGGCCTCACGGCAGCGCTGCTTTCGTCCGGAGAATCCATAGTATAGCAAGTGTTAGAACGGACAAGAATTATTTTTTTCTCATGTCTCCTTTATATATAAATATCGCGGGATGCGCGAATGTGGTACTGCGGCTAGTCCTAAGCTACGGTTGGCCTGGTGGAGCTTATCATGGTTTAATCTGGTGGGGTACATGTATATGTACGTATACCACACGACAACGCTGGCGTCTGGTCCGGAGACTATACGTACCTATTCGACATGCCTGGAAAAACTTCTGGCGTATGAACTTACTGTATTGGCTAGCGTATACATGTATTCACTATTAGTATATTCACCTTCTAGTTAGAATATCTAGATCATCCAGAGGTTTTATTATATATATCTATAAGAAAGTACTTTTTATATACATGGGAGATTAATTAACTTATGTTTCTTCTTGAACCATAGCTAAACTAAGTGTGAATATACATAAACTCGCTGATGAGAAATCAGATCTATCTCTTAAAATCACTGCTTCCAACCTAAAAAAAAAGAACTAGTATCTAAGCAATGATGTCAACAGCTTTCAAAACTTTCAATCTACAATACAATATTTCGCATGCATGGGCGGGTCGATAGCAGCCACCTTGCCCCCGTATGTGTTCAAAAATGATAGCAAATTTGTTTGCGCCGAGGCTGCCAAAATTTAAAACCTAGGAATAGGATATGCGTGAAGGGTTTGCTATATGAAGGGTTTAATTTTAGCTACAAAATATGCAAGTTTAATTAAGCTTGCCGTGTTTTGGTTTGCGGGGCTGAGATTGTTCTTGGATCCTGATATCGATTGATCCTCAGGTTCGGGCGGCTGAAATGAATCCAGAGATTGATATATATATATAGATTTGGCGGAGATACATTATCATATCCAAAGAACAAAATTTACTCAACTTAAGCTTGCGGTTCCCAATTGATCACTTATCTACCTGCGTCTACACAAATATATATACATGCACACACATATATAGGTATATATTTATATCGGATCGGACACCATGGCAGGGTTACAACATAACTCTTCCCTCGACAGCGCTAGCTGCATCAATCGCGGCTGGGTTACAGAAGAAACTGCACCGAGTAGGGACATCTCGATGATGGGCGTGGTTTTTTGGATTAAAAGGCATTCTCGCAATAGTATTAGCGAAAATATCATTGCCGTTATCGAGTTTCTCCGACTTTGCGATATCCATGTTTGCACAAGTACCGCGTGCATAGCCGCGAAATAACGAATTACGGCCATTGCTCCACGACGGGAAACACCAAGTTTTCCATGGCTACGAGACTTGATACTGAATGCCGTCTCATGTTGGACGAACGATACAAAGCCATATGGACGGGATTCCATGAAGCTGATGGCTGTGGGGTTATTCTGCGGAGAGTTCATAAGGAGGTTCTCCACGGACCCACCCAATGACTCAACCCCTCATGGCTACCTCGCGGAGCTGTTTCACATGTACAATCTTTTTTATTTTGCTAGCAAGAAGATAGGCAACCTTTACACTCCAGAGGCGTTATTAGCCCATAATATTTTCGACCCATCCATGATTGCGTCGGTGCTGCATTCATGTGGAGCGATTGACAACCTCCAAAACGGGGTCTGCAAGCATCGACTCTGGAATCTCGCCGCTTCCCTGCCACAAGGGATTATAGAAATCGTCCATATATCCAGGATGCTTGAACACTGCGATTTATCAAGGTATCATTTAGATAAGCATGGAGCCTGCAACGCCCAGGTCTGTTTATTGAATGAGGAGAATACTACGGACATACCCCAACGACATGAATGCGAATCTAAACTTTGTGGCAGTGTCATTTTTGATCCAGCAAATCTCGATAGTATGAGTATTAGCGAGCTCGCTGAGACCAGTGCGACGGCTTGGACACTGGAAGCAAATCCCAAACCCCGGGCGGAAGATTATTTAGCAATCTCTCACGTTTGGGCAAATGGGACGGGTGTAGGAGAGCACCCAGGTAGGATCAATAAATGCCTCTTTCTCTTATTCAAGGAATTCGCCGAGAAACTTGATTGTAAAGGTATATGGTGGGATACAATCAGCCTCCCATCTAACAAAAATAAAAAGATAAAAAGTCTTCAAATTATGCATCAAAATTACAAACGAGCCAAACATACTGTTGTTTACGACCTTGAACTGGCGGACTTCTTATGGTCTGATGACGGTCGCCCGTGCTTGGCACTAGTATTGTCATCTTGGTTTAGCCGTGGTTGGACCGCGCTTGAGCTTAGATCATCCAGGTCCGTGAAGGTTGTATTTAAGGACCAATCCGGATCCGGACTGGTATTAAAGGATCTAGACACCGATATCCTTGAGCCTTCGCGATGCCAGTACGCCCATCCGGCTTGGGAATCAAGTGCGGCATATGTAGGCTGGCTGCGGTCTGGCCGAGGCGAAGACTATCAAAATACTGAGGACGACTTTCGAAAATCGCACAATGATTTTGAATTCTTTACGAGAAATTATGAAGGGGATATACCCACCCCCGATAGTCTTCTGCGCATTCTAAAACCGAGATATACATGTTGGAACCGGGACCGAATCATCATCGCAGCGCTCTTGACTGAAGAAACCCTTAGGAATTCTGGTCAGCAACGGTTTACAACTGACTTGCAAAAAACGCATGTTGATCTAACCAAGGATATTCTTCACGGATTCGGCAAGTTAAGCCCTCTCTCGTTATTCCATGACCAACTTCCCATTTCTGAAAATGGACCGTGGTCTTGGTGTCCGACCTCATTGTTCAGCCTTGGGGACCAAGCATATTTTTGTGGCCACCGAAAAATCACCCTTACTGTGTTGGGAGGCTACGTATATGGACGTTGGCAGGTGTCCGAACTACCAGACGCTGCCGATGAGTTCAAGCCTCACGCATCACATATTTACCAAAGATCGCGTATTATGGCGGCCTTCGAGAATCCTAGCAAATTTTGTCTGCTAAACCCGTTATTTCGAAGATGCCATTCTCGAAGTGTACGGTTTGTTCTCGCAAAAAAGACGCCATATTTAGACCATGTGGCCATAGACACGCCCCGGGAGCCTAGGGAGCCCCTTCACCAGGAAACCGAGTCGTATGCGATTTACCAGTATGTAGGCACTGTGATCGGCAAACTCCCGGTCGCCACCAAATACGATATCAGCAACTGCCGATTGTGAGCCTAGCGTTAGTTTTACTCTTAAATTTGTTCTCTGTACCTTTCATACGAGGGTTCATAACAATTAGAAAAATCAAAGTATTGATTAGTCTCGTATTGCAGAATTGATATACCAGTATCGTGTTGATATACATGCTTTTGTTTCTTCCACGGCCAGTATATTCAAGAAATTAATTAGCCTATCTAGAGTGGATATATGCATAAGGCCTCTTCACGTTGCTGCGTCTACGTTTAAGTACTGCTGTAGTTGCTCCAGGCACCGCGAGCCAGTGCAATACCCGACTGTAAGCGTGTGGCTATCTCAACATGCAACAATGAGCCACTGCCAATTCCTTTGTCTAAACTTTTGTTTTAGAGCCATACTTCCTCCCCGACGGTGTCTTTTGCAGATGAGTGCTCCATGGTTTCTCCTTGTTACTATAATATTTGACAAGGGAAAGACATACCCATAATTCCATATTAAAATGGCTTCATCTTTCGGTTCAGGTGCCAGGCCTCGAGGCTAGAAGTAACGCTAAATTTATAAACTTAGTCTCGTTCCCAGCTACCCGGACGCCGTTGTTACAACGAGACCAAATGCCGTCTGATTTTTCGAGAGTTCAGAATTATGTTGTTGCTGTTGTATTTTACTAAGAGACCGGGATAGTCCCCAACACAAGAAGGGTCGCCGAGACTAGGATAGTCCCAGCGCTAAACAGCCTGTGGAACAAGCGGTCTCAAAAGGGTAAAGTGATCTGAGATGGAACGCGCCTTTAGCAACGCGACCTACCCCATGCATCCCAGCCGTTGAATGCGCATGTACATGTTCACCTCGCACTAGCCATCGGAACCGGAACCATCGATATCAAAACCATGCCATCAGGACGTCACCATTGAAATGCAGGTCTAACATCGGCAAGGTACCAACACAATATAATCATCACTGATCCTCCAAACCCTTGTTCCACATCCACGATGCTATAACGATACCTAAAATCGACCGGCTTGATCTTATCCTTTTCCAAATCAACAGCATGCCGAACCGTACTAAAGATCGTCAGACTTACCTAGCAAACCCCCATGAATCGTACAAAACCACTCGCTACGGGGATAAACCGATTACACACAGGGTTTCTAGCGCCTATGACCAAAGTACTTTAAGTCAGTTCGGATTCACACCTTCTTCCTCGTCTGCGAGTTCTAAAAAGCACAAGAGGAAATCACTACTGTCCAAAAGTGGCGGGGTAAAAAGGAGGAGTTTAAATTTCGACGATTTAAAACATGAGAGCTCTGGAGAGGAGGAAGGGGAAGATGGAAAACCGGTTGGGAAGAAGAGAAGGGTGGGGCAAGGTCGTCTTTCGAGTGACGATGAAGATGAAAACGACAAAAGCGAAATAAAAGAGGAAGATATGGCAGAGGATAGCTTTGTAGTCAACGACCAATTTGACGAAGACGACGAAGAAAGTTGGAGGCCTCGCCGTTCACCGAAAAGACGAAGGTCGTTACCTAAGCGAAGATCATTTCAGGTTCCGAAAACCAGGGATTTGACTTTGACCCAGATGTACCCTTTAACACGCATTACAGCCGAGAGCGACTACGAGGACGATGAGGAGAGCCAAGGGGGGTATACCGAAGGGGATGAATCTCAGGAAGATGACTTGGGTGTGCCTGTGGAGGATATTCAAGTCAAGGACGAACCCGTTTCCCAAGTCCTATATGAACCTGAGGCCTGGATCAAAGACGAACCTCAGTCCCAAGCCGGGATGCCTGAAGATCTGATATTAAATCAGGATCTCAAACAGGAGAACGAAGATGTAGAGCTATCAGACCAGACGAGGGTGGTCGAACTAGAGAACTTAGCAGACGAAGTTACGGAAGAGCCTACCGCGACAATGGATTCCGATGTTTTGGGCTTATTACATAACCCAAAGACACCTAAACGTCCAATACCACAGGTCGTTCCATCGTCTTATACCCCTCCAGTTACACCGTTGTCTCCTCTACGACATCAGCAACTCTCAGCGATACTTGCGAGCCCTTCAGTCCAGCGTCAATGGCGCATGAACGGGAGAAAATTACCAGGGTTTATTGTACCGGATTTGAGCCCTGTTACAGAACACCAGAAAAAGATAGATGATAGCTCAACAGAAGAGAATACTCCTGTTGAACCCATTGCCCCGGTGCAACCTTTGAAGCGGCCCGACTTCACTGGGGGTAGTGGGACATCACCGGGAAGTAGTGCAAAGGAGACTGAGCTAGCAAAGCCCAGAGTTGTGCCAAGCACTCAGTGGTGGGAGCGGGAGGAAACTTTGACATCAAATTCCACTACTACCCTTGAGCCTATCCAAGAAGTTGATAGTCAACCTGACGTTCAGGTGGGAAGTAGTGGCGATGTCCAGGATAACGAAGCAGCATCGAATACCACGACTGCCCCACAAGTATTACAACCAATCGAAAGAGAGGTTGTTCCTGAGAGCCCGGTGCGAAGGAATCGCTCGAAGAATAGGTCGTTCAAACCATCTCTTTCCACTTCGATGTCACGAGAACCCTTGCTCCGTGACTCGAGTGGATTACATACCATCAACACCTCGTTCTTTCGAAAGGAGAGCTCGACTATCGAACCCCCTCCACCAGCCGTGGAAAGTGAATCTCAAAAATCTCAAGTTTCAATAAAATCGGTGGATAGACAGCTTATGAACGAATCTAATAGCCACAATAAAATTACGGCGAGTGGAGGGGAGGAAACACAACTTGATATCGATGAACTGGATTCGGATGCGACAATATCACAGTCCCAACCTGAAGAACTAGAAATCACGCCACAGGCACCTGTCCGAAACCCGACACTTCCGTCTCGTAAGGGCAGTGGTCCTCCACTGCTCCCTCCATCGTCGCCTCCTCAGACCTACAAGTTTCCTGGAAATATCAACTCGACTCCACCCAGCTCGAAGGATATCTTCCGCAGTCCTTCAAGCAAAGGTTCATCTTCGCCTATCATGGAGTTTAAGAATACGCTTGAAACCTTTGAACCCCAAGAAGGAGAAGGGGGTAAGGAAGATTCAAACGAGGCGACAGCTACTTCGACATCATACAGCGAGAAAGGGCCGGTAGAGACCTTAACCCAATGGAAGATGAGAATGTTTGGACCAAGTCAAGCTGTTCCGACTATCAGTCAAATTCTCGGGGCTAATTCTTTGGCTGATGATGACGAGGAGGATGACGAGGAGCTATAAGTTGTTAAATTGCTTTCCCTGCTTACATTTCTTTTAAAATTTTAATACAGGTGTACTGGTGCAGTTGGCGTTTTGCGACATCGACAGCGGTTTATATGCTTCAATTTATACGACCGACAACGAGCCCTTGTATTCTATTACGGTCTTTATCTGCCTGCAAGATCAAGATACCGAATGCCCATTTTTTTGTATACTATCCCGTCTCATGCATTTTATCAGGCGCAGACCAGGTGTATTTCTGTATTATAATCAATCAGCCAATCAACCCATTTCGCTTCCTTCCTCTCTTTCCTGTTAATTCGATAGTAACAGCTAAGTAATGTCAACCCAGACGTGTTGTGTTTGCCGGGGTCTGGTCCCGCTATCAAGACGGGCGAGCTGGCAGCTCTCAGAAACCCCACCATCCTCCTCCTCGAGCTCTCTCTACGTCCTTCCCAAACCACCCATATCCTTCCATAATGAGCGCTGACCAGACAGCCGCGTCGTTCATCGAGAACGCTCCTCCAGGCGAGGTAAGCATGAAGCATCATCGTTGACATTACCTAGACTCCCAACCTTTTCTCCAAAGTCACATAGCTAACTGTTATGGATCCTATGTACTGCAGCTAGCCGAAGTCATAAACGGTACACCTATATCACCCCGTCCATTCCGTCGATATCGATAAGAAGCCATTTAAATTTCTCACAAAAAACGAAAGAAAGAAAGGGGAAAAAAAAACCGCGAGAATCGGCTAACATGTTGAATATTATCTTCGGAGGGATAAATAGACATTGGATCGCTGTTGGACCTCGACAAACTTTCGATTCAAGAGAAAGTTGCCCCCGCGGTTGAGAAGTACAACAAAGAACAGTTTGTGACGACTAAATTGCCCGGTGGGAGTGATCTGGTACGTTATTCTCCCGTGCCTATTTGGATCTTTGCGCTATTCGGGTTGAATCAGAGGGGAAAGAGAAACTGACGGGTTCATTGGTGTATTTGGGGGGGAGTTCATAGGTTATCGTCAGCAGTTACAACGATCTCGGCGACGGTCGGTTCTTTGATAGCGAGAGCTCTAGTAGCTTTGCATACGACCATTCGACACAGGTATGCGGCGGGTCTAGCTATAATACATAAAGAATACAGAATCATAGAAGCTTACGAATGTTTACAGAAAGCTTCGGACGTACAATCGCACCCGATCGATGGCGAACATGCTGGCACAATGTCTGTGACTTCCTTCATATACTTCTCGGAAATATCAATTATAATGGAAGAAAACTAACATTCATTCGAAAAATCCTATTAGAAAAACCCTTCTTCGTGATGTCGGAAACCATGTCAAAGAACACTTCCCATCTCTACCTGCCTATGGCGTCTACCCAACCGACGAAGGTATCGCAATCCTAATAGTTGGAAATAAATACAGCCCGTCAAATTACTGGTACGATATATTTGACCCTCCCACCAGGTTATCATAAATCCAACCATTTCCCCTAACTTCCAATGGACAGGAACGGCCGTTGGCGCTCAACTTACATCTACAAACCCTCCACCTCAACTTTAACCGGCACGATAGCCGTTGATGTTCACTACTACGAAGATGGAAACGTCAGACTCGTTACTCAGAAGCGTGTGAACGAGAATCTTCGTTCCAGCACCGCATCAGGAATCGCCACTGCTATTGGAAATGTGGAGAAGAAGTATCAAGAGGAATTGAATAAGGCGTTTGGAGCCTTGAGTGAAGGCGCCTTCAAGAGTTTGAGAAGACAGTTGCCGGTGACGAGGCAGAAGATGGATTGGCAGAAGGCGAGCGCCTACAAGGTATGTTTCTCCAGCCCAACCCCCCTCAACCCTTATAGATGACGATGTCGAGTGCTGACTTGGGGGGGTTATAGATCGGACAAGATATTGGCGGCGGTAGCAGGAGGTGATCGTATGAATAGATGTTTTAGCTTAGCTGGAGGTAGTTTCTCCTTCCTTTTATTCCTTTCCAAAGAGCGAAATGCTTGCGAGCGTTCAGTGGTAGCATAAACCATATATATTCGATGAACATAAAGACCGGAGTATCCTTATATGTCCCCCCAAAAAAACATAAACCGCTAGCATAGTAAAGAAGCAGATACTATCACGACATCAAAAAAAGGTCCTAGTATACAGTCTTACCAAAAAAAAAAAGGACTCCCCAAAAGACACAAGCAACCAATCAAACAATATATCACTGGCTTATAAAACTACGAATTTTGTATCCAGGCGTCCGCCAATTCGAATCGTCCCATCAAAAGAGAGAGACAAATGGAGAAAGAGTAAACGGAGATAACACGCCTGTAACTCCTCGAACCGTAGCAACTTTATTCCGGTCCATCCGAACGAACCCAATAACCCTCCTCTTTTCCTGACCCCCAAATACATCTATATGACCTCCCCTCCTCATCTTCATCGCCCATTGCGATGTCTTTCCTGTTGAGAAACTTCCAAAGTCTTGTTTTCTAGACTTGCGTCACCAGATCCTCGCCCCCAATATCACCAGGTATCAAATTTCATTCAAAACAACCACCCCCAAATGATCCACAGCACAACCACAACACCAATAATAATCCCCGCCAGTCGGAAAATCTGTATATTCGATGTATTCTTCGCCATGCGTGTTAACCTGTTTGCGGTATTTTTGACAGAATTGGTCATATTCGAAAAGGTATCGTTCTATTCATAACTTTTAAGTCAGTATATCTACCTATAAACAAACAACCTCCCCTCCGGTATTTCTCAGATTTCGTAGTCATAAAGAGAAATGGTGATATGGACTGTGAGAAAAGGGAGGGCGTACGTTATCGTCAATTAATCGCTGGTCGGATGCTTGGTTGTAGATGTTGACCGTAAAGTCTCGGATTGAGGAGACCTGTGCTTTATGTTAGCCATTTCTTCCCTCTCACAGAGACTCCAGGTGACTACCGACCTTGCCAGCAAGATCATCGAGACGGGCATTATTCTGCCTGTACGTTAAAACATGATTGTTAGTGAATTCCGTCGTTTAAAGGTTCCTGGTAGATGATTATAATTGTACCTCTCACGTTCCCAAGCTTCTGACATTGTCGTAATGCTGTGAGAGTGTGGTTGTAAAGGATAAAGGAGAGAAAGCTGCTAAGGAAAACCCGGATAGCGGAAAGAACTCGTGGAACGTGTACGTGATCGTAGAAAGGTAATCGTAGATAATATAAGTAAATGTTATCGGAAGAATGAGGGTATTCGCAAAAAAACTTCACGGGAGAAAAAGGTTAAAGGCGAAAGCGAAAACGGCGACAGGTTTTCTTGAAGGGTTTGGAGGTTTTGAGGTTTGGGGGGGAGGGAAAAGCCAAGCACGGGGTTTCGGGGTTTGTTCGAGGTCAGGAGATGGCCATGGTTCAACCTGCGTCATGCGCTTTGCCATCTCTGAACCAACACACCAAAGCTGGCTGGTGAACCATGGATTGATACTTGCCATATCCGGGTTTATGTACGAGACCAGGTTTGTATAGTATACTGCTCACAATGCTAGTTAATCTGTAATAGTAGTGTTGGGGGAGATAATATGCATTACATTGCGCCAAGCAGGTAATATAATAGTAATGATGATGGTGTATAGTATACAAAAACGTTAACATTCAAATGCCATAAACCAGAGTGTGCAAGCGTTATCAAGAAAGAGGCGACATCCCAACTTGTCTAATCCCATATACCCATCGAATGGATCGGGTGCTGTCTGAACCAAAAAAAAAAAAAAAGAACACCATACGTGCAATTAGCAATTACAAGTCATAAACCCCTCCGGCTCCAAAGTAACAGTGTAATCGAACAATCGCTTCGTCCGTTATTATATCCTATCAATGCATACATGCCCTCTTGTGAACTCCATGGTAAGAATCCAACCCATTAACAGTAACCTCACCGGTCTTTCCACCGACACCCATAGACTTCTCTTTCTCTTCCAAGATTTCATCAAGTTCCTTACCCATCCATTTAGCATGGGTACCTCCCTCTCTCAACTTCTTGGTGATAGCATCAACGTCAACGTCCAAGTAATTCCTCAAGAACTCTCCAATTTCAGTGTTCTCGTGGTTTCCCCAGAGCTTCTTCGCAGCCTCAGGTGGGTAGGCATAAATGTTGACATCGACAGCGCTGTGACCATGGGTAGACCATCCGATTTGAGCCCTTCGGGAGATCATATCGGCCCAAACGTAGGCAGAGGACAAGCCGTCTATCTTAGCCTTGACAAGTTTGGCAACTTCCTCATCATCTGCATCAGTGATCTTCTGGAGAGGTAGGAGCTCATCGTTGATATACTTGGTAACCTTCATCTTGCCGCGTTCGGGGAAGTCGGCGAGAAGCTTAGCCATGTATTCAGAAGAGTGGGAAGCATTGGCAAGAACACTTGGGTACCAGAGATAATCTGGGTAAGTCTCATGGAGCTCTAATCATTCTTGTTAGATAAAGTAATCGAGAAAACTTAGGGGTGGGGGTATGCACTCACGTCGAGCAGTAGAGAGGCCACCGGTTTCGTGGTCGCTGGTGCTGATAACAATAGTCTCGGTTTCCATTTCGTCGATTTTTCTGCGAACGACTTCGAAAGCCTTGTCGTAGGCACGGACTTCCCTAACCTGAGCAGCAGGATCGTTACCATGACCAGCATGGTCAATTCTGCTACCTTCAATCATCAAAAAAAAACCCTTATCGCTGTTCCTAGTCTCGAGTGCAAGAGCAGTAATAGCAGTCTCAGCCATGGCAGCCAAACTTGGATACTCGGTATCCTTTCGATCAATGTCATATGGAATATCTGCAGGTGCCCAAAGCCCCATGATAGGGAATTTGACGAATTTTCCCATCCTGAGGTACTTAAAACCGTCGATGGTGTAAGCAAACTGCCAACCAGACTTCCTAGCTTCCTTGATAAGATCACGGTCATCACCACGGCAAGATCCGATGCTAGTGTTTGGCATAAAGTGGCAAAGACCGCCGCCGAACATAAGATCGGTAACACGACCGAGTGGGTGGTCTCCAATTTGCTGTTCAGCGATACGGTCCTGTTCCCATCTCATATTGACGTGAGAATTGAAACAAGCGGGAGTAGCACTATTAGTTCGCGTTGTTAGCATAGATCCAACCCGAATGCATATTGCAATGGTGCCTTACTCAGTAATCGAGGTAGTAACCACAAGACCAGTCATATAACCGGCAGCCTTAGCAGCTTCCAAAACAGTACCACAGGGGTTACCGTCTGGGAGGATCGAAATAGCACCATTGTAGCTCTTCAATCCGCAAGAGAAAGCAGTGGCACCGGCAGCGGAGTCAGTTACAAGCGAGTTGGATGATCTAGTTCTAGAGGATCCGATAAAGTGTTTGTCGAGAGTAAGGACGTCGTCGATTGCAAGGTTCTCAGTGAACTGGCGGAAGCTTCTAGTCAACGAAAGGGAAGCAGGACCCATGCCTGTACATCATGCATTAATGATCAAGTCTTCAAACGAAGGTTTCACTGAGCACTAATCTAACATACCATCAGAAACCATAAAGATGAGATTCCTCTTTTTTTTGTTCTTCGGTGCCTTTGGATCGTTTGGAGTATTTGGGGTATTTGGATTCTTAGGAGTATTAGGAGTGTTCGGGGTGTTTGGAGCACCCGGCGTAGGCTTGTCATCATTTGGATGACTACGAACGTATAAAACACCGAAAACCAGGATAACTATTCAGAGAATGTCAGAGCTTATCCATAAATTAAAGACGATATGGAAGAATCCCATACTGATGGTTGCGATCGCGGCCCAAGTAACTATAATGGGGTTCTTCCATCTTGTGAAAAAGCCTCGGCCTCGACCGGTTTGCCCCTTACGGTCAACATGCTGCCCGGTGAGTAAGGCTTCTTCTTGCTCGTCTCCAATTTCGCTGCTACGCCGTGCTGGCGATAGCACGCGGTCGGTAGGCATGGTGGTTGATTTTGTCGACCAGAGCCGATGAAAGGGGTACTTTCACGTCGCGAACAGCTCTAAACGTGGATTTCGAAAGCACCGTCCTAACCTTCGGTTTATGGAAGGAAAAGGAAGGGGAAAGAAGGAGAAAACCTCAACAAAAGAAGGCAAACCTGTGAAACGATGATAAGAGAAGGATTCGGATCCGGGGAAGCTGCAGGACGAGAATTAAAGACAGCAACCTGCCAGCACAATCTACAAGACAGGAAGGAATGTGACGCAGGTCATCTGGATTGGATGCAATTTCGGCTGTTGGTAGCGTGGCGAGCCAAGCCATGTCTGGGGGTGTAATTGGCATGTAGTCGCTGACTAAACCTGCAACAGTTGACCAGGATTCTTCTGCTCTTCAAATTTTTGTCACTTCCTTGTGTCGATTTTCATGCTTTTTGCTTTTCTGTTCAGGCGACATCACCAAATTCCGGATCCATAGCGGAAACTTCCAGCTGGGACCGTAGGTTCGAAGGACCACCAGTGTGTATGCTTGCCCGATCAGCATACCGTGGGGGCCGAAGCTTCACCCCAAATGCAATAACATATACCAGTCGGGCCTGGTCATCAGGCTTTGTTCAAGCACGGCCGATACCTTCAAGAGATGCGATAGCGTCTGTGCTTTCAAAAAATGTCACGAGTTACGCTATTCGCCCGGAATTGACGAGAACTATCTCTGCTCTACCGAAGTTACTGGATGCAAGACGACACATTTCAACCTCATTCGCTCTAGCAAAACGTCAAGATAAAGATGACGAAGTACCTTTCTTTGGCGAAGATGGTGACCGACAGATGGCAGAGTTGTTTGGCCGTATGGGAGGAAATTCTCGACACATGCGAAAGATTCTAAGCGAAGTCGATCAAGAAATTGCAAAGAAACAGGACAATGATGTTGTTGGCCCTTACGATGATGTCGACGAAGATATCGATCCGTTCGAACAGGATCCGGACGAGGAGCCGGCGTACAAGACAGTATACCTTCCGAATGAGAAAATAGACGACATGATGAGAACGGGGTTCCTAAAGCCTCTACATGAAATCGATCCGTTGGAACACCACGAATTGGACGCCGAAGTAGCAGCCCTTCCGCAGAATGAGAGGGATCTTCTCAAGAAGTTCTTCATGAGATTACAAATGGCAAAGGCACACCCTTGCGCCTTCACATACAAGCAGTGCTGGAGATTATTCCGCATTCTGTATTTAAAACCACATCTCGCAAAGGTATTCAACGAACATGCATGGGGTAGATTGTGGGCGCTAGAGAAAGATCCTATTCCTTCACCGAAGAAAATTTGGTTGGGAGATCTCATGTGCTACGTTGGGGCGGAGTTGACGGAGGAGCAGTGGATAGCATATATTGAAGCCCTGTTCTGGCATGGGCAGCGCGACAAGGCATTCCAGATCTGGCAACTTGGTCTTGAGAATAATCCCTCAATGTTATGGTATACCGTCGGAACTAGGCTCCATGCCACAGAAAACCAACCCGAGGCATCGAAACGGATTATCGACCAAGTAATCTCTCGCTACGGGAAAGCAATACCGAAGCTTTATATTCCGACAATAGTCTGTTATCATACACTCGCAGAAGCATCCGGAGCGCAAAATCTTAAAGGAAAGGAGAACCAGTACAACCAAGAGGCTCTCAACCTCTACAACCAGATGGTCAAATATTGTCCAAATATCGAACCGAAGGAGTACCTGCGAGTGGCGTTATCCTTCCTTGAAGCTGGGTATTTTAGAGACGCGATGACTGTGTACGAGCATGCAGCAACAGTCTATCCCAATCTCATCGATGACCAAGCGACCGCCATGTACTGGGACTATAAATTCAAGGTCGCCGCTATAAACGCTCAAAACGATCCGACGGTTGACGAAGCGGAGCTCAGATACCTCACAGTAAATGCCCTTAGACTCATGCCGGAGAAGGAAAAAGCGAGAATTATTATGGGTAACTGGATGCGTAACCTTACTCGAAGAAATCGAATTGAGCCGGCTCTTAGAGTCGCAAGGACGATGCAAACTCTGGGTCTACGTATGGACACAACGACCTACAATTTATTCATTATGCTTCTTGACGAACATGGAAAAGTCGGTATGTTGGAGGTCCTAGCGGCTAGGATGATAAGGCGACTTCTAGAGCCTATGTATCGACAGAATGCAACCTTCGAACAAGTTCTCCACGAACCTGAATTCCAACCCCAGGAACCCAAGGAGCTTGACCTCCGAGACGGGGTCGGTGCAAGAATGAGGGTGGCTATACCTCAAATGTCGATCAAGTTACCTGATGGGATAGAAGAAATGCTTGCGAGATTCGAACAACGTCCAAATACCCAGCTCCCAGTTGTCAATGAAATCCGGCCAAAACCACTTACAGAGCTTTCCGAGGCGATATTCGCAGACTTGATCAATGACTATGATTTAGTCCCACCAGCAGACCCGGCAACATTCGGCCTCCTATTAAGGCGAAGTACAAAGAGCGGTAACATTCTAAAGGCAACCTCTGCCCTAGACTTGTTCCACAAGGCTAAAATGGTCCCTAACGCCGCGCTTTCAAATCCCCTACTCATCATGCTTTCCAACCAAAAGGCCTACGAAAAGTTGTTTACAACGCAGGCCTTGCTCGCAAATCCGGAAGGGTTCAACATGACACCAAACGCCGCACAGTACAGAATCCTCTGGGTTTCCCTCCTCCGAGCTCTAAAGCATGAAGAAGACGTTTCAAAACTTCCAACCCCCAGGAAACTATTCCATGACATGGTCATGATTAGCAATTCTGTTGCACCAACTCGAGAAACATACAACTACATCCTTCGATGTTTCTGGCAAGCCAATGACCCCATCGGGGCGTACACGGCAATGCACGGGATGGCCATGGTTTGGGAAATGTATCCTCACAAACTAGCTATCGAGATTACGATCGCGGGTGTTGCCAGGGTATCATCTCGTGGACAGTCTCGAGTCGCCAGACGACATGCGTATTGGTATATGAAACAACTTGCCTCGGCAAATTACCCTCAATGGTCTTTGAGGACGGCTATCCGACGAACAAGGAGTTTGATGCATAAATGGTGGCTAAGGAATGTTAGGAAGAAGAATAAGATGAAGAGAGAGTTGACAGAACTGATGCTGGAAGGTCATGATGTTACACAGAAGCTTGAGGTTTATGCAGAATTAAACAAAAAGCTAAGAATGCAGATGAAGGAAGTGAAGCGGCTTGAAGAGCAAATCAAGAAGTATTGGGAACAACCACCCATCGGCTTCAACTTGCCAAGGACGGATGAGGGAAGAGCTGCGGTTTCCGGAGCTATACCTATCGATCTTGATAAGGGTAGGGATGAGAAGATGCCACAGGATGTTATAAACCAGTTGTCGGACTATATACGACAAAGGTTCTACGATGGCCCGTGGCCGCAGGAATGGCTCGACGAGGTTACCTGGGCGAGAGTTGAGATGGGTATATCGGACGAAGAAGCAATCCAGGAGAGAAAGCTGAGCGTCTTCGATGTTGATTAAGTCAGCATCCCACCAAAAGCATCTACTCTAAATTGGATTAATTTTATTTTATTTTATTCTATTTGTTTTATTTTATTTCATCTTAGCTTCTGTAAAATAGTTATGGGGCGTCATATGGAGTCTGTATATATGCACAACCACCGCTGCACGGCCTTATTCTAGTGTACATATGATATCCCTCCTACACTTCCTTCCACTACCCTACTCTATAATATTTTTTAATATTTATACTGTACTACTTGAATCAACCATGAGTACTTAAACACTTACCTAAGTATTTAGTATGCAGTACCTACTATGCAAGCAAGCTAGGAAATGATAATCAGTGGCGGTTCAATTGCACTTGAAGATACAATGTGCGACGAACAATACAGCTTTCGGGCCTAGCTGCATAAAAACCTCCTTGGCACATCCCTTACAGCACCGTTGCACAGAAACACCGACCAGCCCGAAGTCCACGGCCATTTGTCATTGGAGCAGCCGTCAGCTGATGTTCCCGCCGCAGCCCTTTTACAGCGCAGGCAATTACGCGTAGGCGGAGACATATCGAAGCTTCCAAACGGAAAAACCGGGGCGAAATCGAATTGCAGTTGCGTGGTTGGCTGGCCCGAACCATAACTGTGGCTGAGCCACCCATTCATAAGTCAATTACATAGAATCTATTTTCATGTCAGTATCAATGCAATGCAGCACCAAAGTCCTTTATAATAAGTGAGGTTGGGTATATACAAAGCTGTAGAGTGATATATAAGCTAGCCAAGCGACCTAGTGAGAAATATTTATCGCCAAAAACCCAGCCTTGGTTGACTTGGGTGCCATTACTTGCAATTGGATCTGATTCTCTTATTCTCTTAAACCCACTTAAATCTGCACCCACGAATAGCTTCACCAAAACTAGCCCGCCTGACCATCGCCACTCCCCTCCGTCCTGTTCTACCTTATACCGTTCATTCCGCTGTATCCGACCCCGAAAAACCTACTAGGGACCTCTTATTCATCATCAGCCGGACTCATGGGCATCAATAACCCACTCCCAGCTAGCTTGAACAGTACGTCACATTAAACCTCCCTTCTGCCGCCGGAATTCGAAGGGTCCAGCGCCATTAAACCCCGCATGCCCTAGATGTCAAAGAACACAAAGAAAGTAACGGTCCTAACATAATATATCTTCACACTTCTAGGCGAATGTCGCAAAGCCAGCCGTGTTCTCGCAAGCTTTATTGATCCGCGACAGTCGTTCGGGCCGGATAAGATTATCCCGCCGTCGGTGTTGCAGAATGCAAAGGTGCGAAGAGCTTGAGGACTTTCTTTACCTTCGGTATGGTCGGACAACATTGCTAATCGGGTTTCCTGCGGGAATGGGATTAATAGGGTCTCGCTGTCATTACCGTTCTAAAAGCCGGCTTCTTGTTCTCTGGCAGAGTTGGTTCCGGTCTTGTTGTCGCTCGTTTGGCAGACGGATCATGGTCTGCTCCTAGCGCCATCGCTACGGCTGGGTACGTTACACATCGGCTTCCCGGATGAGATGGAATGGAATCACAAGTTTTTCATGAATATCGCTAACATGAGATTGTGACGCTACTCTAAACAGCGCCGGTTTTGGTGGCCAAATTGGTGCCGAATTGACTGATTTTGTTATGATTCTAAACGACAACGCCGCGATCAAGACTTTCTCCTCGGCCGGTAGCATAACCCTCGGTGGCAACGTTTCAATAGCTGCCGGTCCAGTCGGAAGAAACGCCGAAGCTGGTGGAGCCGCCAGCCTTAAGGGTATCGCCGGTATATTCTCTTACAGTAAGACGAAGGGTTTATTCGCCGGTGTATCCCTCGAAGGGTCCGTCATTATCGAACGTCGGGATGCAAACAAGAAATTCTACGGTACAAATTGCAAAGCTTCAGGGTTGTTGACAGGGTCCGTACCTGCGCCTGCGGAAGCCGATACGCTATACCGGGTCCTCAATTCCCGTGTGTTCCGCGGTGGGAGTGGGTCGGATGAGATGTATAATGATATTCCCGTTTACGATGACAACCACGACGACGATGTCTGGGAAGGAAATCGTGGCCATGCTCTTGGAGAAGAGCGGAATAGCCCTACGGCCCGTCGTCCATCGCGGGCATCGACCTGGCAAGACGAAGTCTATGATCGTGGGATGTATAATGAGAATCCGAATAGAAGGGGAAGCACTGCAAGGGATGGTGATTTAGATGGGTTCAATTTGACGAGGGAACAGGCTTTCCAGCGACAGCATTTTAATTCTACTTATACGGATACGCCTGGAGCACCGACTTCGCAGGCTGCACCGGGGAGACCGACGGCGCCTAAGCCGGATTTCAAGGGACCGTCGAGAGCATCGACACTGGGGGCTAACCAGGCCGTTGCACTTTATACCTTTGATGCCGGTATGTTCTTTCTACGATTCTTTTTTTATAGGAGGGTGTGGACTAACCATCGATAGACCAACCCGGCGACCTTGGTTTCAAGAAGGGCGAAATCATCACTATCATTAAAAGAACCGATTCCAAGAATGTAAGAATCTCTAGCTTATAATTTGCTTGTCCGATGAGATACTAATTTGAGCGAATTAGGACTGGTGGACCGGCAAGGTTGGCGATCGAACAGGCATATTCCCGAGCAATTACGTTGAGGCAGTCTAAGCCTTCTTTACAAACGTATACACCCATTCGCTTCTATACCAAGTCTTCTGGGAACGAGACTACCAAGAGTTTTTTTTGAAGAAGGAAAGAAAAGAAATCCATCTCTAAAAGCTCTTTGATAAATACCCCTGGTGCCTTGTTTTCGAACATACATAGTATATGTCTCCCTCATTGTCTTGTGATATCCCTTGCCCGTCTTCCCATCCGTCTTGTTTTGATCCGGGGTGTTCCGCTATTATAGGGTCTTCTTCTTTCTTCTTCCTCTTCTACTCCTTCATTCCCTTTAAAGTGGCTAAGGATAGGGCCACGGCTTTTTTTCTTTTCTTCTTTTCTGTAGCATTCGTGGTCCTCTTTCTTTCTTTCTTTCTTTTCGTTTTCATATGTGGTTTTTACATAGCTCTCTGTTCAATTTTTCCCTTTTCCCCCCCTCTTTCCTTTCTTTGTATACAATTTTTTCTATGATCATACCTGGGTGTAACCGCTTCTCGCAGGTGAAATTTGAATTACCCTTCAATTATATTGGGGGGGATATTGATGCCATTTTGAGATTTTATTCATGTCGAGGTTTATGCAAGGTACCCGAGGTTTTGTGGGTATAGTTATCATATAAGGTATACGCTGCCGGCTGGTCATTCCCCGCTGGAAAGGTCCGATCGACCCCACTGTACACGCTGCACGCTTCAAATTTATAAAGACGTCGTGATGAGATTATTAAATTCATGATCGATTTCGATTTTATTAATTATAGGAGCGTAGTTATTTTCTTATAACAGCATGCAAGAAGCATTCACGCAGAAAAGAGAAAAAAAAGAAAAGGCTAGAAGAGAAACATAAAAAAGGCCAGGGGGTACAGAATACAACAGTTCTTCGTGACAGTGATAGCTTAATAAAACATCTTTTTTTTATTCCACCCGATTTCAACAAAATAAATAAATAAAAACGCCTCTCCCATCTTTTTCCTTCCTTCCAGATATTAAAGAGAAAAGAAACATGAATTAATAGTAGTTAATAGGTTTGTAGTAGGAGGTGTAACGGTAAAGGAAACAGAAAGAGAAACTCCGCCCACAAATGCTTTCGTAGCTTTTTTTTAACAGTGTATTTTCGCCGTCGTAATAAGTAATAAAAGTAGGACTGGTAGAAAAGACCAGAGCGTGCCGGTCCGTTGTATAGAGAATGATGGGATAGAAGAGGAGTGGAAGAAGAGCGGAAGAAGAGCGGAAGAGGGACGGGCATCCGACGTGCAGATAGCTCTGATGGACGTGCTGGAACAATGAAAAACGCCAGGAAACTTCTCCCTTCTTTCCCTTTCAAAATAAATAAAGCCAGGCCGGAGAGAATGTGAGAATAATTTCTTTCCCAAAACATCCCACCCAGACTAGTCTTTCCGTTCCACATCTACCAACAACAATACCCACCATCGATGAGCAAGTCCGAACCGGTCATGAACGAACTCGCCTCGCTGGCCAAGAAGACGGCTGTATTGTTCAGCTCGTCGACGTTTCCAAGTCTCTCCTGTGGAGTCCTGCTCTTCCAGATCGTCTTCTGGGCTTCCAACGCTGGGACACGGTTTAGTGCAGTGTCCATGTAACCCGGCGAGATACTGTTGCATCTGATGCCGTACTGTGCCCACTCCGCGGCAAGACTCTTCATCAACTGGATTACAGCGGCCTTCGAAGCGTTGTAACAGGCCTGCTGTTGTGGGTAGTTGACGATGTGGCCGGACATGGAAGCAATAAAGATGATGCTTCCACCTGTTCCCTTGTCGATCATGGCACGGGCAGCAGCCTGGGCGCAGATGAAAGATCCAGTGAGGTTGATATCGATCAAGCGTCGGAATTTGTCGAGCGGGTATTCCTCAGCCTTGATGTTCGAGTCTGCGATACCGGCAGAGCAGAGCATGATGTCGACAGATCCAAGATGAATCTGAACAGAGGCAATGACGTCACGGACAGCTTCTTCGTCACGAACATCGATTTTGTAGAACGCAGCTGCGACGCCGTACTTCTGGTGAAGGAGGGCAATAGCGTCGTCGCCGTGTTCCTGGAGGATGTCGAGAATTGCGATACCCTTTACACCGCATTCACATAAGGCCGATGCCATATTGAACCCCAACCCTCGGGCGCCGCCGGTGACAACAGCGACTTTTCCATCGAGACGGAATTTCTGGAGAGTTGGTGTTAAACCCGTTGCTGCATCTAGGATATGCGGGACAGGGCCTGAGACAACACCGTTGGTGTTCTTGCGGGATGGTTCCACGATTTGTGGCCTTGGTGGGAGTTCGGGGAGGTCAGTGGTGCCATTTTGCTGTAGCTGAGGCTCAGCAGCTGGGACAGAAGAAGTTGGCTGGATGATCTCGTCGGCGATTGGCATGATGAAGGAGGAGGAGATATGATCAAAGAGGGGATATTTGAGATCGTTGGTGTTTGGTGATGGTGATGGCGAAGTGGAGGATGATGTTCAGGTTGGCAGATGGTGGGGTGGGGGTGGTGGGGGGGATTATAAAGGTGGTCGAGGGAGAAAGAGTGGGAATTGGCCGACAAGAAGTGTCAGCTGAGAACGACTGTCTGGATGATCCGGCAAGTGAGCGAACACAGGAAAACAACGAAATCGATGAGGATGAAGAGATTAGAAGTAGAAGAACTTCCTATTCAGCTGGAGGGTGTCAAGGGAAACAGTTTCTTAATATGCTGGTGAAGGTGTAGCTAAGGCTATGATGGAGGGGATGATAGGTCCTGTGCCTGGATAGTGGTGTATGTAATAAATATTCACAATGAAGTCTCGAAGGGTGCCCACCATCTTATTATATACTTTACTTTCCCTCAACTTTGCCCGCCCTCCTCACGCTCTTCCCCCCTCCTCTAAATTAAAAATAAAATATTCACAGATGCGTCTGGCGCAGGATGGTGGAGAGAGAGGAGGCAAGACAGCTCTGCTTCCTTCGAGCTCGCTTTCTCGCAGTAGTGGCCGAACACCGAACAAACCCAAATCGAGAAAAAGGAATGCCACCAGCAGAATTCAGAGCTAGTAGCGACACCCCGGCCGGCATTTGCCATGCATACCCTGGCCTACCGTACGGTCCAGACTGTTAACGAACGGCTAGGTATATTCCCGGTCCTTCTTCCTGGGAGAAGAGGTTGAAAACCAAAAGCGAAGCAATTGCCGATATGCATTCGCATGCACCCTAGATATCGTTTGCATATTCGTGCCTTTCGCACAGACAATTGGCAATTGGAAGCCTTGAGGTAGCGAACATTATTCACATGGTACCACTGTCGAAGTACCTGACTGTATTGTCAATCGAATACTCATCTACGGCCCACAGCTTGCTTGCGTTCGCGCTCGCAGATGCGGGGTGCACGGTGATGTTGTCGAGGCATCAGGAGCAAAGCTAAGCTGGCTCGAGGGATAATCGTCGACGCCTTGGCCCTCTTTTCATGTTTTTGCCAACCCGACTGATATCATTAAGTGTCAGATCACCGATGATACTGGTTAGTACGACTCCCGTATCACCCACAAGGCATCATTCGACCGACAATCGATGCGACCGAAACCACGATCGCGGGCAGTTTACTCGACAACAAGCTTAAGCTGACGAACTGGGGGAGGGGTTATGTAATGGTGGGTGTCTGAATTGGGAAGAGGCTCAAACAGGAACATCGTGAACCCAAAGCGACGGCTCTGAACAAACCAATGGGAAGGCCAGGACGTTCGGGTAGCTTAAACGCACGACGATTTGTGTCAATTTTAACGTTATCTGCCGCTGCCGCGTCGTCATATTATTTTACATCGTGAGTGACATCGATGTTTGGTTGATGTCATAACCGTTAGTTCGAGGCAACCGACGGAATACTTGTATTTCTTGCATTTTTGATGCTTTATTATTTCATACTTAGCACCTTTTTCTTTCTAAACTTCAGGTTTATTTCTTTCCAATACTTTCAATTGGAATTACAGTTTTATTATTCGGATCCCACACATGCACCAATGCAATGGTACTATACGACTTCACCACGCCCAGAGTCCAGCAGTATCGGCCTCTACCTCCAGTGACAACCCGCATCTCTCCAATCATCAATCACCTGAAAACCTTCAAATTGGATCTTCTCTCCGAATGCTAAGTTTTGCTATCGGCTGGTCAGCGAAGGAAGGTCATCTGCCGGTTTCTTGAGTCTATTTTAATATTTTTGAGCCAAATTCTCTCACCACCACCAAATCACTATCTACACCTAATCAAAAATCAAAAAACCACACCGCCCGCTTCGAAAAGGAAAGAGATTGAAGAGAGGGAGAAAAAAATCTTAAAAGTGGAGCCTATTGAATTCGCCGAATTCTTTTGTTTCAGGGCCTTCTCCGCTAACTTTACTCGCTGAAGTCTTTTTTTTTTTTTTTTCCCTCTCTTGTCTAATTAACTGCAAGGTGGGTCTACAAATAGATAACCTTCAGGGCTTTCAATGGTACCGGCTCCTCTTCGGGAGGAAGACGAGGGCAAGGGTTATTACCTTGTCCATTCGAAGTCGATCAATTGTAAAAGGATCTGAGACCTACTCCTCGGTAGCAATTGCTTGTCTGTCGAAGATTAACAAAAAAAAAAAGGAACAATGGAGAAGAAGCTTCTTTTGCATATGCAGTCGACCTAGCCAGCTAGACAAGGGTAGGCTTACGAGTTCGAGACCTCGAGCTCCCAACTAGATGGGTCCGAATTATCCATTGAAGTTGAATTCCGGGGGGCTGTTAATTAATTTACCAAACTCCATTACCAAAAAAACAAGCTGCTAACGGCCACTGTAGATCTATTTCCCGATATCCCAGGTGCAAGAGCGCTCACGAGGACACTCTACAGTTTGGAGAAGGGGGCGCGGAGACGTGCGAGGCCATTTCTAGCCAACGGATGTGCGAATTTGCTGGCAATGGTAAGTGAATATAGACCCGCCACGCTGAAAAGTTTTTTTTTTCTCTCAAAGCAGCTAGGGTTTTTCTCTCTCTGTTGTATTCCCACCTTTTGAAGAGAGAAGGAAAGGGGAAATAACTGGTAGGGAACTCACCGTCGCTCTCTAACCGCCTTATTCTTTTTCTTTCCCCCCTCTCTTCGCCTTGCTTAATTCGTTGTGGTGGTGGTGGTGGTGGTGGTGGATATGTCGGAGGAAAAGTCGGGATGCAATATGTCTGGCCAAAGAATGGTCAGGCCATGGTGTTGAGGTTGCCGATTTCCCCATTCGATCAAATGCAGAGACATGGCGCCCGCCAAAGAAAAAAAAATAACGTTCTAGAATAAAATGAGTTCACGATGCTCTCCCGCTGGGCTTGCCCGCTTAAGCCGGTTAACTTAACCCTGTCCTGTCATGCAGCTTGGGAAAAGACATGGGCGACCCGGAATTCACGATCCTGCAGCCACCACACCACCACCTGGACCCTTCGGCTGGAACGAAAAAGTTAGCTAGAAGGGCTCTGTGAACTTAGCTTATCAAAAAGCTTTTTTTTTTTTTCCCTCCTCCTCATAGGAATGTTTTACTCTTATTTTTGTCTTAATCTATAGCTACTCTACTCTATTCTATTTTTATTTCTATTATCCCGAAGCTTAAGTGGTATCAGAATCAGGAGAAGCAGCTTTACTAGAATGCGGGGCTTTTTTTTTAAGCCTTTTTTTGCCTGGAGCTCATTGGTACTCGGAATTATGAACCGAGCTCCAATGTCACAGCGTCGACGCTGTTTTGGACGAATGCAGCCAGTTTTTCCATATTGGACCTTTCTTTTGGATAAGCCACAGCTGCACGCAATTCGTTTTGTCTACGTGGATGTTTCATTTTATAATCCTGGCAACATATGGTGGTATTCTAGAAATTCGAGAATCTAGACTTTTTTTTGATTCGTTTGGTTATGAGTTACGTAATAGATATAAGCTTGGTGCCTGATGTGCTGTACCGAAGCTAGACTAGCTGGTTATTATCTCGTGACTACGGCGGGACTTACTTCTCCTTCCTTCTTTGCTTTAGAGAAGTCACCAGCTGTCTAGCGGGTATATACAGTTGTATTATAGCTATTAGCTGTCAATTTGTTTCTGAAAACCGGGTATTGCTTTGTGTCTCCACGTGCAGGCACCGATACTCACTTAGGTACTTAGATTTGGAAGCTCGAGCTATAAATCCTGGTTCTTAGCTTAGACAATTCTTATTAATTTCCCGGAGATAGCTAAGCAGCGTAACTAACATATAATTGTTTGCTAAATCGGTATTTTAGTATTCATGACTACTCGGATAGACCTGCACCAGACTATATTACGATTTTCTAAATAGAGTAATATATGTTGCATGTTCAGATTATAATATAATTGAATATCGATTTTATGCCTTGTGCGACCAAGAGGATTTCAACACACAATATCCAACAGTCACATCATTGAGCTTCTAAGATTGATGGCCCCCATATGAGGAGGACAGGCATACATGTTTCGCGTACTAGGGGGCCTCCGAACTAATTAACTAACAAGTATGCACCAAAATTACTTTTTACAAAGCCAGAGATCTCATTTTCTCCAATGGATGGACTTTGCAAGGAGCTAGGAGTAGTATTTGCTGTAGGGTGTATTTGTATGTATATATATATATATACATATTGGCGCATATGGGAGCATCGCCAGGCCAAACGATTATTATTATCATGATCAACGCTTAAATTCGTTGATTGTGCACTTTTACTATTTTTTTATATATTCGGTATTAATATTTCGGTATGTAAGGGAGTTTTCGAAAGTGAAGGTGTCCTAATAGCTATATTAGGTTGGTTTCTCCGGCTTATGTATATATTTATCGTCAATATCAATGAGGAAACAAAGAAATGTCGCCGCCTTACTATACCTTCCTTCCTGCTAGCTACCCATATGCATCTAAATACTTATAGAATTTATAAATTTACAAAGCAAAATCGTTTTAGGACTTATAGTGGGGTTGTTATTAATATCGGACTCGGGACGTTTTCTGTCAAAAAAATTTTTTGGTCTGGGTATATCCCAATATGGAAGTTGGTTTTGGGAACCGGCTGCGCAGCCGTACCGTCGCGGCCGTCAGTGGTAAATACAAATGTCATTCTCGCTAGCAAACATCAATATATTTTCGAAAATGCGGGGAGTTGAAAATCTCGTGATCGAGACTAGCCTAGGATCCACCTTGGGTGTGAGTGTGACTACCTGTATACGTATACAGGCAGTATTGTTGAAAGTGCAAGGATTTAGATAACGAGTTATAAGATTCCGAAGGACAGCCCTGTTAGTAGCTTGACCCTGTAGGTGTCAGCCTTGCCATGTTATGTCAATCCGAATGTCAAACAATGATAATCTAATTCTACATGTAAGATTTTCTGTTTGATTGTGATATCGATTGCCTTAATTTAGGAATTCAGAACCTCGGAAGAGGACGTGTTTGCTATTTTATATTGTGCCTATCGTCATGTCGAGGTAAGCTAGTTTATATTTAATTTTGTTAGCCGGCCATCTTCGCGAATTCGTTAAATTAATTACCATAACGAGCTTGATATCAGCGCTACGAGAAACACAAACAGTATGAGGCTATTTATTATTTATGCAAGCCAATAGGAACGGTAGTACGGACCGACTTTTAATAAACCGAATGCATATGCCTGGAGTATGTGACTGTATGTGTAGCACTTACATAAAAGAATGCATGTAAGGGCAAGTCGAGATAAACATTAGTAATGCTGATATTCCGTCATCGTTACTAACCTTAACGTCTATTTAGTCATAACTTTTTAGATTTATATCGGGACAAACAACCGCAACAATCTTTTCTTATATACTATCATCTGCGCATACGTATACGTCTTATCGATATCGATATTATACCAATATAGCGGTATCACAGTCCTATTTGAAAGGTACGTTTTTTTGCTCCTGTAGATTTAATTTGTTCTGTCCAAGTTCGTGACCACGGTCTGATCAAAATATATCCGGGATGGGGCCGGTCTGTTTTCTTATTATCTTAAATTGATTTTGTTGGTTCTGAATTAATTACGTTGGTTGGTTGGTTGGTTCCGTAATTCTATGACTTGCATGAACCCCACCATTAACTGGCCGTGCGTGTAAGTAACTGCTGCCCTGTCCGGACTGGCCACTTCTTTTATCACAACCTCCAAATCCCCAAATCCCGATCTCAATCCTAACCTCAATCTCAATCTCGACGTCGACGTCGATGCCGCCTCCTCCTCCCTTCCACCTCATTCCCGAACCGTAGCGAAACCCTGACCAGGTTCCGCTGTATCGAGACTGCTTAACCAGTATTCCCAGCTTCCGTTTTAACTTGTTACTCTTGTCTTGCCGCGTCCTGCCCTGTCCTGTCCTGGCTAACTCGTCTTTGGTTCTTCCTTTTTATTATTTTAATTCTGTCCGGTGCCAGCTGGTTTGCATATCTCCTTTGCCCTGCCCTGCCCTGCCTTGCTTTCCTTGCTTGTTCTTCTTTGATTTCTTAGTTTTCCAACCCAACGTTTTAGGCCTCACTTTGTAGTACTTAGTCCTTACTTGCAGTCTGACTCGGCTTCAATCCTCTTCCTCTTAATTCCTCATCTCCATACACCACTACACCACTACACCACCACTATCCTCTAGCTAGATCACTCTCACCACCAATCCATTTCCTACTTTGCTTTTTTCTCTCTAATTTTTTTTATCTGATAACCATACAGTCACCATATCACATATTCCACTCCACTCCACTTCACTCCACCACTACCACCACCATTGATTGTACTTACTAGAAAAACAAACCACCCCAAAACAGCGTTCTGTCGGTTCTGCTAGAGCAAGCAATACTGTCAGAGAGGGATCTTTAATTCTCATGCAGGGTCGCAGACAGACTAGGTCTACAGCTGGCAGACACTCGGCAGATTCCTCTCAGCCTCCAACCGTCTCCTCCGAAGACGCTCCCTCGACGTCCGCGGCATCTCCCGGCCAACCGTCGTCGCAGGCCAGTCCTAGAGCACGCCGGCACTCGAAACGCAAGTCGGTCTCTATCTCCCAGGACATAGACGTCATCCCCCAACCACCTGTTGAAGAATCCACCCCCAAAAAACGTTCACGAACCAGGGGACTGCCAGATCAGCCATCTCCAGCCGAATCATCTACATCTACACCTTCGAAACCACTCACGCGTTCCGCTAGGAAGCGATCTCGCCTGTCTGACGACTTCGAGATGGATGCTAGCAGGTTTGTAGATACACCACACCACACCGTACCATATATTTACCTCATTTGAACAAAATCCCACTCACATAAAATTGGTGAATTATTTAGTAAAGGCGAGGTACCAAGCACATCTTCACCAGTAGAAACCCCTGAGACACCCACGACTCGAAAATCAACCCGTTCTAAGAAGCAGGCGACCGGGACTCCCTCGAGTGCTGGACGTTCCCAGAGCTCCAAGCGTCAAGCGAACGAGAAGAAAGTCGAACCGCAGGTCCCCACCACCCCCACACCGACTACAAGAAAATCGAAAAGGAAAGAAAATAATGAGAGTAAAACTGCTGTTGCCGCTGCTGAAGTAAAGACGGCCGATACCAAGGACGATAAGGACGATCATCCGGAAGAGGATGAGGACGAAGACATGGGCGACGAACTACCACCTGCAGATCCACCTGCAGAAGAGGAAGAAGAGGAGGGAAGAAACAACGAAGATTATGACCGAGAAATAGATGAAGACGACATGTACGAAGGGTTCTCCCATAGGTCTCTGTCTCAATCAATGAGGGCTCTGAGCGGCATGTTATCCGGGATTCCTTCTCGCCTTCGGGACATCCTGAGCAACCTTAAGAACAAAGAGGACATAACGGTTCAGATGCTCGCCCTTCAAGAACTTTCGGAGATCCTGTTGATGGCGAACGAGGATAGCTTATCTGGAAACATCCCCACAGATCAATTTGTTAAGGAGCTTGTGTCCATCATGAGCGAGCCAGACATGTTCGGTGTCGAGAACCCAGAGTTGATGCTCTTGGCTTGTCGCTGCCTTGCTAATCTTATGGAAGCCCTGCCCTCTGCGACGTCTAATGTCGTTTACGGAGGAGCTGTACCCGTCCTGTGCCAAAAACTTCTTGAGATCCAATATATCGACCTTGCTGAGCAAGCCCTAAGTGTTCGTTCTGAGTGCCTGACGCCTGTTTTTCTGATTTCATTGAACTTAAAGCAAACCAGAGGACTCTATGATGCTAACCCGGTACATTTTTTAACCTACAGACTTTGGAAAAGATATCTCATGAGTACCCAACGTCTATCATACGTGAAGGCGGCTTAGTCGCGTGTTTAAACTTCCTGGACTTCTTTTCCACCAACGTTCAGAGAACCGCTGTAACCACTGCAGCCAACTGCTGCCGAAACATCCCCGAAGATTCCTTCCCTACGGTGCGAGATGTAATGTCTATTCTGCTCGGTGTTCTCAATAGTAGCGACCAAAAAGTCGTGGAGCAAGGATGCTTGTGTATCTCTAGGATTGTGGAAAGCTTCAAACATTTGCCAGAGAAGTTAGAGGAACTTGTGTCCCAGGACATCCTTCGGGCTATCCTCCAGTTGCTTCTACCTGGGACTACGAATTTGGTCGGGGCACATATCCATACCCAGTTCCTACGTGTTCTCAGCATTCTCGCTAGAACGAGTCCTGGCTTGTCAGTGGCTATGTTTAATATGAATGTTACGGAGACTCTCTACCAGATTATGACTGGTGTCTCCCCGCCTGCCGCAACCGTCGATTTCGCTCTCAAAGTTGACCGAGTAATGACCATGCAGGCCCTTATTCATCGACCGAAGGAGCAAGTAACTGAAACCCTCAATGTTGTTAGCGAGTTGCTCCCGCGTCTTCCGCAGGGTAAGCATGGCTCCCCAATCTTCTCGGTGCACTTTACTATATTGACAAAATTAGATGAAATCTTCAACGTTCCCGGTGTCCCCGAATATCAAAACCAGCGAACTACACCAGACGATCCTCAAATTAATGAAAAGCGAATTGACCTTCTCAAATCATGCCAGGAAGAGTTACGATGCTTCGCTATTGTGCTCCTTCCGACCCTTACCGACACATACCTCAGTACTGTTAACTTACAAGTTCGACAGAAGGTTCTTAGCTGTCAACTGAAGATGATAGTCAATCTGGAGGTAGAGTTGCTCAAGGATGCGCTTTCGAACGTCCAATATGCATCGTTTCTGGCTTCAATACTTTCTCAAAAGGACCATCCATCAGTCGTCGCCGGTGCCCTTCAGATCTCGGAACTCCTTCTTCGTCGTTTACCAGGCGTCTATCGATACCATTTCCATCGCGAGGGTGTTGTCTCGGAAATTCGAAAGTTGGCAGAGCAGATTTTCGAGGTTCCAGAAGATAGCGATGAAGAAGAGGAGGAAGAAGACGAGGATGCGATGAGGGACGATAAGGATTCTTCTGAACCTGCTCCGGAGCAGACGATGAAGGATGTTGATACTAGTACGGATAACTCGAATAAAAGTGAAGACGACGACGACGACAATGAAAACGAAGAGCATCGTGAGGATGAAGAATCCTCTGAAGCATCTGAATCGCCCTCTCTTCACCGCACTGCAGCTCCCCCTACCTTGACCATCGAGCAATGGATAATCGTTAGAGCTCGAAGCTTTATCGAGGAACACGACAAGGATATCGATAGCGACGCTAAGAAAGAGGCCGAGAAGGTCTTGAAGACTATTCGTGACCTAGTTGGAGCTCTCGAGGGGTCAAACAAGCCAAAGGAGGTTCTCAAGGAACTTGCAGGGTACTTCCAGAATACGAACTCGCTTACATCGATTTCTAGCTTTGAGCTATCACATTCGATGTTGGTAGAAGGTTTGTTGAAAGTGTTGACGGGTGAGCCTGCGGGGCGCAAGAGCGTGCTCCGCCGCGAATTCCTTGAGGTTTTTATGGGTCAGACCGATCCTAAGGATGGAAATTCCCCCTTCTCTGTTCTCGTTGCGAAGCTCCAGGAACTTCTCAGCCGAAGCGAACATTTCGAGGTCAACACCGTTCATCACAATGCATATGACGGGAACCGTAGTCCAGCGTCGATGCTTGCTAAACAACTTCGTTTGAAGCTCGTCGCGGACGAGAATTCAGATATACCAAAAGCATACCGGAGCATTATGGTTTCTATTCATGCCATCGCTACATTCAAGGCACTCGATGACTATCTTCGTCCTAGAATCGCCCTTTCAGAACAGCCTAGGATATCGAGAGCTGAGCGCGGTGGCCATCTTGCAAACGCTTTGGCTGCCTTCGCTGCTGCCGCCGCCGCCGGTTCTGCTGCTGGCCCAAGCAATCCTGATGGACCATCCAGCTCGACCCGAACTAAAAAGTCAAGTCGATCCACCCGAACAAAGAAGAGTGAGGAAACCCCACAGGCCGATAGTCCCGAAGAAACGCCTAAGACACCCACAAAGAAGGACAAAATCTCAAAGGCTGCCCGAGAAGCACTAGCAGCTGAGGAACAACTAGAATGCATGGACGAGCGCCAGATGAGTGAGCAAGAGGATATGGATGATATGAACGCTTTGTTGGAAGACCTTGACGAGGAAATGGCGGATTCACCGGGTTCAGAACCTGGCGCTGTTAACATGGAGCTTGCTGGCGGCAAGGTGACAGCACGCAAGGAGGATGGTACTAAGATTGCCACCCCTGTGGGCACTCCTAGCCGCGATAGAGGCTCTGGTACTCCTGTCGGAGGTCTTCCTTCACATCCAGCTCTCTCTAATTCCCGACCGATCTCATACGCTGCCGCTGCCGGAACTCCAACGGACTGGCATATTGAATTCAGTATCGGCGATCGTGTCCTTTCTAATGATACGACTATATACGGGGCTGTCCATCAGTCCAACAGACCTGACGAAGGCGAGAGCCACCGCTCTGTTTGGTCGTCTACATACACTATCAAATTCCGCCGCGCAAGTGGCTCAGCGCCAGCTGAATCCTCACTCTCGCCGGTGGCCGAGTCCTCCCAGGCTGCGTCTGGGGCCCCCCTCTCCGTGGAGAAGAATAAAACCACTGCCTCAATTCTTCACCTCCTCAGCATCCTTCATTCGCTCAATTCCAACATTGACGATGTCTTTTCCGGAGAGCATGAGAGCTCCAGACCTCGCCACCCTCCTGCACTAAGTCAATTTGTCAATACCAAACTAACAGCCAAATTGAATCGCCAGTTGGAAGAACCTCTAATTGTGGCTAGCTCCTGCCTTCCATCTTGGAGTGAGGACCTTGCTCGTTACTATCCGTTCCTCTTTCCATTTGAGACGAGGTTCTTGTTTTTACAGTCGACTTCGTTTGGGTATTCCAGATCTATGAATAGATGGCAAAGCGCGACTGCAAATGAAGGAGGCCGTGACCGACGAGATGATAATCGACCATTCCTCGGCCGTCTTCAACGACAGAAAGTCAGAATTTCCAGAAACAGGATATTCGATTCTGCAGTTAAGGTTATGGAACTCTATGGTGCTTCACCTAGCGTTCTTGAAGTTGAGTATTTCGAGGAAGTCGGTACCGGACTTGGGCCTACCCTCGAGTTTTACTCGAGCGTTTCTCGCGAATTTGCCAGGAAGACCCAGAACATGTGGCGTGAGGGAGACTCTTTCGCCGACACTGACAAGGAGTATACATTCGGAGCTCAAGGCTTGTTCCCAGCTCCAATGGACGCTAAATATGCAGAAACGGAGGCTGGCAAGAGGATCCTCCAAAGGTTTAAGATACTCGGCAAGTTTGTCGCCCGCGCCATGCTCGACTCCCGTCTCATTGATATTTCTTTCAACGCCAACTTTTTCCGAGGTGGCGATGATGCCGAGGCCGTGGCTCCCTCATATGGAGCCGTGAAGACGGTCGACAAAGGACTCGCACAATCCTTGAACTTATTGAGAAAGTTTGCCGTTGCTAAGAGTGTCGTTGATGAGATGAAGGGGCTTCCAGCAGCGGAAAGAAATATATACTTGTCCGAGATCCGTGTTGAGGGTGTCACTGTTGATGACTTGGCCCTGGACTTTACTCTTCCTGGATATCCACATATCGAACTTGTCAAGGGTGGAGCAGACAAGCAGGTCACAATCAACAATGTTGGTGATTACGTCGACAAAGTAATTGATTTGACTTTGGGGAGTGGGGTCCGACGACAGGTCGATGCGTTTAGATCGGGGTTCTCGCAAGTCTTCCCATATGCAGCCTTGAAGGCCTTTACCCCGGATGAGTTGGTCATGATGTTCGGTCGAGTAGATGAGGATTGGTCCCTAGAGAGTAAGTCACCTTTGTCGTTGTTTATGACCTTGGAAACTAATAGATTGGTGTCTATAGCATTGATGGATTCGATCAAAGCGGATCACGGATTTAATATGGATAGCAAGTCTGTTCGCAACCTCTTGCAAGTCATGAGTTCATTCACCTTGCAGCAACGAAGAGAGTTCCTACAATTTGTCACTGGTAGCCCTAAGCTCCCAATTGGAGGTACGTATACTTTACATCTATTGGAATCAGATTTTATACTGACGGGAACTGTACAGGCTTCAAAAACCTTACTCCTATGTTCACGGTTGTCTGCAAACCTAGCGAGTCCCCATTGGTGTCAGATGATTATCTACCCAGTGTCATGACCTGCGTCAACTATCTCAAACTTCCTGACTACACCTGCATTGAAGTTCTCAGGCAACGTCTCCACACCGCTGTCCACGAAGGATCCGGTGCTTTCCACCTTTCTTAAATCATCCTCTTTTTTCATTGACCTCCCCCCCAAGTTCCCTTTCCCTTTCCCACGGATTTTGTTATCTCTTGTTCTCAGGGTTCCCAACGAATAGTGATTATTAACCCTTCATGTCGGTTCCATTGCTCAGGCGTTTATCATTTCTTTCTCTGGAACTGTTTCTCTGTCCCCGATGCTCAACGCTCCCCCTAAATACACATTATTTTATCCCCTACCAGTTGATCCTAGGGGAAGCCTTCACAATGTTTCTCCCTCTCAGATAATTCTCTCTTCTCTCAGTATATCTTTCCTCGCTGGATGCACGTGGTGTCTAATGGTTGCAACGGTGGTGTTCTTTCTCCTGTTTCTTACGACCTAGCAGATAACTGTAACTTCTTCTCCTTTTTACTATATGCTTTACGGTTTCTCCATGGTAGATAGATTTGCGTATTCTTCACGAGAATGATAAGCTTGACTCTTTCTTATAAGCCCATCTGTAGAGTGTCTCTAGCTGAAGAGCCGCATTGGTTGGCTGAGGCTTGGCGTAGACCTTCGATTGCCGCTTGCTTTCTCTGCGACCTATTTTTTTTTTTCTAGCCTCTGCGACAAACATAAACTTTCTTCCACTTCAAACTACGAGACTGCACCAACCACAAAACACCCAACATTTTTGTATTCTAGATTACTATTTAAAATTTTTTTTCTCTTAGTTAAATAGGATACCGGCATCGAATCGGTACTTCTAGCACTTATGCTTCGAACTCGCTGCCCACAATGCCTCGATCGAGCATACAGTGCCGTCCTCTCCTCTCATGGCTATCCTAGCCCCACCATCACAATCTCCCAACTGATCGCCCGCCGTCAATACCACCCCGGGAGGGGTAGAATGGTTCGACGCCCTCCCACAACTTTCACAGCTCCTCCTTCTACTGCAGTCGACAAACGTGGAAAGCCACTTACCCGTGGTGGCGAAAAATCTCTTTCCGAACGCCGCTTCGATGCCGGGCCCCGTTCTCGCGATGCAGTCGACACTCAACCTTCATATGGAAAAGACGAAAAAGTCGGTGGAGGACTCTTCGATGCTAAAGAGCTCAAGATTACCCGGGTGAAGGACAAAAAAGTCGATGCCTCAAAAATCGCACAGACGGTGTTAAAAGCATTGAACGGCACAAACCAAGAACACGAGGAATCAATCGATATGCTTCGAGAACTCACCAGTCGATACGGTCGTACGGATTTAGTAGTCGCATGGAATCATGTTGTCGAATGGAAGTTAAAACGGGGCAATATTCAAGCTGCTGTCAAGCTGTATAACGAAATGAAGAAGAGAGGGGTGAAACCTGATTCATACACTTATTTACGATTACTCAATGGGTTGGCGGATAATGCTGCTACGACGCCCGGCGCGCTAGGGAGGGCTTTGACGGTTTATTATTCGCTGACTGCACCGTCGAGTACGGTTAAAGCGTCGATAATGCATACCAATGCTGCATTGAAAGTTTGTGCGCAGGCGAAGGATGCTGACGCTATGTGGGATATTGCGGAGAGGATACCTGATAGGGGGAGGGGATCAGCAGATACGTTGACGTATACCACTTTGTTGAATGGGATTAGGAATAGTATTGGGACGGGGTCGCCGGATAAGAGTATCATGGAAGGTAGGGAGTTATGGGAGAATATACTTATAAAATGGCAAGATGGACAATTGGAGATGGACGAAGGGCTCGGATGCGCTATGGCGAGGTTGTTACTGAAGAGTATGAAGGCGGAGGATTGGGATGAGGTGCTTAGTCTGTGTCATGATGTTTTCGGGGTGCCCAGGTTGATCCCGAAGATTGGAACGAAAGCGAGGACTTTGTTGCCGATTAGGGATAAGGGAAAGAAAGAGGTGGAAGAGGATTTGGAGGATATGAAAGAAGGTGTGAAAGGTCTCTCGGCGGATTTGAAGGGGAGGATTGGAGACGCTATTACGGCCGTTGGGGCGAAGGGTCGTAAAGATGAGTTTGAAGAAGGATTTGCGGAAGAAGTCGAAGTCGAAGAAGGGGAAGATTTCACGGATGAGCCGATCTTAGGGATCAATACGGCTGGGATGGATAGTACGGCTTCGCTGATTACTTCTCAGATCCCGTCTAAGAAACCACAAATTCTGAACAACGGACTTTCGGTCATCCTCGAGGCTTGTTTGTCATTAAGGGCCTACGACACCGCGGCGAACTATTGGGATCTTATCACCGAAAGCTATAACGTCCTTCCGGACCGCGATAACTACAATAATCGCATGAGATGCTTGTCCATGCAGGGTGACTCTGCGGCTTGTCTCGCTGTTGCGGAGGAGATGATCAAGAAGGGAGTTGAGCTAAACCAGAACCTATTCTTCATTGCGATGAACGGGTGTAGGAGGAATAAGAAGATTGCAGGATTCAAAGATGCGTACAAACTACTGGATCTAATGCAGCGGGAAGCTATCGATGTGACATCTAAGGTTCTGATAGCTTTTATTCGAACGGCTACGGTGACCGAAGATGTTGGAGCTATGAGGCAGGCTTGGATGAAGATTGGGCCGGGACTTTTCAATATTCACAAGCTTATCGACCCCACGAATAAATCGATCGAGAAGGTCGCAAAGGATTTGGAGTGCTGTCAAGAGATGGTTTCACTTTCGGACGCTATTCTGAGTAGGATGTACAAGGATAAACTCGACACGGCGGACAAGGAGTTTGCAGACTGGGTTGAAGGGTCACGACAGAAGATCCATAAGTACATCAACGAGTACTTCAATAACAGAAAAGGAGATCCAAAGCAAGCAACATTAATAGAAAAGCTCAGGGGACATGAAATGAAAACTAAAGTTGATAAGGAAAAGCCACAGGAGAAGAAGTTGACGTTGGGCGGTGGGAGAGTTGGACGGTGGGAGAAGTTTGGAAGCGAGGAGATGCAGAGACAACCAAGAAAATTCGATAGAGAAGTACTTGGAGAAGGAGAGGTCAGCCTTGAGGGCATGAGCTTCAAGCCGAGGAGGAATAAAATGATGAATATAGTCGGGGCGAGGGGGGGAGCACCTAGAACGAAGGATTTTTTGAGGAACAAGGATACGGATTACACGGCGCATTTTAGGCCGAACAAAGAGAGGAAGAAGGTGGAGAGGGCGAGTGAATTCCAGTAAATATTCTTCTATCTAACTTATGGTCATGATAATCACCATCATTGATTCAAGTTGGTGGTTTGTATATAATATATGAGGGCGGAGATTGTATATATGGGGGATAGCATCATTATAATAGAGGCGTTATATGTACGATAGTATAAAAGTCACAATGCATGATTACGATCACTTTCTAGAAATATATAGTTACTGAATATTCTTTAAATTTCTTTCAGGGGACTCTAATTATATCCTATTCTAAAATTCTATAACTTGATATATCCATGTTTTTGCATTGTGTTATTAATTCTTGAGGTTGAATATGAATGGGGTTAGAAGCAGTTGACAGGAATGTGATAGTGGTCGTGGTGTGGCTGCGTTTGCGGGCATTTCACCTTTGTTAGGCGACCCCGCCAATCGCCTGTGCAAGTTAACCCGCACGTTAGCCAACCACCGCAAACCTCGTCCTTCTTTCCCTTCCCTTTCTTCCTTTCCTCCTTCCAATCCATCAACTACCTCATCCACGCTCTTCGAATGGAAGCTCGCATATCCATATCATAGTCTTCATATCCTAGCGAATAAGCCTTACCTTCATCAGTTCTTTCCCCTCCACGATTCCGTATCAAACTCATCGATTCGATTCCATCCTACCGTTGTTTGCTATCATCGGAAGAAGCAGCCGAGACTATCTATAGTTAGATCTAGCTAGGTGAGCTAGTCGTCTAGGAACTACTCAGCTCTCTTCTTTATTCAAAAAGCTTCCGGGAAATCATGGATTTCGCATACGATCATATCACGGAGGAGAATCTCCCACGACACCAAACCACGCCTGCCAACGACGATGACGACCGTGCCCAAACACCAACTCAATCCTCAACTGCCCATCGCCGCCAACAATCTCTCTCTTCTGAGTTCGACGAGGCCTACAAGACCATCCAAAGTACCGCCTGGGGCGCTCGCTTCGGTGCTATCTTCGAAACCGTCAAGAAGCAAGGAGAGGTTTACTACGATGCTACAAAGACCGAGTACGCTTCTCGAAGCGAACAAGCTCAAAAGGGGTGGACAGGTTTACGTGAAGCTGTAGTTACTAGGTCCAGAGCTTTGAGTACGAGTAACAACGCACCCGATGCTATTCCGGAAGCTAGTAATGAGGGGGAGGAGGAAGTCGGGGAGTCATCTGCCGCCGGCGCCAAGGCTGGGGAAACGTCGCAAAGTACGGCGAATCTAATTTCGAGGTTGAGGGCCGAAGCTATCAAGGGTATTACGGAAGTGCAAAAGGCGGAAGATGCCGCTGACGCTTATTTGGCGAAGATGGGGACGAATCTTGGGAATTTCCTTAGGGATGCTGTGACGATCGCGCCACCGACGGAGGAAGAGAAGGCGGCTGCTGAGAAGGCTGAGAAGGACGTTTTGTTTGAGACGAAGGGGTCGGAGGATAGTAAGAGGCCAATACAGTGAGTCTTTACTCTAAACTCAAAGGGAGGAGAGGAGGTTTTTGAGAGGCGCATGCTAATTTTGTGGTTACAGCACTACCCGTCTGGATGCTCAACTACATTTACTTCATACGAATCTCGATAATTTCAAGTCGGACCCTAGGTCACCGAAATATGCGGCTGAGTGGGTCGCTAGCTTTTCGGCAGAAAAGAAGACAGAACAAATTGCTAAGGACCTTGAGACGTACCCTGAATTGAGAAACTCTATGGAGAAGTTAGTACCAGGAGAGGTTTCTTATGAGGAATTCTGGAAGAGGTATTACTTTTTGAGGGGAGAATTGGATGCTGAGGAGCAGAAGAGGAAGGAATTGTTGAAAGGTATGTGAACTTGCTGTTTCTTTAGTCGACCTATACTAATTGGTATCTATAGTTGCTGCGAAGGAGGAGGAAGAAGTTGGTTGGGAAGAGGACAGCGATGAGGAAGATGACGATGATGAGGAAGATGACGATGAAGAGGACGATGATGAGGATGACGATGAGGAGGATGAAAGTGATGAAGAAGAAGCTAAACCGGCTGCAACAGCTGCCGCCGGAAAAGCAATCCCAAAGCCTACCCAAAAACCCTCATCGGATACCCTACGTGCAAAATCGAAGCCAGCCGATTTAATGTCGCAGCCGGATAGCGAAGCTAGCTACGATGTTGTTTCTGGTGCACCATCCAATGCCTCTGGGTCGCCTCCCAAGAGACAGGGCAAGGTATGTCCAAATTCCCGAACTGAAGATTTTATGAAGTAGATAAAACTAACTTTTCAATAGCAGGAAGAAAGCGACGAGGAAGATTGGGAGTAAATACATATTCTACAATCTCTCGCTGAAATAATGCTCTTTGCCGGGAGAAAGTGTACAACATTGGCAAACTGATTCACACTGGTCGGATTTTTGGAGTTTTTCTTTCCCCTTTCCATTTTTGATCGTCTTTCCCCCCAATCTTCCCCTCTAGCTATTGGCGTTGGTCATGTATTCTCACCGGGGTTTTGTTGATGTAGGCTGAGTGTCTCTTCTCATCGAGTCTTGCCTCCTTTTTTCCTTCCAGTCACGCCCTTTTTTTCTTTTCGTTCGGCGGAGCTAGAATTTTCGTGCACAAGCTGGTCATTATGCAGTCTCGCTTTTTATATTGCGTAGCCATTCCTGTTCGCACGCGCGCATTCATATGATCATGTGAATGAATGAAGATATATTATACCAATTTGAATTCAATATTCGGTTTCTCGTCGTAGTCTGGTATTAGAATTGCTCACGAAGATGTATTAATCATCAAAAAGAAAAAGAAAACCCCCCGATAGCAACGATTGTATCCAGAGCTTTATAATTAGTTTGCAGATGTACGTTAAGTAAGGTATAAGCGTGTCTATTGAATGTCTTATCTTATGTGTAACCTCAGAACGAATATACGGACCTAATCCCTGGTTGAAGGCAACGCAAAATCTCTGTTGGAAGTTGACGAAGGCTTGGAGTTAAGTTTGAGGCTGTATATTTCGTGCAGTGTATAATACCTCAGCTTCGCAGAGGATGGAATGGGTGACTTAATGCATGTCTGATATTATATAATCAATAACCTCTGCAGTCACAGTTGAGGAGTCTGGCGACGAGACAATCTGCAGTATTAAGTCGTATAAGAGGAATGCGGGAAGGATAGACGTAATATTATATGTAATGGCATCATATGTAGATTATTTTGTATACCTATTTTTTATTTTTTTTGGCGCGTAGCGGCAATTCATCCTTAGCAAGTATACGGCGATATCGGGGGCTGTTCGGATGTTCGGAGCTGCTAGCTGGTGAAAGTAAAGGAATTGATGCCTTATAGCCATTACGGGGTTCGCGGTAAGATGGATGTTGATCATGTAATCAATTGCCACTAGCCTGTTACTGAGGGTTCGCTTTTCAGGTGTAGGAGGGATGTACCGTGGGTTATATATACTGGTATTCCTATGATTTTCTTCCAACTTTTAGAGTCTTATGGTCACTTTCACATTAAAAGTTGAACAATCTTCTTTTTTTGTGCAATTTTTTTTTGGAATTATCGAGTATATAGTATATATATAGAAGTTGAGCCAGCATGTCGGTAGCCGTTACTTCTTCTTCCTCTTCTTCTTCTGCCCATTCACATATGGGTCGTTCTAGATCTCCCGAAGATGAGAAGTATTATCTGAGGTTCGATGATGATGCTAAGCTTCGGTTAGTAAGGCTTCAGGATCGATTTAAAACTGATATTTTGGGAGGGTTGCTAATGTAATAAATATGTATATTATGTATATCTAGACTTTCTCAGCAAAATAGAGTTACCCGCGAATTGATGGGAGGGAAGTTTTTGTCTGATAAAGTGGTTTCGCATTTACAAGCTATCAGGACCACGGATCTGTGATATCGGGACTGGGCCTGGGTATATATATCCAAATACATCTCACTCGAGCTATAGAGTTGCTACCTGACGATCCAAAACCCATAGATCTAACGAAGTTGTATTAATTTGATTAGAGACTGGATGTTCGATACGCAAACCCAACTACGGTCTTTAGATATTCAAGCAATTTTTCACGGCTACGATCTTTTTCCTATACATTTCCCATCGAAGGGAGAACAAGAGAGTAAGGATGTTTATTTTTATAAGTTGAATATTCATGATAAGAGTACTCTCCCGGAGTTGTTGGTGGAGAAGTATGATGTTGTTCATGTGCGGTATATGTCGATTGTGATTTTGGGGCAACAGTGGGAAGGGGCATTTGGGAATTGTCTGGGGTTTTTGGGTATGGTTTTCTCTTTTTTCTCTCTCTTTCCCTCTATTTCTTCTGCTCTTTTTCTGGATTTTATGGGTGATTGATTTTAATTAATTGGCGGGGGTTTTGGGGGGCATAGAGCCCGGTGGGGTTATGATTTGGGAAGAGATTTTGTTCGATGAGTTTGAAATGAGTGATCGATTGGAGTACCCACACGCCGCAAGGATTTTTGATATGGGAGTGGCGATGTTTATTCGTAACGGTCTGCTACTGAAGTACGAAATACCCTGGGCCCCCTCCATAATCAAGGGCTCCTATATATACAGACTAACAACCCCGCAGCTGTTCTCCAAAACTCACACCACTCTTCGAAACCAATTTCCAACAATCCACGCAAACGAAGTTCTCGACTACGAACCTCAACGAGGATTGGCAAAGATTACAGGCAAAGAATATGTATATGGTGACGAGGGAGATGTTGATGAAGAAATTAGAAGCTGGGGCGAAGGAGGAAGCTGCCGAGGAGTTGGGGTTTGGGAGTGCGGATGAAGCGATCGAGACAGCGGATTTGTCGATGGAGGATTATAGGAAGGGATGTTTGACGAATATGACTATTTGCCAATGGATTGGAGAGGGTTTTGGGGGGTGATAGTTCTGTTTTGGAATTCTGGTTATAATGCTATGGAATAGATATGATATGATATGAGATATCATCAAGTGTATATGTTTATAGTTTATCGACTACAAAAACAATTGTTGTAAAAGTTGCGTTGTCTATCGCTCAGTTTATGGTTAGCTCCCTGTACAGAGGATACGAGCTAACTGTCCCGGAAGGTTTACCGAAGCTAGAGCTGCTGTGCCACCAGCTAGCTCGACACGACAGGGGTTAAGCAGGCCACGAGATCGCAGGATCCAACCGGCCTATAAATTCGAAGCTAAGCTTAAGCTCCAGCCTCTTGTTTAAGCTTAACTTGCATAAATGCATGCATTCCCACGTTATAACCGATATCGAAACTCAAGTTTCTACATAACTGCAATGCTTTAACTAATAAAATTATAGCAAAATTTAAAAAAAGGAATTCGAAAATGGCTTCCACCGAAGAAGACGCAGCTGCAGCAGATCCAGAAACCGAAATCGAAAACGACGATGACCTCTGTCCAATATGTCGCCAACTCCTCCACCGCCCCGTCGTTACAGAATGTTCCCACACCCTTTGTGAACTCTGCATGACCGAATGGGCAGATGTTTCGGTAACTTCACAGATGACTATCGTCCCATTGGCCGAGCGTCCTGAAGACTTTGTTGCAGCGAATTTACAGGCAAAATGTCCCATGTGTCGAACTATGTCGTCGGCGAAACGGTCATTGGAAGTTGAAGAGAGAGTTAAAAGTCGATACCCTGATGTCTATCGAAAAAGAGATGAGGAAGCTATAGCGGAGGAAGAGGCTAAGGAGATCAGTATTGAGACTTTGACGGTTTATATTGGGAATACGGTTGTTCCGCCGGAGAATTTGGAGGATGAAAGGGCGTTGTTTAATTGGGAGTTTTTTGTGAATATTTCGGATACGAGTGTGGTTAATGAGGTTGAGATATTGCTGGTACGTCTTTTGATATATATTATTTACGTGTGATGCCATACGAATACACTGACTTTAACTGGGATTACATAGCATGAAACATTCAAGAAACCGAGGCTTATGAGATATAAGCCACCGTATTCGGTCCGCAGACTCGGGTGGGGGACGTTTATCGTCCGAGCGAATGTGGTTTTGAAGTACGGTTACTCTTGGATTAGTAGCGATGCCGAGGATACAAAGTATGCAAAACGGGCATCATTACCGTTGGAATGGGAGCTATGCTTTGATGAAGGTGGGAGTCAGGCTAGATGTCAATTGAAGATCAAGAAGGAGGGGCGATTGGTTCGGAGAGGTGTTAATACTCGTAGTAGTGGTTGAAGATCTCTATATTATAAGATGGAAGTATACCAGAAGCACAACGTTTCAAACCTTTTTCTTTTCTTTTTTTCTTTTTGCGCAAGCCGCCTGCAATATCATTACTGCACTGTGTATCCATAAAGATTCAGGTTTCGGGAATCCGAAGTGGGTTCTAGGAGTATATTATAATTACCGAGAGTGTCAATATCCAACTGATCAAGTATGTTTGACACCCCATATTAATATATTAGGTGCGTACTATTTTCCCGTAATTCAGGATTGTAGTCATCGCTTTCGGTTGATATGCATACGATGAGTACGCCGGGTGGAAGCCGTAGTAGTAAGTTTATAGTTACAGGCTAGTCACGTGGGTGGATCATATATGTATACTAGGTATCCTCTACTTCTTCTCTTAATCTTCGAGACAAGCATATGACTACTGGCAGGATCAACCAGCTAATTTCTTAACTACGGTCCGCAGGTTCGTCGGGTAGGTTCCGCAGCCAGGTAAGCCTGGTCACCAAGCTCGCGGTACCCTTTTTAAATTTTTGTTCTTAATTCTTCTCGACGATAATTTTCGTTCTAAATTTATAAATACACCCCGAGGATCGATTGGCCTGCGAACAACAAGCGCCGGATCCGCAGATCTCACGCACGTGCTCAAATCCGAACCGTCGTGGCCGCGTGGGAAGAGATCGGCCAAGTTGTCACAAGTTATTGAAATCCTACTATATAAGCTTCTTTGCACTTGGGACCTCTGACGGAAGAAAAGTCCTCAGCCAGAAAACCACCTTGTCTCGTACCCAGCCCACCCCAAAAAGTTTCTAGGTGAAAATCACCACTAATTATCGAAAATTATGGTATGGGACTACAACGATCGAACACCGCCCTTACGGCCGGATACAGCCAGACTCCGCTTCATTCCTCCTCTGGTTCTCGGGTCCTACAAGATACCCCATGTTATCTGGGGCGACGACGCATCAATCTGCCACGAAGTACCATCAGTTGTCTCGGACTCAATGCACATTTTGGTTCCAAAAGCGTACTTAGAAATAGCGTCCAAATGCTTAACGGAATATTTACCCTTCAAACGGACTGTATTCCCGCCCAACGAAGACGAGCTCCTTCCTTGTTATTCGGACGAATGCATTCTATTAGCTTCAAAGGAAAAACTTTGCATAACAGCTGATTATATAATCTTGATTCCGGATATTCTGTTTCATTTTGATGCTACAAACCCAACATCAATTCAAACGCCTCCAAGCTATTTCGAACTGCCCTCCAAATTTGACAAAGTCGGGGTACCTTCATTTCCCGCTTTGGTGAGCGCATACTTGCTATGTCTAGGCGAGTCCGGGACTCAAAATTTTACAGGTTTCCAGAAAGGTCGATGGCGGATGGGGGATCTGAGGGCCAGAATTCTTGGTTGGGTGGTTACGCTTATAGCTTGGAGACGAAGAGAACCATGGGAAGAGTATTACAATGGTCCCGAGGAGTTTCCAGTCACACTTAAAGAGATACGAAACTGCCTATCGTTGGAAAGTATCCCAATACTCGATAGTATATATATGAAGTCTGCAACTCTTTCTGCAGAGCCTTCTGATCAATCATGATCTCAGAATATGCCCTCAGTTAACCCGAGATTATCGTTCTAGGCTAAGTAATTAATTATATTAGAGAAGCTAACGTACAACTACGAGCTAGTTTTCCTTTGTAAATATATGGCAGAGCTTACTCAGCGGTCTTTTTTCATGTACAGTAGTGAAGGAATGTTAATTCAACATTGAGTAGGAATATGACCTATATATAAGCTTACCTAGCGAATATCAAATAGAACAGACTGCGTGGTTGTACATGCAAAGCATAAACATAGCGTCTATGGTAGTTCATCGGCCAAAATTAGAAGTTTGCGGGTCGGATTGTCGGATTGAGACCAAATTTGCACCATTCTATTCTGCGTCGATCGTTTAGACAAATTTATCAATATAGTCAAAATACCATAATAAGGGCATATAGAATTTGAAACCTACCGTAATGAAAGGTCTGAAACTTACTTACCTAAGTACTTACTTACTTACTTATACATACCTAATCCCCAAATCGCTACAGGCATTCCATAAAGGCCTCGAACCCGTCGGTATTATATTATAAGGAAATCCGAGTCACATTCCTAGACGCCACAAAGGGAGACAAAATCAGAAATTCTTCTCAATCTTAAACAGACCAGTGCTCTCGGCTGGATGCCGCATAAACTTGATAATGGGTGGTTTAAGGTGATCTTGGTGAACCCCGCCCAAGAAATAAGAATGAAGTCTGATTCTAATTGTTTATTATAAAGAAAAAATAAGGAAAGATGCATAGCCCGGAAATCATTTCGGGACTTAAAGAAAAGATCTTCGTTTCTTCTCGACGAGGAGGAAGGGAGTTCTTTACCCCCATTAGATTTTGGGAGCTTCGCTAGAGAGGGGGAAAGCGGGCATACTCAATTGGACAGGAGTGTTAGTGAAGCTGGCCATTTTGAAGGCCAGCCACTCCATAATAGGGAGGACGAAGGTGAATATGAGCCCGAAGGCCATGGTATGTAAAACTCGTCGGTGACTAGGCTTATATAAACTGCAAATACGAGATCAGTAATATAACACAAAGTTCAAGTTCTTATTGGAGTTTTTCTTTTTTTGCAAATAGTGACAGTCATAGAGAAGGGCACTGCGACCCAATCGGGTCTCAAAAATGGGATAGGCAAGGTGAGAAGGTTGCCTCGAGTATAAAATCTTAGATTCGTTGCTAATGGCGTGGTAACCCTCAAAGGAAGTAGACCTTGTCGCACAAGCGCTTCAGTACAAACTGAAGTGCTACTTTGACCGCGGGACGCTATATTTCGTGGGAGGCTTCGCTATACGAGCGAAGGGAAGCGATAGAGTCACCAACGTTAGTGTCCAGCCCATGATATCAAGCATCTCATAGTTAAACTCGTAATCTAATATAATACTGGGACATCAGGACATTGACTTGGAATTCTCTGAACTTGGAAGCGGAAATCTGAGGATATTGATATCGAAAATAGAAAGCTCTGGTTTTAATATCATTAGAGAGACCAAAAACGGATTCGACGCGGTAGACAAAGCAACTGGTGTAAGGGTCAACGTTCGAGCGAGAAGTTTCCAAGGTGTTGATGTTAAACCCTTTTCGACAAAGTGTGGAGGATACGATGTGGTTTGCGATGATGTTCAGCTAATACAAAAGTTGAACGCATTGCCTAATCGGCGGGACATAACTAAGCAGAAAACCGACCTTATGGACATTAACTTCCTTCTCACGAGAGGTCTATCAATTCGAAAGGAGTTGGTGAGTTTCTTCAATCAGAAAGAAGCTTTGCTAAAAGGTGTTAGAAGTGGAAGAATTGTTTTACAGGATGGGGGTTTGAGAGCCCAAGTGCTGATCAAGGGTTTAGAAGAAATGGGTCTCTTAGAAATAGTAGATTTCATGAACACAGAGTCCGAATAAACTAGCTCTAGTCTCAGTGGCTCTTTCTGATCTTGTAAACTAGGATAGAACTTGAAAGCCTGTTGTGTTGGGTAATGTTGGATGTTGGATGGAGGCGAAGCGTGCAATACATGTCTATAGAATATCGAGAAGGCACCAATAATATACCCAAGTACCTCCTCTTAGTACCTAATAAGGTACCTACTTACTTAAGTACCTACATAAAGCAATATTATAATACCACCAGTGCAGTTATATTGCCTGATTCCAGCTGCGGGGTTTGGGTATACACCATAGGAGCTAAAGACCTCGAATGCAGACTGGTTCAGTTGTGTGTTGCATGCCTTATCCTGGGCCATCAGGCAGTGTTACTGGGTACCCAAGTAACCTGGTATGTACTGCGCTGCACTGCAACTGCAGTTGAACCGCACGGACAGACCAGACTTATACTTCACCTCCTCCTCCCCCTCTCGTCTCTCCACCTCATCTCCATCTCATCATCACCATCACCATCATCATCACTTTCTTGAACTTCATCATATCAATATCACTCCACCGACCTAAAAAATTCAAAAGGGGTTTTTATTCTCTCTCCTTGAACCACGACAATATAGTGCTGGAACCACGTTCTAGAATCATCAAACGACACACACCTTCGACCTTCAACGAAAATCAAGATTTTTTTTTGACATCAAAAAACAATCACATTCGGATTACCATTTCCGACACCTAGCGGCCGAAATCAGGATTTTTAGGGCTACCGCTGCAGCTGCACATTCCCGGCTTCAACAAAAAAAAAACACAAAGAGAAGGGCAGAACAAAACAGGATAGTTAAACTAGAACGGACGCAACAGGCGTTAGCCGACCGATAGTTGGACGAAACGGACGAAACGGACGGACGGCTGGCTTCGATTAGTCAGGACTCGATTGGCTAGACGGGACTCGACCTACCGAACCATGGCCGATGAAACATCGTCGGCTGCCCAATCCATTCAGAGCACTTGCTCTCCTTCCCTCAACACCATCATCTCCTCCTCCACCGCCAGACCTACATCCTCTTCAAGGAATGGCATTAATGAGCATTCCCGGAAATTGAGTGAAGGGGGGAAGTTGCCAAATCAGAATCTAAATCCAAATATTAGACCCTCTCCACCTATGAATATGATATCGAACCATTCTAGAAGCCTATCGCATCCTGTCAACAAGACCTCGACAGCATTAGCATCGTCGGCTTTTCTAGACCCTTCTTCCACATCATTTCCCCATCCTCACCCTCCGCTTAAACCTCTCACGTTATCCACCCAATCCGCTATTACTACTGCTCTAACATCATCTAATACCGTTTCTAATACTGCTTCATCTTCGACGTTCGGCCCTCCTCCTCCTCATCTGCCACCACCTATTGCTGCACCCTTCACACCCACTCGTCCTTCCTTGCCTCGTGGCTTATCGCTTCAATTACCATCACAAACCCAACCTCTGCCTCCGTATCTTGATCCAGCACTTGGCTTCTCTACCGTTCGACGGCCTCGCCTCGATTTCACCCGTTCTTGTACCTCTCTCCACCACTCCTTTATTGCCGACTCTCCTGATTCGTCTCCATTAACACCAAGCATGCCGATCCCTCGCCGTGGTCTCGACTCTCCAATCGCCATGTACACAGGTGGTGGTGGCGGTGGTGGAGGGGGTGGAGCAGGCGGTATGCTCTCATCAATGCTAGCCGACTCACGTGTCCAGTCCGATTCCAGTTCCGACTCTTCGTCATCATCGGATGATGAAATGGAATTAAGTAGCGCTCATTCTCAATTCGGCCCTTCACTACCCAGTTCCTCCGGTGGTATGAATGATATATTCAACAGCTCGGCGCTATTAAATAGACGACATATGACAAGGTTGAGAGGGAAAGGTCGATCCAGACAGAGCTCGAGCTCGGCGTCGGCTTCTAGTACTTCGTTAGCTTCTCCATCCCCGACCACCCCACCGAACGGAGAGATTAAGAAATCTGCTTCGGGGGGGTATTTTGGGAGCCAGTTGAGTGATATGCTAGCGCAGCGACGACAGTCAATATCGCAGGCAATGAAGAAGATAGGATTTTTAAGTGGAAGTGGGGCGAGTGAGGATACGAAAATGGAGGGAGCGACCGGGAAGCAAACGGATGCGGTACGCAGACCAGTTGTGAGAAGGGGAAACCTACTGGTAAGTACTCTTAAAAAAGGAATTACTGTCAGAGCTTGACCAAAAATTGCTAACATACTGCAGCCCAAGCCTAAACATTTTCAGCGTGTCAAGGCTGCACTCATAGAAGAATCTGCACCTGTTGATGCCGAGATGAGAATTGAAGCAGCCATTCAAAGGCAACTGCGAGAAGATGATGATGAGGAAGATACTAGGACCGTCCCTCAAACACCAGTGCTGAATGCCCAGGCAGAGGATGATAATGCATTGGTATTTGAGGATACTGAAGATGAAGCGGGTGGTCCTTCGTTTAAATCAGCGGCTCAGAGAAACTCAGGTTATTGGGGGACCCTCGAGTCGTCGAGTCCGAGTGGGTTTATGGGATTTAGAATGAACCCGGATGGTGATATAATTGTATGCTTTTTCTCTCCCTCCTTTTATCCCACGTTTATCTCGATTAAAATCCAGAGTCTGACTAACTTATTTGTTTTTTTAGATGGGAACGGATTCTATGGTGAATTCTCCAATCAGTCGTAGTCCTGAGGTTAGAAAGCTCAAGCGGCGACGAGATGATGATGAAATTCAATTTGAGCCACCATCCATCATAAAACGAAGAGCTGTCTCCCCGGGCTTCTCGCAGAGCCCTACAGTATTGTCATCACCGGTCGCGATCCCAGCCAATACCAATCAAAACGGTACAAACGGTGGAGCGACAAGTGGGACAAGGTCGAAACGATCTAGTTATATACTAGATGCACATGAAGGATTGGGCAAGATGAGCATCAGCCCGTTCGGTTGACGGTTGAAATAAATTGCGCTTTTTTGAATGGCGTTTTGACATCACTTTTCTCTGTTCCTCTCTCTATTTGTTTGGTTTACCGGTTTCTTGTTCATGATCATCAGCGGTGTTGTTTTTTTTTCATTTATGATGAAGAATGAGGTTGCACTTGAGCATTTGCGTCTATTGCCTTTGATTCGAATTCGAGGCTCGCTTTTGATACCCGTTTTTTCCCTGCCTTGGTTTCTGTTTCTTTTTCTTTTGGCTGACGAAAATGACGAAACTACGACGAATTTGATTTGAAGCGAATATGCAAACCACGCGTTCCATCTACCTTTTTATATCTATTCCTATGTATTACAGTTTTGCTTATCCGCCTTGGGTTCCAAGGTTCACAACGGAAATTGGATTCTTGATCGCCATCCGCAAATGGCGATAAGGGCGCCTACAGCCCATAAACAGAACGATCATAAACGGAGGCACATTGCAAGGCCCAAAAAAAGAAGACTCGGTGGCGCCCGACTGTCCGCCAGACCAGCCTACACATGATTAAACCTCAAAGAGGCTGGTTGTTTTTCTGACCCCTGGAAAGTATATGCACATCCAGATGTAGCTCCAGCTGGCCCCTGTCAGACCAGGGATACCAAGCTGTTACCTCATCGGTCGGGCAAACAGTCATGCGAGCAGAGGTAGCTGGGTCGTATCGGGTGCCGAAACCTGCGGTGTAGGAGGACCAGACTAGCTGCATCAGCGTTAGTGTCGGCTGCTCTCCTACGCTAAGCTACGTGTGAGAGTGAATGTGAGTGAGTGAACAAGTGAGAGATAACAAACAGCGAAGGATTGCTGTGGATCGCCTTGCTCACGCATCGGAGGAATCCAACGGTGTTACGTCGCCAGCCATTTAAAAAGGCGCGCCCGTCCCACGTTTCCAAAACTCTTCTTTTCTTTCCTTTCTCTCCCCATCTCGCCTCTGCTATTTCTTCGGGAGAGCAGTCACTGTCACCATTTTAAATCCTCCGTTCGCGTAGAACACTAGATTAACTACACAATCTCTCCCCCTCAAAAAAGAGTGTCGTCATCACCATGAAGTACGCTCTTGCAGCCGCTGCGCTGCTGCCAGCCTTGACGCTCGCTCATCCGGGCGTCGGCAACCAAATCCCTCTCGGTGCTGATGTCGGCCAGGAACGTCATGGCCATCACCATCACTCTTCTCCCGAGAACCCAATCGCTGCTGTTGTTGACAGTGTCGCGGATGCCCTCAAGGCTCTACCTGAGGCTACCCGTGATCTCTGGGCTGAGGTCGAGAACATGCTTCCCCGTAAGCTAGACCAGATCTCCGTCAAGTCTTCGCCGAAGAAGCACACCAAGCGACCAAAGAGCCACTGGGACTTCCACGTCTCTGGTGACGAAGTCAGCATCATGGATGACGGCAAGCTTGATGAAGACTTGGCACGCTTCAAACTCCGAGGCAAGAAGGTTGACCCATCCAAGCTCGGCGTTGACCCCGGAGTCAAGCAATACAGTGGATATTTGGATAACGAGGAGGACGACAAGCACTTGTTCTACTGTGAGTAAAAGAAATGATAACCCCCCTCGGATTCCTCCGGATTCGTACACGAGGAATGAAAAGATGACGCGCGTTAGAATGAGACTGGTAACTAACAAATATTTGCTCCATAGGGTTCTTCGAATCCCGCTCTAATCCTAAGGAGGACCCCGTCGTCCTTTGGCTCAACGGTGGCCCTGGGTGCTCTTCCCTGACCGGTCTCTTCATGGAGCTCGGACCATCCTCCATCACCAAGAACGGCGAACTTAAGTTCAACCCTGCCTCTTGGAACAACAATGCTTCCGTCATCTTCCTCGACCAACCCGTCAACGTCGGCTACTCCTACTCCGGCGGCCAAGTCTCCAACACTGTCGCCGCTGGCAAGGATGTTTATGCTCTCCTCTCCTTGTTCTTCAAACAGTTCCCAGAATACGCCAAGCAAGACTTCCACATTTCTGGTGAATCTTATGCCGGTCACTACATCCCCGTCTTCGCCCACGAGATCCTTTCCCACAAGAACCGTAACATCAACTTGAAGTCCGTCCTCATCGGAAACGGTCTTACCGATGGTCTTACCCAGTACGAGTACTACGAACCCATGGCCTGCGGAAAGGGTGGTTACCCAGCCGTCCTTGACGAGTCTCAGTGCCAGGGAATGAAGAATGCCTACCCACGTTGCGCCAGCATGATCTCTAACTGTTACGACTCCGAGAGCGTTTGGTCTTGTGTCCCAGCTTCCATCTACTGCAACAATGTGATGATGGGACCATACCAGCGCACCGGTACCAATGTCTACGATATCCGTGGACCTTGCAAGGATAGCTCCAACCTCTGCTACCCAGATCTTGGCTGGATTTCGGAATTCTTGAATAAGAAGGATGTTATCGATGCCGTTGGTGCTGAAGTTGGTAGCTACGACTCGTGTAATTTCGATATCAACAGGAACTTCTTGTTCGCTGGTGATTGGATGAAGCCATACCATAGACTTGTTCCAGATCTTCTTAAGGAGATCCCTGTTCTTATCTATGCTGGTGATGCTGATTTCATCTGCAACTGGCTTGGAAATCACGCTTGGACTGAGGCTTTGGAGTGGCCCGGAAAGGCTGCTTTTAACAAGGTTGAGCTCCAGGATTTCAAGATGGCCGATAGCGGAAAGAGTGTTGGACAGATCAAGAGCTCTGGACATCTTACATTCTTGAGAATTTACCAAGCTGGTCATATGACTCCTATGGATCAGCCAGAGAGTAGTTTGGAATTCTTCAACAGATGGTTGAGGAATAAGTTGTAAATGGCGAGATTGAGAGGGGGGTTTATACGATAGCGATATAGTATAGTATAGTATAGGATGATGCATGTAAAGCATAGGTAATTGCATCTTTCTTTCTTTTTCTTTTTGGTTGTTTTCCGAACGGTAAATTGGGAATCTTTGGATAACGGACGGACGGATGGTGCCCTTGTATGATTAATGGATTTATTATATATGATATCGATACGTACTTCATTTGAAGATTTTGGGTGTTAATGTTATGTTGTAAACTTTCTATCGTGATATCGATGGGACTTGTGTCTATAGATATCGATATATACTTCTATACTATGACTTACGAAAACTCATAGTGGTATGCAATAGGTAGGTACCAAGTACTTATACGTACGAAATTTCGAAGTGGTGTTAGTTAGTTAACCCTACAAACCCACAAGCTGCCTTCGGGGTGGGTTTATTATATAAAGGTCTTAATTTAAGAAAATTGTGCTCATAAAACTTGTGTGAAAGGATGATTCTGTCATAAACGTCTTAAATTAAGAGAGTTATACACATGCACGTGCACATGGCGTTTTTTCCTACTGATTTGAGATAGCTATAGACTTTAGCATAGAGCTCAGGTCTTCAATCAAGATAGCTATCTCCTGTATCTATATGAAATAAGGGTCAAATTAAACTTCGACGGCCGAAATTGGAATGTATAACTATCCAAAGATATAATGAAGAGTATTCAGATTGACGATGTTATACTACTAACTATTAATACCTATCTAATACGGTTTCTCAAGTATTCAACCCGTTTATGCCAATTCTTGACCCAATACTTCCAGAATGCATTTCAATCCCAAAGCTCCGGGGTCCATCACTCCTCCATCCTTCTCCACCTGTTCGTGACTAACGTAACTCGCCCTCCCCAATTTAGCTTCCATCTTTTTAGTCTCTTCGCACCCTTTCCCGGCTTCTTCCACTGCTTTATTGAGATCTCCTGTCCGCTGGAAGGTTTCAACGAATGGAATGAGCGTGTCCATCAGGGTTCTATGTCCCTTCCTTGCCAGTGTAAATGTACAAAGCTCCTGTAAAGCATTGGAAAGTGATTTCTGAAGGATAGTCTGAAGACTTTTTTCTCCATCGTTAGAGTTTCTAAGATTGTTTACAAATGCGTTAAGAAAGATACCGTAGATGGCACCGGATGTACCGCCCATACTAGATTCTACTATTTCTGCGATGGATTCAAAGGTGGTTGATAGATCTGTCGTATCTACTTTTCCGTTTTTGAAGGCGTCGTTGATGGATGTTACGCCCTTTAGTAGGGTGGTTCCGCAGTCGCCGTCGCCGACTAGTGTGTCGTATTTTGTGATTGTTGGTTCTTCGGATTGGATTTTTGTTAGAAGGGATGAAGAGATTTTGGTTAGCAGGTTTGCGGGGACGATGAGGTGGGGGTTGGGTGAGTATGTGGGTTTATTTGGTGGTGAGTATTGAGTAATTCGAGATTCGACGGGTGTGTATTCTTCATCAGTAAATTGCTTCGGCCAGGCTTGAACTTCGGTTTGTTCGTCTAGTAATCCCAAAATCTCATCGTCGTGTTTGAGGATTGTGATTGAAAAACCGGGACCGTCGAGACTGGTCATGAAGGATCCGATGTATTTTCTAGAGATGGTGAACTGCTGGGGACCGTTTGAGAGTTGGGTTAGAACTTCCTGGGCGATTACGTTGAGTTCTAGGATGCTTAGGCCGCCGAGATTGTTGATTAAGACGGCGATGGTGTCTTTTTTGTGGAAGGATACGGGTGAGGATGGGGATAGAAGGTAGGATAAGACTTTTGAGACAGTTGAAGAGAGGTCTGTGAGGTTGGTGCGGAGGACACCGGGTTCGTTGTGTATGCCTGTGTATTGATATTTGTCTTGGTTAGCTATTCCATCTTTCTATCATTTCCCGTATCACGGTATGAAGTAATCAAGTAAGTAGCATACCCATCCCGTACTCCAATTCACCACCCCCAAGTCCCTCTTGTCCACCCCTCCCAGGGACACTACACCTATCCAAACTAACACCAACAGTGGTAACACTATCCGCCACCTTTTGCGCAATCCTCGTAACCTCTGAGAGGCCAAGTCCTCGAGACGCAGCAGCTCCAGCGATTTTATGCACAAAAACCGTACCGGCAAGACCTCTTCTACCGACTAGAGATTCGGCATCAAGCGAAGCATCTTCATTTACGAAGACGACTGAAACTTCTTGGCCTTCGGAACGGGCCTTTTGGGCTGCTAGGCCGAAGTTAAGTTTGTCACCTGTATAGTTTTTTACGATCATGAGGGTTCTGTCGGGGAAAGTTAGATATATATCGATATTTGTTATTATATTAATATTTAATTTCGGAGGGGAGGGATGTATATAAGTACCCTTTGGTGCCCTTGATTGCTTTCAAGCCTACTAGTATCTGAGCAGCAGATGGAGAGGCGAAGATATCACCGGCGACGGCGATATCTAGCATACCGTTGCCTACGAATCCGGCGTGAGCGGGTTCATGGCCACTTCCGCCTTTTCGGATAAAAGATTATCAAGATGTTTAGTCAGTCTTTGGTTCGATCGATGAGGATATTAATCTTGAATTTGTTTATGATCAATGTACCTCCCGATATCAAAAGAACCTTGTCCGTCTTTCCGGAACGATTATAGATCACTATCGTGTAACATCGATATAGGTTTGCCAGTTATTAGTCTCAATTTCTGGAATTCTAGATTTGTATGCATTTATGCATCGACTTACATACCTTTGTGTGATTCGATGAGTCCCAGTCCGGGGTTTACTTCGAGAAGGCATTTTAAGGCCCTTTCGACGGGTGATTTGATGTCGCCGATGAAGTGCTTCCCTGTTGATATTTAATGTAGATGCAACACAACTCCTTGGTTAGACTGATGTTGTAATTATACGAACTCTGACATGCCGCTTAACGAGCGGCTGCAGGCTGTGGGGAAGGTACTGACCGAGAACCATGGTGTCGACTATATTATTCCTGCTCCTTTCAATTCAGAGAATTTTACAAGCTATGTATGAGAAGACTTTATAATTCTGAGGTACACGAAGCTGAAGATTGATTGCGATTGCTAGAGTAACGTTCAGAAAGCGGTTTCAATTCTGGCCGGCGGGGAATTATAATTCGCGAAAGTGAAGTGATATCATCTGCGTTTTAGGTTGTGGGGTATTCCGCCTGTGCGACGAGAATCAGCCACTTATCGGCCCGAACTGGCGGATAAGTGCCCCGACCAGTGCCGATGTCAATATTACTTAAAACTAACATACTAAGTACCTAGGTAGGTACATAGAATAGAATATATAGAATAGGATCCCCGAAGTGTAAGGTTTTTATTGCTTGAGCCTCTATAACGCCTGATACATGTCACTAAATTTATGATAGTAAATATTATTTTGTTTTATTTATTTTTTCATCCTCTATTGATTGTATTTCCGGATCCCCTAATGAAGCGGTTCGTTAGTTATATGAAATGAAAAGGGCGTCTTGGTTAAGAAGGGGGGAACGTACTTTGGATTTGCTTCTTTAAATTCGTCCCATTGTCTTGCTTTGTATGTTTCTTGGTCTGCAAGTTCGAGGTTATCTTCATCTGGCTCTGGTTGCCTGCCTGATGCTTCACTATATTCGTAGTCCAAGATTAGCATCATTTCACTTGTCAGGGTCTTTTTTATATATCTTACCCGCCACCCTCAATGATCCCTCCTCGTTGCTTCTCTGCCTCTAGGTAATCGTCGATAGTCATCGTCGGCAACCTATGACCCGGTCCAAAAACACCACCCTTCACAATCTCCCGATTCGAAAGTAATGTGAACGGCCTCAAAGGTTTCCCGTCAGAACTTAACAACGGTCTTCCATTCGCCTTTCTAAATATTTCAGAAGGATCAACGCGATCAGAATAGCCATCATCCGCTTTCCGCCGTCTGGACCGTTCGTCTTCCTCCTGTTGTCTCCTACGTTGCTCAAGAAGCTGTTCTTCCGAAGGTGCTTTGCCGAGGATATCGATCTCGAGGTAGATACCTTCGAGTTGTTGGAGGGATTGCATTACCGCTAGCTCGATTTGGGAGAGGTATAGAGAACGGATATCTTCATCGTCGACATTGGGGGATTGTGCGAGGTTTGAGAGCTGCTGTAGTAGCCGGTGCAGATAAGTTAGTTATTGACTCTTTTTATTTCTATAAACTAATAATATGGAAAAAGTAGATTTTGTAATATCGTACGTCTAGTTTGGCCTTTAGCTCCTTTTCGTGCTTGTACTGTTCGATCTTTGCGTTCCTTCTTGCGGCAGCATCTATGTGGATCTCGGAGAATACTGTCGGCGAGATCTTATCGGAAACTTGGTATGCTTTCTTTTCATAGGATCCTAGAAGAGCGTATGAATCGCAGAGGGATAGGAATGATCTATACGCGGTTCTGGCGTCATGTAAAGTGGACAAGCGGGTTGAGCGGTCATGTTGCTTTAGGAGGAGCTCCCCTCTGTAGGCGTCTGCGAGGATATATCTGCAATGATCAGAAAGAAGAGTATTAGAATATCACTACCAATCTAGAAATATATTGATTTGATGTTTGATATAGAAAGATGGGTGGGTAGGTAGGTAATAGTACTTAAGTTCATTTGTAGCAGCATCCTCTAAAATCTCGTTGTTGCTGAAAAGTGAGAGGTTGTTTATGACATCCTTGCAGGTGGATACTGTAGCTAAAGCCTCTGCTACGGCATTCTTATAGGCGATAGAATTGTAATCGGTGAAAGTTGAGAGATCTTTTCGCTGGCGCTCTGCTTTTTCCCAGAGAGATTTGAGGCTTGAAGATGCTGGGTCGGTTTCGGACATCTTTGTGCGGCCGTGGGGTTTTCTTTGAAAGTTCTTTGTTTGGCGGGGCAGCTAGCTGGGCAGCTCTTATCGGTCGAGGTTTTGAATATCGTCAGCCACTTGTAAAGCGGATTCGGGGGGTTATGATGTATCGAGATCGGTAGAGTATAAGGAGTCTGAGCTTCGTCGGGAGGAGATACCTATGAAGGTTGGATGTTCAAGTGAATGGCGTAGAAAGGAGCGCGCGCTGCTCACCAAGCAAGTGTCTCTGCTGCTTGTCGTGCTTAATAAGAAAGCTGCTCGCTTCGACATCGGCAGCTTTTGAAGCTAATGGGCCAACACACAATCTGCAACAAAGTACGAGGTTCTGGACCTGGATTAATGCCTAACCTTTTTTAACAAATTTAGTTGATTGAATGGTGTATAAGACGAGTCATAATAATGAAGAGGAGGAGGGGAATGTGAAAGAGAGAATCAGAAAATGCTTTTTAACGTAATGTGCTACCAGTATGAATACTGTATCAGCTGAGAATAGCGAAAGTTGGTGCTTATGCAAGTCCGCAGCCTAATTACAAGAGTCCATAAAATTATTCTCTGGCTTCCTTGAGAAGACTTTCCGCAAGAGTATGCTTTAAGTGTTCTGTTTTGTCTGCAATACTCTATTTGTCGGGATTCATTAGTCGGCCAGTCACTCTAATTGAAACATCCAGAAACTGGAGTCCTACCTGCAATTGAGAAGCATTGCTACCTTTGGCAACTGTTCCACCATGAGCAACAGCCTCGTCATGCATAGCCTTTGCAGCATCTCCCTTCGTGACGAAAGCCTCGGCTTCCTTGTTGTCAGTAGTAGATTCCGTTAAGTTATGATCGGCAATAGACTGGAGAGTCTTTAACAACGGATTTCAAGTTAGTTCGTCCACTTTTTTGAATGATAGAATATAAGGGAACCTACTGAAGAAAGAGAGCCTTTAGCCGGACGTTGGCCAGCGAGGGCTTTCGTCTAAATATAAAATAATCAGTCTCTCACCATAATAAGAATGAATTTGTTTGTCATACCTCTAGGGACATAATGTGTGAAGCTTGTTCCTTGGAAATAGCAGCAGCTGGTTTATCAACCAACTTGGTAGCTTCCTCAAGGAAGTTTTGTTGCTTGTCATAGAAACTTTGGGCGGTAGCAGCCGGCCCGCCGGCGGCAATACCTGGACCACTGATCTCTAACTCCTTCTTAGCAATATTTTGAACCTTTCGACAGTGTGAGAACTTAGTGATTATGTCTTCGGTACAAAACTGGGAAGGATATGACCCACCTGCTCCGGGGTGAATAAGATTCCTTTGGCAGCTTGCTTGGTGATTTCGTCATTGGTAGGAAGTCGTTCAGACATTTTGGTTAGGCTTGAGTGTAATATTTTTCTTAAAACTGTATATAGATCAATATTGCAATATAAGGCATCTAGTGATTCTATCGTTTTGTAATTAAAATTGCACTGGTGTATTGTACTTACGATAGAAATGGGAATAATTAGTGAAGAAGCAAGGTACTAGTTCGTATGACTCTGATATCAATTAAAACAATTTGTTAGCCATGGCTCAATGCAATTATAATGTACAGCATTGATCAGGACTCTGAAGTGCAGCGTACCAATTGATCAGTTTAATGTGATGTATCAAAACTAAAGCTAAAGAATGCTTTTTTTATGGTGATAGATAATCAAGGACGTAAAAATTGAGAAAAACGTTTGAAAGTGGGCTTACCTTTCGCTTTTTTGACTGCTCTAATATGAAGATTGATGATGGTCTCAAAGAATTCTCTATAGCTATGGTCGCTCTATGCGGGCTGCAGGCTGTAGACTGGTCCCGGCTGGTGTTGTGCGGCTATGATGTCAGCGTACCGGGCCGCACAACAGACTCTCGGGCCTCGTTGTATCACGTGGTCTCCGGTAGGCGACGCGTTTTAATGAACCCGATTTCATTTGCCTTCAGCGCAACTCGACCTGTTTAAGCTACGATAGAATATTATACGACGTGTAGTTAATGACATGAGAGGCGAGCCGGCCTCCACCAAGAGCTTCAGAAGCAGCTTCTTACCTTAAGCTCTCCTTCTATATTCTCATGACTGCACAATTTTTATTTTTTTTTGGCTTCTCACCTGAACCATATTCTTTAATTTCGCAAAAAGCTTTTGTTTCCTAGTATATCTCAAGTAGAAACTCCAGCATCAACTAGAGCTTAAAAATGGAAGATACCAATCCACATCCTCCCAAACGACGGCGCTTCTTCGCTGTATCATCTCCTTCACCGCCCCCCGAAGCATCAGATCCTATCCTTCCATCGACACCACTACGAGAACTCCATGGCTATGCTGCCAACATCGATCCGAGTTCCGATACCACCCCTTTCGCGGAACAGGATGAGGATACTACGCTCGAGGAATCGCCCGAGGACCAATTTGGAATGGGCATGGAAACTGCTGAGATCAAGGATTTGAGCCTCAGGTTTGATGCTACTATGCTTGAAACAGTTGTTGGTGAACTCTCCGCAGATGTCTTGAAGCGATTGGATGATATCTCTGGCGGGAACATTGAGAGAGGTGATACTCGATCTATTTAAATACTATTTTATTTTCAAGGCTAACAAGTTTTGTATCAAGCCATTAATATGTATCTCGATGGATCCTGGAAGGAGGCCAAACCATCCGAACCCAAGAAACCGGGAAAGCAATCACCATTTGATTCCATGCTTGGTCAGAACGGGAAACGGAAATCTTCTGCTGTTACTGGTCAGAGTTCTACGGCCCAAACACCTGTTTCGGACGAAGAAACAGCTCAGCGGCTTGATCGAATGCCTTACGAACGGTACATAGGTTCATTCGGTGCCGAGGGTTATGCGGTACGGAGCGGATCGAATCTTCTATCTCATGGAGAAGAAGTCATAATCGGACGGCAACAGCCCCAGCAAGTACAAAAGACAGTTAGAAGGGGTAAGGGAAGGCCAGTGACGGTTGTTTCCCAGGCAGCATCCAAACGAAAGGATATCGTCGTCCGCTTTTCGAACTCTAAAGGCGAAGAGATAGGCCGTTTACCACATGAAACGGCGCAGTTTGTTTCTACTCTTCTGGATCAGAAGATATGTAGCTTCAAAGCTATCTGTGTGTATGCTCCAGAGCCACTACGGTCAAACGAAACTATATTTCTCCAGTTGAAATGTTACATGTTGCGACAGACTTTCGCGCCTCGTGCTCTTCGCCTCACAGAAACCAATCGATCCACGGGCTTGTTTGAGACGAAGGAAACGGAGGAAGAGAAGGCCTTGAGATTGCGTCAGACGTCTTTGGTTAAGCTGTTTAACGAGATCAGGCTCTTCCCTACAAGCGCTGGCCAGGACTCGAAAGCGAAACGCGACGGTTTACTTCAAGTCGCTGAGATGGCCGAAGAAAAAGAGAAAGAAGAGGCTGCCAAAGGAAACAATACCCCAGCTAAGGACGAAGAGGAACCGCAAGAAGGAAAGGAGCTTGAGCAAGACCAATTGGATCAGCTCTACAAAAAAGCGCAGACCTTCGATTTCAATTCACCAGAAGCTGAACCCGCCGAAACATTCACAATGGATTTGCGCAAATATCAGAAGCAGGCATTACACTGGATGTTGAATAAGGAACGTGATAAGAAGAATGAGGGCCAAGAAGAATCAATGCATCCGCTATGGGAGGAATATACCTGGCCAATCAAGGACGAAAATGATAAAGAGCTTCCAACGGTGGAAAATCAAGAGAAATTCTATGTCAACCCTTATTCCGGAGACCTGTCCCTAAAGTTCCCTGTGCAAGAACAGAATTGTCTTGGGGGTATTCTGGCTGATGGTACGATAAACTATACCCAATTCTCGGTGTTACTCATTTTACTAACAACTTCGCAGAAATGGGTCTTGGGAAGACTATCGAGATGCTGTCTTTGATACATAGCAATCGCAACGAGCCTGAAGCAGCATCGGGTACGGATTCGAAACCGTTTAATTTACCACGGCTACCCAAGAGTTCCGATGTTGTAGAGCCTGCACCATATACAACTCTAGTTGTAGCACCAATGAGTTTACTATCCCAGTGGGCTTCAGAAGCAGAAGCGGCCTCCAAAACTGGCACCCTAAAAACTACCATTTACTACGGGTCTGACAAGAGCTTGGACCTGAGGGCGCAGTGCTCAGCTGCCAACGCCCACAATGCTCCCAATCTTATTATCACAAGTTACGGCGTAGTCCTCTCCGAATTTACACAAATCGCGAATACTGCAAGCGGCTCTAGGGCAACATCAGGTGGTCTTTTCTCCGTCCAATTCTTCAGAATCATCTTGGATGAAGCACATAACATCAAGAATCGACAAAGCAAAACTGCAAAGGCCTGCTATGAACTGGATGCCCTTCATCGATGGGTGTTAACTGGCACCCCGATCGTGAATCGGCTTGAGGATTTGTTCTCGCTGGTTAGGTTCTTAAGAGTTGAGCCCTGGAGCAATTTCGCTTATTGGAGGACGTTCATCACGGTCCCCTTTGAGTCTAAAGATTTCCTGCGTGCCCTTGATGTGGTGCAAACTGTTCTAGAGCCGTTGGTAATGCGGCGCACGAAGGATATGAGGCAGCCGGATGGGACCCCGTTGGTTTACTTACCTCCAAAAACGATTTTGATCGAAGAGATCGAGTTATCTAAGGCCGAGCGAGCTGTGTATGATTTCGTGTATAACTTTGTTAAGCGCTCATTCGCTGACAATATGGAAGTAAGTAGTATGCACCAATCCTCTTTTTTTTTTGCCAAAGAACCCATTCTGATACCCTATAGGCCGGATCTGTAATGAAATCCTACACTACAATCTTTGCGCAAATTCTTCGCTTGAGGCAGTCTTGCTGCCACCCAACTTTGGTCCGGAAGAAAGAGGTTGTAGCCGACGAGGTCGAAGCTGAAGCAGCCGAAGCGGAAGCCAAGGGTCTGACAGACAACATGGACCTTCAGGCCCTGATTGATAAGTTTACTTCTCAAGAGAACGACGGTGCTGAGGTTAATAACTATGGCGCTCACGTGCTTCAGCAAATTAAGGAAGAAGCACAGAACGAGTGCCCTATCTGCTCTGATGAGGAGATCCAAGAGATGACCGTCACAGCATGTTACCATATGGCATGTAAAAAATGTTTGTTGGAGGTCATTGATCACGCAAAAAGAAATGGTAATCAACCGAGGTGCTTTAATTGTCGGGAACCGATCAATGAGAAGGAACTTTATGAGGTTATAAAGCATGACCCCGATGTGGCTATTGGTGGGTTAAGTGGGTTTAGAGAAAACGTGCCGGAGTTTTCGTTACGACGGATAGCTGCGAATAAGTCGTCAGCGAAGATTGATGCATTGATTACGAACCTGAAGAGATTGAGGAGGGAATCTCCTGGGATGAAGAGTGTGGTATTCTCGCAGTTTACCAGTTTTATAAACTTGATTGAACCGGCACTTACGAGGGAGAGAATACAGTTTGTTAGATTTGATGGGGGGATGTCACAGCAGCAGAGGTCTGTGGTTTTGAGTAAATTCAAGGCTCATACCGGAGGGTTGGTCCTGTTGATCTCTTTGAAGGCTGGAGGGGTGGGGTTGAATTTGACGGAGGCTAAGAGGGTGTTTATGATGGATCCTTGGTGGTCGTTTGCGGTTGAGGCTCAGGCGATTGATCGGATTCATCGGATGGGGCAGACGGATGAGGTTATTGTGCATCGGTTTATTGTGAAGGGGTCAGTGGAGGAGCGAATGGTACATAAGATCCAAGAGAGGAAGAAGTTTATGTGAGTATATATTTGTGTATCATTGTCTTTGATAGGTTTTATGGAGCTAACTAGTGGGATTTTAGTGCATCTTCACTTGGAATGATGAGCGCTGAAGAGAAACGAGCGCAGCGAATTGAAGATATTAAGGATCTTCTGAGCTAGAGTTAGTCGATTTCATGACCCATAGAGCACTACAACCGGGACGACGGCGTTACTAGATTTTTGGCGGCTATTGTGCTTCACACATTCTCACTTTCCTGTAAATATCTTATTTTGGCCACAGGTCCCAAGGTCTTGTGTGAAGATTTCGTACATTGAAAAAGACCATCCCATTACATTGCAGGCTGGCAGGGTGAGAATTAGAATTTATAAACAATCCCGTATCAGGGAGTTTATCATCAAAAGGCTATGAAATAATATCAACGCTCAAAGTACAAAGGCGATTTTCATGCAAATTGCAACTTGCAAAAATTAAGCTATCATAGGAAACGAAGGTCGACTCTCTAGCCGCTAATACTCCAACCCGAATGATATATATCCAAATAACCGTAACCCCGCAAATAAATGTCCTTCGAAATGAATTTATGGCCTTGGGCTTAGCTCCACCAGGGAGGGCCTGTACCTCTGGAATGATGTATTTGTTTAAAACGGAAGTGTTAACTACTGCTGCTCTCTTCACCGTCTAGAGTCGCGGTCATCTCTTCTACCATTATCCTTTCTCTTGCTTCTAGAGTGTGTCGGCTCCCGTCTATCGCGATCATCTCTTGCATGATGGTCGTCTCTTCGGCCATCTCTACGGTCATCTCGACGGTTGTCTCTATGGTCATCCCTGTGGTCATCTCGGCGATCAGAACGACGAGGACCACGTCCATCAGATCTAGATTCTTCGTGACGGCTTCGGTCTCGGTGGTCGCGACTCCTATCCCTTTCACGCTCACGATCCCTATCCCGACGATCATTATTTCCACCATGTCGAGAAGAAGATGCCTGGGCTTCAAGATCAATATCCTCTCCCGAGTCCTCGCCGGTTGGTAGTGAATCATCAGGAGCATCGGTGATTCCCTGCGCCTTCAACCGCTCCTGCCCGACTTTCCGGAGGTGTTTTTCGAGCAGCACGGCATTCCTAGTACTGCATTTGTAACCAGCGTCGATAAGATCACCAACAAATGGGACCAAACCAATAACAAAGTCCAAAGCAACGTTGAACAGCATGTGAAGGAGAATTCCGAAGGGTAAACCAACTCTCATGCATGTCTTAACCACCATCAATGACAACAATGCATCTAGAGCGTCACCGATTCCTGGGACAATACCAATAACACTGCCCCATCCGAATCTAACGCCAAGGAAAGAACCAAAGGACATGTCGAGACGGTAGGCTCGTCGTTTGACTTTTGTAAGAATCTCTCCCTCCTCATCTGTGAGACCTGGGGGGAGTGCCTTCTTCGTACGTTTTGACTTTCGTTTGCCGGCTTTGTTGAGTTCTGAGGCAGGATATTCGTAGTATGGGTCTTCGCGACCCTCTTTGTTGGAGGATGATTCCTGGAATATCTGTGAGATGGAGATAAAACATTGTTAGTTTCCTTATTTTTCCCCCGAGGTCTTAAATGTTTGAGATGAATGTTTTATGGCACAGAAAAGGTCCGGGTTCAATTCAAGGGTCCAGGGCACCAGGGACTTGATTAGCGAAACTTACCCTGCCGAGAACAAACTTGGTGAGGTAGGACGTCATGTTGGAGAGGGGTGGTTGGCGAGCGCGCGGGCTTCAGCTCTTGCGCCGCTACGGAATACTGTGTAGAATTGCTTGAATTTGCGGTCGAAAGATGATAAATGCAAAAGCCAGATCGTTTGGAAAGTTTAAAATAAAATAAAAAACAGTTGGAAGAAGAGGAACCAACGGTATTAACAATTTTGCCAAATTGAAAAGGGCGCTTCCTGAGATGGTATTTTACGGAAAGAACGAAAGGGCTTTCTGGAGAATGCGATCCTGAAGCAAGGAGTTGGTTATGTTATCGTTATATAATTCCAACCCTCAGTGCAGGGAACCCGAAAACCAGGGAACAGGAGGATAAAACGAAAAAGATCCGATGTAACAGCGAGCCGCCGTCCGAGATGTTTTATAGTTTCGCGCAGATTTGTCCTCTCTCTCTTTGACTAAAACGTAAGCAAGAGAAATTTGACAGCTGAGAGGTTCCGTCGACACGCGCAATCAATTCCTAGAGTGGGTGGTAATTAGGTCTTTAAGTAGGGACTCAAGGATGCAGAGGATGGTGGGTGGTTGGAACCATGCAAGTTAACCATGGCACACACGCATCATATCATGCATATGGGCGCCGGCCAAGAGATATCAGATCATGTTCGCTGTTATTGACGTAGCTTAGGTGTATAATTATAATTATATCGAACCGCTTTGTTTGCCTGGAGGCAAAAACGACCGGCCTGTTTTTTGCGACGACATCGATTCTAGATATCCAGGCCAGCTAGCTGCCAGGTTCATTGCAACCTGACGGAACGCCTCATTCTGAACTATCGGGATCTAATTACTGCGCCACTTGGGAAGTTGGCAACGTCATTTTTGTGGCTGTGCAGCGCTGGTCTGGGCAGGGATCGTTGTAGCCGAAAATCCAACACTCAACAAATGTTAACGTGTCTGCTCGAGTCGCGTCCATGGTGTCTAGCTAGCCTCGAATCCAGGCGCCCTTGGGGCAAAGATGCATTCCAGCCGAGTTTCAGACAAGTTACAAGTTAATGTTGTACAACTCTGCAAATTATAATAAATCAGAATTCAAACTATTTTACATATCAAGTCACATGAGGAGGGGTTCGGCCTTTTTTTTAGCGGCTAACATTATAATTATACGGCATGGAAGATCAGCAACCTGCATTCCCAGATACGCAAATATACCTAAATACATCACAGCTTCGTTGGTGAACCAATCCAACATGAAGTTCATGCACAGTTATACCCTTCTCAAAGAAGAAGAAAGGGGAGAAGAAAGGGAAGAATGTTAAATTTTAGCCCGAAACGTTGCACTTTATGATGTCTAGGAGCGAGACCACCGGACCTAAGCTTTGGGATAAAGCGCTTCGTAACTCTTATTCTGGGTTTAAAGCTATCCCGTTAATGCGCATGCATTGGTCATGCATGATCCGAACACGTGCACTCCCAGCCCTACCCTTTGACACCGCGCCTAGTCTCGGGGGCTATATACCACCCCCAGGTTAGATTTGCGCAGTTTCCCATAAGCAGCTATATACATAATTAGATTAGATAAGGCTGCAATATATAAGCTAGCTTGAAAATTTAAATTTAAGCATTGATATATATAATTTATGCAAATGTGCGATCAAGAGCCAGTAAAACATAACTACCAAGTATGATTGTTCACCTCACAGATACCCATTTATAATTTATAGACAACTAGACTAATTTATAGCATCTAGCCTAAGTGCTCGCGGAGGAACCAAGCTTATAAGTCTTTTACCCGGCTAAAACTGGTACTTCCCGCATTATATATACCCCCTACAGCCTAGGTCCTCCTCGCCACAACTTAATATATATATATACATCTATATACATCTATACGTTGATAAAGACCAGGCAGGTAGCTCACTTGCAACATACAACATAACTGTTCTGAAATTCCGATCAAGTTCCAGATCGATCTGACGGACCGGGATATAATAAATTTCAGATACTAACCACTTGATTTTGTCTCGTACCCAGCCCCGCCAAAAAAAAAACCATAGGTGCACTTGATTTAAAAAACAAACTCGTTTTGTAAATGCATATGCATGCGCATCGCGATATCGATACGGCCAACAATATAACAACTTTGGGCATTCGTTGGACCAAAAATTATATCGTTATATATATCTATCTAGCTAAGCGCCTTTATGTCATGAGTAGTTTTGATCCACAGGGACACCGTGCCAGAAACAACTGCTTGTTATAGGTCGATCGATCGATTGATGGCCCATGCATCTGTAGCGCTGCTCAGCTTATACAGATCATCTCGTACCTATACTATCTAGATATCTCGCTATATATAAATATCAAAGGGAAAAGTTAGCTGATCAACCGATTGACCGGGAACTGTTCAAGCCTTTTATATAGCAATCCTTTTAATTTTAGTATTTACATCCCCTAAGCCATAGCTATCCTCACCTTTATAGCCAATTATATCTATTTAATTCTCGGTGAACTCCATTCAAGAATCCGAGACTTATATATACATATATTTATAGGCGCCTACAACATGATTCTCTACTCCAAGCTGCCACGGGCATGGTTTTTTCTATACCTCCTCTTACTACCCAAATACTCGTATCCGAGCCCAATCCCAGAAACAAACATTAAAAAGACCCAATTTCCGCCAAATACTACAAGCATCGCCTATCCTAGCCCCAGCGAGACTGGCGTTAAACTGCAATCATCTGGTTTGCCATCAACCGTGCGAGTGGCAGACTCTTATGCAACGGCAAATATCCCTTCTGAGGTAGACACCAGCCCACAAGTGCGGGCTGTCGACGTCCCGCATAATTTTTTTTATACCACCGACCGCTTGCAGATGAGATGCAGAGATGCCAGTATGTTTGAGTCCGGAGCTATGAAAATGCTTCAAGTTCCCGGTATAGATCCCAGTGAGGTTATCGACTTCGTAGACGGCGGGTTGAGCGGAGATCGATTGATAATGGAAATCAATAGTATTAGGCGGAATCAGTTGAGGTGCAAACGTCATTGCATTTGTAGTGAGGAAGGTTATATCGAAGAGGGTCCCCCCGATTTAGCGCGACGCGGGGTCAGGGGTTGTGACTCTGACTTGCACATCCCGCTGAAATGCATCTCCTTGTGGGGTAAGTGATACCCGTGGGAAATTTGTTTGTTTTTAGTATTAATTGATCAATTGACGGTGAACCTCGACCGAAGACTGACGTTGGAGTTATCTGATCTCCTATCTGATAAACAGGATGCTATTGTACTGCCGTACTTAGACAGCCTCACCCAAACATCCCAGGTGCAACCCTCGAAGACTACATGAGGGTGCTTTCGTCAGTACCCAGTGGGGTCCAAATGGACAATCCGGGTTATGTGTGGACGAACGCCCCGGAATCCGAGTTCCCAGGATTTGATGACCTCATGGATGCACCGGGAGAACCCGATTCTTTAACGGGATCGCCAACGAACACGGGTATTCCATCAGTATACTATGGTACGGAAGAGAGCGCACCAGGGGGGGTACCAGGATCACCGTCGGGGTCATCGTCGGGGTCATCGTCGGGCTCGCGAGAGCTAGAGCCACCACTTCCTTTGTCGGGGCCTTCAAATCCGTACCCGCCCCCATTAAATTTACTGGCGCCCCCAAACCTAAACCAAGGCTTCGGGGCTAGCAGAGCTGGTAGTAGAGCCCCCGAAAATCTGAGAATTAACCCATTCGTTGGCGAAGTTGAAGAAGATGAAGATCCCGCGTTGTTGTCTTCGAGAAATCCAGCTGAAACCCCTTTCTCCCCTGACTATTGGGAATTTCTCTTTGGGCACCCGCGCCCAAGTGATCGAGATGAAGGTGGAGGTGATAACGCCGGCCTTTATCCAGGTGGAGATTATAATCCCGGTTCGTACTGGTTTAAGAGAGACACAGTACCGAATCCAGAATCAGCTGCAGGTCATGCTACGGACAGCACCGCTATTGGCCACCAACAGGGAGCGCATGAGAGAACGCCCACCTCCTAGGGTCCGACGATGTATATAGGCTTCAGAAAAATCCACAGATCGATCATGAGTTATAAAACGGACCCTATGGCCAGTCACTTATACATACGCTGATGACCCCCTGATAAAAATTTAAATTTTGTCTTTGAATAGTTATGGATATGTATTTAATTAAATTTATATTGAAAACTAATATAAGCTAAATGGCTTTGATTCAATTGAAGCAAATGAGCTCTTGTCTTGTTGCAAATTTGAAGCATCGGACTTATGAAGTTTGATCCATGAACATGAACATTCGAACATGGGTGCCCTATGGTAGTTGGTGTAATTACCCGCAAGCCTCGCCCTTGGTCTCGAACCAGTCTCAAGTGTGATATTTTGGAAACCTTTGTGTTGTGTGTTATTTTAAAGACTCTTGTGTTGTGTGGCTGCGTCTGTGTGGCTGAGGTGCCACGGAAAAGACAACTTCAGCCGAATTCCAACCACCACCACCACCACCACCTTCATCACCACCTATCACGAATTCCACCTCCATCCCACCTCCATCCTTTTATCATCCTTCCATCATCCTTTTACACCTGCAAACTCGGACACAAGATAATTCCGTTCCTTTGTGATTATTAGTAAAACCTTTCCTTTAAACCCCTCTGTTCCCTCGAAATACGCTCTCGCTATCAACCGATTCACCAAAACCCACTTGAACCGTCCAATTGAACCACAAATACACCGGGTTTTCAAACATTGTTTCCTGTCATTCAATTGACGCGTACTGAACCAACCAAAAAAAAATCTAGCTGGGCGTTCCGGCGCCCCTAGTAACCTCAATATGGAACTTCCATCTGTACGTCACTGCCAATCGCATAAACTTTTGAAAACTTGGATTAACCAACTTGTCATAGACGTATGGAACATCAACACTCGATGAGGTCCTTAGCGACCTCAGCGTTAGATTCGTTATCAACCTTCCCCAAGAAGAACTCGTCTCGAGAGAGGTATGGTAGCTCCTGTTCTTTACAAGTTGCCCAATTCCAATGATGCTAACCGGACTATCTTAGAGAGTATGTTTCCAAATAGAAGAAGCGCATTGGTACTACGAAGATTTCGTCCGCGAACAACGACCGGAGTTCCCTGCTCTTAGCCTCCCCGTATTTCTTGGCAAGATTTTCGCACACAACCCCATGTTAAGTAAATGGGGAATGCACCAGGATGCGTACAGGGAATTTATGGAATACAAGCATCGAGTCCCGGTTCGTGGCGGAATCTTAATCAATAAGAAAATGGATAAAGTAATTCTTGTGAAGGGCTGGAAAGCAGGAGCTAGTTGGGCCTTCCCCCGCGGAAAGATCAACAAGGACGAAGCGGATCACGTATGCGCTGTTCGTGAAGTTTTGGAAGAAACAGGATTCGATTCTTCTGAGCTTGTGGACCCTTCAGCCTTTCTTGTTGACTCTTCGGAGGATAATGCGGACCGACACCTTCAACTTTACCTTATCAAGGACGTACCCGAGGACTTCAACTTTCATCCATTGGCCAGGAAGGAGATTAGCGTATGTGAAAGCGGCCAAGCACTCGAGAAAATCTGCCTGTGTTGAATTATGTTGCTGACATGACATTGCTTTTCTGTTTTTAGGAAGTTGCTTGGTTCCCGATCACTGAACTTCAGGCCCAATCCAGTGCTCAACGTCGCAGAAGAGAGTTAGCAAAGAATAATCCTAAGAGCGGGGCAGAAGACTCTGAAAGGGGCACCGCAAACAAGCTGCGCGTTTACAAAGTCTATAGTTTCCTTCCAGGGTTGTCACGCTGGATCAAGGATCAAAAACGTCAAGCTCGTCAAACACGAAACAAGAAGCATGGCGGAGTTTACGAAACCGAGCCCGAGTCTTCGGCCGTTGAGACTAGCCCTCCAAGACACCAGAAGACGCGTGAGGATCGCAAGGCTCAAACACCACAAGCTCCCTTACGTTCAACACCCCATCAGACCCGACTAACACCTGCACCTACGACGAGTGCTGGTATGGAAGTCGATGAGGATGCTCTCTCGCTCGCATCTGCAAAACTGCGCCACATGATTGGTATCGGAGGCGCCCCTGCTACAGAACAATCACCACAATTCGATAAGATCAATGCCGGACAATCACTTCTAGCTCAGCTTCAAGGCTCAAGCTTGGCTGCCACCAAGGAACCAGTCCAAGGTCATGCTGCTACAGGAGTCTCTATTTCCGTCTCCGCTTTATTCAATGCCTCAAAACAAGAATCGCAGCAGGTACCGCAAACCCCAGTGGACGCCAACAGTAGCTCTCAACTATCAACTTCTTCGCCAGGTAATAATTTTAACCCATCGGTACGAAAGAACAATCATGGTCGAAACGGGCACGGGAAATACACAAACAATAATGGCCAGCACCAAGCCGCAAAGCAAACTGTTACAATCTTGCAAAGAGGGCAGCCTCTTCCAAACCATCCCCGTCAACCCAACCAGTCACACCAATCACCACAATCCACCACTGCACAACCGCTGGCACCAGCAACCATCCCTCAACAGGCTACCCAAAGTCTCAGAAGCGAGCCTCCCTCACAAGATGCTTTTAACCAGACCGTTCCTCCTTCGCAACCCCCTCCACTGCAAACCCGCTCATCACAGTCTCCTCAAGGCTCCCAAAACGATAATTCTACTGCAGCAAAAATGTCGAGACGCACGATGTTGACCATGGACACTTTCAGTCCACCTCAACCTGCACAACCACCTTCACAAGAACACAAAGGGAATTTGTTAGATATTCTAAGAGGTGCCAAGCCGCCGCCGCCACCTCAACCAGCAATGCAGCTCCAACCAGACGAGGACGCTGCACCTAGAAATGCCTCCAAATCCATCAACGATATTCTGGCCGAGCAAGGCGTTAAACTGCCACAAACAGTGGCCCCAGTACCGACTCCAGGACCTAGTACGATAGAAAACAAATTGCCAGTCAAGAGAGCTTCCCAAAGCCCGGTTGAACCGAATCACCTTGATGATCTCGCGAGAGCTCTTAAGAACTACCCTCAAAACAAGCAGACGCCAGGCGGGAGCATCAGCATTAAGATTCCCCCTCCTCAGCAAAAATCCGTTGATCCCAACCATCTGGCTAGTCTCATGAACTCCCTCAACAACTTCACACCAAAGAAACCAACACCCCCAGGGACCCTCAAGGAGGCGGGTACCTCCTCGCCCGCTTCCCGAAAACCAGCTGATCCAAACCAAATGGCGATCTTGATGAAATCCCTTGGGACATACCACCCCAAGAAGCCCACACCACCTGGCACGAACGCCCAATCTCCGATCGAGAGGGTCGAGACCACGTCTGTTCTGCCTCCGAGGTCGATGCCAGATTTTTTCTCATCCTCATCTCCTGTCCAAAATGGAGCCATTAGCTCTCCAACTCTATCTACAAATACGAATGGACCCAAGCTTGCTAGCGGGTCGGACTCCGTTGGAAGGATGGCCTCCTTTGACCGTCGTTCCACTATCAAGCCGGAACAGCAGCAAACTCTACTCGGACTTTTCAAATCACCAACCATTGAAAACCCTATTGTTTCGGGCGGTCCACCAATCACAATTCCACCCAACAACTTCGCCCCAAAAAATACAGTTCAAACCCAAAGAGCTGATAAACCAGTTGCTGCCGAGATGCACAGGACTGGCTCATTAAGTATGGAGCAAACTGCCTTCCTCATGAGCTTCCTAGACAATCTTGCAACCCAGCATGGCGTTTAGGGGTTCGATTCGATTCTCTCACCATCACCTAATGCTTTAGTATCTTTTTTTTTGTTATCGCTATCGTTATATGTGGCATGGAGATGTGATCATCAAGTAGCGCATTCGTCATGGCTGGCGTTCTTTCTGGAAGCTCATCCTATTTCTTTGTTGCTTTTCTCCACTTTTTCATTTCCATATCTTCTACTCTTTGTTTCTCCGGCGTCGAATTTCTCCTCCATGGGGCGTGTTTATTCACGTTAATCGGTTTCTGGTTTCTTTTCTTTCTTCTTTTACTTCATTCGCTGCTATCCATTCTTTCTTTACTTCTTTGACTTTCTTTTGAGCTCCTTTTCACGGAATAATTTGACAATTTAGGAACGGTCAATACTGGCAGTATGAATAAAGGTTATCGTCTCAGGTTTTCACATGCAGCTTTGCAGTCTTAGCTTTTGGGAGTTGGGCAAGCATCTGTTCGTGTTTTTTCATTAGCGGTTTCCGCTCTGTTCCAATTCCTTTTGTGATTCCTTGCCTGCGGTTTTCCTCTTTGCTTTCTTTTTCGTTACTGGAAGAATGGGATATTGTTTCAATGCAGAAATGACTGGCGGAACAAAGATTGGATTCGCCAAGGTAGGATGAATTCCCATAGTCAGGGGACTAAAACTCTCTAATCAGGCCAACATTTGCGAAGGCCTTTCTACGCACGATGGATGACATTTCGTTTTTGGCTATCCTTGCCTGATTACCCTATATGCTTGATCGACTTGAAGCCCTCCCGAAAAACACCATTATGGTATCGATAAGGGGCTTTCCTCCTTGTATCTAGCGATGTGGTCCAGCATGACCATTTTGAGCGGCCGCTTTTCGGTGTATCTAGATCGATGTCGATATCACACGACGGCCCCCAAAGTGATAACAATGATATTGTGGTATCTATTAAATAAGTATTCACGGACTTCTTATATACAGTATATTACACTTTATACACATCCTCGCCCTTGGCGTGGTAAGGACTCCAAATGCCTCTGACACTGTCGTTCAAACTTTGCACTGGCTTGTTGATCTTCTTGATCTTGTCGCCTGATGCGTCCCGTAGTAATTCGGCTTTTTGAAGGACTTGTAGAACTTCCAGGTTCCGTACACAGACGACCTTTTCTCGTTTGTTGACTATTGAAGTTTTTATTATCGCGGTTAGTGGTCTACTTAGACAATATTCTGCCCGGAGTGTGTGTGGAAAGCGTACTATAACTCCCTCTGATGATTGGATGCTTCTTCGGCCGCGGAGAGACCACGATCTCGACTCCAGGGTTTTCTTTTGCAAATGTTGCGAGACGAGTTTTTAGAAATGCCCTACGGATTATGTATCAGCATATAGGATTTTGTGGATATGCCGTAAGGATTCCAATTACTTCATGCCGCGGGAGCTACCGCTCATCTCACAATAGTTGAATTCTAGTCGTTTGCATTGTAGTATGAAAGCTCCGACACCATTCTGGGCCTTCGAGACGGCCTGGAGGCCTCTGACGACCATGATGAAAACGTTCAGGCCCGGTTTATTTGTGTTAGCGGGCCTGCCGGGTGGGGTCGGTGTGTTTGAGAGTGGGGGTTCTGGTGGGCTTCGAGGGTCAATTGAAGTTGAAGTGAAGTCGTGAAGACGCAGAGTCCGAAATTTGCAGGGGTTCCCAATTGGGAGTGGTGTCGGACACAACGCAGTGCGTTCTTAGTAGTTGGGCCACAAGCAAAAAAATACTTGGGCATCTTTCATCACCATTCCATCTCCATCCTCCATCCTCCATCTCCACTAACCTCGACATCTCCATCATCGACCCTCTCCCATTATCACCACCACCCTCTCCATCAACTTTTCAGTACCTCCTTTCTAGGGCCGCTGAGACTACACCGACAAAGCTACTGGGCTGCCAGATCGCAACACGTCGCTCTCAAGACGTTGCCGTCGCCTCCTGACCGCAGACGCGCGAGATAAACACCCAGGCCAATGCCAAGTTAGCGACCACATCAAGTCATAAAACCTAGACCTTTCCGACAATAAACTATTCACTTAAAATACGACACCCTTCCTACTTCATTCACTCATACTATATAACCAACTTCAGTCATCATGACCGACAAACTCCCAGGAAACTTGTTAGCCCTCTTCCAACCCCGACCTCCACTACGTTACCTTCAACCTGCCGACCATGCTCCGGAACATCGCAAAACCGCGCCGATATCCGGTGTCGCACAGTTTCTGGAGGAGCTGAGAAACCCCGATCCGGATTTTATGCCAACAGAGAGCTGGCTGCTGGCGAGGGACCGTAAGAAGAGGGAAAAATTAGAGAACCAAGAGCGGACATTAAAGCAAGGAGCAGAGAATTGTGTGTCACCACTTTCAAATGTTGCTGGGTCTTCCCCAGTTCTCTCTGAATCGATGCTAACCCTTCGTCACGATTAGACAACCCAGGAGAGGACCCACACATTCGCGGGGATCCATACAAGACACTTTTCGTGTCGCGTTTAAGCTATGACGTTAAAGAACAGGATCTAGAACGAGAATTTGGACGATTCGGGCCTATTGATAGGGTAATAACTTCAATCCCTCCGTACTCATAGATATAAGCGCTAACAATCCTTTAGATCCGACTCGTCCGAGACAAAGAATCGAAGAAGCCACGAGGATATGCATTTATATTATTTGAGAGAGAGAAAGACATGAAGGGTACAGAGACCATAACCCCCTCCCCCCAATGCTTTATCAAACTTCCCCCTTAGTCCTTTTTGTGATACGTGAAGATGTTCTGTGGCAAGATTGGTTTCTCCCTACCCCTTGGTATCCTATATCAAAGGTGAGAAGGTATAGCGTTTTTTGTTAAATGGCGCGATGCTTTCGGCGAATGCGAGTTCGTCGAACCCACCAGTATCATCTTGGGCGAGGAAAGATAAACATCTTGTTTTTTTTCCAGTCTTGTTCCCATTTCGATTGCACGGCAGGGCAGGACGAGGAATTTTCCCCAGACCAAACATACCTGGAGAAATTACGAACGTTGTCGAATCAAAACAGAAGTCAAGAAAGGTATAAAGTATAGTTTACTGACACGGGGAAATGCAACCTCGCTTTGCATTACTTATCTTCTTTATATAGCTGCTTTCAAAGAAACCGATGGTATGCGAATCAAAGACCGACGAATAAGCGTTGATGTCGAACGCGGCCGAACTACTAAGGGATGGAAGCCACGACGACTTGGTGGAGGGCTTGGTGGACGCGGATATACTAAGATTCCAGCGGCACGACCCACTGGACCTTCTGGGTTCGGGGGCAGTGGATTCGGAGGTTTCCGAGGTGGACACGGTGGATTCAGAGGTGGCGGCGGTGGCTTTGGAGGTAGGAATTTCGATCGTGGCCCCCCTCGTGGTGGGCAGTTCGGGCACCGAGGCGTCGGATTTCAAGGTGGCAATGCACCATCCAATGCGCCGTCCGGCCCATCTGGTCGAAACTTTGGAAACGCGCCTACCGGCCCTGGTGGGTATGACCGAGGCCCACCACGTGGTGGTCATGATGATCGTGGACACCGTGACCGTATGAATGGTGATTCGCGAGGCGGCGGCGGCGGCGGCGGCGGTGGTGGTGGAAGAGATAGGTTTGACGACCGACGAGAGCGTGATGGTGGTGGTGGTGGCGGCGGTGGCGGTGGTGGTGGGTATAGCGGCAGATATGACGATTCGCGAAAGCGAGGATACGAAGGAGGAGAATCTGGAGGAGACCCTCGACGCCGAAGATATTAGTAAAAGCAAGTATTCGACATCAAAGGTTTCTTCTGTTTTTCTTCTTAATAGCTTCGCCAAACTGCTCGACATCATTCTTTCGATCCTCGTTAAACCCCTTACTTCTCACACCTGCTTCTCTTATCTTCATTTCAACAAGGGTATGATGGTGCTAGCACTCCAGCCATCTTTAACAACCTCTTCATAGGAACTTTATTCCTTCATTGCCGGAAACCCTCACAACGACTCCACAATTGAGAATCTTCTATTCCGAGGTGCTCTGAATGAAGCTAGTATACCTTACCCTCTCTCACCCTTTCATCACGATTGTGTCTGGAACAGTTCTTTGTTCTTTCGCTTCGACTCTTTGACCATTGTGCAAGGAACGATCCGAGCCTCTTCATTTGCGTATCCCTTTATTATGTTGTTTTACAGGTTGCCGCGTGTTTTATACTCATGAGAGATTTCGAAGACAACGGTTTGTATACTTCATCAGCTTGCCTTAGTAGTAACCAAATAATATTACACTGTCTGTGCTTGGTATTTTGGCCATGTTAACGTGACTTGAAAATGGTGCTCTGGAGCATACTTCACGGATATCGATACCTTACCCGGCATGAGATGAACTCGCGCCCGTCTTGACTCCAGACCAATGAGACAACTAGTATGGCTCACTCGCTCCAAAAAGAATACTTGAATGAAGCCAAGATGGCATTGCTTGCATTTCTTTGATTAACTAATGTCAATAAAGCATTCAGGATGGCATTATTACTAATACAAATACACTTGAATGAAAAGGGAGAAGAAGAAGAAGGAGAAGAAGATATTAACGGTTCATCGACAGATATATCTACCCAGTCATAAATCAAAATATTACCCCAAATATAACCCAGAACCATTTTCATGAGGTCTTGAGCACCCAGATAATAGAACCTGACGGAAATCCATATTTTTGCTTCTAGACGGTACGCCTCAACGCCAAACCCACTCGAAAATGAAATAAAGAAAAATAGTCAAGGACCACCACTCCTTCAGTCACTGACGATGTGGATGTGGCCAGGGCGCCGGCGTCCTTGTATGATCGCGATTGATGCTCATGCCGTGCATCATCACCCTTTGATCATTCATCTCATCTTCAGATCCCGAGTCATCATTTCCGTACCCCTTGTTCATATTCACCATCCGCCCATGGTTTACCATCATACCACCATTCTTATCAGAAAACGACACCGAGTTCCGACGACTACGGTTCCCGGAGCTCAGATCCACATCCCCCCCTCGGCTCGAACTTCTTGGCCTACTATTTCGAAGATGGTTTAGATTGTATATCGAGCCTTCACGGCTGTTTGAACGGCTGTTTGAATGGCCAGTGCGATATTCTTCATCACTTCCACCGGAAGATGACGAGCCATCATGTTGCCAGGAACCAACTATATGCCTTCCTTGCGGGGCGGGGCGAGACCGGCTGCGGGGTCTTTGGTTATTTGGGTGGTTGGGCACCATCTGTAGGTTGCGAGATTGCATGCCCTGATCAATCATGTTGCTGCCGCCACGGCCACCACGGTCACCTTCATATTGTCTTTGGGACATCATCTCGTCTTGACCGCCCATGAAATGGGAGTTTAGAGATGAAACGCTACCGCGACGAGAGCCTATGCCCCCGCGAGGATAGTTTGGTGGTTCGGTGGAGTTGAGATGAGAGTTGAAAGAATACTGTCCATTATCATCGAAGGTCTGGCGGGTTCGGCTGGAGTTATCATGCTGCATGTTTAGTGGGAACATGCCCTGTTGCATATTCTGCTGCATATTCTGCTGCATGTTTTGATGCATGTTCGGCTGCATATTTGGCTGCATGATCGATTGCATGTTTTGTTGCACGTTCGGATTCATCCGTTGCATTTGTGGGTCTTCAGGTAAGAACTGGTTATATGGCGGCGGAGGGATTGATAAGCGTGAGTATGTTGGTAACTTTTGTTCTTGGAATTGGAAGACTGGCATCTGTGGGTATTGGTTGGGCATTGCGACTGGCATGGACGGTTGATGCTCTTGCTTTTGGAGCAGCTTGGTAAGCACGAACATGACTTGCTGCAGCTGGGCTTGGAGATCTGGGAGGTTATCCTTGGTGTTTAGACGGGTAACTGCATCGAGAAGCTCTCGGATAAGTGGGTTTGTGTCTGATTCTTTCGAACCATAGAATGATTTCTTGTCATCCTTAAGGACGCCCTTTGGACCACTGCTAGATCCACCGCTGCTGCTGCCGCTACCACTGCTCGATGACTTTGGAGGCTCGGGTACTTTCTTTTGCCTTCTGATAATCACCCAAAACAGCGTCGGTGATCGAACTTTCTCCCCAGTTTTCTTATTCATCACAGTATCACCAGGGAACAAACACTCAGGCTCCCACATCCCTACCATATCCGCGGTCTTATCGGTATCATTAAGTGTCTTGAGATGGTTATTCAGAATCTCACGACGGGATTTACCCATGCTCATGAACGCCTTAATGTACCCTGCGCCTCCGCTGACAGGCCATTCCTTGATTTCACGTTCGACCATGGCTTTATCCATCCACTGTTCTGTTGACTGATGGCTCTGCCATGACTTGAAGGTTTGCGTTTGAACGCCCCTTTGCCGCTGAGTGGCGGTGGGGAATTCGGTCATGTCTTCGAATGTTATTAGTTTATAAACCGGCTTGTAGGTCGAGCCTGCCGACTTGGCGCCCGAGCTACTAGAGCTGGATGCTGGATTTGTGGAAGACATTTTTGGGGGGGAATCGGATTCAAGTGCACGTGGTCTTTTACCAAGGCGCGTTTTGAACCAAGAAAGAGAAAAAAAAGCGAAAGATATAAGGTAGGATTGTATAAATAATATGTGTGACTGTGTATAAGTTGGAAGAGATTATAGAGGGTGGAGGATAGTGAATAAGTGAGGCTTCTGGATCGCTGCGCTTCGTGCCTTTAACTGTCAAAGGAAGCGTAGAAACAGGACGATCGAGAAGGGAAGGAGATATATAGACGACTACTTATTCACGGGAAATCAAAAAAAGAGGCTCTATAAGTTAATCAGCCCTCTCATTCCAGATTTGTCTGCCGAAAAAAAAGGAGATAGAAGGACCCCCCCCTCCTCTCCAAGCCTTCGCGATCCTGTCGTCGAAACTAAAGGAAAGAAATGTCAAAAAGAGATAACAACCTACAATCTAGGTACCAAATCTACCATCAAATCAACCTATAGAACCCTCTTCTTTTTTTAACTGAAAAACCAAAAACCGGCATTACAAACCGGCTAGCTATACGTCCATTATCGGAGCATCTCATCGTAGGACGTTCCCGCTATTGACAATCCCCGTAGATGCATGTATACACGGCACGCACGTACGCACATGCCAGGCAAGGAATTTGCGGAAGCGTTATCCTGCGGGCTGGGATAAACCCGTAGATATGCATTGGCTAGCCTCATAAATAATCCCTGTATTGGACCAATGGCCGCGTTCTTGGGGCCAGATTTTACTCGACGGGATACCAAAGACCAGGGTTTGTCTAGTATGGAGGCATGTCGAAGGCTACATCCGCGAAGAAGGCCTTCGTCGCAAAATGCAACAGTTGGGGGGCGTTGGCCTTATGGCTGCATAATTTAATGAGGACATGTTCCTTTTTGGACCGATGTAGGTACTGATAAGTTAACTAGGTGTACGTCGTATTATATTAGGTTAGTTGCAATCTGTAGAGACTTAGAAAGGCATAGTCTTGCTAAACGTTAGATTAAGCTAGGTGATATAATATTAGTTTATCATATTTTGATCGAATCTTTCTCGATCTCAACATTCGTAGATATACAACATAAGATAATCTAAGGGTACATTCGAAGCCAGTATGATATCTACAAAGTTCCTCCATTCAAACTTAACTTTTACATATTTGTTTCTCTGACAAATTAACTGCTGCCTACTAGAAATAAGAGAGCTCGATCTTGGCCCATTCGCGTTTTGATCTCTTCAGAAACATCGCAATGAACACGTAGACGCATCCTAACCGGATTCAAGGACACAATACACAAAGACACGATCGAAGGTACAAAAAGTACTTTTAAATATGATATTAAAGACACAGAAAAACTCTAACCCCACAGGAGCCACTCGCATCAATTCCGCATGCAACAAATATGTGCGTCCGTTTCTACAATAAACCCCTTCCAACCCCAGCCATCACACCTTTCAAACGCCACCGGAATCACTAAACTATCAACTATATTTCCTTTCCATAAGGACCCAGACCCGCGACTTCCCCCAGCCGCTGCATCTAAGCGAGCATTAATACTCACAAAAGGGTCACAAGGTCTATGAAAGAGAGTGTAAATTTACGAGGCGAGAAAGGAATACTAGCATATGTTTCTTGTATCCTACTCAGCCAGACTGTAGAACCCATACGACGGGCAGAAAGTAGTAAACGAATCGATAGCCTCGAAGCCTTATTTTTTTCTTTTTATCTTTTGTTCTCTCCTTCCTTTTTTTGTTTTCCCGTGTAGACGAAATGTACATACGTATACGTATACCAATATAGAGTCTCAAATACATAATCTACAAATAATCTACAAATACCAAAAAAAAAAGAAATGCATGGATATGTAAGTTATAGATCGTCCCGGAATGTCCGATTTAGTGCTAACATCTCCAAAAGTTGCATGCATATGCAGCACCTGATCAAGAACTTTTTCTTGATATGGTAATACCTTAATCTAGATAGGATAGATAAATAGAATAGATAATCTCGCGGACTGCGGAGAGATGTTCGAATATATGCAGCCTCTGCCGCGCAGCGCAAGCTCCTAGGTCTACAATGGCATGCATTCGGGTACATACTTTTCAAAACCTCCCGCTGTAACCAAATGGTAAACTATAAATAAATAAATACATTCTTCTTCAGAGTCCATCTTATCGTTTTAAAGTACCATTATGGTACCAAATAATGGGAATGATTACGAATCAATGCAATAAAAACGCAAGGAAATAGCCCGTCGCCTCCCTTTGCCTCGTTTTCTCTCGTAACCTTGCGTTTTCTGCGTTGGATAATTTGATGGTGACACAAGAAGAAAGTGTTAAGACAGACAATTCGCAGAGCCTCAACTTCTTCCCTCTCGTTTTCTCTTCGGTATTAGAAACCTTGCGTATTCGGATTGGGCCTTTTTTTCCCACGAAACGGCTCAAACTAGTACTCCCCCTTCTCTAGAGAGAGACTTTGTATGAAACTCTCCATCCCTCGAGTCGGGTAGCTAAACTATCAATGTAAAAATAAAAATAAAAATAAAAATAAGTGAATCCTATGACGATTGAAATCTCTAGAAAAAAACAAAAAAAACACTTAAGCTTCTCTCTCTTGTTTTCATCATTTTTTATATTTTATCTCACTAACGCATATATTATACCACTCGGCTATATCATGTCACAACCAGAAAAGAAAGAAGAAAAAAGGGAAACCTTCGAGAAACGCTTAATGACATAAACCCTCCAGGTCTCAAAGGCATATTTCATAATATCTATATTAAAAAATATTTTAAAAAAATGTTTCTCCCAATTCAGCATCATAGAGAGACTAGCTCCAAATGTGCACATGTGGCGTGATTAGCCAATTTAAGTAATTAACCTTGCGCCATTTGAAGGCGAGGGAAATGTGGCTTGGATCACTTTTTTTTTTCCTCTCCAAGTTTCCCATTGATTTACGGGGAGTTATTTTTTTTTTTTTTCCCTTTCTTTTCTTTTCTATCTGTCTATTGTTTCTATCGGGATTGAAGAAAGAGAAACAGGTGTGTCTGTGATAAAGTATGCATGCGTGGGGTTTACCTGCAAAAGGATTCACTCGAAAAGAAAAGAAACAGGGCCAAAAAGGGCTGTTCAATAGTGGTATCTTCAGGTTTCGTGGATAAGGGGAGAAAGAAACAAAGGTCTAAATTTGATTCAACGATAAGGATGCATTCAAAGCGAAAATCAAGTGCCAATTTTTTTTTTGGTTCAAACCGCCCCCAAAGGAATCAAGCTTCGTAATAGTGACTACAGAATACAAGTAAAATAACGAACGAGAGAGAGGGAGAGAATAAACGGTTCAAAGAATGCTGTTCGTCATCATCTTTTTTAGGATCATTACAATCAGGAAGCAAAAATCCAAAGAAACTCCCGCCGGTGTGGATGAAAGCAAAGCGTATTCTGATCGACAAGCAAAATTATTCCGGTGAAAGGCAAGCAAAAAGCAAAGGAGAAAAAAACGCCAGAACTGCCCATGATAACAATAGAGCAAGAAACGGGAAGCAAGAATAATCAAAGCAATTTACAGGTCCCTGTATCCTTCGTCAAGCTGGGATGGGGTATAATATAGAAAGGAAAAAAAATATACAAAGGAAATGAAAAGAGATTGCCATGGGTGTGGCAGCTGATTGATCAGAAGATTCCAATGAAGGATTATTCATTTAGTCTTCATCCCAGTTGTAGAGAGATGTGCGCGAACCGGCTGCGGAGGCGGAAGCAGAAGAACTCGTGATAGTGTTGTCTCTATTGCTGCTAGTCAAAGCATTGTGTCTTTGTGTAACATGTTAGTAACTTAATCTTAAGATATGTGTAATTGCAATTGATAACTCACCTTCTCAGGACAGTCTCTAAGCTCTCGGAGCTCAATGGGCGTCCGGTAGGGATCTCGTCGACGATACGAGGAAGGTTGGCGATAAGTTCGCCACCCTTGTATGCGAGAAGAGCAGGAACAACCTTTCGGTCCATCTCGGCCTCGGTATAATGAAGCTTGACGAAGCCGGTGGAAACATGTCGTCTAGCTAGGGTACCAATACAGTCTTCAACAAACTGAGACTCGGATGACTAAAGATAAAGTTAGATTAAGTCCCGCAGAGGAAAGTGAAGAAGAGATAAGGACGTACCCTATCGTCATATATGAGAACAACTACAACGGTATCTGCTGTGACCTTCTCGATGGCATCGAGGTATCCGTTGGCATCGACGGTCTCCAGCTTTCCATATCGGCGTCCAGTGGCAACCTTCTTACGGTTGAAGTTGGGTCCTGACTTAAGTTCCTGCAGCCTTCTCTGTCTCCAGGCCTGCATCAACTCATCATCGTCGTCAGAGTTGTCTGACTGTCGCATTCTGTCGTCTAATAGACGAGCCTGGACACTTGGGACTCCGGGAATATCAATCGAAGTCTTGTAACCGTGTGTATTGGCTTGTCTAGCCTGCATCTCCCTTCTCTTTGCAATTTCAAAACTCCTAGCATCTGCCAGGACACCCTTTGGGCCGGTGTTTGCAGCACCATATGATGCTAATCTGTACTGAGGCATTGTGTCTATGATCGACGCTGGTCGGATGGAAGGGGCAATAGAGCCTGTCTTTTTATGAATATAGGTCGTTTTCTTGGATGAGGATGCTTTTCTATGAGAGTCGTCTGAGGAATTGCCAATGTCGTCGAGCTCGTCTAAATCACTGTTGGTTCCGGCACTGCCGTTGCTGCTTTCTTTGTCTGAGTGTGAATAATCTGTATGTTTTCCTTTTGATGCTTCGAGAATGTCCTCGGGATGAGGGTGGGAACCCTCTCCTTTTGAACCCGAAGTCATGCGAGCGAACTCATCGGCCGCAGTTGAGGCACTCATATTGCTACCAGGGGTAAAAGAAAAGAAAAAGTCTTGTATGGATGCAGGCGTATAGGATATGCAGGAACTCTAATGAGGAATGAGAGGCACGAAGAGGAAAGGTAGCGTCAGGCACAGGTGAGAAGAAGGCTTATGCCAGGAATAATTCAAAGCAGCCGCTTGGAACACTAGTGGCGGATTCGTAAGGCGGGGGTTAAGGGGTTTGGTGTGGGTCAGAGGCTTCCTCGTGGATTTTTGCCGAGTGTATAATTGGTTTTTTTTTCCCTTGTCTCGGAGATGAAGAAGCTAGAGAAAATTCGAAGGTAAGAAGTGTGATTGGAAATATGCAGTCGATGAGGCTGCCTACCTGTAATAGCAAGCAATTGATTATGATATCCTCCCAAATTTGGAGCGATTGGAAAGTTCGTTATGCAGGAAGTCCTGTTCCCTCGGTTGGAGGTATATTGATGGGAACTTCCCTCGTGCTAATGGAGTTTCCCTGCCACCACCGCAGAAAAGCCAGACCAGATCTGTCCTGTCTTGTGGTTCTAGAAAGAACAAAATCAGATAGATTGCTCGGGGTATTGATTACCGGGAATGGCTAGTTAATGCAGTGACAGTATTCTTAGATATCTGATTCTGATCCGATGATGAAGTTGCAAGTTGTTGTTGTTGAAGTTAAGTTAGGTTTTGGGGAATTGTGGAGATGCTATTTTTGGAATGAAGCTTCTTCAAGCGAGAGCCACCGACGCAGGCCAAAATAACAATGCAATGATTGGAATTGAGGGAGGGGTGCCCGGGAAATTTCGAGTTTTCTTTGACCCTTCGATAGATTAATCCTTGCACTTGTAATATTACCGATGATATGATAGGTATGATGTGAATCTGTTGGCGCGAGATGGAGTGTACACAGAAGGTTTTCGCTCGTTCGATGCAGGGTTCTGGTGATCTCACACCAGCGTTTCAGACCCGAAAGGAGAGGGGATAGAGCTGAGGGGGGCAGCCTAAAAATTCGGACGACTGGGCAATGCTCGAACACTCTCAAACCTCGTCGGTCCGTGAGCTTTTTTTCTTTTAAGGGACTGGAAGCCGGGATGACCTCGTTCGATCGGGTAATATAATTGACGATGATTGTTGATTGCTAAAGTGTTCGGGAGATGTGTTCGGGTTAGTTAATTGGCTCTCTAATTGATCAATTCCGTCCGCATGAAATATCAAATGAAGCCAAAGGAATCAGAAGGCAATGCTGCATAAGTCAGTACTTAGTAAGTTAAGTAAGTAAGTAAGGAAGTAATTAGCCTCGAAATGCAAGCATGCAAGTGATCATATCATGAGAATATCAACATGAACATTCAGCCAAATTCAGCCATCAGCCATCAGCCATCAGCCAATTCAAAGCATCACAGAATTCGATCCATTACTAGCCTCCACGGAAAATTCTTGAATTAATATCCCGAGCAGTCCGAATTCACTCGGTTAACTGTGGATTTCTGACTGAAGAAAGAAGGGGTAAGCGGTGAGGGAAGTTATAAGCCCCGCGCAGTTCAACGCTAGCTCTTTCGTCTACAGACCTGTCAAACTGATAAAAGTCGGAGTATTCTTGTACCGCCCAGGCGGAGGAGTGTTATCAAAGTGAATCGTTCCGTATGGATGTGTGTAGGGCTGGAAATGTTCTAGATCCTGGAACAATCCGGAGCGGATATATAGATTCTGTCGAGCGAGGTGGTGTTACAACTGCTGCAGGCAAGATCCCTTATTGATTCGAATTCGAATTCGAATTCTAGAACTGAATTAATTCAATTTAATTCAATCCAATTCAAAACCTTGATTGAGCAAGTACACAAGATCGAATCTTTGTCTGTTTTATGGATGGATGGATGTATGGATGTATGGATATGCTTGGATATGCTTGGTAACTAGTACTCGACTGGGAAGATGGTTCTCTCTCTCTCTTTAAAGTGTGCGACTTCAGCTCATCCTCAGCTGATTATAAGGTGCGACGTATGTGAAAGAAATCAAATAAAATCAAATCGAATCAAATCTCGATCGAAGGTTGCGGTTGAGGTAAGTTAGGTTAAGTGTCCAGCTTCTTTAAATCCCTTTCAAGATTTAGTTCAATCCCGCCTCTTTGGAGCTCAGGAGGCCCAAAACAGCGGATGAGCGTGTACACGAGTGTGATTGTGGATGTTGGATGGCCGGGTTTCTTCCCGTCCCTTTTGTTCTGTTCTTTAACTTCTCCCGTCCCTGAACTGAATTGGGCCTTTACCCGTGCCTTTTCTTCCATTGTGTGGCCAGATCCAGCCCCATACCATATATTACATGTACCATCCCATACCATACCTGTGCCTGCACCCTGCAGGCCTGGCCTGGCCATGTACTATGTAGGTAAGTGTGCAACATCATCCAACATCTTGTGATGCATCAAAGGCTCCGAGACCGAAAGCATCATACGTACGAAAGTACTCATCACCATTTCGTCTCACAAATGCACAAAGCCAACGTCAACCCGAATGGACAACGCCGCATCCACCAATTTTCTCAAAAAAAAACTCTCACGATCTGCGGAGCTCGCCCTTTGAGGCCTCATTCAAGTCTAGAAATGGGGGGCTATCGGGTCATGTCACTGGTAAAATCCCGGCGTGGCGCATATGGTCATGCTTCTCGAAGAGGTGCATTGACACCGAAGAGACGAACTGAGCAAAATTCAAGCTCAAAAATTCGGGACGGGACCCATCACGTTGTAGCGCGTACCTTGCATATCGGTACCCCGACCTCTCACAGCTACAATGCAACAGCCCTGTCAGGGGTAAAAGTCAGTACATCTGAGAAACAAAACCAGCGTCTTGGTTTCTGCAGCTGTGCCGTACCGACCGGCCACGAGGTTCCTTCCCCATCGAATGATATGGTGCAAAAGTCCTAGGGAGAAAAAAAGAATGATACTCTCTACAGTCACATCGCCAGATCCTCAACTTGTGTGACAAAAATACTTCTCAATTTAGTCAAGAAAAGCTTTTCCCGAATTGTTACCTCGACGATTATGACCACAAATTCAATTGCACAAACCGCTAGCCTCATTAACAAAAGGGATTCAAAACACCCGAGCAAGCTACGCATTTCAGCTCTGGCGGTAAGCACCGATAGTAATTGCGTCTTTTTATTTACTTTATCCAATTAGCTAGTCGCTACGCAAGTAAAAGCCGCTGGACGAAAACGACGGAACAAACAATCAAGGGATCTTCGGAAACTACCACCGGTTTCAGCTGGCGTTCGACAATATCGACATTTGTCTGTAGTGTCCAGGGACTGGTCGGCTTCCCCACCCCTTTCTTTGGCTCTCCCATGGACCGATGAAACGTTCAAACAAGCACAGTCAACGAATGGAGTTCACATGGCCGTCAGGGTTGTTTTTTTTGGTCAAGATAATCGAATACCGAACAACGAGGTCGGGTAATATCGTATGCAACTGTGGGCGGGCCCCTTGCATACTCTAACGAAAAAAACGTGGTTGAAATGTGGGCTCGATGCACTGTACCGTCGCTGCTCACGAGGTGGGGAATGGAGACTTGTATTATTATCTCAAGGCTATATGTATTATCAAGTAGTAATTACCTAAGTATATAACGGATAATAACGTTCCTATCAATTGTCTCAAAATCGAAGTCGTCAGCTAGGTAGCTAGCTCTAGACACAACAGCACGCAAGCCCCAACAGCCAACGTTTCAGGTGCTCGGAGAGTTCTTACATAAAAACTTAGTTCAGCACACAGGGCTCTACTCTCTAATCTTCCTCGTTTCTGTAGTGTGCTGGTCTATTCTCACAACTTGCAATGGAAAGATGCTGTCGTCAGAAGTGCTGCTAGCGGAGCGAGAGCGAGACATCTTAGGACACGATCGATCCCGATCTCGGAGGATGACCGCAATACCTATTACTGTCGATCAGACAGCCTGGAGATCGCAGATAGCCCAAATCTGGGCACGAGACGGGTTAGGTCGGATCCCCCTGACCGGCTCTCGGCCGCCCCACCGTGGCTGTTATGGGTAATTGAGTCGCTTGAGTTCTATGAAAGTTATCATCAATTATATTGCCATCTCGCACCACCCCACATATATAGTATATCCCTCTTAGAAATCATGGCTTCAAACCCCTCAAGAAATTTCTGGATTGATCCGCCATCAATGCACTCATGATTGCAATTTGATTTCCTAAAGAACCACCGTGGCGTATTCTAATATAGCCTACATATACATATTATACCAATTCCTAGACCGGTACCGCGGGTTCGAAAGTAAAGTTCCGGGTACCCCGCACAATTGTACAACTTAGACCAGTGGTTTTTAGAAAGAGACAGTATATATATAATCGATATTAATGCGGATTTACCGGTATCTACCATTTTAGCCACAGGCATATGAAAGAGTCATAAGCCAAATAGCACATATATACGGACTTAATATAACCCCGAGCAGATGTTGAAGAAAAGGTTCCAGCCCAATTAGTCCCTATCAATGTCGTCTTGGCACTATATTTTACTGTATATAATTTACTCGCTGTGGAGCCCACAAATCGCTGAGATACATCGAAGTCCTTAATGGAACCTTAAAAACAAGACATTTACGCCTAAAGATCACTAGGTTTAAATTTAAACCGACGTGCAAATCCCTCATTCTACTCATACCTTCGAGAAGCTCTCTCCGCTTTTTACAGACCATTTGCGACATAACGGGGACAGAATATGTCTAAAAGGTTTAATATCGAGTATTGTAATTGGTGATAAGAACTTTAGGGAGTAGGCTATAGATGTAAGTTTCTACAAATACAAACATTTGCATGCACGATCTATAAAGCTAGGATTGAGCTACGAGTTGAATTTGATCTCACTTTCCGCCTGTTCATGACATTATAATATTATCCAAAGATATCTAGAAGCATGACAATCGGTGGAAATATTTGGAAGACTTTCTAGAATTCTATTACATGCATAGTTATATATATATGAGCCTCAGCAACTTTTATTACCAAACATAAATAGCCATTGCAGTACTATTCGTCGGAATTGCTCCGGGGCTATATCTACTACGGGTAAGATATTGGGTTTATATATTTATAATTTATATCGGATCTGATCTAGGAGAGCGCGATATATCGATACTCCAACTACCTTACCATAAAGCACTGAAAAAGTCCCCCTGATACCGCACGCGGTTAGCTAATATTACCTAATTGGTAACCAACTGACATGTTGTACACGTGGGTCCAATCAATAGGACTACATGATCGAACAATATGGAGTCGTATATACAGAAGTCCAAGTTTTCCTCAAATTCAGCAGTAAATTAAACATTGTGCATTAAGTTATGCTACAAAAAGCTCGAGCGCTCGTTCAACTAGTTGACCAAGCTACCTAGGTAGTTAGGCCAGTTCTAAATTAGGGAATGTACTCAAAGTACGTACATATATACCAGTCCCAAAATCGAATTCCAGCGCTCGTGCTATAATTGTCCACATTGGGATTATTACATTGTCGCTAGAGAATGGTATTGGATAATATGCGGTTGTACGCTTAAGGAGGCTGGGACGTCTCAAAATACAACAATACAATGTGATGATATATCGCAGCACATCCCGCGCACATGCGCACATGTACACACACACACACACACCCCATTGACTATTCATCTTTGGACATCATACACTTCAATAAACAATATTAAAGGACTAGCACAGTCAAAACCAATAAACCAGGTCTACTTATGTCGATTACCCTCAAACCAAAGCTGGGGGGAATTCGAAAAAAGAAAATGGTTAAAAACATCAAAGCCGTCTCCCGCGTCCTCAACACCAACGAACTCCTAGAAGCCATCCTAAAACACATTCCATCACAAGAACTTCTAGAATCCACGCGTTTCGTTTCTAAAGACTGGCAAGCTCTAATAGAAACATCACCAAAACTCAAATGGAAAACCTGGCAATGGAAGGGGACTACCATCCCGCCTTCAATTCTCGAGGATACCGATCCATCCCTTCTTTCGACAAATGGTAAAAAATACGGATACGAATTCGCAGCAGATGCAATATACTGGGTTCGAAAATTCTGGTGTATGGCTCTTACCGCTCCGAGAAACTGGGACGGAGAGGATGGATTGTCACCAGGCATGTGCGAGTGGATGGTAAATCAACTCCCTGATATGGAATTGTTTCGACCGCGGATTGGGAAAATACATATAACGTTTGAACTGAAGTGGATCATCCATGGTATTAACTTAGCAATTGAGACACCGGGAGCATCCGAGGTATATGTGCCGGATGACGAATTTACCTTGAAGGATTTTGCTCGTATAATCTACGAGAAGGTATTATCGTCACGGGGTATGGGACTATTCCAGTATGTGTGGGAAAGAACTAAAAATGGACGATGGGTTAAGAAAGTTCAAAGGAGATTTGAACTTCTCATCATGGTTTCTACTCATGTCCCGAAGAAACTAGATTCTACAGAGGCAGCAACCGACCCTGTCAAATACTCAATCAGGGCGGGCTTTGTTTTTGACTTACGAAACTTGGAGCTGAACTCTAAACGTGGATTGAGTGTCAGAATTGAATACTGGTTACCTGGAAAGGTACATCCTGAAGCCTGTGAGAAACCGCCTATTTTCCCTGGAAGCGCTGGAGATATCTAAATGTTGTCCGGTACGGCGAGGCCCAAAATGATACCATAGTTAGCTTATGAATGTTATGTGTAATGATCTGTATGAATTATATTGGTAGATACATGTATACGTAAATTAATTATATATAGTATAGTACGGTAATGATAATGATATATTTATGATAAAAACACTCATGACCGCCACCCGGCCACCCGGCGTCTAGTCTAGTATGCGTATGAGACCAATAATGTATATATATAACTAAGTATAGTACTGCTCATTACCTAGACAAGAAAACATCATGTATCATTTTGTCTATACAAACGAATTAACGAGTATCTCGAATTCGAAAGCGTCCTGCCGGGCGATGAGTAGATGGTCGCTACTTAATATTGCTCAGGTTATAAGTTAATTATCGTCCTAAGGCTACCTATTTAACTAGAACTAAATGAGAAGGGCCATACATTAAAATTTGCCTCTGTTGAGCACCTAGAATGGCTTGTCCTTGTCGACATGTCATATATAAAATCTTGTATGTAAAACACCATAGAATGAACTCATGTCTTGAACAATAGCTCGCTGACTGTAATTGGGCCTGCCAATCTAAAACCCTGATCTGATTGATACATCTTTCTATCCACTGCACTAAGACTACTAGAAGATGATCGAGTATCTCCGGCTCCTCGACACTGCACTGGTACTCAAACAATTATTACAACGGATAATATAAATACAGTACTTTCTATCCGCCCCGGTACTGGTTTAACATAACCAACGGCATAAAACTCTATAAACAACATGTATATATAAGACGTAGCTATGAAACTCTGCTACACTATACCAGGCTTCAGTCCGTCCCAAAAATCCACAAAGCTATGTATGTGCACATCGATCTGCATATGCCAGTGCAGGCTGATTTCGAATCATGAAGTACCCGTACACATCCGTTAATATAATCCCAAAGTCGGCTATTCATTTTTCATACATCCACCCCCTCATATTTACAGTATGAATCCTGAAATATAAACACAATGGAACAGAAATCCAACAACCTGGCCTGGCCTGGACTCGAAACCCATCTCCAGCCTCCCTGTCGACCGTGCTCTGCATGTGCATTAGCCACGGCGGTCTCACCCTCGTCAACCATCCATGTAAAGGCTAAATCCATCAGGCCATCCATACATCGAGGGAAAGAAAGAAAGAAAAAACCATCTGCAGCACCGACGCACGACCGACGACGATGCAAGGGGGGAGGGGGCTCTATCGGATCACAAAGAACCGTTAACCCCTGAGAATTCGAGAAGGGATCGTCGCACACATAAATTAGCCCCCTTCCCTGATGCTCCCATTCCCCCTTCTAAAGGGAAGTATATAAACGGGTAGGAATTCTCTCAGGTATCTTTCCTGCCATCACTAGTCGTCATCTACATCCGTCCGCAACTGAGGACCAATATTACATCCGTCCCGAAAGAGAAAAAAAAAGTATTCCATGTATTTGGTTCGTACATTAACACCGACTACTAAAAGCTGAGAAGGAGAATAGAAAGAAAAGAAAAAAGACGGGGAAAGAAACAAGCCACAGGAACGGCAGGGTAGAGCAGGCAAGCTTGAGGAAGAAAAGGGAGAACTAAACTGTCCGCAGCAAAACAACATCGCTTTTTCTCCTGGGGCCGCAAAAATTAACAAAATCGAAGTCACAAAGAAAGGAAAACCTGGTTTGATTGACCGTATTTTAAACAAATGTTCGGTAAGGCCCCGGGAAGGGAAACCTATTGGAAACAACTGAAGGAGACGAGGTGGAAAGGTGAGCTATAGTAACACATATTACAGTCGAAGGGAAGGAAAGGAAAAAAATATATATATAAAAGCTCGGAGAAAGAAAAGGTATAAGGATGTTGAAGAGGGAAAAGGAAAGAGCCTTTATCGCCGAATCGTAAGCGAAATAGATGCTCAAGGAAACAGAAAGCCCCAGGGGAGGGAATTACAGGCTAACAGACGTGTACCGTTCCTTTGCTTGATGAAAAAAGCGACACAGCAGATGATTAAGATGCATTATTCGAGAAGGAAAAAAAAAAAGCATAGCGAAATTGAAAGTAAGGCTAGGAAAAAAGAAACATCTAAACAAGGACGGAAACACCCGACAAGAGAGTCGCTGGAAGTTAATGGCGGTTGAGTTGACGCCTCTGAGAGTAAACGGGCCGTGGCTGAAAGGGCAGGTGAAACAGTTCATGTCGCCCAGTTGCTCTTGACAATTGGATTTTGTTTGGATAGGATTGCAATCTTGACTCCGGCGGACCCTATGTTGGGGTTTATGTGCTTGACTGTTTCGAATTCGATGGGGTATTGGCTGGCGTCAAAGCGGGCTCGAAACTTCATGAGGATAAAAAGAAGAAAGGCGAATCGTCATCGTGGATCTTATCATCGAGATAATAGTATATGAAATCACTTTTAGTGAATAGGGCGATGTGTGATTACCATGCCCAAATTCGGAGCTATTGGTGTGTTAGTAGATCAGAATATAAAAAATAAGGGTTAGATGAAAACATACGAAACTATCCCACGATCCAGTGCAAAGACTGATGCCATCATTACTGACACCCAAACAGCTGACGCGGTTCTCATGGCCAACCAGGGCACCAACTTTTTCTCCTCGAAGAACATCCCAAACCTATTTAACAAAATTAGTTAAACCAATATCAGTGTATGCCGGGTTAAATTTCATATAAATACCTTGCACTCAAAATCGTCGTATCCCGCGAACAAGAGACGTCCGGAAACAGAGAATGCAACGGAAGTAATGCCGCATAATATTTGTTCCGACTAAATGAGGGTATTAGTTGATTGAACGTTCTACTACGGAACAGGATCTGATCTTACCGAATAGATGTTGAGTTCTCGGTCAGCGCGGATATCGAACAGCCTACAAGTCGCATCGTCGGATCCAGTACCAAATGCATTGCCATCAGGGAAGAATTGCACAGCGTTGATATCGGATTCATGGCCAGCAAATGTCTGTACTGCCTTTCCGGTACGAATATCCCACAGTTTTGCGAAGGCGTCGCAGGCACCAGAGACAAAAATGTTAGAATTTGTTGGGTTAACGCTAAGGCTCATGACATCTCCAAGATGGTCGGCAAAATCGGTAATTCTAGCACCGGTATCGATGTCCCAAAGCATGCAGGTCATATCGCCTATAGTTTACAGTTAGCAAGCAAACTAGTATATGTGATTGAAGGGTTCGGGATATATACCGGACGATGTAAGAATACGTCTGTCATTCAAAAACCGACAGCATGACAAATATCCGGAATGTCCAGACAACTCTCGGGCAACGCGAGTGGGTCCGTCGCGTGCAGAAAGATTGTAGACACTGCAGATATTATCAAGACCACCACAAGCAACGTAGTTACCCGAAGGTGCATATGCACAAGTCATCACCCATGACGATCGAAGAGGAATGGCATGAACCTTGTTTGTCGTGTAGGCATCCCAGATAATGAGTTTCCCGTCCTGGGAGGCGGAGACAAGATGTCGGCGGTCAGTGCTCCTGTATGGCTGTTAGTCATTATCGACAGAGGCTGTATTCTACGATGAAATGCGTCTTACCAATGCATACTATATATCTTGGCTAAGTGACCTTTCAAGGTGCGACGATTCTTCATCAAGGTTCGTGGCAATGCTTCAACTTGTTCCTTAGCAAGTTGTCGCACTATTTAATCGGAAAAACAACAAGGTTAGTTCTCAGTTTCCTAGCCAATATCTTGCAGATAACCCAGTATTCAGTAGAGAAACTCACAATCAGCATCTGCAAGCTCATCCTTCTTTCTTTTTATCTTCTCCTTCAACCCTTCAGCCTCGCGCCTTGCGGCAGTAATTCGATCTTGGAGGTCGGAAGACATTGTCTGTTCACAGTTGATATATATTTGGGAGACTAGAATACGACCGAATAAATCGAGTCAAGGGTATAGCTTTTGATCGTAGTCCGCAAATTATCGTCAGGAGTAAACCGGTTGTCGAATATCCGTTCGATTGTCGATTAAACTAGTTCACGTTGGGGACCAATTTCCAGGAATCGCGGGAGTTCTTATAAGGAAGAGCCGGGTCGATCGCCTCGAATACCTTTGTTCTTGCTCCTGAAGCCGATTGGTTATTGATATGAAATCAAGACTTGATGAAGTCGAGTTCTAGACGCGACGACGGAAAATCGGGACAAAAAAAAACCACACACGTAAAGGATGTGTAGCGGAGGTGGAGTTTCTTATAAATGGGGGTGAAAGAAACGAATCAAAAGGGAGAAATAGGGATCTCCTCGCGAAAGCCGTTTCCCAAGCCAGCGAGCTGGGATTACTTTGGTGGCAGATCGGGGGTTTTGATGAGAAGTCCAGACAAGGACGAAGCAAAAGCAAAGAAGGGGAAATTTACAGTGAAGTTTTTAATTGGTAAAGACTCGGCCGGTATTGAAAAGGGAAGGGTGGTTCGGTTGATTGGTCAGATGGGGGCGGTGCGGTGGAGAAAGTGTGCTGGGGGAAGAACGAAATGATATGAGGACAGAAGCAACTGGGGATGAGGCTGGTGCCGGCGACAGAAAGGAGCCAGCAAAGTTATCGCTAGGAATCGCAGTCGGACGTGAAGAAGCGATTTAAAGGCGACGAAGCCGAAATGTATGCGATATCGAGCTGGGTTGTGACGTTGTCGATAGCAAGGTGGAGATGAAGAAGACGATGATGATGGGGAGGTGATGAGGGAAGGAGAAGGAAAGGAGAAGGAGAAGGGAAATGTGTTGAGCAGCGGGAGGGTAAAGGGGTTATTTCGCAGAGCAGGGAAAAGACGCGATGCTTCAGAGACAAGGCCGTCCACCCCGGCAAGTTCTGCACTGCACGGATGACATACAATGCACCACAACCACCACGGCTACGGCCAACAGCAAGGAAGTAAGTACTTAGCTACTCCTTGAGTAAAGTATTTTGATTTTAAAAAGTTTGGCTAATATTATCCCGACTAACAAGATATATCCGTCGTAGATATTGCCTTAGGCGAACGTCGATGCCGCTGTACCGTACGTTGGCATCTCGGAAGGCGCAAGGATTTCGACCGACGACTCGAAGCCTACTTGCTTGCACATGCGCACCTCCAACTAGCGGGGATAGGTACAGGATTGATTGGCTCCTTGCTACCCGAGTCAGACCAATCGGTTCCGGAATTTGGAGGGGACAAGTTCAGTAATTCATTGGAGATTCCGGTTACAAGACCAAGATGCTCTAATTATACATCATGATGCTATTCACAAATGGCCAATATGCCGAGTATCGAACAAAGAAATATGTGTTTTTGTTCATTTGGGATTTACAAGGTCTTCCCCGACATGATGCTAAAGAAAATCCCAAATTGATCCAAGGATTCGCTAGCCCCGTCCCAAGAAAAAGGATTTCCCGTCCTGTCGGTCTGGCATATAAAGTCTAGAGTGTGCCAATTATGCGAAATGCAAGTTAGCCAAAGCGAAAAAGTGACGGTGGCTGAACACAAAAAAAAAGGCAGACGGCAGAGGTGAATAGCGTCGATATTACTGCAAGCGTTCGCTTTACCCAAAACATGATATCTGTGAAGTGAAATGTGGACCCGATCTCTGACCTGCTTCCGGCCCATGGATCCTATGCCGGAAAGACTAATAACTATGCGACGTCTCGGGATAGACAGGTATGTTCGGATAGTACTAGTACTTACATACATTAGGTCTGTATGTAAATCCTTACATTACGTCTATCGATATCCATACCCACAAGTCACGATATTCAAGGCTCTCGACAAGATCATCACAATTTGTGGCCCCGAGCGCGCACAATCTTTGGCGGTACCGATAACGGTCCCAAATCAAGCGCGAACCAGGTGCTCCCAGTCAATTCCGCGCAGGGGCCGACCAACCCGTTCGATAGTGCCTCAAACTCCTGCCAGAAGTAGTTGAGACAAAACTGCCATGCCAAAAAAAAAACCTTTCGCAAGGCCTCCCCGCGACTGAAGAGACTAATTAGATATGTGTTTTTGTCCTTTACCCTTTACAAAAAACAATGGATTGATACGGATTGCCAGCATTGGCAGTTAGAAACTAAGTTTTAATCGATAAAACAGGTCACAGACAATATACAAACCGTACAGACATCACACTTGCAGTCACAAAGTTTCAATCAGGTTTGTGCTACCTGTCTCTTGAGATACGGTACCGCGGGTAGACTTGACAGTTTGTATCAGTTGAAGACTCGAATAGTTTGAGCCCCCAGGCAATATCCGTTTTTTTTCTTACAGGTTTCAATAAAAGTGGTGCGATATATACAAAATTACCAAAATGTTTTCGCTCGCGGGACTTTTTGACAATCTAAAATTCGTTCGTTTAAAAGGGGGCTCTACCGCTGCTCATGGCCCTCTAGCTAGCGTCTCCAAGAGTTGCCGCTAGGAACCAAGAGAAACATCTTGTCGACAACAGCGTTGGCTCCTTCCTGCCCTGTTTGCACACGATACCCTTGGCCAGTGTCAAAAGAGGCCCACACCTTCTGTTTCTTCCGTCGACCAGAGGAGCCTCGAAAGGAAAAGAACTGGTTGCCGTAGTTTGCTCACCGATCATCAAAGAAAGGGCTTGCATGCATGTCGGACAACGACATCCACCGCCCAGCCTAGCGGCAAAAGACACTTTTCCCACCAAGGTAAGGGCCAAAAGCCGCTCAGAACCTCAAAAGACAGAAAGTATCCTGACGTCTTACAAATTCATATGTATGCAAGTAAGTTCTGCAGCATACATCTACATCCCGGCACGGAGCCCACTGATCTACCCAGTAATTCCTCTTGGATTATATGCACACTGATGCGCCTCAAAGCGCAAACCCCGTCGGTCCTCCTGATTGTCGACAAGGATCCTAAAAGAACCCCCTTCGACGGAAAATCTATAAGCATCAATTAGCATAAATATTATATTTATGCAATAAAACGTTATCTGAAGATTCTTATACAGCATAGAAACCGTATCGATTGTGGGATTTCTATGCGAGCTGTGGAGATAGCCTCATTTCCAACTGCGTCTTACAGCGATCCAATTCAATAACGTAAAATTGTTACTTTGATTGCTCCTTAACCAAATCTTATCAAAATCTGGTGACACCATTGATGCACTCGAACTAATGCCGCCGGTTCACTTACTGCAGATATTCCAAACTATGGGAATAGCCGCTTAAGTTCCAAACTAACATCTATACATGCTTTAGGGATAATTTGTTACAATATTCTCGAGATTTTATAGCTCGTGTGGGCCATACACCTCAGCTTGCTGCTTGCTGACAAGCTGAAGTAAACCACGCACGGACGGCGGACGACGCTCATTCTGATACACCAAACCGCTGGTCATCTGCCAATATCCCGATATCGAAATTAACACGATATATAACAAAAACGGAATGTTCTATCCACGGGAGCTAGAACGTTCGAACCTTTCTCTAGTGAACCCCTCGGCCTGGCGATCTCCGCGCGCTCAAGCCGTTCGACCATCCCGAATCCCGAGGGTTGGATTCCGACTATGTAATAGCGACTTCTAATATCTTATTAATCTAAATCTTAATACCAACAAGTTGTTAAAATTATTAACTATTTCGAGAGGATCAAGAAGAAGAAAAGATGATATAAAAAGGCCACGGAAATGAAATCGATCGTGAAAAAGCACCGAAATCGAGACCGAATGACCTCCTTGTGCCCCTGCATCAGAACCTGCATAACAGCCCCCACCGGGCAAACATTTGAATGTATCTCGATATGATATCAAAAGTGCTCAATCGACCAGATATCAAAATGTTTACTCCACCACCACCACCACCAAGTAATTGAGATTCGGTACCTGATGAGATCCCCCCCTCGATAGCCTAAAAGCTATCGATACCCCGGACATGCCCCTCTCAACTTTCTCGGAGGCAAAAACATGAACACAGCCTTGCTAGGAACCGTACCCGGATAGTCCTCTCGTTCGGAAAGCTGTTCGATAGCGTTTCAGAATGTCGCTGGACTTGCATGGTTGATATTCCCCCCTTCCTTATTGCCCATCCCCCTCGAACAAGCCCTTTTCGCCGGGACCTTGAAATCGAATCGCCAACTCGCAATATTCATGAGCATGAGCCCAGGGGCCCTGCATATACTTACATATTTGCGTCGTGGGAAAGAACCCATGCCCTTTTTTACCCCTCAAGACTTAACATCTGCATGCCACAGAAAAGGGAAAGGAGGACCTTTTGCAAGGGCCAAAAAACAAAAACGATGACATGAAAAGAAAAAAGTCCGTATAAAAAGTAAAAAAGCTGGCGAACAAAATCCGCACAGAAGGCAAGACTGCACTGGCACCGGTAATAGAAACTCCAAAGAAAGGCCAGCTCCGATCCGAGCTCTCATGACACTTCTTTTTATTTCTCCTTTTCCCCAATCCTCGTCACCGCCGCCGTAAAAGGAACCACCCTGAGGGAAAACAGACTGGCGTCATTTCATACTTATAAATTGGATCTAGAAACATTTCCCTTCATTCTTTTCAACGTTCTCGAAACGAAAAGTGCGGAATCTTTTCATATGTGGTACGGAGTCCGGGTCCTTCGATTTCTCTCTTGATCATTGATCTCTCTTCTTTTAGCGTTAGTTTAGCTGCGCTGCCTGTTATAAAAGCTACTATAAAGCCTGGTTTAATATAATCAGCCCAAACCCTCCCGCCCCCGCTTGCAAATGCAATAATTGATATCTGCCCGTTCCCTGCTCTCTTTCTCCAGCATTCTTACGCCTTCAATTCAATCCTTTCGTGCGAGGCCGGATTTTGACCGAAAGATAACTCATCACCTTGCTTGTTTACTTGCTTGCTTACTTGCATAGCTGCATAACTGCATCTCGACATTATTCACATCGTTGCTTTTCACTATTCCAACTCCAAAATTTAGACGGCTCCACTCATAGACAGTGAGTGCACAAGCCGTGGTAACGAACTAGCTCGCTTTTTCAACATGTCGACTGCGCACCACCAACCGCGACCCGAAAGCACCACATTGGCCGACTTAATAGGCTCGTCGAGAGAATCAGAGACACCGGATTGGCCAGACGAAGATTTCTGCAAACGTTTACCTAAGATTGTAAGCTACAGTTTTTTTTTCCTCCCCTGCTCTGTATAATTAATTATTTTCTTTGCTTCCATGACCCGAGATCAGATCTAGTTATTACATAGATCTGGAATTCAAGCTCGGCCCGCAGAAGAAAGACCCTGTCCATGTCGTGTGCGAGATGCCGGTGCTGTGATAAGCCTGTGCATAAAGTTTTTCTCGCTATCACATACCGCGATATAGCTGGTTCATTCATATGCATGGCTTCCCTGGCTTGAATTCACGCTCTTTACATGAATTTTATATTATAATTACCCCTCAAATAGTACCTACTTCCGCGTCTATATTCCCTTGAAACTAATATCAACCTCTACCCTTCTCTTTTAAAAGGAACTACATGCCCATCTCACTGGGTCAATCAGAAGAGAGACCTTGGGCGAAATATGGCGGAGACGGAAGGAACAAGAACCAGACTTCGATCTCGAGGATCCCCTCGTGGCCATCCCTCCGGGTAAAGTTGATTTCGACTTGACAACGTAAGACCTATCCGTACTGTCAACCCCTCTCAAACTTCAATTGCCAGACCCCTTATACATCTAAATAAAAACCTTCCAGCTTCTTTCCTCTCTTCTCCAAATACACATACAATCTCGTCAATAGCGAATGGAGCGTCGAACATGCCACCCGCCAGGTCCTCCGCGACTTCGAATCCGACGGTGTAGTCTACCTCGAACTCCGTACCATCCCACGTGCATTCGACGAAACAGGCCTCACAAAGGAAAAATACATCACCACAATCCTCTCCACCATTCGCTCCTTTCAGTCCGAAACCATGCACACACGATTGATCCTCGCCATTGACCGACAAAATACCAAGGAGGAGGCATTGGACACAGTGGAATTGGCAATCAAGTATAAATCTGAAGGTCTGGTGGTCGGAGTAGACCTCTGCGGCAACCCCGCCGCCGGAGACGTAAGAATATTCCGGGAAGCCTTTAAGAAGGCTAAACAAAACGACCTCGGCATCACCCTACATTTCGCAGAAATCGAGCGTCAACCGATCAAGGACGAACTCGACATCCTCCTTTCCTTTGAGCCGCAGAGACTAGGACATGCGATCCACATCGAGCGAATGATGTCGAGCCAATCGCACCGGGCTGGAAATACGGACGACAGGATATTGCGTGAGATCCGCCAACGGAAATTATGTATCGAACTTTGTCTTTCGTGTAATGTGTACGCAAAAATGCTGCCTAATAGGCATGGAAACGGAAGCAGCAGCTTCCAAGATCACCATTTCAAGTATTGGTGGAAAACGGACTGTCCGGTTGCTCTGGGTGTAAGTTTTACTCCTTGCTGGTTCCACAGACTAGGATGTGCCCCGACTGACAAACTTATCAGACCGACGATGTTGGCGTCTTCCTCAGCGACCTCTCAAACGAATACTATCTCGCATCGACCCACTTCCGTGTCAACAAGTACGAACTCTGGCATCTGGTATTCTATTCCATCGACGCTATATTCGCCGACCAGTCCGAAAAGGACCGACTAAAGAGCTCGCTGTTAGCATGGGGTAAAGAGAACAATCTTGACGTAGGAGATGACGATGAAAGCGTCAACGAGATTATCGATCACGAAGATGAAGAAGGAGAAAATTCAGCTGAGCAAACTTAAACGTATATTTTCCGTTTATTTGCGAAAAACCCAAAAATTCTAGGACCCTTAATTTTTCCTCGGGGTGGCACACAAAAAGGATGGGGAAAACTTACATCTCTACTAATAATATCGAATTATTTTTATTGAATAGGGCCATAGCATGGACAGGCGTTACAAAATTGTTAGTATGGGGATCAGTGAGCGGTGGTGGTTGTGTAAAACAAAAAAAAAGTTGAATTAGCTGGCGAATCCGAGATCGATACATCGATAGTAATGGACCTGATGAGTGAAAACTGGCGAAAATAACATAGAGGTACAACCCTGCATGTTGGCAGATGGCTCAAGAATTGTATTGTATCTCGATACCCACTGTTCTGAAGGGTTGGTCTCGCCGTTTGAGATCGATGTTTGATCCTATAGTAATATCATAAGCATCCTTCTCTAGTCCTCTAATCCATAATATACTCACCTATACTAAATAGTAACTGCTTAAATCTCCCTTCCCAAAGTAACCCAATATTGAAGTTCTGAGTAATCCTCGCCTTCAGCACACCGGTAACATCATCCTCCCTCTCTCCGCCAGTCGTAAACCCATTCTGCTGCTGCCAACTTTCCTCGATCTCTGTTTCGCTTCTCGTGGCTTGCTGTTGTTTCCTTCTCCATATTTCACACCCAAACACCAAGTCGCTCTCGTAGGAGTAAATATTAAAATCATACCGACTGCAAAACACTGCCCCCTTTCCCGCTTTGATAGCGTACGCTGCCTGGAAGTGCCCAATAATTGGATTGATAGTCAAAGTCATAGTAAGCGGTGACCCAGTATTCGATGGTAGAGTGGTATATCGGAATCCAGTGGATACGCCACCACTTTTATTCAGTAACCCCCAATAAAGCTCTGCACCGGCACTAAACCTCCCTGCTATCTTTCGAGAATCAACAGCCCCGTTCCCGGAATTATGTGGTAGAGCCTTTCGGGGATCAAAGCCGAAGTTGTAGAGACCACGTATACCGATTAACGCGACATCCGTGGAGTATAGATATTCTGAACAATATTTGCCATTATCCTGTTGAAGGAGCGCGAGTATGGTGCCGCCGTTTGGGAGACGTGAGTTGCTGACGGCCGCTATCCTTAGCTGTCGGGTTGGTGCCAGCCGGCGCAGGTATAGAGCTTCGAGGGTGGATGCTGGAAGATACATTCGACCGTAAAGGAGAGTGTCTGGACTGCCATCAGCACTTCCACCTTGTACTATGGATCCAAGGAGCTAGAAGCCTGACCTCTTCTATCAACTCTAACACCTCCCTGCCATATTTCCCAGTCTCTTGAAACATCTGGCTTCACTATTTCCTTCAAATCCCGATATCCGAATATAGCGTCCTTAAGTTCCACGTCCCCACTATTTCGTACATTATCCAGAGTCCGTGACGAATATAAATACGAAACCGACCCATCGACGACACCTAGGCTAGCTAGGCTGTATGATGTTGCAAAGTTTGGGGATGACAAAGAAGAGATATTGAGTTTTAATCCCTTCGGAGTTTGAAAGTCCAGTAGTGCTATCCCATAAAAGCATTAGCTATATCTACTAAAGATCCGAAATGATATTTTGTAAGAAGAGAATAGAACCATACCTCTCGCCGTAGCATTCAGATTCGCATATGAGTTATCCTCATCCCACTTCGTCGCGCGGTAGAACGACTTCTGGACATAATCCATATACCCCAACATCTTGTCAAACCGGTGCCCGCTTCGGCGGAGCGGAGAATAGTAAGACTCGTCAATCGTGAAAATGCGGTGTTGGTGAAATCGACAGAGGCATACGTATACGTCCTAGTAATTATCGCGGAGTGGAACCAGCTTTGAGAATGGGTGGTGTTCGGTTTGGGCTGTTTTCTGCGACAAGCTCGCCAATGCAAATTAGAACCGGCCAGACCCCTGTCAAAATTTTCGAAGCTTTGCCCATCCCCAGAAATTTTTCTTCTCTTCTAAAAAAAATACAACCTTCCAAACCACAAACCATCACATATCACAAACTATACAAAAATGCCGAAATCAAAGCGAAACAAGCTAATCAGCTTGACAAAAACACAGAAGAAAGGTCGCGAGAACAATGTTAGGATCTTCGACGCTATAAGAGCGGCTTTAGATGAGCATTCGTTCGTCTGGGTCTTCTCTGTCGCATCTATGCGAAATGCACAGCTCAAGGAAGTCAGAGCTGAATTCCAAGATAGCAGGTACCTAACCTCTAAAAATGCAATCGCATGTACTGTCTTCTAGCCATTGAATACTCTCTAATTCACATTGCCAAAAATTGGATAGAATATTCTTCGGCAAAACCAAAGTTATGATCAAAGCCCTCGGCACCACCCGTGAAGACGAGTACAGAGACAATCTCTCCAAGCTCTCTAAGCATATGAACGGCGAAGTCGGCCTACTGCTCACAAACAGGACCCCGGAGGCCGTCACTGAGTTCTTTGATAGCTTTTCTGCAATGGACTTCGCCCGCGCCGGCGCGGTATCACCACTCACATTCACTGTCCCGGCGGGAACAGTCTACTCGAGAGGCGGAGAAATCGCTGAGGAGGATGACTTACCTCTGGCTCATTCTTTGGAGACAACTGTTCGAGGATTGGGTATGCCGACTAGATTGGTGAATGGAAAAGTTACCTTAAACGAGGAATACACAGTTTGCAAAGAGGGAGATGTGCTCAACAGCCAACAAACAAGGTTGTTGAAGTTGTTCGGGGTTGTCACATCGGAATTTAAAGTCAAATTATCTGCGTATGTCGAATCCCATCAGAATTTACGGATCGCCTTGACAGATTACTGACAAAAAACCATAGGTATTGGAGTTCTGCCGATAGCGAGGTCAAGGAGATAGACGCCATGGAAGAGGAGGAGGACTAGACGGTACAGAAGAACTTCTTTTTATATCTGGGTTGATTTGTCTGCTGCTTTTGTTTATCGAGGCCTTGGGTATGGGAAGTAAAAAGTCATAGAGCGTCCTTTCACGCTATTCGATTTCTTGTGGTCTACGATTTTACCCGTCATATACATATACGTGGTTTGTACGATACGATAACGATGGATTATTCTAATCACAGGGGCGACTCTGCGCACTGTGAGAATTATCATTTCACGAAAACGTGCTATGTACAACTAGGCCGAGGCTAAAAGGGTTCCAAAAAGAAACAAAGTCTTCAAAAGAGCCTTTAAGGTATCTAAGCTGATTTGGCATTGATGATGTCGACGACTGTGAAACCAAGTAAGTAAGTGACACAATTGATTCTCGGTGGGAGGGATCTTACAGGCTGGCTTGAGCGAGGCACCACCGACGAGGAAACCGTCAATGTCGGGTTGCTTGGCGAGTTCACCGGCGTTCTTCTCGTTGACGGAACCGCCATAGAGGATTCTAGTAGCCTCAGCGACTTCTGAGGAAACGGTCTTAGCAAGCCATGCACGGATGCCAGCGTGGGCTTCCTGAGCTTGCTCAGTAGTGGCGACCTTTCCGGTGCCAATAGCCCTATTAAGGTATCTAATGTTAGAAAAAAAAACACAAACCACAGGTTAGATATGCAAAAGCGATCTGGGGCCATACCAAACTGGCTCGTAGGCGATGACAATCTTGGACCAATCTTGGATGACATTGGCAACAGCTTGTAATTGACCACAGCAGACGTCGAGGGTCTTTCCGGCTTCTCTCTCCTCGAGAGTCTCACCAATGCAAAGGATGACGCTCAATCCAGCATCAAGAGAAGCCTTGGTCTTTTCGGCGATGAACTGCACAACAAAACATATTAGTTTTGAACCGATTAGAGATACAAATTGCGACATGGTGTATACCTCAGAGGATTCCTTGAAGATAGTTCGTCGCTCGCTGTGACCAAGAATAACCCACTCGAGGCCGTGCTCGGTCAACATCTTGTTGGTCAATTCACCAGTCCAGGCACCATCTGGCTTGTCAAACACATTTTGGGCGGCGACCTTGACTCCGTTTCCGATCTTCTCAGCGGTGGAGAGGAGGAAGATGCTTGGTGGGGAAATGACGACCTCTACACCCGAATCAGCCTGTTGAACGATCACAAGTGAACAGAAGTTTATAGATCATACCGGTATTGGGATCGAGCTTAGCATTATTGAGATTCTCGACGATGGCTTGAATGGACTTGATGGAGCCATTGGCCTTGAAGTTGCCTCCGACGAAGAACTTGCGAACCATGTTGCCGGTAGTTGAAGGTATTACTTAAATATTTCCGAATGAACGTGGTAGTATTGGTTTCTGTAGTGGGGTAATTCAATTGAACTTAGTCCAAGTAGTCTCGAATGAATTGAAGCCGATGCGATGTTATCGATGGAGATGAAATACCTTGGAGGTCAGACAATTACAATTTCTATCGGTGGCGGAGAGCCTATTTATGATATAATCGGCGTCGGTCTGGCGGGGCTCTCAGATTAATTCACCCCTCATTCGATTCGTTTCCATTCCGCTGCACTGCACCAATGAACCGACCCATGCACAAAAAAAAACAAGGTCGCCGACAGCCAAGCATGTGAGCCAATCCGTTGAATTCGATGCCAACGGAAACCCCTCGCTCATTATGATTCCACCCGGCTGTTTAACTTACGTACATACAGTATATGCACACGGGATCTAGCTAATTGTGTCGGGCGTGTTCGGCGAGAGACCAGAGAAAAAGGACGTGCCTCGTCTAAACCGAATCCCGAATCCCGACCCGATGCAACGATTCCAATGTCGGCAGGCACGAACCGTTCGCCCTAGCTTGAGCTTGCAAAGCTCCAAGGCGCATCCGGAGTGTGAGGGACTTATCCTGCCAAGGATTCAAGATGCTCATGATACGGTTCGGCTGTGATATATCGCACGATGGCTGATATTCGGTATCACACTAGTTCCCATACGTTTTGTAGGTTGACACATAAATCGATTGGTCTTATTTAGAGAAGGGATTCTCCGTAGCTATGTTTTAATCGCGGAGCTGACAAATTAGTGGTAGAGCTATACTGTGTAGCGTCAATCTTTAGGCCTGGTTCTAAAGCCCTTAACTTCATCAGGATCAGCTTGGGATCTATATATAAAGGGCTGAAATTCGTCGAATTGGGTATGTACTGAGTACATATACCCATTACTTACTGTGAGATATGCATATATGTAGGGTCGCTTGATCCTGTATCAAATCGCTAACTCCTAGCTGTACATGTATTCAATTTATGATTTGCTTGACACCACTAATTAACAGCCTAGTGACCCTCTTGGGTTAGATACCGCCTTTTGTCTTGGATCAGCCCAAGTCTACCGATCCCGTCTGCAACCACAATGAAGATTCAATATTTATATTGAGGGATGCAACTTCATGCTTCAGTGCAGAGGAACGAACCTATGTAAGGGTCTTCTCCCTGCCGACTCCTGGGTTCAATTGATCGATCAAGCGAGCTGAACCTAGAACCAGCCACCAACATAAGCAGCTGCAGGACCATGTGATTAATCTTCAGTTTGTACAGCTGCATCCCGCGCAGGGATACCAACCAGTCTAGACACAGGACGGGGTGATGGACCAAATCTAATACGAAATATGGACCGGTTTGACGTAAAATATTGCGATTATTGACAAGAAAATTGCTTCACTTTCAAGCTAAGGCGGCTAGGCCCCACAGCCTAGTTTCAAGATATATGCTATCTGCATGGGGGGGTGGGAAACGCCATAAATCTATAAAAGATCTGAACTAGGAGCGGGGCCTGTCATGCCATCAGAGGATTTGTTTCTGGGACCCTCTCCTCCTCAGCTCTTCTCTTCTCCTTCTTAAAATTTTGAGTCTTTGGATTCGAATCGATTTTGATTCTTCCGACTGATCTCTCCAAGGAAGTCGAAGTTTCGACCCTATATGCACAATGCCAGCCCACCGCGTCCAGTCTTTTCCATGGTATCACAGCAGTCGCCAAAAACCGCGAAGGTGGGTAACACACATATTTACCATGCAAACATCAGACGAAGAACTAACCGTCCATGCTCCTGTGAACCAGATGGCCTCTCGCACTGCGCTTTATTAAGGGATCCGTTCATGCCAGTGAGTAAAGAATATACAAAATCGATTTCAAAATTAAGATGTCAATACGACGTGCACGTGCGCCTTAGACTGTTTCTAAATCATGTGTCTTCCTGTCAAGAAATTATCGGCCCCATCGTCTTCTACACCCTTTTCACCGCTCTTGTGGTCTACATCGACCAGCGCCTAAATGTCAACCTCGGTGTCCCAAGCACTGTAACCCCCAGTCTCTCAATAGTCGTCGGTCTCTTACTCGTCTTTCGCAACTCCTCGTCTTATGAACGTTTTTGGGCCGGCCGCCAAGATGTCAGCCATATCGTCTCCAACGTCCGAAACCTATCGAGGTATTTCATGCTCTGTGGTCCAAATGAGTCAGATGAAGACCGACAGGACACAGAAAAGGTCGTGAAAACCCTTATTGCAATGTTATTTGCCATGCGATCTTCCTTACGAGAGGACTGGGGTATTCCGGACAAAGAAGAAGAACCTGAGTATACAGACCTCTTGCCTTTAGGGATACAGGGACATGAAAACTGGGGAGTGGCGTTACCACTCGAACTTGCTTTCTTTGTAGAGAAGTATATTAGGAAGGGGCACAAACGGGGTAACTTCCAGGCCCCACAAGCGTCGATGTTGACGTCGCAGGTGAATGCGATCATCGACGGGTATGGGCATATGGAAACTATCATGTTGACACCTATCCCCGTCTGCTATCAGGTGAGTAAACCGGTGGTTCTTATCTTCGGAGAGTGGTTTGCGGATTGAGTTCTAATTTGGGATTCGCGTGTGACATAGATCCACATGAAACAAGTTTTATCGCTATACTGCCTCTTCCTTCCGTTCTCCATTGTGGACGACTGGAACTGGGTGGCTGTTCCCATGGTTGCTTTGATTGCTTTCACGCTCTATGGTATTGAAGGTATTGGTCAGGAAATCGAGAATCCTTTCGGCTTGGATAGGAATGATATCAAAATGGATAACATAGTGCGAGATGCACGACAGGAGATCACAACCTTGCTGGAGTGCTGGAAACAAGGAAAGGAAGAGCATTTTCTCTAATCATAACATCCCATGTTGGAAATACTTAGGTACTTACCTAGCAGCATCGAAGGGTGGTGGAAGGTTGGGGGAAGCGAGGAGACAGCTGTAGCAAGTTGTATACATAATTTCGATAGGAACAAACAGCCTGGATTACAAAGCTGTACCTTTATCGACTCGAATACTTAGTGATATTAGCGGGACCTATGAAGCATCTATTTTACTGTTTGTTTACCCCTTGTGCACATATCTAGCGGAGCGATCCTATTTGATTTATCTTAGTCGAACCATCATGCATCAGGCTTTCGACGAAACCATGTTAGCCAACTGCAACACATCTATCCGCTTTGCTTCCGAGACTGTCAACGGTTTTTAGCATCGTTTGTATGTATGCATATGCGAGTATGTTCAAAATGTAATTGGATGCCCTGAAGTCGGATATAAGAAACCTTCGTAGTTTAAAAGATATACTGAGGGTGTCGAGTATTTAAGTATTGATCCGAACCCGTTGATTCTCTGGAGGCGTATACTGCTACCATATCAGATCCTCGGTTTCTCTGATATCTATCGAATCAATATTCAGTTCCTCAATATATTGCAACATTGCATTTGTGATAAACACCCCGAAGGTTAACGTTATAACGGTTAACACTTGACATATCCGTGCATCATATAACATCACCAAAAAAAATGGCATCATCGAACCCGGAAACCCCGGAAACATCCTTCGATCTCTTCTCTTCCCTCCAGTTCTCTCCTACTCTCACGGCATCACCAGAAAACACCGCTGTGTGCGGGAAACCATGTCCGTATTATATGTTAGATTACCACCGAGACCGGATCCTCTATGCCGCCCATAACTTCGGTTGGCAAGAAGCTGTGACCGTTCTCGAAGCATCGAATTCGCTGGATTTGATAAAGGAGAAGTGTTCTGATGCTGTTGATGGTGTATTGGTTAAAGTTGAGGATAAAGATGCGGCTGCTGTTCGGGTATGTATACCATCATAACTTTTATAACTTCAGATCTATATCGATATCGATATCGATATACAGTTGGTTAATTTACTAACTCACATGGAAATCCCTTAAAAAAAAAAGCTTCGTATCTTAATATCCCCATCAGGTTCTCTAACCGCCGAAGCAAACCTCATCTCCCAAGTCCCCCTCACATCCCTCTTCCCCACATCTCTAACCCCCCCAGAATCCCTCGTCCCTTGGTCCGTCCACCTCGACACCCTCCCGACCCCTCCTACAGACCTAACAAGATACAAAACAACCTCTCGAACCCACTATAACGACTCCCGTGTCCGTGCCTCCATCAATAGTTTCTTAGAAACCAAAGAAGTCATCCTCTGGAATCCGGAGGGTTGGATTATGGAGGGGAGTATTACTAATGTTTACTTCTATCGAGAGGATAAAGGTGGATGGATCACGCCTAGTACGCCGATGGATGATCTTACGGGGCAGAGGAAAGGGAAGGGTGGGACTGCGGGGACGGTTAGAAGGTGGTTGATCGAGAAGGGGATGGTTAGGGTGGGTGATTTGAAGAAGGGTGAGGTGCAGGTTGGGGAATTTGTTTGGTTGAGTAATGGGGTTAAAGGATTGGTTTTGGGAAAGATCGTGAGTGTTTAATATGAGAACTCGATAGATGAATTAGATGGAAAGATGGAGTTGGTTGGTTACTTGTAGATTGGACAGCTTGGTAACTTGAGACACTCTATCAGGATCTTTATTCGCTAATATCGCAGGATATGCATATGAATGCAACATGGTGTCTATGATTTTTGAATCTATTCGATGTATTTATTATATCCTCTGGCTGGGAATCTAGTGGATAGCTGACCAGTTGCGGTACCAGTCCAGGCATCCTGGATTACTCACTGTTTTATCATGTATCATTAGCATATGCGGATATAAAAGAAGAAGGTTCTTCATTTCGGGGGGTCTTTAAAAACTCACCACTGGCCGATGTCTTGACATCCATACCGCATAGAATCTGCTTAACTGCAACCTCAATCCTGTAATACACCTGTTAGCATCTAACATATATTGGAAGTAAAGAAGATGAAACATACTTCTTCCCGTTAGTTGTAACAGGTATCTCTGGCGTTTCGTCGATTATTGCGGGGACATGTCTCCCGCTGCACTCCGTTCTTATCGTATCTTTAATACATTTCACTAGCTCCTCGGAAAATTTGTAGCCGGATGCCATCTTGACGAATAATACGACTGTTTCGTCGAGATCGTTAGGCCTCCGTCGCCCTATACATAAGGCGTCCTCGAATTCGAGTGGAAATCTAGATAATAAGACGTTGTATATCTCGCTTGACCCGAAACGTACACCAGCTATCACGGGTATATTGTTAGTTCCATATGCTCATTTATATATTGGAAGGTGATGTATGATTTTGCTTACCAGGTTTCAAGATTCCATCACTCCTTCCAAGCTACAAAACAATTATTAACCTGGTCAAAGAACGTCAATGTATTTCTGAGATTTAAACTCACCATCAACAACCCTCGAGTCTTTGAATTAATCTTGATAAAATCCCCATGATGCCACACACGCTCGAAATGTTCAAAGTAACTTCTGCGATAAGCTTTCTCTCCTTCCACGCCCCAAAACTTCACGGGCATGCAGGGAAACGGCTTTGTGCACACTAAATCAGCTGGCTCATCTTCTACTGCCTTTCCATCCACATCCCATGCTTGGACTGCCATGCCGAGGCCGATGCATTGGATTTCTCCAGAGTATACGGGAACCAAGGGGGATGGAGCGCCGAAGAGAGATATAATGTCTGTGCCACCAGTTATAGATCCTAGGTTAAGGTTCGGACCGAAGGCTTTGTAGACGTAGTCGAATGTTGACGGTGCTAGAACGCTGCCGGTGCTGTAGATTGCTCTGAGTTTCTCCATAGGAAACTTCTCGTCTGATCGACCACACAGAGATTAGCTAGGAAAGCTGGCATATATTGAAGATTGGGGATTAAACTCACGGGGCAGAGCATTGTTTTGTTCTAATATCGATAGATACTTTGCGCTTGTGCCGAAGCAAGTCACGCCGATTTCATCTATTAACTTTGGCATTGCGAGATCTCCGTTTCCGTCGACTAGAGGACGGAACGGCGAGCCATCGTATAGTAAAATTGTAGCACCACTTGCGAGTGCGCTGACGTTGTAGTGCCACATCATCCATGCTACTGTTGTGAATTGGAAAAATATATCACCGGGGCCCTTGAGAAGTCTTGTTAGATGTTTTTCTTCAAAAAAATGGTATATGAAATGATAAAACTTACCATATCAGAACATAGTTGATGTTCCTTCTTGTGCTGTATCAACGTCCCAACCGCTCCATGGACAATACACTTCGGTTCTGCAATTCCTTGTCAACAGCCTGCCAACATCTAATAAAATGACTGTGAACTACGTACTCCCTGTTGTCCCCGAAGAATAAAGAATATAAAGCGGATGATCCGGCTCCAACTGCGCAAACCTCAGATCCGCCGTCGCAGGTCCCAAAGTCAAGAAAGCCGGATATAACATGGATTCCTGCCCGGCTCTGAGTTCTCTGGGATGTATGGACGTCTGGTGTCCCGGCACACTCGGGAACACCACAATCGTTCGAACCGATGGTAATTGTTTAACAATCTCCTTGACTTTGCTCATGTTATCGTGCGTTTTGCCATTGTAGATGACTGCATTATCGACGAAGAGCACGGTGGGTTCGATTTGCGCGAAGCGGTCCAGAACTGCTGTTGCGCCAACGTCCGGGCTTGTGGCTGTCCATATGGCTCCAATCGCAGATGTCGATAAGGCGGCTACCAAAGTATTGGCATGGTTTCCGACGTAAGCTATTCAAAAGAATATAATTTTAGTATCATCCCCAGATTTCGGCAAGAACGTTTTTATTGTCCTACCAGCTACTCTATCACCCTCTTTCAATCCACAATTTCGAAGCGCAGCAGAGCACCTTCTAACTCTCTCCCTCAATTGTTTCCAGGTAATGGTCTCCCTAGATGTTTCAGTCGCAGCAATAACCGCAATGCCGCTGTCGTCCTTGATTGATGCCGGGTACAGTAGGTTTTCCGCGAAATTCAACCTGGCGCCTTCGAACCACGCCGGTCTGGGGAATATAGGCGCTGTTTCATCAATCACCTGAAAAGACCATAAAAAAAAGATTAAAATATCTTAGCAACCTGCTACTACGATGCTCAACGAGATTTCTTTTGGGTTTAAAATACGCGACCGGAAGTATAATCTTCCTTCTTTTTTTTCCCTGGAAAATATGTGAGGTTCACCTCCAACCAACCTTGGAATATAGCTTCGAAGCCTTGACACCTGTAAACTCCCAAACCTCGGCCCAGAAGAGAGAAGGATGATCAATTGACCATTGATAAAGCGAATTCGAAGCAGTTTCCGGTCCAAACTCGACCTGGTACTTTTTCTTGATATGTTCCTTGAATCTGAAGAGGTGGGTGCTTTCCGGCGACGGGTGCGTCCATAGAAGTTTGGGCTGGCTGGCTGGGATGGTCATCGTGGCGAGGATTGTCGGATTAATAACCTGGGGTAGCTAGGGATGTCCGATTTCGAGTCTTATGTTCGCAATTGATAGAGAAAGGCTTCTATGCAAACCACAGATACAATTCTTAGGGGCAAATCGATATCGATCTTACGGAGCTTTCGGAAGGCGGTACGGACGATGTAGTCGCAGTTGCTTTCTTTCTTTCTTTCTTTCTTTGTAATGTGAAATGAATAGCAGAAGAAGCTGGAAAAGCGTGCAGATGCAAAGGGGAAAAAAACGTGGAAGCTTAAATCGATTGGGGGAAAGACCGGAGGCCTGAGGGCCAGTCTGTGCGTGGGATTGGATGGCGAAGCTCGTGCGACTTTGGGGTAACGTAATATTAATGCCCACGCAATCGAAGCCTTTCTCTTTTGTTTAATTTTTTTCTTATGTTTATAATTAAATTTAAATTTCCATTGAGCTCAAGATTTTTTTTGTTGAATTGATACTGTCATCGATCGCAGGCCGCTGGTAAGCGCTATGAAGAAGCAATTATCACAGGTAGGTAGTCTTCGTCGATTTAATTTAATTTATTAGCAGCTTGGGAGGTACCGAGGTGGACATCTGTGCGGTTCAATTAATAGGGAACTCTTCGAACTGCATGCGGAATGGAGACGCGGTCCGTTGAGGGTTTGTGGCATTTTGGGGCAGGGCAACGCAGAATAATTGTAGATATGATATGGTATTGTAGACTATAAACCCTGTGATTCTCCTTCTCCTTCTTCCTTTTTTTTTTAGACTTAAGGCTGGAGATACGAATGGGATTGTAATTGAGCTTGATAGGAATGCGGGTTAATACCGGTACCTAAGTACCTAGGCAGGTAGGTATATGTTATATGTGGTAGTTACGGGCTTTTTGAAGTCTGTAGCTCTCTCATATAGTATTGAAAAGAGAACAATAAAAAATATACATATAGTTTGATGAGATTATATTAGCCTGTGGATGCTTTTAAACTGGGGTACTAGGGCTCGGGGGCGCCCGGTGCATCCGTTCGTCGTCGCATGTATCTACGCATACCCAGGTCACATGCGTTTTATAAGGTACTTGGTATGTAGTCTTGATAGTAGGCTGTCTGAAGGCTGACAACCGGCTTTTCTACTGCCCTGGATGGCCTTATATATAAATTCTTCTGCCCTAGCTATCCTCTTTAAATTTGGCCCTGAAAATGGCCAATGTGTTTTCGAACGTTCCTTCGGGTCAGTGGGCTTTATGTATTGCTAGACTCCGAAAGCTTCCTATATACAGAGCGATATACATGTATACATGTAGATGCTGGTTTGTATACATGTACATGTATATGATTGGGCTTGGCAGGGCGATATTTAGCTAGTCCCCGGTTTTAGGATAGTAGGTATTTACCATAATATTTAGTAGTCTCTGGGAGTAAATAATTGATGTCCGTTTACCATTATTAGATTAATTGAAGGCGGGCTCGAAACTTATTATGACTATAGCCATGAGGGTTGTATTAGTTTTCTCGCTACGCATGGCTTGGACACATCAATGTTGGTACCCGTTAAATGGATACCTAGTAGGTATATATAGTATATAAGGACTCAGTCTGTCAAAGCCATGCGGCTAATATCTTGAACCGCCTCGCCGCCTCGCGTCGTATGCGTGGTTTTAAGGCATATCCGACGATTAGGTATGCATAATATGGCTTCTGTTTTCATGGTTGCGTCAGGCCCAATTAAGTTTCCGACCGGGCAATCGCGCAAACCACCTTGAGTAATCAGTATATTCTTATATGTAAGCAGGCTGTTGTTTCATAGATAGGCATTAGCAAGCTCCGGTCTTGTAAATGCTCGTATTTCCTTTGCCGCTTGGTGGCTGCGATAAATATAAATGCATGAAGTCGTGAAGACAACTAATTAGTCTTATTGGATTTCAGATGCGTGTCTTATTTGAAATCGCTCCAGGGAAGTCTTTATTTGTAAGGAGGTTGATATGATTATGCTACCTACCTACCAGTACTCCGTATCTGGCTGGTTCATTGTGTGATTTCAGATGACGGGTACACCGATACGTGGTAATCGTTTATCGAAAATGTATTTAGTTTTTTATGTAATATCGCATATTACACCCGCTAATTCCATCGAATCGGCTTACACGACGCCAGTCCAAGCCTTCAATAAGCTTTTGATGCTCACCCGAAAGGCGTTGGCACATTGATGGATACGGCAGGTTTGTAGTCAAATCAATCGTTAGTAAAGTCCGAACCCTGGACATCCTGAAGAATTGGTATCTTGAACCAAGCGGAGGAAAAAAAAAAAAATTCCAAGTTGGCAGGTGCCCAAAGAGTGACCCCAGCATGGTTGAGCCAGCATCGGAGGCAGGCAAAGACATTTCGCTGGAACCGAAAGGACCATTTGACTTAGCTTAGCTTCTAGGGATCTAAGTAGTTATCGCCGTATCTTAGCTTGGGTTTAGAAGCTTTGGTGGAGCTACTTGTCGCACGTGGGCATCGAAGTATCGATCTCGTTAGCCACCCTTGGCCTTTGACGAATTCCGGCGAAGAGAAAAAAAATTCAGGGAAAAAAGTACATATCAAGCCTCATGATGCATCGAATGATTCGCATGAATATCTCGTGTTTTTAATGGTTAACACTTTGTAATAAATTGAATCAACAGAGGGGAACTTTACGGGCTTTTACCCCGCATGAAACGAGAACGCTGACGTCTGGAATTTCGGAACTGTGGGTATCACTTGTTCAAGCATCCTGCAATTTCTCAAGAATTTGGCTGTTTTGGAGCTCCCTGTCGTTCAAACACCAGAAACCTCGATCACGCGGTGAACTTTTTCCAAGTTCGAATTTCTCAGCTCTGCTTGCCTCCTTGCCTGCTTTGTTGCTGTGCGGTCTTGAAGTGAGTCGGCTGCGATTGCTTTTTGACAGGATCCCACGGAATACTCCCTTGCTGCAGGGCCCTCAGTACCTGATACATTCTGGACTCGATGGCCACCTGCCCTGTATTGCTGCTGTCAGGTCATGTCGGGAAGGAGTACATCTGGGCGCTTTGGATAAGTACTTTAGCGGAGCATGGCGCACAGATCTGAGAGCTTAGGACCCCGAATTCCGATTTTCATAATTGTTAGTGTTTTGTTTCAACGTCCTCCACCTCCTCGTCCTCGACTTCCTCTTAGAAATCAACTTGCGAATTCGATATTGAAGGATTTGAAATATTTCGCCGCCAGGTTTGTTTGGAAATAGTCGATTTGAGAAGCCAGCTGCAAGCCCTTCCAGCCCAGCCCAGCCTTCGTATTAATTTGAGCTTTGGCCCAATCTTGGTTCAGGCAGGGCTGCAGCATACCACTAAGTCCTGAAGCTAAAATCCCGAATCAAAAGGCCTCTTGGACGCGAAGGCGGGCTACAAATCGCTCTCCTCATCTATCTCCACTGTTCTCTTTTTTTCTCATCAAATATCGACAGCCTTGGTCAAGAGAAGGGGGTGAACTTCGGATCAATTCAACTTCTCAATCAAACAAAACATTGGTGGATCCCGCGCTTTTGGTTGTTCTCTCTTGGAGTAACTAGGACTTTAGGAGCAAGTCGAGTCAGACAAGGGTCAGCTTGTACTGCAGAACAGAGCGAAAAAGCGAAAGAGAGTGTGTGAGAGCTAGAGAGTTAGAGAAGAGGTAGGTTAACATACATACATACATACATACATACATATTTTGTACAGACTCATCGATGATAGGAGGAGGAGTGACATTCCTGGGGGGATACCAGCCCAGAACCGCAGCTGGAGGACATTCTTTGATGTTGTGAAGAGGATAACAAGGAAAAGAACAAGAACATGAGCATGAGCATAAACAAGAAGATCAAGAACATGTCCATACCCGTGCCGATTTTCAGTGCATGCTCATGTTCATGTTGATGTTCATTTCCATGTCATCCCTTGTATGTGATATGTGAGGGTGTAATGATCCCAATGCTGATGTTTCTTTCTTTGAGCAGAATCTTTGTCCACGTTAATTAAGCCTGTCCCTTAATTGACTGACGTTAACAAGGAATCTCAAATCGAAATGATGGCTCCAACTTCAATCGTGCCTGCCCCCCAGCTAGCCGCTTCTACATCTCCACCTCTCTCGCCGCAGACTACATCCCCAACTTCCACCCGCTCCCGGATACGAGCATTCAACTATCTTCGCGGCCATCACCATTCCAATACTCCCACTCCCGTTCCTCCTCCTCCTCCGTCAGCTGTTGCTGGTGCTCAGGGTGCTTCTGCTATGACGACGACATCGACATCGACTGTCCGGCAAGTTTCGACAAACTCCGGATCCACAGAAGATCAACACAACAGCAGTTCTACGAGTTCATGGCTCCCTTCCGTCAGTAGCATTCCCGGCCTTTCTCGAAGACCGTCTGCTCCGGTGGCTACTGAATCTGTAATTGCACACGACACTACGAGTCCTCTCTCCCAGATCCGTACTGCTCCTCCTGCTACTCCAACATCTCCTATTACTACGACTATTACTGCTCAAGCGAATAGCAACGGCGGAATCTCGTTAGGTCTTAACGGGGCCTCCGAGCACGCTGCTGCTTCTCCAACGAATGGAATGGCAACTTTACAAGTGCAAGGTACTAATCCGGGTACTCTGATAAGTGGGCTACCTGACGGAAAAGTCCCATCGATCCGATTCGTGCCTCATGTGGATCCTAGATCCACCCGTCGGCCTCATACCTTTGCTCCTATGGAGAGATCGATCAAGGCTATCGGAGAGGTAGTTAAAGTCGGTAGATTTAGCGACCGAGATAACGGAAACCCCGTTGGTTTCAAGTCTAAAGTGGTATCCCGACGGCATTGTGAATTCTGGTGGAGTGATGGGTCCTGGTTCATGAAAGACGTGGGAAGTAGCAGTGGTACATTCCTTAACCATGTCAGACTCAGTCATCCGAATACAGAAAGCAAACCCTACATTGTTCACGATGGGGATGTTGTTCAACTTGGAATCGACTTTAAGGGAGGCGAAGAGCTCATCTTTAGATGCGTGAAAATGAAGCTCGAGTTGAACAGAGATGCAAAATCTATTAACCAGTTTAAGTAAGGACCCTCAGGTAATCCTTTTACCATAAGAGGGCTATTACTAATATCCATCCTTTCTAGTGTCGCTGCACATCGGAGGATTCAGAATTTGGGTAAACCTTCCGTGAATAAGGGAACGGGAAGTGATTCCCATGCGGGCGAGTGTGCTATATGCCTTTTAAACATTGCAGTAAGTTTATTCGCCGAATTCTTTATACAGGTAATTTAGACCATCTGCTAATTTCGAGGTACAGCCTTGCCAACCGCTCTTTGTCGCTCCGTGCTCACATGTGTGGCACTACAAGTGCATTCGGCCAATTATCGAAACGACTTATCCGATTCTTTCTTGCCCGAATTGCCGTGAAATCGCAGATCTTGAGGCTGACATTGAAGAACCGACAGATGAGAATTGGGAAGATCTAGATAAAGTAAAAGACGACTCGGCAAACGAGTCGTCAGGAAAGGCTGATGATGCCGCACAGCTTGCTACAGGAGAACAGGTAGAGGATCGAGCAAAGACACCACAGCCGGAGGACCCAGCAGCCACTGCTACCGAAACCGCACCAATGCATATTCGGCTGCCCGCCGTGGATACTCTTGTGACAAATGGTGGGGATGCTGCCACTGACCCGGCGAATCAAACCCCGAGGAACAACGCCGGCCCCTTCGTTTTGAACGGTACAACCGGCAGAATGTGATGGAAGGGCCAGTTTTTATGCCATATCATTGTGTCTTGTGGAGGAAGCCATATCCTTTGTCACGCGAAATATCCAGCCTTTGAAATCAGAGTGCTCGCTATTTAACGACACCCACGGCGTTCTCTCTTCCCTGAATCTAGATCTCGTATTATTACTTTTTCCGTACACCACCTTCTTTAGCGCGACGAACCTTGAGCATATATTATTTCTCCTTTTACTTTGCAGTTCCTCTGGGTTTTATTCTTCCTCCGTTTTCCTCTCGGCGTCATGGGAATGAGCATTTGGGCCTGAGTGTTCACGTTCTATCAGTTTTTTCCACGCCCTCTCCTTCGTACCTCTCACGGATTTCGTCCTTTTGCGCTCTCTGCCGGTCTCTTTATTGTTCTCTGTTTATTATTCCCATCTTGAGCGCCTGGGCAGTGTCTATATTCTGTACATATATTTCTTTATAGCTAGGTCTAGGTATCCTTTGTTAGCTTTCCCCTTTTTCGTCGTTGAGCTCTATCGCTGTGGATCCGCAATGCTGTCGCCTACTTTATATATATAAGCAGGCAGCTGAAAAGGGCCCTCCTACTACAATACTGGTATACCATCAATGTTCTCGAAAGTTGTTGAATAACAACTAGTGTCTATCAATCAATAAGATTTCTAAAGAGAGGCTTTCTCAATAACGGATTTCGTGAGTACGAGATGGGAATTTTGTTTGAAAATTATTATATTTTCCTCGTATTGCATGTCGTATTCGCTTTGAAAACAAGCTAATTTGGAATGTAGAAAAGATAAAAGTCTCTGTTTCGCCTTCACACTGCATCTCTAGTCAAAATCGTCAAAATCCGATCGCTAATAGACTTTGACTTCGCCTGCGCGCCTGGGAGTCCCATCATCTGTAACAGGGGAGATGCTACTCTCACTAGCACCTCGGAGCCCACTCAGTGTTAACTGCTCATTCTCCTTCTTGATGCGTCCCTCTTCTCCTTCGTCCTCCATTTTCAAATCTCCGTCTTTATCCTTTCCTTCTCCAGCCTTCCCGCCTTTCTCTTTGTCTTTAAGTTCGTACGGCTTCCTTCCGTTGATATCCACAAACATCTCACTCCAGATGTTGAAGACATTCATGCCCATCTCATTTTTGTGTTCTGTGAGAAATTTGTCGACAGCATTTTCGATGGTGCGATAGACGTCGCTTCTCTCAACCGCTCCTTCGAGCAATGATGCAGTCTTCGCTGTACTATCCTTGTCGTAGAATTCGGGGTCTCGCTCCAATTCCTTTTGCATGAAGTCTTTCAGCTCGGTGAGGAATTTCTGAGCGTCCTCCTGTTGGTGATCTGTTGCATTAGCTTTACAATATTTCTTTGATATCAAACGGTTTAGGGAGAAGGAGAATCAAGTGACATACGGATTTCTCGAACTCGGAAAAGAACTGCTTTCGATAATTATCAAAATGCCCTCGCTTTTTGAAGGTGGTTGTTATAGCCGTCTCGGAGGGCTGCTTATCAGCTGGATCGACTTCAGGGACTAAACTCTCGTCATAGATTCCATTTTCAACGAATGCTTTATAGGTGGCTTCCATCGCGGCTTCTTTTGATTCAGGCGTTTCTTCAGGTTCTTGCGCGGCCGTAGGTGGTTGCTGCTGGCCTGAAGAAGAGGATCGTGGTGGCTGCTTCGCTGCTTCGTCTTTCTGCTTGGTCGGTGAGACTTCACGCTTCCTCTCTGGGGTGCGCTCGCGGCGTCGGTCAGTGTCCTTAGCTCTGTCTTTTTCCTTGTCCCGCTCCTTTTCTCTTTCTCGTTCACGCTCACGATCTCGATCCTCTCTTTCTCTGTCTCTCTCACGCTCGCGCTCAGCTAGTCGGCGGTCTCTTTCCTTTTCCCTTTCCCGGTCGGCTTCCCTTTCTCGACGTTCTCGTTCTCGTTCCCGCTCCCGCTCCCTCTCTCTAGACCGGTCCCTTTCTCGGTCCCTTTCCCTATCACGGTCACGGGATCGCGATCTTTCTCTAGAGGTGTTTCTTACCCAGTCTCTATCCCGTGAACGCCGTCGTGAGAGGTCTCTTCGACGGTAGGTGTCTCTAGAGCGATCCCTAGATCTATTTCTAGATTTATCTCTTGAGATATCTCGAACACGATCCCTATCCCTCCCTATATCTCTCGATCTGGATCGGGTTCGTGATCTGGCTCTGCCGTTGTCTCGATAATAGCTGGCCCTAGAACGATCCCGAGAACGGTCCCTAGAACGGTCTCTGCGACGTTCTCTCTCGCGTCTCTCGATTTCTCGGTCTCTTTCCCTTTCTCTTTCCCTGTCTCGTTCGCGCTCTCGCTCTCGCTCACGTTCCCTCTCTCGTCTTTCACGTTCCCTCTCCCTCTCACGTTCTCTAGATCTGTCTCTTGATAAGTCCCGGTCACGATCGCGATCGCGGTCTCTGTTGTCTCGGCCTGGAAGATATCTGTCTCCTCTTTCTCTTGATCGCTCCCTCGAATCTCTCCTACCGCGATATCTATCAGCTCCTCCACGGTAGGCATCTCGATCACTGTCGTATGCTCTTTCCCTGTCTCTGTCTCGATCTCTGTCTCGATCTCGTTCCCTTTCCCGTTCCCGTTCCCTTTCTCGCTCTCGATCGCGAGAACGGCTTCTCTCTCGTTCTCGGAGACGTCTCTCACGTTCTCTTTCACGATCCCTTTCCCGCTCTCTTTCACGATCTCTTTCGCGGTCCCTTTCCTTCTCTCGTGCTGCTCGATCAGCTTCTCGGTCTCGATCATATCGGGTAGTGGATGAGGTACGGGACGGACGGTCGCTATCATCGAACGGATTAGCACGCTTAGTGCCCCGAGGGGGAGTCGGAGCGTGCGTCGACATTTTGGATAGAATTTCGGAAATTTTGCGATGCAGTTGCTTCGAAGGTACACTAACGAGCGATGCAGCTTGATGTTAGGTGGAGCAGGTGGCAGGGGTTGTTCCGGTTTGGCTTTGGTTTGGGTTCGGCCGTTCGGTCTTAGCTTCGATTCTAACAATTTTTTTTCCCTCTTGGTTCCGTTCACCCCACTCTCAACTATCCGAAGACCCTCGACCCTCTGCATCGACTTCATTTCAAAACAACGAACGGTGGAAAGCTTAAGAGGAGGAAGGCAGGAAGGAGGAAGACAATTCGAGCAGGATTGGGTTTAAGAAGGCTTCTTTAGGACAGTTGATGGATTAGACGTACCGGCCCCAAGCATTAGGTCTTTCAACAGGTTCAACCATGATAACGAGCTCTTCACCAGTCCTCAACCTCACCCGGCGGAGTCTCTGCCCCCGAGGCACCAGAGGAGGACTGGTCTGGCGAAGATGGAATCGATTCCAATCCTCAATGGCATATGGCGGGGCTGTTCCGACGTTCGAGTCTTTCCAGCCGGCTGCTGCTTCAATCGATCTCGACGTTCTCGAACACTTCGAACTCCCCGAACAATACCAAACGCCTACTATCGTCGAAGACCCCGCAGACTTACCGTCTAAATACTCCCTTGCGGTTCCAGCGATTGGTACTAAGATCCCTACGGCCGTACGTTCCTTCGCTAGTAGCGTACGGTCGCAATCTTTCAAACAAGTCTTGGAATCTTTCAAGGACCTTCATCAGCATGGGTTTATAAAATACCTCTCCAGCACGGATTTTAGCAACATCCTCATTGCTGCCAATCCGAAACTCATCTTTCCGGTTGAAAAGATGGCTCGAAAGATCGTTCCGGGCACGGTACCAGACGCCAATCCCTACATAAGGGTTTATAAACGCTTCTGGTCCGACTTGAACTTCGTACTCGAAAATATGATTCTGAACGGCCACCAACCCACTATACTGGACTACACTGGTCTCATGGGAAAAGCAATGTGGACACAGAACAAAACGATACAAGACTCGTTCTGGAATAGGATGTTAAAGCAAGGACTAAAACCCAATACATGGACATATAACACCCGTCTAGCAATGGTAGCCGGCATCCGTCCCGCCAACAGTCTCGAAAAGTTCCCGCTCGTCCATACCGAAAAATATGTCAACTACTGGATGGGACAAGAGAATAACGCTGTCACAGAGGCAATGGCAATATACGCCGAGCTCCTAAAGAATGGATTATACCCCAACTCCATGACCGTAGAGCTTCTAATAATGGCGCATGCAAGAGTTGGCGATATTCCCGGTATTTCGAAGATCCTTCGGAATGTTTATGGCGTCAAAATCGACGGGAACAACGAATCTGCAAAACCTATAATTCCCAAGGGATCACCGGTATACCCGACTGCGAGGACCTTGAAGGCACTTGCTGTTGCATACTGTCGAAACTCGCAGTTCAGTGGAGCATTACAAGCCGTGGAGTTTTTGTCTCGGATATATGGCCTGAAAATCGATGAGAAGACTTGGGATGTACTGTTAACCTACAGCTACGCATTCTCACGGCCGAAATACGGACTCCTACCCGCGGATGCGACATCGAAGTTGTCGACCATGATGCAGGAGAGGACGCAAAACGCCGAACCAAGTTTACAAGCTAGAGATATTGTGATTAGATCTTTGGCAAGATCCGACGATCCTGAGGAATTGGAATTGGCGGAGAAGGAGATCAGAAAGGCAGTAATGTACTTCCGTACCAAAGTACAGCAGAAGTACATGACCTCCCGAGAACGATGGGTCAACATGCCGGCGGAGAGCAGTAGCCACGAAGGATCCGAACTCTGGAGGCTGGAGAAGATGATGGATGAACAGTTGTACAAGGTGTGCATGTGGAAGGACTCGATGGGGTATTGGTTATATGCGCTTGTCAGGGCGCATTGGGACCGTATGCAAAAATTAAACCTACCGATTGCGGAGTTTGAGACGATACAGATGAATATATTGGAGGAGTTTGGAGCCTATTGGCACGAATATAGGCCAATATTTGAGAAGCCGAAGGCAGTCGATGAGAAGAAGGTTGTGCCGGAGAGGGTGAAGTTTAGGTATAAGTATCCGGCTTCGATGGCCGGACTGAAGGGATTCCCTGCTATGTGAGTTTGCGAGGGGGGGGGGCTAGCAATCGTGCATGTTATTAACATAAGAGTTTTTTTTATTTTAATTTTCTTCTTTCTTTTTTTTTCTCCGTATATAGCGTTATACTGTACAGTGTATATATATTAGATCTAGATACCATTTACAAAAGTTTCACCCAGCCGATGGGTAACGTTTTACAAACTACACGCTTTCATATCTCCAAGATGTTAAAAGGGCTGTTTAAGATAGATCCGTGTCCAGCACTAGATCGTTAAACACCATATACCGACTCATCGTGATCCATCCCCATCTAAACCACACCATCTGACTTTTATGTCCTTCCGTCATCGCCTTCTGCGCCGTCCTATATCCCTGCCAATTACTCAAATACATAGCAGACTTCGGTGCCCCATTATATCCCTCTCCCTCCTCCACCTCGCTCGCCCCATTCTTAACCCTATCCAACAAAGTAGTAACAAAAGCATCAAGTATGCTAATATACTTCCTATAAACCGGCACAGTATTCAAAGTATACAACAAAATATCATTCTGCTTGGGATAATGTCGTAAATAATACTTAGCCCCTCTAAGCAACGAAACATGATTCGGATGAGCCGAAACACCACCTTTATCAAAAGTGATAAAAGTATCCACACCTTTCCCACCATTCTCCTCTCTAAGATCCTTCAAAGAATCAGAAATCAAAGAAGCTAATAAATCCTCCGGCCAAGATTTTGTCATCGAATCTTCAATGTTTGGGTCATCGAGGATGATTACGCTGTTGGTGACGTTGGTGACACCTAGGATTGAGGCGGAAGCTAGTAATTCGGTTTCGCGGATGTTACCGATTCCCTCGGCGTTACCGATTGAGAAACAGACTATTTGGACGGTGTTTTGGAGGGATGGGGAGACGAGGGATTGGATTGTTGGGGAGAAGAACATGGCTTCATCGTCTGGGTGGGCTATTAGAAGCGCGATGTTACGGTTACGGATAGGTGAGTGGGTGGAGAGTTGGGAGAGGGTGTAGTAGCTACTTTTTTAGAGGATATGTTAGTATCATATATTTTATATATAACAATGGGAATGAAGAGGAAGAAGTTAACGGACCAGAATGCCGCCATGAGGATTGGTAGAAGTAGGAATATGGCGAGACCGCGAGGGCTTCGAAGACGGTTTACTATTGCTGGCATTGTGACTGGATACCTGTTGCTGCTGCTTGATCTATGCGACTGCAGAGAAGGAGGATGAGGATGAGGAATAGGAGGTCAACAGGCCACGCATTGGATTTTAAAAAAAAGACAGAGAGAAGAAAAAAAACCTCAAAGCTAAGAGGAACGTGCACTAGCACTGTCGATATCGATATTCAGGCTCAATGACGCTCGGACCATGAGGCTTGTCTTAGTGGTGCTGAATTCGTGAAGTTCCGAAATGAATGTGGTCCGGGGTAGCTCCAGAAGGTGAAGAACATCCAATTCACGCGTCCGACTAGTTCGATACAAACCTCACCAACTAACTTCAATTTCCACGCTTTTAAACGTCAAAACTTCAACAATTGATTGACCGGCACTTGAAAGATGGCTCGACAGCGGAAAAACCAAAAATCAAAAGCGGCAAGGGTCGATTCGGATACCGAGGTCGAAGATATCCCAAGGAAAACCCTAATGGAACAGATTGGTTCCAACCTTCCACATCTTGAAAACGGAGTACCGTTCGACCTGAAGCATCTTCAAGCTCCATTGGCGGAAGCTTTATCGAAAGACCAGAAGAAAGACGGGAAAATAACCTACGAATCATTCAATATCCCATCCGGATTACCCGATAGAAGTGGACCAAAGAACGAATTCTTGAAGGACAAGGAACAAAAGAAGGGTGACGATAAAGATGATGACGACGACGAGGATGCGGAAATCGGAGATCTCGGACAGGCGTTCTTTCTCGCAGTGCCTTTAACGTTGCTACTCCTTGCATTGTACATCCTCGTACAGAAGCAGTATTTAGAAGAAACAGACCACTGGGAATCTATCGGAAGGACCGTAAAGTCGTTCCCTGGTAAGCTTCGCTTTGAACTCCTAAAATATATATATGCCTGTTACAGCCACTAATGGTGTCGCGTGCCAAAGTAATCTGGTTCATCATTTATCTCACCCACCCACGCAAAACTTTGGTAGCAATGCAAGTGGTTTTCATAGCTATAGCTGTAGGCGCCGGCTGCTGGATGATCTATAATGTCAACAATAACGGTTATTACGCAGTTATGAAGATGGTCCCTCCACTCGGAACTTTGCTCGTCTACTCGATGATTGAGATGGACATCACGCCCTCCGTCTCAACTTTGGCACTCATCGGTATCTACTGTTGGTACAATGATCTCGTCATATTCTCAGTGTAATACTCGTTCTAGATAAAGAAAGAAAAAAACAGACTCCATATTCTACTCTCCACTACCGGACCAATTACGAAGAACAATTCAACCAATTACACACCAAGCAATTCCAAAAAAAAGCCCTCTCAAACGCCATTGTGGACGATCGAGGGGTAGATATCCTTTATATATACACATTAAAGTTAAAGAATGGAAAAAGTGGTCGCCAAATCGCAAAATCAAGAAGGGAATCAATCAGCCACCAAAAAAAAGAAGTTTAACCAAACACCTCTACAGCTCTTTCAACGCTAAACGTTCTTCTAACGACTGTAGTACTCATACTCCGTGCGCCTGGTGTCCATCCCGCTATTAATACTAAATCTGTTGTACAATGTTGCCTCGCTCTGAGCGTACCGCGGGCTATCAACCTCCTCGTTCGATGGGTAACGTTCTCTGATTTCAACTTCATGATTCACCCAGCTCTTGACGCCACGATGACGAGCTGGGGCCTCCGAATTGACACTAAGGCCACTCTCGCGGTTGTTCCAAGGGAACCTTGGGGGCTGGTCACGGTTAACTCTCAATGGAAGAGGAATAACGTGGCCACTGTTCCTGATCATTCCCCTCTTTCTGGGCGGCGATGGTGGCAGAGATGGAACGGAATCTTCTCGTGAACGGTTTGTGATTACAAGTCTTCCACCGGGGCTTAAGATGCGAGGATCGGTTAACTCGAGGGTTTCATCGCTGGCATTGTACTTGTGCATTGCCCTGACACGACCTGTTTGGATGGGTGCAATCGGTTTGACAGGGAAGCGGAGTGGTGATGGAGCTGGTGGCATGGACGAAGTAGTTGGGGAGTAGGGGTCTGCGAAGGGGTCTCTGAAAGTATGATTTGGATGTTCATCGATGTTTTCAAGGAAGGAATCGTCGAAACCCGAGCTGGAAATGTGAGGAAGATGGCCGGCGACAGTCATGGTTACGTAACTGCTGGTACTGCTAGTTCGTCCTCTGGGTGGGGGCGGGGACGGTTTGGCTACTGGGATATCAATGGATCTAGAGATGGTGTATTTACGTCTCAAGGAAGTGAAGCTCTCATCGGACATCGATTCAGAGAGACGTTTAACATCGCCATAGCTTAGGATTGCGGCGTCTGGAACTGCTGGCCATTCATTACGGTCTCCCATGGCACGGGATTCGTATGTCTGCGACATATTGGGTTCGATTGGACCACGGTCTTCATTCCTTCTGCTTCGGCCTATGCTCTTAACGGCGCCCCACATGGAACCATTGCCCCTTCTTCGACGCTTGAGCCAAAGGAAGATTGCGACAGACAGGATGAGAAAGAAACCTGAATCGGGTCCGTTAGCCTTTTTTTGGTGATCTTTGTTTTTTTGATGGAGGGTAGAAGAGTCGCAAACATACCAAGGACACCAAGACCAATACCGATTTCCATACGAATATGGTCAGCCGATTCACCGACTTGAGGTGTAGGCGAAGCATTAGCTCCATTTGTTTCACCAGGAAGTGCAGTGTTAATCTCAGGAGAAGTATTCGAAGGCTCAGTGGTTTCAGGCTCTATCGACGTTGTTGTGGTTGTCGTCGTTCTACGTCGAGAGCTAGTCGTTTCTCGTTCCCTTTCATTCTCATCTTCACCAGGTACGGCACCAAATTGCGGACCAGTTGTTGGTTTGGCAGAAGGTGAAGAAGTAGTAACCTCAGGTGATGGTTTTACGGATCCAAACTGTGGGCCTTCTTCTATGGGAGGTCGAGTCTGTCGTGGTGGTGGTGCAGATGTGGGTTCGATAGGCTTAGCCCCTTCAATGGTTGTGAAGCTGAAACCCAAGTCGATTGATGTGAATTTATCCTTCCTATCCTTCTTATCATCGTCGTCATCGTCATCATCATCGTCGTCGTCATCGTCATCGTCGTCGTCGTCTCGCCTGCGGATAGCAGTCGCTGCAGGCGCTGCGTTAACAATGACAGGGACCATTGCCAGAACCACCCCGGCCCTCCTTGGGTTGGTTGATAAAGTTCGCATCTTTTTTTGAGATAGAGAGAATTGTCGGATATATATAGTATAAGTCTTCGATATCCCTGTTTTACTTTTCCTTTTCCAATCCTTAATCGATATCTTATCGTTGCCGTTAAAGAATATTGATCACGAGCCCGCCGTGAAGCAAAACCCTCAAGAAAAGAATATATGCAACGATGTCGTCCACGCAAATGATGAAAAATAAAAAAGATAAAATAATAAAAAAAGACAAAAGAAGGATGAGGATATATATATATAAGAAAGGAAGAAAGATAAAAAGAGAGTAAAAAGCGTTTATGATAAAGGTTGTTTATTTGTCCGTCAAGGAACTTGATACGAAGTGAATGACGATACCAGCTGCACTGCAGAGTCGATATAGAGAATGTAATCGAAGTGAACAAGCCGACATGCGAAACCTAATAAGATACAAACCTAGGTTAAGATGTCTTGATTGTGCCAGCACATCGAGAAAGGAAAGAAAGAAAGAAAAAAAGAGAGAGGTAGAGTAGAAAAAGGGAAGAGAGAAAGAAAGAAGAAGTAGAAGAGAAGAAGAAGATAAAAAGTATATGGCGAGGATGTCAAGTATATCTATCCAGGTTGTGTTTTGGGACCCATTTTTTCTTTTCTTTGGTGTAAACTTTGGAATTTTCCCGCGGCTTTGACGGACTAGCTGGCTTTGGTGCTGGTGCTGGTGCTGGTGAAGCAAGACACCTGGAACGGGCGAGGTGTAGTGTGCTGCACCTCCTTCCTCGCGTGCCTTGCATAAACGCTTTTCTTCTCTCTCTGGCTCTAAACCAATACACTTTGGATTCTAGTAAGTACGACCGTTTTTTTTTTATTTTCGAAGTTTCTCATCACTCGGATAACAATGCATTCAGACCTTCTTCTTCGAGAAAGAATCTGTGGTTGTTCATGATAATCATCTACTTTGTCCATTGTTCGAAGCCGGTTCAACATGATTGCCTTCCTCATCCTCTTCACCCACCGAACCCCGCGTTCAAGGAGGTCAAAGTTTGAAATGCCCATCCATCCAGGGCAAAAAGTCCCGATGGATGCACAAACAATATTACGATCCAGCAGAAAATAACAAGACAAAAAACAAAAGAAACCGCCCAGAGTTCACCTCTTCCAAGACTCTTCCCAAGTGCGTCTTTCTGCTTCAGGCAATTGCGCCAGTGACATCTGGTCTCGTATCATATCAGTTCACAAGAAGAATGCGGCAGGTACCAAAAAGAAGCGACAAGACGAGGAAGGGGGTGTGCTTGACGACTTTTTACACAGCGTCATCGGGACGTTGCAAGTTTGAGGCCTGTCGCAGACTCGGTCGCTTATGAGGGGACAGCCAGGGGTACCAACGGTTTCACCGCAGCTCTTCTCCAAGGGTCAGGGCTGTGCTTGCGCTACTTCTTGCGCCCAGTCGGAATTGGCAAACGTTGCAAACGAACGAAGGGAAAATCAAGTGGACTCGAGTCAGGATTACCAACCCTGGGAAAGACACCGTGATTGAAATATATTAAATCAAGACTCTTGTTTTCCTTGAGATTTCTCTTGGGATGGAAGAATTGACGAGAAGGTTGAAATACTTCCCAAAACTTCCATACTGGCAGTAGGTTTACCCGTTCTTTGCACTGCACAGCCGTAGACCTTAAAATATATAGCCAATTAACTAACAGAATTCGAAGGGTATACTGTATAGATAGATGGATGGATATATATATCCCTGGAGCGGGAAAGGTATGATTATCCACAGTTTCAAACGATGACGTTTCAGATGATGCTTTTCTGTCTTTCTGATCGACCGTTTTTTCCCCGACGTATACACACAGTTGGTATTCGGGGTAGAATGAATCTATACGTCAAAATGAATAATCTTAATTGCGAGGAAGATATGACTTAAGCAACTGCGTTTTGAATGAATTCGATAAATTCGGTCTCATGATCAGTAGTACTATAGTTGACTAACATCTAAGAATCATAACAATGCAATGCACAAGCCCTGTCTAATAGATAAATATACTATAGCATCTTATAAATATGCTTGACCCGTCACACACTCCTTCGTCATATTGGCCATATATACTTACTTATACTTAGGTATAATGCATAGACATACACCCATGCAATAACCCTCGAGGGGGAGAGAAGGAAATGTCTTGACCTGAAGATATCATTTTTTATCAGATTACCGCCCACTCACGGAGAATATCAGATCTTTTGCTTCCCTTTTTAAGAACTGGGAGTTTTAGCGGTTTTAAAGTCTTCCTCCTCTCCTCCTCCCTTCAAAAAGTACCCGTTTAAAAAAGGGTAGCCTACCAGAAGCCCTTTTTCTTTTCTTAGACGCCGACATAGGACGATCGGATTGGGGGTCGACCGGTCTTGTGACGTCTCAAGTTCTGGATCGATCGATGCATGATGACACTAGTTTCTTATACACCTTATAGCTAAGTAGGCTATACTCCAAGCTAACTACACCGAATACATTGTATGGGAAAGTATTCGAAATGTATAGATCAAAGGGGGGATTTAATCATCTATTATCGAATTATAAGGTTCTCGCGTGACTTAAATCTTTTAGTAATAGAACGCCGAAGGGGGGAGGATCTATATCTATGTTCAGCTAGCTCTCTCTGACCAGGTAGGAGTATTTTGGTCTACATACTTAGTTACATACCTAAGAGCGTATCCATGTAAGTACAGTGAGACAAAAAACCACATTTCTCGGGTTTTGCAGATGCATATGCATTGCTATTCGCTGGGAATGTAGATATTGATAGCGGGTATCGATCGATTTGGTACTTCCCTGCATATGTTATGAGAAATGAAGGTTATCGACATTGATACTTTGTATCGAGTACATATGTCAAAGCTTCTGGCTAAGCCAAATTTATAAATAACCGAAGGACCTCTGGGTATAAAGTATATACTTATACCTAAAAATCTTAAGAGTAGATCTAAAGAATTTGAATATCTACTCGTTCCTGGAGATTCCCGAAGTAATTGGTATCAACTAAACCTGACTGAAACATCAAATATCGATACCATGATATCACAATTACTATCGATATCATCCATCATTCACCAAAAAAAAGTCTGCGAAGAAAAGATATCAAGAATGAAAGACATGAACAGAACTTCTACCTAGTAAATCTACTAGTATAGTAAGTCCCTAGTCCCAGACCTGCAATAAATAAGTATATACACAAAATAAATAAAAAAGAACCAGGACGAGAAATTCACAGAAGTATGCTTTTATAATACACAAGTAAGAATACATTCCCAATTTCGGTAGCCAGCTTAAAGACCACTATAAGGATCAAACCCGACACAAAAGCAGTTGCAAAAAAAGAAAGGAGTTCATGCACCGAATCAAAAATGAACGATAAAATATACGGGAAAGGGTCAGGCGTTAACGTCTTACCATGCTAATGGGGAATCGCTGGATCCAAGACTAGGGAATCCAAAGCAGAGGGTATACATATGCATATGCATGCGAGACGAGTAAAAAAAGGTAGTGAGGGTTTTGGAAGCCAGAAAGAAAACTCGAGTTCGAAGAATGAAGGTAAACACTAGCATTGCATTGATTGATTCATGAGAATGATAATACTCAAGGGATAATAGTAAAATGATCATAAACGCCAGTAACATTCAACAGACAAAATGATAACTCATTGCAAGCCATATCCAAGAAAAAATAAATCTCTAACACCGGGAAAATCTTTTAAGGGAAAACCAAAAACGCTGGAAGGAAATAACAACCGGAATGGGCGACCCAAATTGTAGAAGTCCCAAGAAACAAAAGAAACAACTAAACACCGATATGTATATTCCCAAACGATGAAGGAAAAAATGAACCCAAAAAATGAGATAGTATATATAATGAGAGACGATTGTCACGTTCGGTAATCGTTGCGTATACCGACGACCATCAGGCTGGGACAATGGAAGGGTGCTTTTAGACCTATGCAGCTGGCACCCAAGTCCTACGCTCATCTAAGCTTCGAGCAAGACGAGTAGGCGATGTAACTTCAAGATTCTCACTGGGGCTATCGTCCTCCTCTGTGTCGTCATCCTCTGCAGTTTGGTCAGCGAGACGAGCGAAGTAGTCAGCTAGGCCACTTCCCACAGTATCGTAGTGTGGAGGCGGTGTAGCCAATGGCGGTGGCGCGATATCATCATCGAACGCAGGCGGGTTAAAAGACGGAGCACGTAGAAGATGCATCGGCCGAGCTGTACCATCCGGTGCAGTATCGGGGAGGGCAGTTTCCATGTTTCCGAATGGCAAAGGAGTATTTCGTCCTGAACTAGAGCCAGGACAATTGCAAGAATTGGTGGGTGGTGAAGTGTTGTCACGATCTGAGTATGCTGGCAGCGAGATATTGGCGTGCGAGCATTTGCATGATAGAATGTGGAAGGGGGAGTCGATTGAGATTTCGAAGTGACGTCTCTTGCCAGAGTCATTAGGATCAACTTTGCTCAGTCTCATCACAATCTAAAGCAACCCATTAGTTTCTGTAACACGATATGACTAATGGGGATGGGGAAAGTCTTACCTTGATCCAATGATGGACTTGAATATTTTTATACGTCGTGTCAAAGTGGATCTTACCCTCCTTCGCGCCACACCCTGGAAGTCGAACATTGAATTCCATTTCCGTAGGCCCAATCAAATCTCCCTCCAAGTCACCAAGCAAGTTGTCTCCGAGTCTCTGATCGGGTCCCAATTCGGAATCCGGGTTATCCGGATCTCCATGACGGCCACCGGCTGTCACGCGGACCGACGAACCAGGGTAGGAAGCATGGACAGCACCGTCTGCCCTCTTCTCGTAAATCTGTATTTTCCTAGTAGGTTCAATACGATGGACTTTCTTGTTTCGACAGAAATATTCAGTATTCTCAGTGACATATATTTTGATCCTGTGACAGCGAACTTTGGCCAGTGGTGTTAGCTTGAAGGCAATCGGGATTTGCGACCCCATCGGGAATGATTTCCCAGAAATCACAATATCGTAGTGAAGTTGATCCTCCCAATTACGGCTGATAGCAATCGGTTCAACCTGTTCCAAGCTCGTATCGGCAGGGCATCGAATCAATACGACATCCTTCTTTCCCACTAGATTGGGCCGGAAAGCACCAGCTCGCTCAATTGTAGCTTCAAGTTCATACTTGACAGTTCCTAACTCGCACTGAATTGTTTCTGGAAGAATATTTTCGATCGGAAGCTCGAAATTATAGGTGTATTCACCGGGCTGGAATAACTTGTATCCCTTGGAGGCAACGGAACGACCCGGAGATTCACTCCTACCAAAACTACCCCGCTGATTCAACTGCAAGGAAAGTCTTTTGTCGTTCACAAGGGTGGCGTTTGCAAGGGTAGCAGATGCGGCTGAGATCCCGATCGGGGAAGACGTTCTAGCCAAAGACCCAATAGCACTGGTTCCAGGTGTTCCGCTAAGGGAACGAGACGGCCTATGGTCCGGCTCAGGAGGAAGTAGTCTCGTAGCATCGGCTCCATATGTAGTCTCGGCAGTAGCGAATTGGGCGTTGAAGAAAGGCCAGTGGTGTGTCATGATCTCCTTCTCTTCATAGAAGGCCGTCTTCGATGGTGGAATACCTAGATTTCCATGGTTAGCTCTCTATTTCGTGAGATGTGAAATTTAAATTTAAAGGGCAAGAAATATTACCTTCAGGCCAATCCGTCCTAGCACGACCCTTAAAAGTCAAAGTTATAGACTTAAATTTCGCAGCTTTTGCAACTTTTACGACCAACGTTCCTCTCAGCAACGCCGGTCCACCGACAGTATGCTGATGATGCGAATCGTAACCTTGTAAAAACAAATAGGGTTCTGCAAGTCGGATATCGAGAGTCACCTGACCGCCGCTCGTGCTAGCAAGAGGCTTCTCGCCAGGACACGATATCGTGGAACCCACGCTTCCCGATCTGCCATGACGAGTGGCTAGTGATGTGCCACTACTCCTAGGTGATTGTCCTAGTAAAGCATGTTGATGAGATGGAATTCCCGTGTTCCCGCCACCAATCGCAACCACGCGGCCAGTGCTTCCGCCGCCTAAAGCTACCATTGTTGGAGGAGACATCCTTCCGGTATTCACTGCCGAAGCAGGTGGGTTACTATTACGAGAGGCGGTAGTAGTGGTGGGTCTTTGTGTTGTGGAGGAGGCAGCAATGGTGGGAAAATACTGAGGAGGGGAAATAGCAGCCTCTGGAGGAGAAGGCGGGGATGGTCTGATATCTACGGGCTGAGAGGTTGAAAAGGGAGTAGAAGATACGATCTGCTGGAATAGACGTTTTGCAGTAGCCCTGGGAGCGAACCGGGGGAATTTAAGGACGATGTTGTTTGGGTTGGATTTCCTTCGTCCGGCAGATGGTCTTTGGGGATTTTGGGACGTGTTGTCGGGCGTGTTGTCGGAACCGGCACCCGTGCCTGCACCTCTGGCTGCACCTCGATCTTGACCTTGATTTTGACCTTGACCTTGACCTTGGAAGACGTGTATTGTTCTGCGTCTGGGTGGTGACGACGTAGATGTCGATGTCGATGTCGACTGCCGGATATTATTAATATTGCAGGCAGGAAGAGATGGTAAAGAAGACGATGCTGAAGGAGATGTCCTGTCAGTAAGTAGGCCTCCGCTGTTCCTCTGCTGATTCACCATTTTGGCATCCTTTCGTCCCTTCTCGTTATATAAATGAACGAATGTAACTCTTTGGGTATAAATTAAAACAATGCAGAGCTGACCAAAAATACGACCTCGATGCTCTAAACAGGGAAACTCAGGCGGGCCCAGTTAATATACTTATTAGCAAGTAACTAGCCTGGAGGGTAAGCGAGAGATCCAAGCTTAAGCAAAGCAAAGCATCCAACGGCCTCGGGAGACTGCGCAATTCGAAATCGACTAGGCCGTAAACCAACGATTACAATTTTCTGAAATCGAAAAGAAAAAGAAAGTGAAGCGGGAAGATAATTAGAAGTAAGTATTTATCTGATCTGTTCGTGTATGCACGCACACACATATACTTATAAGATATTCTCTGCAGCCGTGATCAAGGGAGAAACAGTCTGGCTTATGAAGCCCGTCAGATAAAAATGGAAATGGCCGGGGAACTTAGGCCGGCCTGCTTGCAGCTGAATATGGCGAAGATGAAAACCCACAGCAAAAGGCACAGGATGGGACGACCACGGCCAGAATGATGCTATTGGTTTTCTGCTTGTGTCTTAGCGCAGCAAACAGTGCAGGATGAGGCCAGGAAGGTCTGGGTCTCGCTTGACTTGCTGGCCTTAAAGTTCCTTGTCCTTCCGGAGATGAGATGGACGTCGTCGACCAAACCTCGGATCCGCCTGGTAAGTTTGTATGTTTTGGATGTGCTCCCTGGTTCAATATTTTGGGGCTGACATGGGAAGCGAGAAGGAAAAAAAAGGCTTTCAGGCAGCTGGCAGCATGCAGCGGGAATCCAAAACGCCAGATGCAGTTTTCTCCAACTGATTGTCGTTTCTAGTAATTATAACAATGCGAACCAGGCCAGGATCGAATCGAGAGGGGAGATGAAAATAAATATAATTTTATGAAAGAGGAGGGGGAGGACAAACGGGTTTCGTGAAACAAGAACAAGTCGTAATTATATTATACGACAAAAAGCAGATCACGATATCATTAAACAAGAGAGAAAGAGGGAGAGACAAAGAGAGAGAGAGACAAAGAGAGAGGCAGTGTGCATGCTTAGGATGCAGCCCTAGTTCTCTAGTTCTCCTCTTTTGTGATCACTGGCTGACACGAGCGTGACTTTTGTTTCCTCTCTCTTCTGGGCTCTCTCGATGATACGATATCCACCATCGACGATACCGTATAACATCAGAGTTTAAACAACCGAGGGGTTAACCAAATTAACGAGTCAAGCGGCAGCCACCATGAATAATGCAGGTATGGATGGTGGGCCAGGCTCCTGGACCAGGTGCAGCTCAGCTGGCCAATATTATAGGTCTGAGCAGGGTGGGGTGGAGTGGCTAGCATGTTAGCTAGCATGGAACTGTGATCTGAAGTCTGGCTCATGCGTCGTCGACCGGCGGCATTTCCATTCAGTCGACTCGAGTCTATTAGACTCTCGAGCTCTCTTTCTTTCTCTCGTTCCCTTTTCCTCTCTGAACACGGCACGTCCAAGCACCAATTAAGTTGGCTCGAGGCAAGATTTTCGCCATAATGACAACACTAGCGGTGCAAAACAGGGACACGGTTCGGCAGCCAGCGCCAGTACCAGTTCATGGCATGCCGCCCGCCAATGCTCAAGCCTTAATCAGAAGCAACCAGCCAAGATCTGGCCGTCTGGGGACGAGTAAACGAAAATTTAAGGTGTGTGGGGACTCGGCGCAAAAACAGAATTACAATTGCGATAAAATATTAAAATTGGCTCTTGTCGAGCTCGATTCGATTCCACGTACCAAATTCTTCAGAAACTTATGCAACTGTTCCCTATGGGAACGAGGCGGGCCAAGTACTTGATACCTCCTCCCTTACTAGCTGCCACGTCGGTAGAGGTGAAAAAAATTCTTCAGGTTTCTTCAAAACGGAAAAGGAATGAACCAGAGCTCGCGCGGATACAATAGGTAAGCTTTTGCGATTTTTTTTTTCGTCGTTGAGGGAAGAAAAGAAAAAAGAGTCCGATTGTCGACTCCTGGTTCCGAATGACGTGGGGCCCAAACTCACCTTGAAGGATATCCCGATACGTAAGTACGTAAAGTATTCGCTACCAAAGAAATGACCAGAAGACTTTCCCTCGAAAGGTTGGATCGCCGTACAATCGCGTGGTAATTATGTGCTACGAACAGAATCCCAAACTTTGAGTCGAGCTTGACAAGTAGAAAAGCTGACAGCTATAAAGTACTGTGCAGAGGCTTAGCAACTAGTGAACATATGGTGAGAGTAGCATTGACATTATCTGTGGATTATACGACAGACCATACGAAATAGCAAAGTATCGCAGTGTAAATCGGCCAATGGGATCGAAACGGCCCCGCAAGATACCGGATATCTGGATGTTTCTGACTTACGTGATCAAAAAGCTTAAAGAACCGATGAGCTTGTCCTGAGCAAAGAGTGCATGTGGCAGTTAGAGAGTCTACGCCATCAAAGACAGTCAATGCCGCAGGATCAGTCCACTGTCAGAAGAATATCGATGCCTGATCTGCGGAATTATTGTCCGGAAGTCGGAGAATTGGCCTTTGCGGAGGCAAAATCTCTTTCTTTAGATTTTAATATCGCCGCTCCTTTGGAGGAAGTCAAAGGATGTGAAGCTATATATTGTAGGGTATCGATTGAATCGGATGGCCAGGTATACTAGGTATACTACCTGGTATAAGACACCGGCTCCTTCGGTAAACGATAACCCTTTCGAAGGTATCTTCCTTAGCGCTCTAGTGCAGAGCCAATATGAGAGTTCTGTTACTTGCCGAAGTACAATGATGTCTAGTATTTCATCATAGCGACCTATGCCAACATGCAATATCAAAAACAAAATTGTCAAAGGAACTCCGACAAAGTACGACCTAAAAAAATTGGAAACTCAGTCTTAGCTCCTTAGCTCTGGAAAGCCTTGAGTCTCGAATCAGTCCTTGAAATCAAATATTTCACGTAGCTCGACATGTCCCGCTATACGGGAATTAACCGTCGGTCAAAAGGCGCCAATCTTTCATCTATCTTTGACAATTCTACAGAGATCCGATATCCCATGTCGATGGCATTCGTAACACAGCCCTAGGCATTTTCTTGGTGGAAAACTCGGCATCAGACATCATCGCCCCACCATGGTAGTTTACGTTTACACCCCTCCCCTTCACTTTTGTTGTCAATATGCAAGCCTCATCCAGATGTGGTCACGTCATGCTGCAGCCAGGTTCCCTACGAGCAGGGTCATGACCATATTTTTGGCACTTTTTTTTATTTTTTTAATTTTTTTTTCTTCTGCTTCGAAGCGAAACCGCTCTTGAACTTATTAAGAGGGTCAAAAAGTGAAGCGAGAAACATGTATGGAGAGTGGATACCTTCACAGTCCAGGCCCCATGCTCCCCTTGTGATGCCCTGGATAGCTAGCTAGCTACTACACTGCAGATGTAGGCTGCTTGAAACCGAAAGGCTGCAACGGTGCCAACATGTTTTATTTCCTTCAAGTTCGAATTCAGAACTTCAGTTGCATCTTGGTGGTGGTGCAACCTAGGTCATCGGTCCAAAAGGACAACAGTCGTACAAGCGAAATTAAAACTTGAACACAAAGATAGAATAAAATGGGATACAAAAGAGCCAAGATCTAGGCCGACCGGGCGGCGGGCTTGCAGCACTGCATTCAACCTTAAAATTGGTTATCCTGTATCCGTATCACCTAAAGAATTCTCGTATAACGCGAACGATCCGCCAGCGCAGCTTGTGCCTGTGCTCTGGACTTGGAATATAATATAATATAGTATGGACTGGCAGTTTACCTCCAAATCGGGCAAATAGAATGAGCCTTGCTGCTACGCTGTTGGTTAAGATCCCCGCGTCCTTAGCAAGCACCGACCAACCGGTTTTCTGAAACGTACTTAAGTACTTACTAATGTAGGCAAACGCACATCAAACCCGTATTGGTTCTTTTGTGCCTTGGGGAGATGTTCTGCAGCTGTTACCTAACTGGGACCGGTATCTACTATCCTATCGACGAAAGACTTAATAATATGCATGTCAGACATGGCCAGCTGCGCAAGCCTCGGAACTAGTGATCATCCGGCTACCCAGGCGCCACCGCTTCGAACTCGACGGCGATCTTGTGCTCCGACGATGCCATCGACAAGATATATGGCGGAAACGCGATGGCTGCGCAATATGTACTTAACTAGCTAAGGATACCAAGATCGAATATAAAATAAGGATGAGGCCATGATGACTCGGCCAACGGGGCGAAGAGCGGGACGAAAGGTCATGAGACAAGACAAAGGGTCCTGTTGAAGCGATCTGCTGAAGCTTTGAAATCGAGGTTAAGGAATTGGGGGTCTCTGGCCACATGATGGTTCTTTGAATTTCGGGGTGTACATGTACATGTACACTGCATAGGAAGTTACTAGGTTAGTACTAACGATATTCAACACATATATCAATTTCTTATCTTAGGAAGAGCAGGAAGCAATATCAGCTGAATGTCGAACTGATAACAGTACTGCTTATCTATATAAAAATATTTTTAATTTTGCTGGATTTTTATCGATATCGAAATCAAAGAAAAAAATTGATGCCATAGTATTGTGTTATTGTGACAGAGTGTGACCATTCCGTGAGGGCCGGCTCACCAGGTTACAATTTCTTTTTTATTATCTTATTGTAAGATTACTTATATATAATTAATAGTGGAACGACTGAGAGTATCAACTATAGACTGCTTTGGTTCGATTATAATTTAATTAGTGAGCTCGCTGCGAAGCCCTGATACTCACGTCTCCTGTACAGCCGTTTGAATTGATTGGTATCATGACACTAATTTTGAGCTCACAGTTGTACAATTCCTTTTGTTAATTTCCGTCGAAGCCTGGTTTGAGACAAGTCCAAACCCTATATGGGAACCGTTTATAACAACCAACTACTTACTCATATAACTTTAATTTGGGAATCTGTTATGCAACATGTGGCGTTATTCTGGGCCTGAATTTTCCAAGGCAAAGATGATATTCTCCTTTAGCCTTTCTATCATTGTATTCATAGACGTCCGAAAGAAAGGCGCCGTTTTAAAGCCAATATAGAATCATCCTCTCTTAATCAATCATTTATATACGTGCTAGCCTCGTGCCTATATACATGCTCGAAGTTAACTTGCTTCTCACAAATATGACCTCGGTTTGTGTGCGCATGCCAGTCACTACACAACATATGATGTCTTTTAATTGGTTTAAACCCCTTTAAGCCAAAGATTGTCTGAGGACGGAGTGATAGGATCTAAAATCATAGAATGACTGTAGGGTATACGAAAGCTTTGACCATTCGTGTGCCAAATCCGATAAAATCTAAAGCTTTATGTCGGGATAATCGATACAGGTGTGGATGTCATAAACGATTAGAACAATAAATTTATAAATAAATTTGTAAATAAATTCATATATCTGGGGGAAATAGTGTTAGTTTCATATAGTGGACCTATCGTGACTTGTTACTTGAAATAGGCTGAAGCTGGGCTTCAGTCTACTATCGAATTTTAATCCCCGTTGTTGCTGTTGCATTTCGAGCTCCGACCTATTCAGGCAACCTTTCTTAACCACGTGACCATGTTTATGGCGGCGAACCACGCGATTGGGTCTGCGACCGAAACGTGCTTCTTCAGCCTTGTTTCTCGACATCTCGACATATTGACATCGACAGCCTCGAGAACTTTGATCCTCTATCCGTCGCTTTCCCTTCTCGCATTACCTCGAAGGCGGTTTCTCCTGCATCTTTCTCGCATCAATCATCCTATTGCTATCTTAATACTACTATAGTTGTAACATACGAATCGATTGGGATTTCAAAATAATCGAGCTCCTTTTATAAACCATCCCTCGAGCTCGAGCTGCATGCGATACGACCACAATGGGTGCCGGCGATGAAGGCACAACAGCGGCCGACCATCCATTTAAAGGCCTAATCCTCTGTTGTACATCCGTATCCGCCGATATTCGTGTACGAGCGTCCAAATAACCCCTTCAACTTTTTAGAAATTTACCAAAACGTCACAATAAAAATATATATATAAAAAAATCATGGTTACTAACTCTTCACCCCGGTCTTCTAGAACGATATTACCGCCAAAGCTACCGACCTCGGCGCCGTTTGGAAACAAGACCTTACGTCAGATGCTACTCATCTAATTGTTGGAGATCTCGCTACCCAAAAATATCGATATGTCGCAAAACAACGACCCGATGTCAAGCCCATGCGAATCAGTTTTATTGAAAAGACGCATGAAGCTTGGGTTGCCACCAAGAGCATTCCGATTCATGAGCTGGAAGTTGAACATGCGTTTCCGCCTTTTCTGGGGTTGAGGATCTGCTCTACGAACATTAATGATGGTAAAAAAAGAACTAAGTTTTAGCTTTTATAAGGATGACATAATGATCTCTAATAATTTCGCCATGTAGAAAAGGAACGGCAGAAAATCCAAAAAATCACTGAAGAAAATGGTGGAACGTACAGCGGCGACCTGACCAAGCAAGTCACTCACCTTGTTGCTTCCAACCCGGAAGGTAAAAAATACCAGTTTGCAAAGCAGTGGGGAATTAAAATCGTCAGTCTCGAGTGGTTTCACCACAGCGTGGAAAGAGGGATGGCTCTTGATGAAGCTTACTTTTCATTCGATTTACCGGCTTCGGAACGTGGTCAGGGAGCATGGGTTCGATCTGCGACGGGGAAAAGGAAGCTTTCAGAGAGAGAAGGATCAGGTAGCAGCGATGGAAGAGTTAAATCCGATCCAGCTAAACGGAAAATCAAACGGGCAGCTTCGGATAGGTTAAGCAGCGGGAGCCAGACTCTATGGGGTGATATCATGGGCACCAAAGCTGTCAAAGTCGACAAACCGAACGAGTGGGGAACCGATGCACCGCAGCGGACTAGCAGCAAAGCAGAGAGCTCGACTACAGGTCCTGTCGATGTACCGTATGTCAATGTCCGTACGAGCATGTCAATGTCAGATCTGCAGCCTGAAATACCGAAAAAGATGTTTCACGATAAAGGCTTTCATGTCTATGGGTTCGATGCTGAGAAAGAGAGTCGAATACGGGGTATAATTCGAGGGTTTGATGGAAATACATACCCGGCTCTGCAGGATCTATTTGAGACCCCGGCTAGTCGGTATGTAATTGTTGTACCAGATTCGTACATCCAAGCCGATTGTCCGAAGATCTCGGATGCTTCGAAGGCAGTTCAGATTGTTACAGCTTGGTGGCTAGAGAGGTGTCTGCATGAGGATAAATTTATCGAACCGGACGAATATCTACTTGGGCGCCCCATGAAACGACATAACATCTCCGGATTTGAGAAAATGACGGTCTCAGTTACGAAGTTCGATGGGATTGATTATTTACACTATACGAAGGCCATTGGAAAACTTGGTGCAGAGTTCTGCGAAAAGGTCTATAAGGCTAGAAGCCTATTGATTGTTAATTCGGCAGATAAATCCAAACACAAGGATAAAGAGAGAGCCGCAGAAGCCTGGGGGATTCCGATCGTTTCGCAGGAATGGTTATTGGAGTGTATTTCTGAGGGTGAACTCATACCCTTCAAGAGATACCTTTTGAACACCAAACCAATTGTCGAGGAGAAAAACGGCGAAGTGGAGGTTAAGAAAGAAGGATCCACTGCCTTGGAAAATGTTACTGTCAAGTTCGATCCTGCCGTCAAAGTGAGTTAGCCTTAAGTCATTGTGCAAGGGACAAGATGAGAAATATGTTATACCACATGTTATGCATAGAGAAGTTGAAGCTGATTATAGAACTTTTTGACGGCAAGGAAGACCGAGACAAATTAGAACAGGCGGTATTCTACCTCGGCGGATATGTAACCTCATCCTTTGATAGCGAAATCCCAATTACACATTTTGTGACAACGACCGAAACAGCATCGCAGGCAGCGGCTAGTGGCCCGAAACACCTTTCTAGCGAAATACGAAGGGCATGGCGGACGGATGGTGTTATGGTGGTAACAGATACCTGGCTTAAGATGAGTATGAAGAGGAGAGAGAGATGGCCAGAAGGGAAATATATCGTTAAGAAACCGGAAATGAAGGATCTCGCTGAAACCATTCCGAAGAAACCAAGAGTTCCATTATTTGAAGAATCGAGGGCTGTTAAGCCAGCACAAAAATCTCACTCTCTCCTACAAGAAGATAGCAATAACCCCTTCATAATTGAGGACATCGATATCCCTCCGGATGTCGAAGAAACCACTACCCGCTTACGTCCACTCTCAATCTCCCCAGTCGCGGAAAAGAGAAGACCTTCTGCTTCAAAATCGCAACCAGCTAGCTTAACCACCACACCTTCAAAATCCAAATTTATGACTCTAAAATCACCAGCGAAGAAGTCTCCTTCACAACTCCCCCTTGCTGTTCCACCATTACTATTCGATAAAGATGGATCACATAGCGGAAGTCTATTGCGTAACAATCTCACAGAAATTCTACGATCCGTAAAACAGCAGGAGAACAAACCACCTTCACGCCGCCCTCCTCGGAAACTACGGGGCCGTGCGAACTCCACAAGTGAAGAAGGTAGCTTACTACCAGCCGGAAACAGCCTGTCCAGAGATAATTCTTTACAATCAAACCCAACAGAAGGACAAGATAGCGTCGACACCACTACAACCACTAATTCAAGATACCAATACCACTTAACCACCCTCTCTCGTGATAATTCTCTAACCAGCAACACCCTCGACTTCGGCGAAAGTATGATATACGATTCGAACCCAGAGTCCGGACCTAGAAATCTACAACAGGACCCTGATTCAGAACAACAACCACTCTCGCAAGTAGTACATTACGTTGATGCAGAAGCCGAAGCAGACAGGAAGAAATTGTTTGAAAAATTGAAGATGGTGGATGGTGGTGGTGTATTAAAGGGACGATTGGTGGTTAAAAGTACGGTTGCGGCACAGGAATTGGGCGGGCCGGTTACGAGAGTAGGACGGGCGAGGAAGGTTTGATATATTATTATAGCCTCCCCCCCACCTTCTCTCTGTCTGCTCTTTCTTCTGGATAATGATTCTGGCTTCGGATTTTGATGGTTGTTTTAAATTGGCGTTTCCTGTCGAGATCTCGAGATTAACTCCTGTTGTTTAGCGTGCTTACTGGTATTTACATGCCTAATGTCCCATTGTACATCCTAGTGTTACGCCCTTTATCGGGAACTCATGTAGCTCGATGGTTGTGGAACAATTTAATTTCTAGTCAATCCCTCATCTATATAACCCATGCTCCGATCACATACTGTCGTCTGGCTGAATAAATACCATGGAAGAGGAAAAACAGTAATTACATACAAAAAAGGGAATGGAACCCACACAGAGTTAAAAGATCTAACCATTCTTTCCGTGGGTATTGCTCAGAAAGGGAACCAACCTTCAAAGAAAGTGAATGCCGACGCCAATCCCCGAAGAAAAAAACAAAAATTTCAAATATCAAAAGAAAGAAAACATAAGACCAGATGGATTAAGATTTTGAGGAAACAGCTGCCAATTCGCTTTGAGGAGAAGGAGAGGAAACAAGAGCTAATGTTCCGCCTGACAGTCATCTGAGAATCTTGTCGTAGATGCTCTATGGTCTGCATTTAGGGTTCAAGCTACACTTTAAGCACAGTAAGCGTAGGTATTGTCCTCAGTGCGTTCCATATAGTCTTTATCAATGAGCCTATTTTCGAAAAATTTCCGTTAGCAAAGTTCTCCAACCTCAATAACAACGGCACTTGAAATCTTACTTCTCGATATTCTTCTTGATATCGGCCATATCCAAGACGCCTCTCTTCTTTGTCTGATTGATAACCTCGGTAATTAGGTCGTTATGGCCCATTGACTTCCTACTCTTCATTATACGGATGATAGCCGCTTGGGTCTCATACTGTCGGTCTTGAGCGATTTGTTCGTGTGTCTGAGTGTTCTCTTCTTTTGTTTCTTTCAGTTGGATCTGGTTAATCTTGATACGGATCTTTTGGTCACTGAAGCCAAGGTTTACGGTAAATGTGTCAGTTGGGTTGACGTCTTTGCCCTTTGGATGTTTAGTGAGAGGTCGAACACGGGCGCAGGCGAGAGATTGAAGTGTGCGGATTAGTTCGGGGTCAGCTGGACAAAATCAGTTAGTAGGGTATGCTTATATTTTAATACCGAGGAAATGGGACGTACGAAGTGAAGTCGCGGACTTTATCTCTTCATAGGACAGCGGTTTCTTATCGTTATCGAACAATAGGAGGACCACTGCTTGGAAAGCACTCATAGAAAGCTCCTTCCTACCCTACAAGTTTCCAAGCTCGTTAGCGTACTCTACAAGACAGATTTAAGGATGATAGTGGGATAAATACCTTTGGAAAGTTCGCCTTAAGAACACAATGGGCGAGAGCATTTCTCCATACTAGTTTCCTTCCCTTGTGCTTAGCTGTATAGTATGAATGATACGCAGTCATATAATCCGCCACACTCTCCGGGACAGTTATCGTTGTTTCAGGATATGTTGGCCATGCAGCTTGTGAAAGCACTGTCACCTGGAGGTCCATGCTATCGGTCCTCTCCATGGCTGCTTTGGTCATCTTGAACGAAGCCATATTCTCTCTTGAAATATCAACGTCCTTGAACATGATCTCCAAGTTCATCGTAAACCCAGAGCCGCACTCAGTCTTCAATTTCGACAACATCGCCTTCTCTGCATCAGCACTAGCGCTTCTCTGCATCAACAGCCTTCGTGCCAAGTCCTTCTTATAGAAGGCCTCAAATACATCTTTGCCATGAATGAATCTGAACAAATCGAGAGCTTGATCCAGTTGATTCCCCAGCAGAGCATCCTCGTCTCCCATCCCCATCATCTGTTCGTCTTCTTCTGGAGCAGCCGAGTTCCGCGAGATGGCTTTGATACCCTCCCGTAGGAGCAAGTCCATGTACTTGGCGATCATTTCCGATGGTCTCGCGTTCTGTTTGTAACCTGCTCCCTTCCTCTGTTCATTGATAAAAGTTTCGAACGACTCTCTCAGAGAATGCCCAAGATCCACATTCTTAGTAAATGAGTTCTTCAGGATACCCTCTAAGTTGTTTTTCAAGGAGAGAAGCGCCGGCACCATGTCCGTGCTTTCAGAATCTGTCACGATTGCGGATCCTTTCTCTTTGATGTATTTAGACCAAATAGGCTTGATTTTCGATCCGGCATCTTCTACCCTGTTGATAACAGAGTAGATAACGGCGAGGGATTCGACGTCATTGCTCGCGAACAAGGACCTGATTCCGGCCCCGTCAGTTAGGTCGGGCAAATGGTACTTGATCATTTCTTTCTCAATGATATTGATTAGGTCTCTCTTTGTCGTAGTCTCCAAGTTGTATTTCTCAACCCTTTCGATCTCCTTTTGTATCTGTGATGAGCATTGTCGAGCATATCGTGCCACATCGTCAGCATCAGCCTCTTCTTCAGCAAGCAGCCGGTAGTATCCTTCTGATACGTCGATAAAACGAGGTTCGAATAGCGACGAATACAAGCCAAGGTTTGACAAGATTCTAATGCTAGCCATTAGGAGATTGCTGTTGTCGAGGTCGGCTTCTCCCTTTCGATCGTTCTCGTATAACTTGAAGACTCCACCTAGGAACCGCCCCCGAAACTTCGTATCTGTGATGATATGCGTGCTGAATAGCTGCAGTCCCATGTCCCATATCTGCTCTCGATCCGGTGCGGGGTACAGATAAGCTTGATTTAGGTAAAAGAACAGTATTTGGATAACCCTCTACCAAGGTCCGATAATCAATTAGTATAATAATTCCTGCCCACCAGCCTGATATCATAGAGAGAAAAACCTACCAGCCTTTCCTGCCATCTCTTCCATACACCCTCTATGATCTTGACTAGTTCTTCATCCGTTCCCACCGCTCGACTGCTGATCCCCTCCCTCAACGGGCCGGCCACATGGTCCCTACACCTCGCCACAAGCCTCTCATGAATCAACGATGCCTTACCAGCCCGACAAAGACTTTGACAACCCTGATAGATCTCTTCACTACTAGTACCCCGGGTTTTATCATCCTTATCTTCAAACACGGCTGTCAAAGCGCCATCCAGCATATCAAGGGTTTTATTCACCCATTCGTCTGGTACGCCAGCTGGACGCTGTTTGAAGTTCTTCACTAAGATCTTCCTGGTTCCATTTTTGGGCGGTAAGGCAGAGGGCTGGGCGTACATTGGTTTCGGTGGAGGTGGAGGTGAAGTAGTTAGGTCGATTGCATTTTTGTTTGTGGTGGTGGTCGCAGTGACGTTGTTAGTGGCATGGGACGGTTGAGGCGGCGAGCTCGCCCACATGTCGTTGATTTGCGGCGCGCCAGAAGGCGGCGGGGAAACAGAGAGGCCTGGTGAGTCTCCGGATTTAAGGCGTTTGGCAGGGTTTTGGAATGGTTTATCAGCAACAGAGGAAGAAACGCGGTTACCGTTGCTGGTACCTACACCACCTGCACCTAAAGACGACTTGTGGTGTCTGTTGCTAGGACCGGGCGAGTTTCCGGTAGACGGCTTTCGTTTCTTGTGAGAATTCGAAGATGTAGCGGCCGAACTCGAAAGCTGCCTGCGAGATGTGGAGGCTTGCGCTTGATGAGCGGCGGTATGGTTGTTATCCGTCATCAAGTCAGTACTTATGTAGGTAAGTACAGTACAGTCGGACCCGGATAGTTCGGGGTTCGGTAGCTAAAGTGAGACGTCGGGCTTGGTTTGGTGGACAAAGGCTGTGATTATTCTGCAGCCAATCGAGCGAGCGGTCTAGGAATTGTAATTTTGTGCATTTGAATTTGGGTTTGAATTCGGATCAACAGAAGTTGCAAGTTGGTGAAGTCTTTAAATTGAAGCTTGAAGTTTATCAGGGAAGAGTAAATATTATTGTAACCAGCAGTTGTAATAATTATGTAAGGTTGCAACTGGGGAGTAGATATTAATTAGGAAGGCCCCGCGTTCGCCGACTTTGCTGGCTCTGCTATGCTATGACATGCGCCGGCCATGAGGTTACGTTACGTTGGGCCATGTATATTCACCTAATCAACCCCAACAAATAGATTATCATACTGATCAGACTAAATTTAACTATTACATCGCTGTCACTGTCACTGTCATTATCATTCGGCATTAAACAGCGGAGATAGGCAGCTTCATCCATCCATTTATCATCAGCGGCATTTGTATTGAATTTAAGCCGACACGAAGTCGCCTTCCAACAGCGACAACACACTTGACCGAATTATAGGATCGCAAGATTGTATATAAATTAGTCGGATCTAGCCTCTGAAGTTATTCTTCATATCCCGCAGTTTTTGCATAACCTTTAGTGGGTCTGTCTCCCCTGTCGCCTTCTGGATTTCCGGGTCCTACGGATTTTGACAGTTATATTAGGTATATAATCCAATTCAAACCATTCTGGGGTGTTCTGTATATCGTTCATACCTCGATTCTCATGAAAACATTATGCTTCAGCTCATCTCCAATTGTAAATTTGCCTTGGGTTTCTTCATTCTCCTCGCAAAACTGGACGAGGTCACGAACGGCTGGTGTGTCAAGAACCGACTTCCCAAACTTAATATTAGATTTGGTGTATTCATGGCCAGGCTAGAGTTTAGTGTCAGTTTTCATATCCGGGTAATAAACAGAGATTCAATATATCAAAGGTATAGAACACTCACATAAACCCGTGTGTCTTCCGGCAACTTCCCCAACCTATTGTTCAAGGCCTCATGCATTTCCTCTGCTGTTCCTTCAAAGAATCTTCCACATCCTATACCCGCATATACATTAGGCACGGACTAACAAGTGATACCAACTCGGTTTATGAAGCCTTACCAGCAATAAACAGTGTATCGCCTGTAAAGACGACCTTCTCTTCTCCATCTTCCAAGAAGTAACAAATACTATCTTGAGTATGACAGGGTGTGTGAATTGCCCGAACATTGATACCTTCACCAATTTTGAAAGTTTCATTGTGCTTAGGCGTTGTGGTGACTTGGTCGCAATCTTTACCACCGATGATAGGTGTGTGGGGGTATTGTTTTAGCTAGTGACATTAGCCCGTATACTTATTTGATATAAACATAGTAATAACAAGTAATTGATTCCTTACTGTTTCTGCATTACCACCAGCATGATCACGGTGACTTTGGAATAATATCGGTCAGATATCGATGTATCAGGTTTCTATACTAAATCGTAAATGGTGAACATACTGGTGGGTATTGATAATGCCCTTGAAATTGATCTTCCCGCTGTCAATCAGCTCTTTAAGAACCGGGAGGACCCTTTGTTGGAAGACACAGACTTATTAGTACAATATCTTAACAGAAATTGAAATACTTATCCATGCAATGTTTAGTACTAACTCGGGTGGATTGGCCGGATCAACGATCATAGCGTCCTTAGTCTTATCATCAATAACTACATAAGCGTAGTTATCATGACTCCCCGTCCCTATCAGCCCACGGATTAGTTTATATATTCTTCGTCGTATTATAGGTACTCTGAAGGTAACCAACACATAGGAATTGATTGAATCTGCATTGTTCGTCGTTGGATATTCTAGATGTTAACGTTAGAGCAGGGATTGGTTACGAGGCTATCAGAATGGCCGCAGTGGGATATTACGCCGCCCGCTTTGGATTGCGTCGTATAGTTGTCAAACCGTACTATCACGACCCCAAAGATGATAATAAATAAACTTACGATAGTTGTAACCCTTCGGAGCGGAGACGCGGTCGTAGCTCGTATTGTTCTAAGTGCGAAATTCATATGGTGGAGAAATTAATGGAAATGGAAGTCGGAGTCAAATTCAAGTTCAAGTGGAGAGTTTCTTTGTAATCGACAATTGGTGGATTAAACGTTTACTACTTAATATCATGTACGGGCTTCGGGTGGGACACAACGACCGGGTAACGAGACGGCAGCGCCGAAAAGTTGGGGTAATTTGCAAATGGTGGGTTTGTAATTGGAGCGTTTACTGGGCAGAGCTTGTACCAAATCGTCTCTGTCTGCCGACGTCATGTTGAATTTATATGACAACACACTACAGTTTGGGTTTATAAATTTAAAATACAATTGGGGAATAAGTACAGGGCAGCGTATGCACTAATTAGGAATGCTATGGAGCTACCACTGGAGCCATTATTTCGCGGGGAAATGTGTTTAAAATTAAGGATGATAGCGGTCTCGAGCTAATGCTCTCTTTACCGTTATCATGGCGTGTGGGGCCTTAACGATATCAATATCAGAAGGCGGGGTCGAGGGCATAATGAATTAAAGATTACCATCTTTATTAAGTTAATTCTTTGGTTGAGGATTGTCGGTATCAAATGCCTTTTGTCTGGCAGTTCGCGAGTTCCACTGTCATAGAGGTCAGCCATCTGATCTTAAACTCATGACCATGTAGCATAAAGAAGCAACTTACTTGAAGAGTCCTACTCAAACTATCGAACCAGTCTCCCTGATGCGGCTTCGACTGAATAAATGCAAATGGAAACCTTGAGGCTGCAATCGTAACATAATCGCCCTCTACAGGTATTGTTAGCCTCTAAAAAATACACCTTAATCCACAATAATATCAAAGGTCACATACGATGTAATTCAACCCGTTCCTTCCCATCGAAGCTAGCCCATGCTGTTGTCCTAGCATCATAAGGTACGGCCACTCTGATAACCATCGAATCCGGCAAGATAATCGGTCTGAAACTCAATGAATGCGCACAAATCGGACTGACCAACATCACTGGATTATCCGGATGGCTTAAACTTCCACCGGCAGCTAATGAATAAGCCGTAGATCCAGTGGGCGTCGCAATGCATATACCATCCGCCTGTACGGATGTTAAATGCTCATCATCACCAAATAATTCAGTTGATGAAAGAGTAGCGTTAGGGCCGCGATCAACTACTAGTTCGTTTAGAACAGAAAAAGACCTTTCCGGCTTGTGGGTTGGTTCTTCATCTTCGCGCTCGCAGATTTCGTGGCATATGTCGCGGCTGGAGTCTTTGTGGTTTGCGCGCATGACTGTGCATTCAAATCTCTATTTCCTTTTATCAGTTTTCATTGACGTAGATGTGATAGGCCTAGGTGTAATGGAGTTGACCGACCATTCTTAGGCTTATGGTTATGCCAACGTGGTAGGCGTCTCGTAGTATTGTCTTGAATTTCCCAAAATCAAACTTCGTTAGAAACCCGAGTGACCCAAGAGAGAACGAGATGACTGGTGGCACGATTTTCTGGAATAGCCAGCTAGTGTACAAAACTGTGCCGTCTCCTCCAAGCTAGACGTATTGTGCAGTTAGTTTATATATAACTCGCATCAGAGATATCGATATAACATAAATACGCACAGAAATAACAAGGTCGAAAAGATGTGGGTGTTTGGTGCAGTAATCTGGCGTCCAGTAGTGTATTCGGTCGCCAAATGTCGCCGATTTCGCAACTAGACCCTTGATATCGATAATTGGGTTATCTTCGAGTATATCTTCGATATATCTAGTATGATACTGATCAGTAAACCCTTTCGGCTTTTGGGGTCGTAAGAATATCCCCTTACATTATAAAATCATTGAATTCAGTCAAGAGCCATTCTAATAACTCCTTGTGATGCACAATGTTCTGTTTATCCTGTGTCTTTGCCACCACCACAACCCTCAAATTCTTCTTTGGAAGCTTCATTTTCAAACTCCCTATATCGATCAATTAGTCAAACTCCACCTTTCCAAAGCTTTAGTGGAACTAAGAGCGCAATCATTACCAAGGTGTTTACTTAACTCCCTAACACCAAACGCCATGTCCGACAATTGCTTTTTCGTGAGAATTCTCGACGCTCCTTCTTCTATGGCTCGCTCACCCACAAATCCATCCACGCAATGAGCCGCCACAGGGTCAACCAATTTCTGCGCATGAGCAATATTACCCAGCTTCTGCGCCTCTAGCATTTCGTGCACGAAGCACGAACTGGTGGTAATATGGTGTGAAGCAACCATACTGGACTTTCGTCTCTTAGTGACTTGGATTGCTGGGTCGAAGAGAACTTCGAGAGAGTGCGAGCGAGCATTTGCCTTGATAAATAGAACGTTAGTTTAGTATTTGGAACTTAGTTTGTATGACATGATGCATGATGTCACTTACGTCGAGGGTGCCGACATCGTCGCTATCGTCGTCGCTGGATTTAGCCATTGCAAGTGTTTGTCGATGTCAATGATTATGTTGCTAGTTGTCGATACTTATAGTAGCCGAAAGGCTCAATTGTAAATTAACTATGAGAGAAGGAATAGGTCTGTTCCATATACATCCGAACTCTTGCATTCAGTGGGGCCTGTAGCTAGGCGCAGCCAGGACCGCCGCAGCGTTGTGGGCCGAGAGATACCTTGATAGCTGGTATACAGATCCAACTGCGACTCCAGATTCATGCACTGGAGGGCTCGAATACTCGCGATGACTTAGCCGTAATGACCACCAAGAGGAGTAAGTCCAGTACTAGTGTAATATACAACTAATATAGTCGTGACGTCTGTCATCCACTCCCGTGTTGGTGTTGCATTCCCCCGGTATCGGCTTGGCTCCCGGGGAATCCATGTAAATTCCACACACCGGGACCAGAACAGGGAACTACAATGATCCCGGGCGGCCATCTTCAAAAAACACCAAATTTCTGTCGCTTGGAGGGCCACTCTTTCTGATTCTTTCCACTATGCAATTCATCCTGCGATAAATGCTGCAACCACCTCGACTGACCGTCTGGTCGTCTATCGATGACCTCAAACATCTAAAATCATTGCTCTACGACCAAAATGCCGATTACGATGGCAGACCGCAGGCTCTTGAAGTTGTATGTTCACGCTCCAATCCAGCTATCAATAATTTAATATCAGTAGATGCTAACTTTGGCGACATGATAGATCAGAGCCTGGTCGTCTCGCGGCCGTCTTCCCCACGCCATAGAATCTACCTCCCATTTGACAGAATGCCTGCTGAACGATACTCCTAACCAATCAGAACTTCTGATCCGAATGTCCTACTCGACCGCTATCTGTCGCTTTGTAAATGGTCTGTTAGACCCGGCGCAAAAGTCACATTTTGCAGTATCCATGTATAGTCTAGCTCAGGAATTGGGGTTACCGGCGTCATTTGTGGATGTTAGGCATGCGGCAACACATGAGGCGCTTCCACCACTGGGTGTGTTGAGGACAACATGTGCAAGAGGCTTAGATTGGCTTTGGGCGAATTATTGGGAGAAGGTGGAAGAGGTTGGGGGTGTCGTTGATGCTGAGGCTGTGGGGAAAGGAGGGGAGGTTGTTGATCAAGAGAGGGTGTCTAGAGTACAGGGTTTACTCGAAAGATGGGAGGCCTTGAAGAAGAGCGCGCAAGGGCGATACCGAGAGGCTTCGAAAAGAAAAGAAGAGAGGGGTGAGACGAATATATGTTCAGAGCTTGAAGTTATATTCAAGAAATCGGCGGGTATGGATATTCTGCTGGAAATACTTGTGCACGAACATTTGCTGGTCACGGACGATACTAGGTGGGGTATCCTTACTTTTCGAATTCTGGTTCTTGGTCTGACAGGAAATCTAGGTCCATGATGTCAATCTACAAGACGACAGAGAGTTGGAGGCCACTGATACAGGAACTTGATCTTCGGGTTGAAGAATTCACATCTGGCTTATTCAATACCTTCCTCGAAGCCATGCAGGAAGTTGAGGATACAAAAGACGAGAACAAGGACGAATTTGCGGAGTCCGAGAGTGAATACACATACCAATGGCTGGAATTCTTGATCGGACTTGTTCTTAAAGGAAAACTAGCTGCTGACAGCGCTAGTCTACTTGATGACGTTGTTTCTCGATGCATATTATCACGGAACCTTTGGTAAGTTTTACACTATTCTTTTACGGGCTAGGGACTATGCTCATTCATATAATTAGGTGTCTGCGGCTGGCAGAGTACGCAATCGGGCAATCTACTTTACTCGAAACCAAATACTCTCAAGCATGCACAATGGCAAAGAAGCAATTGACAGCGACTCCCAAACCAGCGTCTAATCCCACCAGCAAACATCCAACATCCAATCTATTAGCCGCTTTAGCTACTGATAAAGATTCGAGCATGGATTTAGATCAGGAACTCGAAGGTTTCAAGACGAAGCTCCGAAATATGCAAGTACAACGTGAGCAATGGGGCTTAAACAAGAAAATTGAGGCTGCAGAAAACGCTAAGGCAAACCTCGATACCTCCACTGTTGTAATGAACGGTAACAAGGCGGCAAGATTTCGTAGAGTGGAGGCAGATTGGACACCAAGGCCAATGGGAATCGCGTGAGGGCGGGACAGCTGTGGGTTAGATGCTACCTTGACACGGCGCAGCCTCGTGTTAAACGTGTTTGTATGGACCGGATCATCTATATAGATGTTGTACCTGGCCTGGAGTAGCGGGTTCGGACCTTGCAGCTCGGGTCGTACAGCATGCAAAGGGGAATTTTAGGCCGGACGTCTGTGGCCCTGCTTACCAAGTAAGCAACAAGCCGTTTCAAACATCTTACTTCGAGTACTTCGAATCCAATTGATACTGGGAATCCGAACCACAGGACGACAACTGCAGCTGTTGCCAACCCCTCGATTGAGATTTCACATCCTCCCCCGGTGCTAGCTTAGACGATTGGCAATTTCTCAAGATATTGATATTCGCCGGATCCTTCAAGCCTCAAAAAATTCCTACTATCCGTCCATTCATGGTTCATAACACGATAGATGACGAGTACTTTCGCGCAGCCCAAACCTCAAACATCCACCCATAAATGCGACCAGGGTTCACAATCCCTCACAAAAACATACTTCCATTGGCTGTGCAGGCGCTAATCCATGTTTGTGCCTCCCCAAACGAACCTGAAACTTGACGAAAGCAGGGTAGCAGTAGCAGAAAAGCTCGGGTAGCCATGCTCTTCGATTTAACGAACAGGACCCACCGATGCTTGGGGGACAGCCATGTATCTTTTTCTCCTGAACTCCTTAGCTTCTCCCCAAATGTAGATAGACTACTTAAGAAGACAAGTACAGTCGACCTCTCTTCATCATTCTCCTTTTGACCATAGTCTCCTTTCTCCATCGGAACATTCCACTACTTCAATCCCTTGTGACCACGGGTTCTCCAGTGTTGAATTGACGCCATCCCCGTCCATTTACCTTCTTTAGCTTCAGTACCATTGAACCTCAGCGCATCAGCACAGGAGTGCCTTATATAATACCACCCAACTACATTTCGTGCTTCTTCCTGGAAATCCGAGTTATCCATAACCTCGAATTTCCAATAATTAATATACAACCTCCTCCTGATTCCTAGAATCATAGCTCTTAATCACCCCTCTCCACAATAAACCCCAGTAAAAATGGCAACCGCCTCCGTTCCCGCCCTTCAGGTCACCACGGGCTCCAAATCCACTTCACCGGCCCCACCATCACCCGAAAACTCGTCCCCGACATCCACATCCCCCACCAATGACGCCCCTGTCATAGAACGCATGGGCAACCGTGCTGAACTCAAGCATACTATGCTGAAGAAGCTACGGCCGTTGCCTTTACGACATGAGTGGACCTTTTGGCATGATAAATATCAAGCTGAGACGGGCTCCGGGGCTTCTGGTGGGGATCAGTATGCTTCGCAACTGAAGGAGTTAGCGAATATCAGCACAATTCAGGTATGTGTTAAATCCATGATTTTTTTAGTATTGTATGGGTTCTAGGTTGAGGATTATGGATATGCTAATTGAAAGTGGTGGATGTGCATATAGGACTTTTGGCAAGTCTACAACAACACTGACTGGGAATCCCTCAAACTGCGCGATTCGTTCTTGCTATTCAAGAAGAATGTTAAACCGATCTGGGAAGACCCGAGGAACAACAAGGGCGGTGCGTGGACGTTTAGGATATCGAAAACTAGCAATACATCCTTGGAGTTCTGGAAGTCTATCTTGTTGGTGGCTATTGGCGAGCAGTTACAGGAAGTCGTTGAAAAAGGTATTTATTCCCCAGTTCCCTGGCTAATCAATCAATCTAGCCTCCTCCCCTATGAAAGAAAATAAGCTAATGGCTGGATTTTGAAGGTGATGACATCTGCGGCGTTTCCATGTCTGTCCGTTTCAACTCGCATTTGATCTTGATCTGGAACCGTGACGGATCGAATCAAAAGTCTATCGACGCTATCCTCGCGAAGGTTTTGGATAGCCTGACGCCGGAATTGAAACCCGTTCCACAGAATTACTACTACAAGAAGCATAGTGAACACAAGGGCTACAAAGCTTTAGATAGCAAGTAAAACATTTCTTGGAGAAGACTTTGATGTGCAAGGGAGGAGGTTAGTGGTGCATAGCTCCGAGCGTTTCGGTATACTGTCGAGTCTTTTTTTTTCCTTTCTCATTAGGTTTTGTTACCCAGGTTTTTCTTTCTTTTATTTCATTACCCTTTTTATTCATGGAACCAGTCATTTCGAGGGTGTAAATGCTTAACTTTTTATCCTGCAATTTGATTCTGGTATCACAGCTGTCTTCATAGTATATGGAGCTGGGGTATCAGGATCGGGATTGCTGTTTCCCTTTCGGCGCTTTAAATTGCATATACGGTTGACCAGTCAAGTTAGGCTTTCAGCCAAAAAAAAAAAAGCGACCTTAAGCGTTCACTCTGGCATTCTCCCTTGCTAACATGTTCCCACCCATCCTTTGTTTCTTTTTATACCATCCGTTTACTTGTACATTGTTATCAAGATAGCTTCTTTAACTTTGATCAATTGAGGGCGGGTTTAGCTGCCAGTAGATATGAATACGTCTTATATGCTCAAGTAGGTACCTATTTAGGTATATATATAACTTTTGTCTCGCTGTATATTTGTCTAGCTAGACCCATGGTCACACTAAGCATCCGAATATTCAGTTCGATAAGATATTCTATTGCCATTGAAGAGGACGGAGAGGGTTCATTTGATCAATTGAAATCAAACTGCCTATATATACCCACCGAAAGTTCCATTGATGACGATAAAGTATTCCTCCAAATCCCCATGTATAACCAATCCCGCCATCATAGAATCTACCCTATTACAAAAATATTCGACATTACGAAGGATCTCTGATAAAAAAAAAGTCATCAACGTCGTTTCCAGAGCGCGTCAAGAGAAAGAAACGAACAAATTCAAAGAAAATTTTATAAAGGAATATAATATATCTATGTCATCATTCGCCAAAGAAGACATATGAGACAACGGCATTACACGGTATATTTTATACAACTCCTCATCATCTAAATTAGTGCTGGCCGACTTCGCGGATTCTGCATTTCCATCCAGAATTCTTAGCCAATAGTGGTAGACTACAGTTAACAAGTTAGTATGCTGCTGAAATAGAGGGGGAGAAAAGAAAAAGAAAGGTTCAGAGGAATATCATACCTAGCTCCTAGACACCACCCTAGCTCATTACCCTTAATCTTCTTTGCAATCTTCACCTCTCTATGCAATGGCATCTCATAACCAGTGTGCAACAATGCCAACTGGAAGTTCAAATCAAGACAATGCTCTGGTCTATCCCTCAACTCCTCAAGTGCACCCTTAACAGCCGAAAACATTGTCCACCCACTCTCACCTTCGCAAACCTTCGCGGCTAGATCCCTCAACTCCTCGAGCGTAAAGCTGCTAGGCATACCAAGGGGCTGTGTTCGATCATAAAAGTATGAGAAGATATAAACATCCTCCCGGGCAAATGTCTTCGCCAAGGAAGGTTGGTGGATACCATTGAAGGAGCAAGGAGCGAGTTTACAATCTTCATCTTTATGGAGGATGGATTCTGCAAAGCTACGGCAGAGTGGCGCGGCGGAATGGGGTGGTCCGGTCATGTTGACTTTGATACCATCAATTTCGACTTCTCGCCACATTCCTGGGGCGATACAAGGGTTGAGGATGGGCTTGGAGTTATCGATAGGGCTGTCACCGAATTTGGCGGATAGAACGGCTTTGTGGACTGCCTTGCGAGCTTCATTGAGACCGTATCCGAGATGGGAGTGTTGGTACAGGTCAAAAGAGCGGCCGCCGAAGTTCAGATCGTAGTGGTGGTCACCGGGAGCAAGAATTTCGGGCATACCACCACCCTTGATTGGGAAAGTGGGTTCGAAGACAATCTGGGTAGAGGCACCGCCGAGATCGAAAACAGCGGCAGTAGGAGACTTATCGGGGCCACCGATCTTGCCGAGGAGGTAATTTGTGGTAATCCATGCGTAGACACCCTCGTCGCTACCGTCCATGACGGCGACTCCATTGCCTTCAACGACTGGGAAAGGATATTTGGTTTCAAGTCTATTCCTAACAGCGGCCAAAATAGCGTCACTCTTCTCGGCTCCGAGTAATCGCAATCCCGCTGTTGCTTTGACAGCTACCGGTGTGCAAGCCTTGTACTTCTCTGGAACTGTTGTAACGGCGAGGTCCATGAGTTCGTCCAAGCTTCGTGCAGCGGCTTCTGGGTCATTGCTATAGCTCGAGAGACCGCCCTTGATCATCTTGAAGCCCTCATTCTCCAATTCGGGTGTGCTTGTGCAAGTATTGAATCTGTATACGTGTATTCTCGACCCACTGCTCCCCGCATCAATCATCAACACGTATCTCGTGCATGATGGATCATTCTTCTTGGTACTCGATCCGTCAGCCGTTGACGTAGAGCCAGGTATCACACTGCTGACACCAGACTTCGAGCTTCCGGATAGGAAGTAAAGTGCCAGCAGCACAAAACTTAGCACGGCTGCAATTTTTATGTATCTCGACCTCGCCGATTGATTCATGGTCGTTTGATTCATGGAGGAGCTCAAGACCGAGTTCCGATACGAGGCGCGTTCGAAAGGGTCGTCTGTTGCGACGGAACGGGTACGATTGTGTGTTCTGCCAAAGATATTCCAGTCACTGCTGCTACCGTTGTTCTGGCTAATGCTGGTAGATCGTCGTCGGGCGGACATGTATGTTTGCAGGTTGACTCTCTCGAAGGACACGTGGGAAACAAGCTAGACTCGGTGACTGTAGCTTGGACGGCGAGAGATTGAAAAGAACGAAGGGACGAGGCACCACAGGACCCCGATAGAAATGTATACGTCGGTACTATCCACAAAAAAAAGAATTTCAGGTCAGGAATGCTGCTTTGCTTTGATATTCTTGCGAAAGGGGGTTAACCAGTGCATTGAGGCTGGCAATTTCACATGAACATAGTACATACAGGCTAAACCTCGACACGCAGAGTTGGTATACAATGGCGATGAGGACAGTTGTGAAAACGGACAAGGCCACCGGAAGTTCGAAATAGACCAGCAAGGACAGTGGCAGTCCAACGAAGAGAATGAGGAAGAAGGAGAGGTTTACTGGATTGAACGACCTTTCTTCTCGGGGCATTTCCGCTAACTTGGGTGCAATCTCCTTCTGAGCTTTCGCTCGCTTGGGTTAGGTTAGGGGTTTTCTGAGCTAAAATAGAGCTAACCGTCCCGGGAGATAGCTCCCGGACTTTCGGGGCACAGGGGAAGCCCGGTATTGATATCCCCGTGATATTATTATTGTGTCGTATAGAAGATATTACATTATTGGGAATCTACTGGCTACAATGCGTATACATATAAATAGGATTCCTAGCAAATAGCAAATACCATTGCAATGTTTAGATACATAGGTCTGTATTCCAGGCTTAGTACCTTTCTTAGAACGAGACTAAGCTAGTTCATAGCTACCCAAGTATTGGTTATACTAGGACGACAACTTAGATCAAAAAACGTTAAAACGTTCTTATTCATCCTCCTTGGGTGGCAGAGGGTCTTCACCACCCGTTTCTGGCTCTGCCTCGGGGTCAGGTTTCTTCTCGCCTTCGTCAGTCTTCTCACCCTCTTCTTTCTTCTCTCCTTCTTCTTTCTTCTCTCCTTCTTCCTCTTTCTTCTCTCCTTCTTCCTCTTTCTTCTCTCCTTCTTCCTCTTTCTTCTCTCCTTCTTCCTCTTTCTTTTCTCCTTCTTCCTCTTTCTTTTCCCCTTCTTCCTCGTCCTTCTTCTCATCTTCCTTCACCTCCCCTTCTTCTCCCTCAGCTGGGATTGGGGCGAGCTTTGGTGGTCGCACTAGCTCGCCTTCTTCTCCCTCAGGTTCCTCATCGGAAGCTGTGATTGGAGCGAGTTTTGGTGGTCGCACCAGCTCGATCGATGTAACTTCTGGTGCTGCTGTCATGGTACCAGTGCACTTGCCACCAGGGACCATTAAATTGTACCTCGGTGCGAAGTATCCTCCACAGCACTCATCTGGGCAGGCAGTTGTGATTGTGGTAGTCCTAGGTGGGGCCTTGAGACAGTCGCAATTATAGTTGATCTGAGGCTGGTTCGCCATACACTTCTTCTCTCTAGGGCATGGGGGTTTGTTTCCGTCGCACTTCTTCATAGCGGTGACAGTCGCTACAGGTGGACATGTAGAGTATGGGTCTTCTCCCTTCTCGCTTGGGACAATCGGGATTGGTCCTTTGGTTGCGAGCGTAGGCTTTGTAGGTTCGCATGAGGAGATCGTCTTTACGACGGTGACTGTTTCAGCGTCTCTGTACACTATGTGCGTCGTTCTTCTGGTTGCCGTGCCGATCCATGGTACGGTGCTTGTTATGGTAGTCGTACTAGCGTATGTGACCCTCTCGGTGACAGTTCTAAAAAATGTTCTATGTCTTATAACTGTGGTCCTTCCCCAACCCCCTCTATCCCTTTCCCTGTCCCTTTGGGCTGCAACGGATGGGATGGCACTACGTTCAATACATGTTAGCCATATATATTGAATAAATCGGTATCATTCTTAAAGGGCACTTGTGTAGTAAGATCATATGCATGCATACCTTGACGCCAATAAAAGGGCAGAAAAGAATCCCGTTATGAGCTGCATCTTAGCTTTGAGTATAAATGAATGTGATAATATCCAAATGAATGTATTCTCGATCAAATCTTAATGAATGAATGAATGAATGAATGACGTCGACCCCTTAAGCAATAGTACTAAGCACACAAACCAGGAAAGAATGACCGTGAGATGGAGAAAGACCGTTGGTGGCGTCCACGAGGGTCTATCCCCTCCCTCCCCTCTTTATACCAATTCCTCCAATCCCCATGTGGAGCCAGCATCCATTCAAAAGCGAATGATCGACGAAACCATTCCCTGAATATGACATATGCAAAGCCGCCTTGAGCATATGTGATGCGAGAGAAGCAATTCTACTTGCACCTTTTAAGCTTTTTCATATACGCGGTACATGAATATTATCGTATACTTGTGTTGACAGTGTGGTCGGGTCCAAGGTCGTTCTGGGCACGCCCTAAATGCGGCTACTCGAGGCTGGATAGATGGCGTTTTAGCGACAACTGCTAGCGAAGGTGTCCCTTGGCCACAGCTTATTTTATTCGATGGTAACCCTATATGCTCGTTAAAGCATCATGCAACCTCATAGAGTGTCTAGCTTGTTTGCTTGGCCGGTGATTCTTGGGGCATCGATGCGGGTTTGTCGTTACCGCTTGCTATTTATTTGTAGGGCTTCCCGAATTGGTCCGCTGTCTACAGTGACAATGTAGTCGGAACTGACATTTGTTGCGATATGTTCTTTGAGTACGTACGTATGCATGTGGCGGACATGTGCGAATGTTCATTTATTAGATAAGTATGTTAACTAGAGGTTTCCAGGTTTTCATTTTAAACGCACTATACTACCTTATATTACGAGGTACACATTAATATTAATAACACAATCTGACTGCTTATATTACAATCCTTATAACATTTTCAATATTAATACTCGGGCGATATTGCAAGCTACATAATCTTGGTAGTTTATCTTGGAAATCAATCCGGCGATAAAGATATAAAAATAAGGAAGTATAGCTAGTAACACACAAATCACAAGTGAAGTGGGACGGGAAATCTAGTCGAAAGTTAGTGCTTGTCAGACCTTTGTTCGTTGAATTCAGCTCATGACATGTACGCAGACAATCGAGAGAATTCACACACATGGTCCAGAAGACCGAGGCAGGCGGGTTACATGATGATCTTCTTTTATTTTAATTTTTATGATTCGACCAGCCTCATGTTTATTCCTAGAATAGAGAATACAACAACTTAACGTTAACCTGCAGACCGCTGCTCGTATCCTTTTACAATTCGCCCTCTTACACGCAAGGGATCGAAATCCCGGTCCAAATCCGCCAGTTGATTGGCGAAGCAGGGTAGATATCATTTGGGTGTTGGGGAACGCTGCATGCAGTTTGACGATTTACATTCCAATCTCCTCCTGCAGGTTCCAACATTTGGGCAAGTCAATGTTCTGGCCCTGTCGGGGCGAAATAAGGGCACATCTGATATCTGCACTCTTTGACATTTTACGTAGCACAAAATTATTCAAGATGGTTGGTATATATACCTTGTGTCTGGCGTCACTGAGAGCATAAATTCCGTCATTTTTTCACAAGGCATTACGTTTAGATTTGAACATTACTTTCAGTGCACCGCATAAATACATATACGTACCTAATTTTTCGCGATGAAATTTCTATCCGTCGTCATTGGGGCCTCTTTCTTGGTTGGGGCATTAGCCCTGTCCCGTTCTGGTGACACCCTCGGGATTCAAAACTCCAACTCCCCGCAGCGTGGAGTTATAGACGGAATATCTCAAGCCATCAGGACAAGGAAACCGAATGGGTCGAGACCAAAGAACCGAATCGACGTTTTTACCAAGCCGAGATCGTGCTCTAATCAGGGATGGTGTATGTTCTTACTGTCTTCCTTCATGAGCTCCCATTAACTTTTTTATTTGATGAATACTAATACCGACAATATTATTACATTAGTTTGTGAGGATAACGATCGATGCAGATACTGTAACGGTGTATGCAAGATCAAGGAAGGGAAAGATTATGGGAAGTGTGTCGATGTTCCCCGACCGCCTTCCTGTGCCAAGGAAGCCCGAGGTCTGATCCTCTCTTACTATGATACCGGACCTATACATATGCAATATATGCTAACCAATTATTTTGAATAGATTGTGAAAGTTCGGCCCAGTGCGCAGGCTGCGATGGTATTTGTCAAATAGAGGAAGGCGAAAACACTGGTACCTGTGTCGATAAACCGCAGAAGTGCACCGATCTCTATACAGGTATAGTTAAATTCTCCAATGCTTGGAGCATGTAGCAGAAGCTAACTAGTGTAAAATTTTGTAGACTGTAAAACGTCCGATGACTGCGGATACTGTGGAGGAACTTGCGACATCCTTGAAGGAGAGAAGTTCGGTCTCTGTATCGATAGAGAGGAGAACTTGGAGAATGCGGCCCGGAGTCTAGCGAACAAAATCATAATCGTCATAACGGAATAGACGTCTATTTCAGACGACCCTTTCCTCACCTTGTTTGCAAAGTTTGAGAAGTCTTCTTTTCAAACTGAGCAAAGCTGTCAAGTGGGATCACCCGTAGAATTACAATAAGTGTTGTTATTGTTGTAATTTGATCAGACCTCAATATTAAAGATGCATCAGGAAGACCTTTCGTCGTATAGACATAGCTCCGAGGGCTTACTGTTACTTAGAAGCAATCTAGACACTTTATATCTATAAATTTCACATGTGAAGTGTCTTTGAATCCGGCATTGGCGGTGAAATTTTGGCCTGCATGGTTCAACTGCAGGCATATGACGGCCCGTGTTAGGCTGGCTGGCCCTGGGCGGACCTCGGGGCCTTTGCTGACCCGAAAGACAAACAAACAGCGGAAGCCAACTGAAGCTCATCGAACCAACCTTGAGCCTTCCAACCCTCCAACGGTCTGGCTTCCAAGTTCGCAAACGCGCTACCCTCGAAATCATTGTACACGCAAGCCAGTGCGATAACTCTTTAAATAGACCACGTAACCAGCTTCCCAGTGGTTTTCTCGTCTCATCTGTCACTATCAGCAATACTCTAGATAGCTCAGAGTCGAGAGTATCCTTCCAGTTGCAGATTACGCACACAACCGCCGTCGCAATAGCTTAAAGAGCCAAGGCCTCAAAAATGGGAAGCACAGGTGAAAGGCTTGTACAGCTGTATGTTTACGACCTTAGCCAAGGTATGTTATGTCGCTGGTGTTATATTTTGATCTCGGTTCTTTCTTACTAATTGGTGATATCGATCGCAGGTCTTGCTCGATCGGTACATACACCCGACCTTTATGTCAAGCTTCATATTACATAATGCTACATAATGCGCGCAGAAACTGATGTTTAATGGAAGCCAGCTTTCACCCATGCTATTGGGTCGTCCTATTGATGCAGTTTATCACACTAGGTAGTGATATTCAGTTCTTACTTATTTCATAAAATAAGCTAATAGAGAAACAAATAGTATCGTTATCGATGGAGTAGAGATATATTTTGGAGCTGGTATTCAGCGTTCATACCCCGGACAGACTCACCATGGCGCTCCAATGGAAGTTATCGACCTGGGACATACCAGCCTTCCAAGCGAGGTTATCGCCGAATTTCTTGAGTCCATGAAGGAGATATACAAGCAGGAGGTACACAGCGACAACGTCAATTCCAATTCGTGGAGAAATCGTTTACGCTAATTACAACATTAAACCGTAGACATACGATCTATTCATGCATAACTGCAATAATTTCACCGATGACTTCGCCAAATTCCTCGTTGGTCGTGGAATCCCCTCACACATAACTTCTCTCCCTGCCGATGTCCTTTCTACTCCCTTTGGCCAACAGATTAGGGGCCAGCTTGAAGGTGTAATGAACCCAATAACCCAAGCGCCCTCTATCAATGAACCACCTCTTCGTTCTAGCGATCCTCCAACTCTAGTATCTAGCAGTACCTCCCAGCCATATGCTGGCGTCCGTGTAGCTTCAACTCTGTCCGATTTCGACCGCATCATGTCTTCCGCCGCTTCCAAAGCTGCAGTAATCTTTTTTACCAGCGCAACTTGTCCACCTTGCCGAGTCGTCTACCCTCATTTCGAACAAATGGCCGAAGAATCCGCTGGCAAGATCGTATTCGTCAAAGTCGACGTATCCAAATCCTACGACATCGGTTCAAAGTACCAGATTCAAGCCACCCCTACGTTCGTGAGCTTTATTCGTGGTGAAAAGTTCGAGGAATGGAGTGGCGGACATCCAGGAACATTGAGAGCTAATGTCAATATGCTGATGAGTGCGACTTATCCACCACATCCACATGAGAGTTTAAGGTTACCAGCTTTTACGTCCGCGGCCATGCAGGCGCCTGTTAAGTACACGCGTCAGTTGCCGATGGACAAAGTACTGGTCAAGCTCGGGAAAGTGGGTACGGATGAGAATGTTGTGGCAATGAAGAATTTCATTACTACGAAGCAGAAGCAGGGAGCTATCGAAGCGAGAGTTCCGGATTTGCAGAAGTGGTCTAAGTTTCTGCAATCAAGTTTCCAGGAGCTACCACCAGAGACGCTCTTTCCCGTTATTGATATATTCAGGCTGTCATTGACAGATCCCAGAGTATCCGCCTTCTACGCCGAGGAACCACAGCATGCGACAATTGAAGCACTGTTAGATACAGCTTTATCCGCAAAGGGTATTTACCAAGTAAAGCTGGTAACACTTCATGCTATTTGCAACCTCTTTTCGACGAAATTATTCCCGCCGTCCCTTACAAATGCACCTTTAGTCACTCTTGTCCTTGGGTTGGTTACTGGGTGTCTATTGGATGAGTCGCATCCACAACTGAGAGTTGCCGCTGCCGGATTGATATTCAACCTCGCCTCTTTTAATCAGAAGCTCAGAACCGAATCAGCTTCCACCGTGGCAGACAGGGAAGATTCAATATCCGAAGATGATCAAATACAACTGCTGGCGGCTATTGTAGAATCTATAGACCGAGAAAACGAGAGCACAGAAGCTCTTAGAGGGCTATTGTTGAGCTTGGGGCTGATTGTGTATGGAGCAAAGATTGATGGGGAAGTATTAGAATTAGCAGGGGTGTTAGAGGCAGCAAGAATCGTGGGGGAGAAAGGAAAGAAATCGGATAAAAAGTTACTGGGAGAGGATGGAGCAAGGTTGTGTCTGGAGATAGGGGAGGAGCTCTTGACGAAAGGGCTACGGAAGCCATAACTTTTCAAGGAGTAGCTGTTAGCATACTAAGTCGGAAGTTTGGAAATTGGTTAATTTGAAGGTATCGGGTTTTTATTTTGCTTTAAAATTTACTCGTACTCATGCAACTAGCTCTATTGAATCATCTGTCTGTTTTTTTTGGTTCAGTTTATAGAAGTTACATTCCTACTTCAATGCTGATTATTGAATGCCACCATTCTGTCGAACATATTCATACAATACCACCGCAGTCGCCGTCTGGACATTCATAGATCTCGTCTCACCAAACTATTCATATCTTGTTAGCATATATCCTACAGACATACTCAGAAGGAATTCCGGGAAACCTACTTGCTTGACCTCCACACAAATATCCATCTCTACCAACAATTCAGGAGGAATTCCCGTCTTTTCAGCCCCAATAACCAATACTGTCTTCAACGGGAACACAAAATCCTTGGTACCAAGAATGATACTCCGATCCGTCTGTTCAATCCCCACGATAGTATATCCGTCCTGTCTTCTTTTTGCCAACAACTCTCTCACTTCCTGCTTCTTGACTTCTTCGATAGGTAGCCAATGTTCTGAGGATACGGAGACGGATGTAAACTCCTTTGCTTTCAATGCGGTGGCTTTGTTACCCATATACATTTTTTGAACGCCAGATAGTTCGCAGACACGGCATATACCACCGAGGTTGTAATGGTTGTCCACCAGACTTGCTACGACGTCGATTTGATGAGCCTGTCGTCGAGTAGAATGGCGAGATTGGAATGCGTCCTGACGGGAGAGAAGGCTTTTGATATCCCAGTCACCGCCTTTGGTTTGTATTGGCCCCGTTGTTGAGGATTGGGGTTTATCAGCCGTTTCCTTGGGATTAGTTGAAGAGGTAGACTCGGAGAAGGGGGGAGGGTTTGTTCCAATTGGGAGGTAATGTGTTTTTGTATCTGCATCAAAAGATGCGAAGTCTTCAGCGAAGAAGAGTGGGATGATATCTCCGCCTCCATCACAGCATATGTAACTCCCCGCAAGAACACCAACAAGTGAAAAGTCCTGAACTGGGTCAAATGAATCCGTAGGTGACGGGACCATAACCTTTCGGTAAGGTGTGCCCATTATATAGTCATAAATACTTTTGAACATTGGGTTTTCAATAAGAGTGGTATAACCGAGTTTTGTAGCTTCTTCGTATAACTTTGGGATCAGTTCTGCACCTTCGTGGCGGATTGTGACCTTGTTTGAGGTTGCGCAAGGGATAGCACGGGTCACTAGGTCTGTGAAGAACTGTTCTTGTTCGGCGTCTTGAATATGGACGCTAATTAGGTAGGCGAGGCGGAGGAGGGAGACTTTGTAACTTGGTATATCGTCCTCCGTTGTTTCGAAACGTCTATTGTATTTCTGTTTAGTGCGTTTAGACTTGGGGGGTTAATGGGGAAATGCTTACTCCCAAACTACACTTCTGAGATTCGGGAATCTGAGAATGCATCTGAATGCCATCCATTCTAGAAGGAACTTATATCTGGGATTAGCCTCTCTTGATAATGCCACAAAGATAGCTTCAAGATGGTCGTCAGCGTCATCTTCGGTTATAAAGCGTTCGAGAAGGAGAACTGCTTGAAGTTGTTGGGTCTAGAAAGATTCAAAAGATTAGTCTCGGGCTGTTCTAGTTAAAGACTAACATTACCCATACTAACTTTCTTCCACTTCTGGACGACCCTTAGAGACATCGGATCTTTTGGGTCAATTTCGGTCCATGGCTCAAATATTTCATCAAGGAGTGTCTTGGCCCATAGTTCCTCAATTGCGTCGTCGTAGTCAAATCGTGCAAGAAGATCGAAAATCCTAGCTTGTGCTATCTTTTCCTTTTCTCCATGGTATTTTTCATATAATCTAATTAGTAGTTAGTCTGTAGTCCTTTGCTATCATAGAATTTAACGCAAACGAAAGATATTTTTACCCTGTAGCCCCAGATATATCGTCGAAAATTACGGACAAAGCCTCTTCGACATCGAAATTGTTGTCATCCTTCTTAGATACGCTCGGAACCAAGAATTCATGCAGCACCTCTGTGAACCCATGTTCTCTACAGAATGTTGCAGAGGTAACGTCGAAAGCATTACATAACGCCTTCGCAAGAGCGGGGGCAAGTCCACGTCGTTTCGCCATGTGTTTCTGGGTATCTTTGCAAATCTACATATAATTAGCACAAAGTTTGGTTCAAGGTGAGAGAGAGGGAATCGTATATACTTTTATTAATGTGGGCCCCGTAGCCACAGACGCATCGAGGATAGCCGGGTGTAAAATTATGGCTATTGCTTTGACTTGATTCGATTTTTGATCCCTGCCCAATCTATCTTCGTCCGCTTTGATGGCCCACTGTTGAAGGAGTTCGTTTAAGTCGTCCACCATTTGCAAAGCTTCAGGGCACGCTACTAGGATATGTTCTATGCAATCAAGGATGATTGAAAAACCAGTTCCATCCACGTATGGCAATACGTTAATATGGAGAGTGATTAAGATGTAATACCCTAGATCAGCTGGCATCTTTTGACATTGTTAACTACTAGAAATACAAAAAAGGGGGGTATCGCTGGCTTTGGAGTAATACCTTATTTCGAGTTTTGACCACGATTTCGATTAATTCTAAGAAGCACCCAAGAACTTCATGTAATTCCCTTTGGTGATTCTATTAGTATAACTTTATGAGGAACAGGATACCGATTTCACTTACTTTTTCTTTTTGACTTTTTCATACACATCTTCACAGAATGAAGCAGTTCTAGCCACAGCCGCATTGATAACGCTAGCCGGAATCTCCTCGTATTCATTACTTCGCATGCAACCGATGCAAAGTCGTAGGTAGAGCCTCAGTGTGGTCAGCAAATCACCTATATCACTGAACCCTGCTGTCCAATTTTCACTAATATCCTGAAGAACGGCCATGGCAGATTGCTGGATACTGGCTCGCTCCCGGGGTTCTAGGAACGGGATTAATAGTGAGACATCAGGATGGTGTGAAGAATGAGCCCCGTTGTCGAAGATATCTTGGAAGATGGAAGTGACAAATCTCCGGACTTCGGGAATATTTCGAAGAGCTATCGAAATTCGAAATTCCACGTGTTAATAATCCAGAGAAAGACTCAAATATACGTCTAGTTCACATACCTTCCAGTATGCCATGACCATACTCAAGAAGCCGTAACAATACACGATTGGCAATTAGTCCATCTCTGAAATTAACAGATAGTTGATAGTTAATAATTTAGTGACGAGATTGAGTGTAGAGAGTATAAGGTTTGTAGTCTCCCTTACCTTGAAACTTCTGCTTCGGTTCTAGGAACCCTAAGAAGAGAGACCGGATTTGAAAGCCTTAGACCAATTGCTACTACTAGGCTATACAGACCGACATCTGTATCATCCACGGTATCAAGGCTAAGCCGGTCGATAATCGCAGTAAGTTGGGACGCATCAAGCTAATTTCATTACGACTGCGGTTAATATCTCAGGGTGGGGGAGTAAATTGATTAGTAACTTACGTTGAGCGTTTCAATTATGTGCCTTGTTCGCGACTCATCTAGGAGTTTTGGATGATTCCGGAGAATTTGAGAGACAAGGCTGTTAAAGAATGAAAGGTGTTAACCAAAAGCCCTGCCATTTAATACAACATGATTCACATACCTTAATTGTACGTAACTAGATACTATTTCGGATTTTAAACCAAGCTTCAGAGATAGCAATAGGCAAATCAACGATTTCATATCACCGCGGAGGATGTTACTAGTTGGATTAGTTCACGGACATCAAACGTAGCATTGAACAAACCTAACTAGGTTTCTTACTCAAGGGGTATATTTGCTATTTTCGCAAGTAAAGTACCATGACGAAGGGATAGGCAGGCGTTCTGGGACCTTGTAGTGTTGAAAATACCCTTCAATGCATAAAACTGCCCTGCGTTCGCTTGGCCCAACTGATCAAAGACTGTCTCAAGAAGGGATCCTATAAGATCTTGAAAATTCTCGTCCTAAATCAGAATTTAGTGTTACACACTAATAACGATTTCTTAACAGCAGCATACGTTATCTTGGCTGATAGTGAGAATCTTTTGAACGAATGATGTGATGGCGTTTCCATGCTCACAAACGTTCTGCGCTAGGACGCTAACATTGAAATTCGGAGTCTTAAAAACCTGCGGGAAGAGTGTTTCTGTTCATGTCGTCAGCACGTTGACAATTTTTGTAAAACAAAAAGCATCATACTGGCGGGGTACACACTTCGAAAGAAATCTAAAGGTGACCTATCAGATGCGGCGTTTTCTGACTTCGTCCACCACAGAGCCTCCGTATTCAATCTCAGAACGAATTCCGATAACCGAAGGGACATATCACCAGCGCTTGAGTTCTGGAAACCCTGGGAGAGAAGGATGAGAATCCAAATATTTGGAATACTCATAGTATTTGCTTGTTGAATCAATCTCTCGAGCTCGGACGATGCTAGACGGAGTTGATTGACAGAATTGTCTAAGGCAAGCATTTCGGTGAAAGTAATGTACGTTTTCCAAAACTCCAACTGAGAAGTTCTGTTTTTGAAATCCCATTTAAAATTTCTAAGATACGAATGTTAGTAATTCTGCTTCAGATTATTATTATTATAAAACTGAGAAGCCTGCAGTTATAATTACCGTAAGTTTAGGTCGCCTGGTAATTGTTGTAGAGTTGACCAGAGTATATGAAGACATATTTTCTTAATTTCTCCAGAGGTTTCATCCAGCCCATTCAGAATATAGTCCCAATAACTATCACTCTGGATGATAGAGTTCAAGTCGAAAAGTTCATTATGGCTGTCTAGAAGCCCAACCCACAGGTGATACCCGGCGTTCACTTGAATTTTGTGCCCTGATCGAAGCAGGACTTCAAGATGTTTGAATATTTCTGCATCAAGTGGTGGCTGGCTATCCAACAAGTTCCTGTTGAGAAAGTCGTTATGGATGGAGTTGATTCTACGCAGGAGCCGCACTGAGAGTAAGATTATACTTTGTTCATAGATGTATGTTGCGGATACACACATCCTCATCAGCAGAGTGGTCAATGACTTTTGATCCTGGAGAAGTGGTCTTAGGTTGTCATTCGACTCCGATAATATATCTTCCAGGAAAAGTAGGCGATCTTTCGTGGCCTGAAAAATCGATGCCCTTCCCTCTACAAGAAACGCATTAAGCCGAGTTTCAACCTGTGATTCTGCATTCTGGGTTTCTGCATCAACATCGAGTGGGCCTACATTCTTCTGGGCGTCAGGGCTATTGGTATCCTCCCACAATGCAGAATAACTAGGTGCAGATGCATATATAGTTGATAGTGCTGGCCCATATTCGTCTTTGCAATTCAGGAGGGATAGTCTGATCAATATTAGCGTTTCTGGGATCAGTCTCGACAAAATGCATCCCCTCAAACGAAGCTTCTCATGCCGCTGCAAGAGCATAACAGTGTCAGACAACCTTTGTCTGAGATCCTGAGTTTGGTCCTTGGGATAGAAAGTCAAGCTATACAGCCGGTTTGCTAGATTATCTATTTGTGGGTTATTGACACCCGTCTCGGGCTGCTCGAAGAAATATATATCAGCGCCCCGCAACCAACTGGCAGATCTGCGTTGAAAATGTTGGAGGTTTTTACCTTATTTTCTACCTGCAATTCCAGCAGGTAAGCGAGAATATCCAGTCCCTTCGAATCATCCTGCAGATTTTCGAGCAGAGCGGCGGTGCTGGGGAAGTCTGCCATCACGACTTGTATCAGGATCCGGTCCCCGGAGCCCACAGCACGTAATCGATCGATTGTTCAATTTCAGAACCTCAGGGAACCCAGGTATCAAGAACTCAATGGTATATTCACTGCCATTCAGAGACCCCGGGCGGACTTTGAGACAAGGCAATAGGGTTGGAGGATGAACCAGCTAAGCTAAGGGCTTAGCTCTAAGCTGTTGTCAAAGGCAAAAAATTTAACAGGCAACACGGTTTGGGACCAAAATTAAATTTGACAGCAATCGAGACTTGAGAATTAAGAATTTATATTGGATTTGAACTACGGTGCTTTGACTGGACAAAGGACTCAGAACATGACACTACAATGGGGGTTGGATATCCAGTTTGGTCCTCTGATTCTACTAGGATCTGGATTTGGCGTATCTCCAGGGCCGTTTCGAATGTTTCTGGGAATCAATCAATCTGTCGACCGAATTTTAAATTTACGTTTCCAGAAACAGGTTGAATATATTGATACTCCCTCGCTGCATTGTATTATATAGAAACAATCTCTATCTTACACGCATAATTAGATCGAGTCCATATAATTAATTATATGAAATAACTACTAAGTGGCTCGACCTAAGTATCTATGACCTACTCAGCTTTTATGGAACTCGAGCCGGAGGCCTCTAGATCGTCGGCTGCGCTGGCAGCAGGCTCTAGATCTTCAGTAACATGTTCGACCTTAAGCTTCTTGACATTCTCGTCCTTTCCTTCGGAAGCACTTTCCTCCAACCTTTCAGCCCTCCTCTCATTAATCCAGCTTCCAAGCTCTTTCCATAGCTGAAGCTTGTAATCCAAGCTGTACCCCGCGGCAAGTCCACTTGTCGACACCACCACATAGACCCGAGCACCTGGATATCCATTTTTCTTATCAACCCCCATGTTCTCTTTTTCATGTTGCCACCCAAATTTGAACTCAGTCTTGGTCATCTTCCTTCCGTGCTTTGCGCGAAAGACACTTTCCCAGATCGCTTTCCCGATTAAGCAAACCGATTCTGGCCTGTATCGCCGACATTTCCGTTCAAGGTCTGCAACGCCCTCATCCATTTCCTCCAGGGATAGTTCTGCTTGACTAGCGGTTGGACGACCGACTATATTTGTTGTCCCCAAATTGAATTCAGCAGGGAGAATTTCGTCTTCCTGTGGCTTACATTGCCTTGTTGTAAGGCCACCTTGATGTAGCATTCTCCAGAACAAGTTGGACGGGTTTGCATAGCTGCTCTCCCAAAATAATTAACAATCATATCCTCTAGATGGTACTATGGAAATGATAGTAGAACATACCAGTGTCCAGCTTGTGAGGTTGCAATACCAGGGTTCAGTCCAATGAGCATACAGTACATATTTTCTCCCAATTGATCAGGGACGCCCTTTAGATGGGCGTACTTCGACGGTGGAGCATATGAACTACTCTTTTTCTTCGGGCCTCCGGGAGCTGCTCCGGCCTTATACGAGAGCACATCCGTATATTTTCTTTTAGTTGATGTCCTTGTGGTTTCTTTCGATTCTTTCGATTCCTCTGTAGTACCCGAAGCTACTGACTCTGAGGTTGACATTGAGAATTTATTGATAGTTCCTTTAAAGCTTGTGGATTTTTCTTCAACGACTGCATTGCCAGTCGTTGATATCTCCGAACGAGACGAGGTACTGCGAAGAACTCGATTGGATGCCATTGATTCGAATGTACTTTAAATATTTTTTATCCTGTAATATTAGACTACCGTGATACGATGGAAAGAATTCTGAAAACGAAGCTATCGAATCCAACAGTCCAGAATGTGTCCAGGTACCTCTTTTATAAAGGGGCAAATCGAGAACATACAATATAAACGTACAAGCTGAGTCAGCGGCTACACGGATGCGTGAAGGATCAATGATGAAACTTAATCAAGAATGAATCTTCGCGATTTCCCAGCCGCATCTTGGGTTTTTAACGTTATCACACAGAATCGCGCCGAATCGGGTCCCTTCGAGGCTTTCCGGGTCCCTGCACTTTTGGCAAGGAGAGGAACCAAGTACCAAGGAAAGCAACCGAGCTGCGAGTTATGACTAAGCCGTGGGGCCTCGGTTTCTAGGCTATTCCGTTTTGGGAACTTTGTTTACCGCCACTACAACACATCTCAAAACACCGTCGCTGATTGAGGCGAATGTGAACCGACAGCCCGACATCATCAACTTCGAAGGCGCAAAAGTATTCGCGCCGGCGATAGATACTATTTCGCCGATATCATTTCTATCTATACTTCCGACCTTCTCACCAGCACCACTGTTTCAATACCGCACAACAAAATGGCTACAGAAGCCCGAATGCGAAGCTCTGCTTCGACCCCCTCACTGCGATCCAGCACACCGGCGCAATTCAGAGGATACCGAGAAGTACAGGCAGCACAACAGAAATATGCGAAAACAGCGGAACAACCAGGGGGAGGAAACGTCAAAGTTGTCGTCAGAGTCAGGACTCTACTTCCAAGAGGTATGAAGCTCCAAAAGAACAGCCGTTACCGAACCCAATCGGACAATAAACTAACTGGTACTTCCAGAGCTCGAAAAGGAGGCGCCATGCATAGTCGAAATGAACCCTAATACGCAGTCTACAATCCTCTATGCTCCCGCCGGTGTCGACCAAAATATGAAGCGCAAGTTGGAAAAGAAAGTCTTTACCTTCGACAATTCATTCTGGTCTGTCAATCCTAAAGACCCGCACTATGCGGACCAAGACGACATCTACAATTCCCTTGGAGAGGAATTCCTGGATCACAATTTTGAAGGATACCATACTTGTATATTCGCCTACGGGCAGACAGGTTCCGGGAAGAGTTACTCTATGATGGGGACAGCTGAGAAACCGGGATTGATACCGAGAACTTGCGAGGATCTTTTCCAAAGAATCGAAAGCAGCGATGTTCCAAATATCAGCTATAGCGTCAGGGTGTCTTACTTCGAAGTTTACAACGAGCATGTCAGAGACTTATTGGTTCCACGCAAAGATACACCTTACTACCTCAAAGTTCGAGAATCGCCAACGGATGGGCCTTATATCAAAGACCTTACGGAAGTGCCGGTTAAGAGCTTACAAGAGGTTCTAAAGTACATGAAGCAAGGAGATACTGTAAGATTGCATTTTATTGCATTTTAAATAGCCACCAATACTAACAAAAAGCTATAGAGTCGTTCTGTTGCCTCGACGAAAATGAATGATGTATCCAGTCGTTCGCATGCAGTCTTTACTTTGATCCTCAAGCAAATCTATCACGACATGGAACGAGATGAAACTACGGAACGACTTGCAAGAATCAGACTTGTCGATCTTGCTGGCTCCGAGAGGGCAAAGTCTACAGAGGCTACGGGTCAGCGTCTTCGCGAGGGTTCAAATATCAATAAATCTCTCACCACTCTAGGAAGAGTCATCGCCGCTCTAGCAGAGTCAGGAAATAGTGCTCGCCGCAAAGAGGTCGTTCCATATCGAGATTCCGTCTTAACTTACCTATTGAAAGACTCCCTAGGAGGGAACAGCAAGACAGCCATGATTGCGTGCATCTCTCCGACCGACTATGACGAAACCTTATCCACACTAAGATATGCCGACCAAGCAAAGAATATCAAATTACGGGCCATCATCAATCAAGACCAACGTTCCAGTGCTGCACGCGATGCCCAGATCGAGGAAATGTCAGAGACAATCAGGAACCTTCAGCTCAGTTTATCTCAGGCTACTGCTACCAAAAAACAAACAGAGGCACAAAACACTCAGTTGGAGGAGTATCAAAGCAAAGTAGAACGCATGCAACAATTGATGGAAGAGAACCGCCAGGTCGCAGAATGCAAGATCAGAAGCTTGCAAACCCAGAACGATGCTTTAAAATTACATTTAAAACTCGCTCTAGACAGCTTAAAGAATCCAATCCCAGCAGTGCCTGATCCGGAAGATAAAGAAAATAGTATCTATGATGAGGAAGAAGAGCAAGAAGAGATCGACGAAGACTTGGCTCTACATCTCGAAGATTTGATGAAGGATTTGGGCAACTTTAAAAAGAAATTGGCGGATGATACTGGTAGGTTTGTGGGGAAGGTTAGACACCTTCAGGAATTACCCGTCAACTGCTAATTATATGGCGGAAGCTGTGTTTCGATCCCCTTTTTTCTTTTCATGTATTTATGTCAGCTTGCATTTTCGGGACGGTTCGGAAAAGGCACTTTGGAGGAGTAGGGTCTTGGGTTTCTTTCTTGTCTCTGGAGTTTTGAAAGGAACCATATACACATGCTGGTCAGGTTATTTTCGGTTTCATTGTTCATGTAGGCTTTCGTGTACTGTATACGTTTAATGGGTTGATGTTCAATGCAGGTTTACGTTTCCAATTGAGGTAGAATTACGATGACTTCAATATAATGGTATCTAGCTTGATGCTGAATGTAAATATGATCGCTAGTTCAAAACAAAAATAATAGCAAAAATGGTAGGTGCGCGCACTGGGTAGCTGATCACCTTCCTGGGCGGAGTTTCTGCATCATCTTCTGAATTTCTGGCACTGCTGCGCCTGTAGCCTTTGGTAAAAGTCCTTCAAGGGAACTGTAATCCTTCGCCAGCAGAGCCTCTTCTCCCGCTTTGACAATCATCCCGCACTGAACCCACATATTGACCCTCTCAGCGTATCCTAGGTTTTTGCATTTGGGAATAAATATCGACGCAACCTTGGTATTCCCTGCTGATAGACATTCGTTGAAGAAAGGCTCCCATCCAATTGGCGATGTCTTTAGCTTACTCCACTCTTCTATTTCCGCCCATTCCCTCTTTGCCACCAGACCGCGAAGTTTGATCCACCAGAAACGTTTGTCGGGCATTTTGAATTCGCTCCTGATCTTATTAGCTCGGGGATGGAAGCCGAGTCGTGTGAGCTTAAATATTGTGTCGTTGAGAGAAAGACCGACGAATGTTTCCTCGAAGACGTCACGCTCGAGTGACTCTTGCATCGTAAGGAGTTTGATGCTTTCCTCGAGTGCCTATTTGGTTTGATTAAAATACGGCCCCCAGAAATTTTGTCAGAGATCCACCTACAGAGGAATCTAGTGCATGTTCCTTCGAGTCCTTCAAAAGCTTGCTTGCTAGCTTTAATTTATCGATCCGTGTCGTGAAATTCTAATGCCCGTTAGCAGTATCCCAATCCATATGCAACCAACTACTCACCTCTTGCATCAAAGACTCCTTCAATATCACATTAGCACCGTCGGACTTTCGGTCATCCTGGTAGTATAGATCTTTCAAGAGTTCTGTATCAATATTCCGAGCAGAAGTTTCGATCAGGCTATACGCTAAAGGACGATCGTTGATGATCCTAAAGAATGTTGCGATAGGAAGTTTCTTCTTCAAATGAAGTAAAACATAAAACACCAAGTCCGAATCCATGCTCTCGATAGCTTTGTCCAAAGCAATTTCGTCTTCTTCCATACTCATCAAAAGTGGTACTTGCCGTCCCGCTCGTGGCTCATAGTTAAGGAGCTATCCGAGTTATGTTAGCTACCAGTCTGACATCTAAGTAGAAATTCACATGATATAGAACCTACTTGGGTAGCAAGCCGTCCCCTTCCTTCCTCGAATGCCGACTTCGCGATTTCATCGAACGCAATACCTCGTTTGCCAGAGAGTTTCATGACAATAGTTCTGCATATGGTGTCCTCGTCATCCAGGGAAAGTTTAACCTTCATGCATGCCCAGTGGATATATATCTTGTCCGTCGGAAGATTGAGATAGTCCGAGATCCTCAGTGCCAATAAATGCTCCTGCCGTGCCACAAGACGCTCTATCAATTTATCCGGTGTTAACCTCTCAAGTTGGTCTGCCGTGATACCGAATCCGATTTCGTAGAACCTGACAGCATTCAGGACTCTGAGTTTTTTGCACATCTCCACAAAATCGTCGCTATTGTACAGTTCAAGTACAGACTTTCCAAAGGATGCTGCCTTAAGCAATTGCTTCTGCCAGTCGACATCAAACTCATGCCCCGCAGCCTGGACACATGCAGCGACAGCTTCTGGCAGACTAGGCCGGATAAGCTGTATTGCGTCGTCCGCCTTCGGTGACTTGCGCTCGAGGTGACCAACCGCCTCCAACAATCCAGCTGGTGGCGACGAAGAACCGAACTCAAAAATTGACTTCGTCACATCTACAGACTCGTTAATCCAAATTTAAACCTCAGAAGCCATCAAGAACGCCTTCTTACCTGGAACGCGCTGTAGAAATTCACACTTCTCCGTTGTTATCATTCTGATACCATCCATCTCGGGGACTAAATTCACCCGACTATCATAATACCATCTTAACGCTGCCCCAGCGGGTCCAACCATGTGTACCTCGTCTTCCCAGACCAGCACCACACTGTCTATACCGCACCATTGGACATCCAACGGGATTTCATCTAGCTTGCCAGAGTCATATTCACTAAGCTTCTGTTGAAATTTCACATCAATAACCCAAACCTTCCCATCCCCCGTGTAAAGCGCTACGTAACTACCGTTCGGGCTAACACTGATGTGATGGAAAGGGCCATTTTGCAAAATTTGGTCCTGAGACTCAGTCGCATCGACTATTAAGATAGTTTGGTCTGTTGCCATGATAACCTCCACATGCCGAGAGTCTGAATAATTTGGCGGTATCAGAGCCCAAGAATGTATTTTCGATTCAGGAGATGGCAGCTTCGGAAGGGCGAGAGGGCGCGGCCGAGGTTCGTCGTATCGATTAACTGCGACGAAGACATTATTTGAGAGTAGTGCTACGAATCCAGTACCCCAGAATCGACATGATACCACCCCATGTTCTTCAGCATCCTATTCAAAAATACTTAGTCTCAAATCTTCTTATATGGTATATTCAGAGTTACCATACCGCTCCCAGCGAGAACTGGGTAAAGTTCCCCTGCAGGTCATAATAGCACCGAACAGATCCATCTGTCGTTACAACAAGTAGGTGCTCGTCGTCCGACCAGCCTATAGATTGTATTGCACCCCTATCCCACTATATTCGATGTCAACCCTTATCCTTCATCAAGCTTGCCTGATGCTGAGAGACAGACATCATACCGTTATTCGACGTAATAAGGCACCTGCAAGGTTGCAGATCATAATATTGGGCTTTGCAGCCTGGCCGCCCTGGTAGGCATGGAACTTTCGGGGGTCTTTCCACAGTGCTATATGACAAATTTATATTAGCACAGGTTCGGACTACTCCATACTCAGGCATGTATGGTAGCCATCATACCAATCGCGCCACCAAAAGGCGCCCCAGCTACTAGGTAGTCATCCAAATCGAAGTCCTCATCCTGAGTCCACGACGGTGTAAACACTGTGAACTTCCGATAATACTGCCCGGAAACGAGTTCCCAAGTCGAAGGTGGGTTCTGTAATCCAGATGCCATATTCAGCGACAGAGATTGAAGATGTGATGTCAGGTATAGTCTGGCGCTACGACATGATGCATCGGGGTTAGGAAATGCTGGGGTCAACGGGGAGGCGACGCGACAGCTCCCGCAACTGCGCTTCTAGGCGAGGATCTTTGTGTTGCATGGCAACGTCACAACCGGACCTCAACCTCAAGATAACACAATTAATATTTGATAGCTCGAGCTCTAAGAAACACAGTCTCGATAAATCATCATCATTCAGCATCTTCAATGCTTCACTAATCAATCCCTAGGTCTAGAATGGCTCGCCAACATAGCTACGAACATCTCAATTGCCGAAGAGCTAGTTTGTCAAGCTCCAAAGAAAATGCATAAGCTTGTACCAGTACAAGTTTGAACATGCAGCTCACTCTCCAGCTATAACCACAGCTACAACTTCTCATGCAAGTCAACCCAAAGACCTATCAAATTCAACCCTGCAAATTCTCTATTATGTTATAGCCAAGATAATCCCCGGAATCCCCTTCAATTATGCCGGAACCTCCCGGCCCGGGAATTCGTGAACGGCACTTCCAGCTTCGTACGGGAGCTGTCTACAAGCTAATCACAAATGGCCTTACCATCATTTGATCCCAAGGTCATCTGCCAGAATGTGGGGCAAACAAAGCTAGCTCCTTTTTGTGATTGCTGTGCATAGACCACTCATGCAGAAGCTATTCACACTATCGCAAGCCACCTTCGAATCGATGCCGCCAAATACAGTAACGCAGCCGGACCCGCGGAAGCGCCAATGTTTGTCATCACAATGTAGTATTGCATGCCGACAGATACGAGATTATGGGGTCGACGGCTCGACTCCGGAGTCCGTCTGGGAATTAACCGCTCTAGACTAGAGCTCGAGCTGATATCTATGGTCCTGGAGGGGGTGCCAGCATGCAACAAAAACAACACACTAGCAAGCTTAGAATGGACGGGATTCCTAGGAAATGTCGACAGATTCCAATTACGATATAAAGATACGGGTTTGGTAGTCTATTTCCCCCAAAGTATGTACTGAGCCGTAGTTATTTGACATTATAGAATGCATTTGGCAGGGAGGTGTGTTAACTATGATTGAGGAGGACAATACTGTCTATCTACCTTAAATGAGACTCAGAGGACCTTTTGCGAGGCTCATTTAACTATTATATCGCATACGTATCCTGTTGGTGTACCTGAATACCTAGGGTTATAACTTTCAGGGCTACTTATTCTTTCTTTGCCAACCTACGCAGTGAGACATGACCAGTTATAGTCTTTTCTATTTCCTAACTCTTGCTAGCCGCAGGCACCTCGTAACAGAGGTGATTTGCACCGAATTGGATTATCTGCCGTGTATTCTAACTTACCAGTATAGATATTTCTTGGCTAATGCCGGGTTTGGGAGCGCTTAAGTCGTCTCGATTAATCGCCGCTAGCTTGTATTTCTAGCATCGCGGTCTGAGAAGCGTGGTGGGTTCAGGAATTAATGGAACTAAACTAGATCCAAGTAGTCGAATATGTGTTAGATACTTTCAGGTAATGTCTTAAGATATTAGATAGCTGCTTAACAGACCCTGTAATGTAACTTAAAAACATTAACAGAAGCTAGAAACGCCCACAGACATCTTGATCAATTGATATCAAACTCTTGATCATCTTACATAGGATTTTAGGAATTAACTACTATGAGTTCGAAAAAAAAAGAGAAAAAAAAGGTCACGCAGGTAGCTAAAAGATAGCTATGCTGAGCCTCGTAGTATATCCCGGCGAAAACATAACTCTCCTTTAATTAACATGCACGCCTAAAGACCAAGGATTCTTACCCAGTCCATGTAGAAACCGAGTCTCGAATGCAAGGGCGTCTAAAGCGGATGTGTGTTGCCGATCCAACATGGTTACACCATATTCAACTCCAGCGTCGACGACACCGATCAAACCCATCCGGATATATACCTTAAGAAATATAAATGCATGCACAGAGTGGTCACGCATAAGCCGAAATAATACCGCAAAGTCCAGGGCGCCATTCCTTCTTTGATACCCTCCTTCGCGATCTGACGTCTATCTTTCGGCCAAATCTGTGAGCAACCAGGTTAAAGAGGTCGAAGCAAATCAAATTTATGCATGAGGCAAGCCTCAATATGCGTCCCTTATGTTTACCTATAGATTAGAAATCCCTAGCTCGGATGTTTGACTTGCCTGTAAATCCCTGCTTTGTTTTATTTTATTTTATCTTTATTTTATTTTTTTCGCACTTTTATTTATTGTCACGATCCTGACCCGCAATCCGAGAGGAAAATTTTGTGAAACGGATCGAGATCCCATTATCGATATACCATCTTCTAATTTCAAGACAAAGTAACAAGCTATAAATCCCGAAGATGTGTTTTACCAACCAAAGAGAAGGCTCTTGTGCGACTAAAACATGGTAGGGAGTGCTGGAACTCCATGGCGGGGCACAAAATTTGCTAGAGCTCGAGAGCTCAAGTTCCCGGCAGCCCAAAACAAGACCCCAAGGGGGGCCTAGCTGTTCGGAATCGAATTTCGGACACGTTGATCGATTGATTCCCAGTCTCGTATAGATTGCGGTGATATCGGTAAGCGGACGGAGCGGCGCTCAAGCCGTCTTGTGCAACGTTACTACTACATAATCCAACCCTTTTTTGCGAAATTTCTTCTAAAGTGGGTCGTTCGGACCTAGTTCGTTATAATAATCTTTGTCCATGTCCCTTTCCAGACGCAAAGTGTCCGCTTCACTGCAAATTTTTTTTTTTTTAAAACAAACATAGGTACTTAGCTTAGCTTTGACCTGACTGATGTAAAATGCAGACAATGCATAAAATACTCCTGCGGATTGGAGGGGAGTAATTCGACCTTCCGGATCCACACTTCATTTTTTTTTTTTCTATGGGGAATCCAAGGATCCAAAAAAAGAAGAGTACCCCCAAGGCTTCGAGGGTTTGTGTGAAAACCATCCAATAACCTCAGACGAGAAAAAAAGGGAAGATACTTTTTAAATTGTTTTTTATCTGATTGTGGATCTATCCGTGCAGCATCTACATGTTTGTACAACTGTTTTGGGGGTGTTTCCGGTTGGAAATACATATCCGTGGGCTGGTCCGGACCCACTCTCCTCGTTAAAGTCGAAAAGCTATTCGAAAAGAACGAAGAAACTTCAATCTCGGAGCTGCAAGCTGCACTTCGCGAGCTCGAAAAAAAATCGCAGATTGAAATAAGACCTACATAAAGTACACGTCTGAGGGGCAGCCATAGCTCCTTTCTTTGCATCGACAGCACGATGTGCCCTCCACGTTCCGGCTCCGTGGGAACGTTCCTCATTTCATCTCCCCACTATCCGTACGTAGTAGATGCATCGAAGAAGAAAAACGAACGTGGGGAAACCTTGAGCAGAGCCAGAGCTAGAGCTAGGTCCCGCATGCGCAGCGTGGGTCCGCCATAAAACAACCATTTCGACGAATCGAGAAGCTGGATTTTGGATAAAAAAATTTTAATGGAAGAAAGAAAAAAAAATTCAAACTATCTAAAAACAGCTACCCCCACTCTATAAACTTCCTTTTTATTTCTATTTTGTCACTAGGGGTCATTATATTTCTTACTTCGTGTGGGCATTCCGCATTGCCTCTGGTCACCAACGGTTTACCTTTCTGCTGACGGACTGCATACGTTCGATCTCGAACATTTTTTTAACTAGGCCAAAGAGAATTCAGTGGTAGTTCGGCCCTATACCGTGCTTGTCATTCTTTGTATACAGGTACCTAGAAGGAATACCTGCTTTGTTTGCTCCCTTTCTTTCTCTCCCTTGCCTCAATGCAGGTTTATAAATCGAAATCATAGGAAAATACGAAGAATTGGGCCGCTGCAACTGTCTTACCTGATACCGTTCGCGTTCGGAGATGCCCCGATATTTATGTTTGGATCTCAAGTCGTTGGCTCAGATCCCTTGGTTATGGCAAGTCCATGAGAGCAAGGGTTTATCAGGGAGGCTTATGGGATAAAAGTCTCAAAAACCAATCAAACCACAGCTTCCAAGTTTCTTAAGGTTACGCAGTTGAAGCCCTTCAAGTTTCCAAGTTGCGTCTGCACAGACATAAAAAAGCGCTTCCCAAAACTTCCCCAAGCTTGATTCGTTCTAGCAAAAACTTCTCCTGAGATCTGGAAAAGTTAAGGCCATCTTTTAAAATTGAGGCACTATGGATCTAAATGGCAAGTCAGATTGGAGAAGTTATAGCACAATAGCGTCATTACTCTGTAATACCGGACCGACGACACAGATACTTAGCGGTGTGTCTTTGTGTGTGTGTGTGTGTGTGACGACCTTGGAAATTCTGTAACAATATAGCCCGCTCAGGCAATGTTAGCAGAACCAATGGAAGAGGAACAGATAGTGCAGGTTCGACAAGAAAAATCGAAGATTAATGCTTGACCGTTTTCGTATCGACATCATGTGGACCTATCCTTTTTTTTGTTTTTACATCGTAGTTTGTTTCGTTCGAATAGGCAGAAATCTGGAGCGGTACTCCGGTAGAGGGGAATTCTGGGGTGGTCGGAGAACCAGTCTAGAATAGAACCTTGGAAAATTCCCTCATAGACCTGGAGAGTTATCGATGTGAGGGCCGGATGCCATTCCATATGCAGATATCTATGGCATCAAAATAGCCAATCGCAGGGTCTAGTTGCGTAATATCCTGGTGTATTCCGTAATCTTGTTGAGATGCATTAATTGGTAAATGTGATGTCGAGACTATCCAAGTCAGTAGGATTGTCTACAGAAAGATCAAAAGCGGTGTGTAAAGTGGAATTTCATTGAATATGAATACGAGTAGCTAGAGGAGGCATTTGAGCCATTGCGTGAACGCATTTTCAAAGTCTATAAACATGCAGGAGTAAATAAGCGATTTTGGTGCAGGATGCTGCCACTGTTACGGCAAGCTGATGTAAAAGAGCGTAAACCAAGCAAAGTAGAATCAGTCAGGAAATCCAAAACTAGAAATGTCCAAAAGCAGTCGTGTTTTTTGTATCTTTTTCGTTTTTTTTCTTCTGGGGAAGTTTTCCATTGAAATCGAGATATTTGAAAGAGAGACGTGAAGCAGTAATTGCAAGCAAAACCTAAATCAAAAACAAAAAAACAATTGTGTACCACCGAATACCTCTCCCTCCGAGCAGTAAAAATCAAACCGACGACTAAATTATTACTACAAGTAGTATGTACGCCGCCCAGTAACACAGCATAAAGACATTCAGATAATCAGAAAAATGAACGAGAGTGCAATTAGAAGAATAAACAAGAAATAGAATTGCTTCGAGCGAACTTTGTAACCAAAAGAATTGCTTCGGACTCAAAAAACTGGGGCTAATCAGAAGAAATCGCAAACTAACAGTGCTCTGCGCATAAAACAGTGCTGGAGCAAAGGAAAACAAGAAGAAGAAGAGAATGACAAAGATGTATTAAAAGATTAAGGTATAGATCATTAGAGAGGTATCGGTGTCGCCGCGAGGCTAAAAGAAATCTTTTTGAACGCAAAAGGCAAAAGTCGTAACTGCGTAACGCATGGAAAAGCAAATGGTCGTAACGTCGTCACCTTTTTTTGGAACCCACCCGGACGATAAAGCAATCGAGCAAAAAATATTTTAAACGTAGAAAAAAAAAAAGATAATTTTGTTTGAACCCCGAATTAAAAAGGTATTAGGTATTAGAAACCAAAGGGAGGAAGATAAGTTTGAATCGAAGAGTTTTTAGTGTTCGACGGCGACGTCCATATCGTCGTAGTCTGCAGCCGGGGAGCAAACTTCGGGAGTGGTAGATGTAGTGCTGGTAGATGTCATAGAACCAGTCTCGTCGTCGTCGTAGAGAGTCTGGGAGAGGAGGTCGAAGGCCTCGCCAATAACACGAGTAATGCCCCAGACGACAACCTCGGCAAGCATACCTCCCCAGATGCGAGAAACGGCAACGCTGAGTCTAGATCCGCATTCAACGGAATCCTCATCAAAGAGATCCCGGATCTTCTCCAGCATTGCGGCCTCTTCCCTCGTTGGGGGGCATGTCGCACTTTCTTGTTCCAGGCGGTTAAGCCACAGAGTGAGAATAAGCATCAAATCGAAGCCGAACAGAATATGTTCAGGGCTCCAGTTCAGCGCCGATGATTTAGCAAAGAGCCTAATACCCATGAGAGCAGGTATCTGGAAACACTCGAAGCAAAGCTGAATGACCTTCGTCATAGCTGGTGAACGAGGAATCAAGTTACGAGCGGGTTTCATGGTAGTAGCCACCTCCTCTGGTACATGGTACCGGAGAGCCTCTTGAATGCTCATGAAGTCGACTTCGAGTCTAGCACAAGTAGCTCGATACATCGCCATAGCATTGAACAACAAAGGAGGCCCTCTTTGCGGAGCATTCAGGGACACGATCATCGTCTCCGATGTACAATAATCCACTGACTTTTGCCACGTTTCGAGTGCTGAATGAAGCTTATCCTTGTACTCAGCGACAAGATTGCTGAGTCCTTTGGGAGTTCTCTTGACTTGCCAGACTTCCAGGAAGAGAGCGTTGATCATGATTCTAGCACCAAATGCGCTGTATCGTGGGATTTCTCCCTTAAACAGGCAGTTATGGGCATCCTTGAAGGATGGGGTTGGGCTGATAGCGTATTGCTCTCTCCAGGCATGTTCGTCCGTGTAGTCAAGGTTCCAGAGAGACTCGGAACAAGGAAGAGAAAGAGATTCAAGTTCATTGTTGCAAATCACAGGAGTGTGATTAAATGTCATAGTCAAGAGACCGAAGAAGTTATAGACGGAGAAGAAGGTTCGTTTGGCACCTTCTTCCTCAATCCAGTCTTCGACAGAAGGGATCTCAGAACCACGCTGATCTCTCTTAAGTTGAAGTTCATAACGGCCTCCAGCAACCATGTTGACAAGGAGACCCTTGACAGAGCAAGCCCATTCCAAGCCAGAAGCGTCGCCACTCCAGCTAGCGAAGATCATGTTCAACAAAGTGGTTTGAGTATTCCACAGAGGACAATTTCTTGAGCTGAAGCGTTGATCACGGCTAAGGCAGTTCGTGGCAAGGATCTTGGAAGCAACGTGAAGCATACATCCCTGTTCCCTTTCAAAGGTGTACAGAGCGCCAATAGAAAGGACTGCAAGAAGTAGCGGTGAAGAAACTCTGCTTGGCCTAAAAGTGGCAGGATGTAGGAACGGGAAATGATGGTGGAACAGATTAAAGTACGCAGAGAGATATCGGTTCAAGGCACTTTTACTTGGAAGCTTGAAGCTGTTTGAAACAGTACCTTCAATATCAATGTCTCTGACATTGGCGAGTATCTGAGTCCTTTCCTCGTCCGATGAGACTTGAGGTGGTGCAAGAGGAGAACAGGCCGAAGCACTGGCAGATGACTGTACGGATTCCGGGTATTGGCCGGTTGGATATGGATACGGAGATACAGATCTGTGGATTTGGACAGAGCCATTATATGCCTTTGAAGAAGAGTTCCTTGGAGAAAGATGAGCGCTGGTGACCGATTCTTGTTGGTTCTCGGATTCCCAGTTAGAGTAAGAAGTCTGGCTGGCAGATCTCATAATGGGTTCACAATCGCTTGGAGTGGCTGGACTTTCCCAAGGGACATGGGCGAGAGATGGATATGGAGCACGGTCGAATACTGGGAGTTCTTGGTGGGTAACCATGGCTAATTTTTCTTCCATCATGGATTCTTCTTGTCGGACTAGAATGGCATTGCAGGCAGCGTGATGTAACTCAGTAATGAGGGCTGCGGCTTGTTCAAGATCATCGTTGTTTTCCAAGTGTTCCAATGTGGCTGGTTCAAGGGCAATCCGTGTCTTCTTTGCTGGAGGGGCAGGGGCAGTCGCTGCTGTTTTGGCCTGTGGTTTTCTCTTTCCTTCACTGGTGAGGGGGATGCCTCCATCCTTTGCGTGAACAGTCCTATCATGTCGTAGCAATAGATCTCTTCGTACAAAGGTGCTTCTACACTTAAGGCATTTGAAAGGTCTCTCTTTGGTATCTGTTTAGGGAAAACACAATCAGTAAATACAACCGAGAGAAAAATTTTGTTTGAAAGAAAATAGGGAGAGTAAAATAACATACGGGATCGCTCGTGTCTACTTCTGTGCTCCGACCTGCTGAAGGCACGGGCACAGTATGCACACTTATATTTACGTTCCTGAACCAAGTTGGTTCTGCGAGATTGTGTCTGTGCTCCAGTCATCTTGGAATAATATATATGACGCTTCTACTACTTATCCTGCAAAAGGATGTAGAAAGAGAGAGAAGACTGATGTTGAAATCGTCGATGGGTATGTTAAGTTTATTGGGGGAAAGTGGTGGATTGAGAGTATCGCAATAGCATTCCTTCTCCTTCACGTCCTCGATTTTATTTTATTTTGAAAATATCTCCGGGGTATGCGACGGGTAGATGTAGATGGGATGAGACACCAAAAAAACTAATGGCGACAAGCGAATATGCGGTCGTCCGTGTAGGTGTTCTCTTCGGATTTCGTTTGTTTGTTTTTCTTTTCTTGAACGTGAACAATGTCGGGACTTTTGATATAATATATAAGACCGACACGAGAGAGAGAGAGAGAGATGAATGTCAGAATGTATAAGAGTAAATATTATCGAGAATAGTAGTAATAGTATATAGTATGGTATAATAAGAGTAGAGTCGAGGAGAGTATATGTAAACGTGGGGCAGAAGACGAAAAGGGGGAGGGGATTAAAAAATGAACAAGAAGAAAGAGGGCAGCAAGAAACGAATGGAGGGGACAAGGCGGGATATGAAGCTTTTCCACTGGGCTGGGAAGGAATATAAACAGAAAAGAGAAGGGAAAGAAAGAGGGATGGAGGGGTTATTTGGGGGGGTTAAAGAAAGATGAAAGGGGAGTAAGGAGGAGAAGAGGAAGGGGGCAAGGAGGAGGAAGTAGTGATGGCGAGGAAGGAAGAAAGGGGTATCGCTCGCTTTTTCTGGGGATTGGGCGGTGTATGTACCCGTAATGGTGTGGGATGGATTGGATTGGCCGTACATACATACTTACATAGTAGACATCCACCACCGTCCTCGAGGAGGAACTTACCCACTTTTTTTTTTTTTTTTTTTTTTTTTTTGAGGCCCTCCACTTCGAAAAGCTACTCTTCCAGTACAATAGCACACACTCTGCGCTGTAAGTACATACATGTATGTGTGTGTATGTATGTGTGTATGTATGTATGTATGTATGTATGTATGTATGTAGTGTCTTGTCCCCATGTCCCAGAGTATGCAGAGAATGGTCGCCAGAATCACAACCAGCCCAAGCCAGCGAATGAACCCTGGAAAGAGGGAACTGCACGGAGGGGGTCTTAGTTTCTCTTGTTATCTTGTGAGGATGTATACTAGCCGCCGCTTCTGCACCCACCAGGCACATGTACACACACATACATACATTACATACACAATACATCCATAGAGCGAGGAGGGAGAGGGAGGGAAAACACTTCGATTGTTGTCATCAAAATACATCACAAGCATGCGGAGTGTTTTCGAACTCGCCGGAAATTGTCCTTGCCCCTCGCTCCCCCTCCGGACCGCTGTATCGCACTGTATTCCAATCATCTGTGTCCGTATGTATTCCTGTATCTACGTATGTACATATGTATGTACATTACATACACACATACACACATACATACATCGTACACTTGGCCGGCCATCGTACATACATACGTACATACATCGTACGTTGCTTGCCATGGACATGCCGGCCGTCAACCTTCGATCGATTCGGGTTGCGCCTCACGAGACTCGATGCATTCGAGGGTATACGTAAAGACCCATCTTAATTCGTCCAGTCCTTTCGTGTCTGCTGGACCGACACGCTAACCAATCTGTGGAGGATGCGCGACGACCCAGCCGAGGGAAGGAGATGCAGCACGGTACTCCGAAAAAGTCCCTCCATGCCAACATCCATTATCTCCACACCACCCACACCTCTAACCCTGGTTGGTTCCCAATCACACTCCTTGCGCTGGAACTTCGAGAAACCAACAAGGCTGGTCTGTCGACGGCCCACCTTCTTTTTATTTTTTTTATTTTTTTTCTGGCTGCGGGGCTGGGGGACGAGAAGCCGGGCCCAGGATTGACTGTTCATGTGCAGGTGAACCTAGGTTTCATCTGGGAATAGTGTCGAGAAGAACTGAAGAGGGTCGCTGCCACCGTCTATAATCGGGTTAGTCTCCTTTCCAACCACGCCAGCCAGCTATAGAAATCTGACATTCAGCCAGACTCAAAAGGAAATTCGGTAGCAAGGGCCAAAAAAAAAAAAAAGGAAAAGGAAAAGAATTCCTTCCACAGAATCTTGGACTAAAATCCGGCTCCCCCATATCACACACACACGTAGCTCGCCCGGAATCGACTCTCGGACTTGTAACGGTACTGCGTTGGCTCCGTTGTTAAATTGTTGGAAACCTAATTCTAATTAGTCTCGCAGCGATCGATATCTAGATCTATTCTACTTCATACCGAGGGTGAATGTGAGACGTCTGCATATTGATTGTAATATTACAACGACATATCGATGCCTCTTTCTGAGATCACGGCTTGAGGCCCGGGACATCTTCGAAACGTTCGAATTCGCCTGAAGTGTGCGCAAATTTAACCAGCCAGCTGGCAGATGTTTGTGAAAAGCCTCTTTCGGGCATGATTCCGGTATGTGTGTCTCTCTTTCTGTAGCCATCTCACGGTCCCACATCGACTCTTCCTCTCTCTATCCCTCAATCTCTCTACATTTCGCTTTGAATATCCAAATTGTGGATAATAAGGAGCGACCCATCGATGAACTGTACATGTTAATGTATGAACTGCTGCTTCAGCACGTTTGAACCTAGGGCGTGCAGCACAATTCATGCAAGTGAACAGGACCCGCCTCCCTTACTGCTTTAGTCCAAGTCTTGTAAAACGCAAGGCCAGGTTTGGAGCATGATATCAATCACGCCGTCGTCGCAAGCAAAAACGAAGGATGGAAAATCTTTCTCATCGCTTCAGCAAGGTACAAATTTTTCAACCTGTGCTATGCCACACTAACCCCCAACAGGGCAAGTCCGGCCCTGTCCAAGCTAGCTCCCAGCAGCTCGAGCTTATGCTAACCCTTGGGGAAAATCACCGTCTCCTTCGTTCGAGAAGTGAAAGACAAAGGAAAAAAAAAGTACCTCCATTTTTGGGTTGAGAATTTCATCTACCAGACTAGCATCTGGGCAAACATTGAGATTTCCAAACTATCCCGATTTACGGCTGCGGAAGCGGAACAGCGGCGGTGGGCCGTCAACCCAGTTTCATCATTGTGATGTGCCATTTGGCAGGCCTCCTTGGCAAATATACACTTCCTCCGATTGTATGTGCTTATGTACAGGTACTTGAAGATGATATCGATGATATACGAGGAAACCCCGGTAGCTCCTACTTATCTAAAGCGCCCAGACCCAGCACCATCTTTTCATTTTGCCTATATCTCTCCAATCTAGTGTTTCGGCCAACAAGAAAACCGTGGAGCGATTTTGATAAGAACACGCTTGCCTGATCGTTCAATTGCTTATATTATATCTACGCAATTATGGAAAAAAATCCGCGGATGACACTATCTCCAGCCCGGATGACACTAGAATTACTCCTCATATCTATAACCCCTCTGCCATCTCAAAAGCTTCAGAGCTGTATCTAGCCAAGGCTCGGTTGAAAGCCCACCCTGTCGCAAGCTAAAGAGCAGAGCAGAGCTACTATCTTAAAAGCTGCATGAAGTGGGCTAGATTTTCAAAATCACCACAAGCAAGCATCGTGACAACTGTTACCAAACTTTCAAGCCATATGACTAGCATTCCTCTCAAACAGGCTTCAGGCAAATTCCCCTCTGCATATGTAAACTATATTTCCGTGGTATTGCTATCGAAATCTCTAAAGCCACTCCCAAGTTCCAAGTTCCAAGCCCAACTTTCGCGACCGGTTTCCTAATTAAGCCTGCGAAAAATCCAGCTCAACACACAAAAAACCGCAGAGACTATAAATACCTAACAGAGCATGTAAGGGATTCGATTCGACATACCTGTCTACATGTCTACATAAAAAGACTCTCCAAAATATGACATAAAAATCATCTACATCAACTTAAAATACATCTCGGTCAAAATGTCAATCTTTGATCAAATGCGCGTACACGTTTACGACGCATTGATTTGCAGCTGCGAACTGGCAAGTGATCGATGCAATAGACCTGGGTCCCCTCTTGCTGCTCGAATGCCGGCTCTCGTCACATCGATTTGCAGCTAGGCCGTCTTGGGAAAAGTGATTATATCGACACTTGGACACCGTTGACAGGATCGAGTGTATCGTCTTTCCATTGCAAATCAGAAACCGTCAACATCGTGGCTCAAGCTTATGTAACGGCCTCCCCGTTTGTATCGTGCTCTAGGCCGGGAAGTTTAACTCTAATGAGCTGTAAAACCTGGGGGTTTCCGATACAAGCTTAGGTCTACGGGCTGGACTATGATCTACCGAGCGGGAGGCAAGAGGCAAGAGGCAATCGTCAGCCTTTCGTGAACCACGTGACTTTGTGATCACACATGGCCATGGTGCGTGCTCGACGGACTTGTTCCGACATCTTGTGATGTAGATTTATTTAGATTTGTCAAGTACACTTTTCTGTGCCCCGCGTATTGTTCTCTATCTAGAGCTCATGGGAGAGGGATCTGCACGCCAGAGTAGACCGCATGCCGCGACGCTTGACACGTTTCAATGGTGATAGGTTTGGGATAGAAATTCAAGTGACGGACCAATTCTTCAAGATGTGCTGGATGTACATGTTAGCAGGCCGCCACACAATCAATTATAGTCTTCATAACCACGTGGTACTGACCGCTGATAATTCTGCGAGTTCGAATGTGAAGCAACAAGATCTTAAGAGCTCCCCCGCTGACGTAAAGACTGGGTATTGGTCTTCACATACAAAAAAAGGGGGGGTCTAATTGTTTATATTCCTGTCCGCTAATCACGTTTGTGATATCGATATCTAATCACTGAATTCGGCTAATGAAAAGCAATACAGTCTCGGGCTTAGTGATAATTATGGATACTCTGATATTCCACTAATTGATCCCAAGCGGTGAACAGTTCACCAGGTCAGCCACCTCCCCGATTGCTTTTCATACCTAGATGGCCAGAACGTCTTCATCTTCATGAACCAG